AAAATATTTATTATTAATAGTTATTTTCAAAAATTTTAAGGATTAAAATAAACTGCAAGGATTTTGCTTAAATAAATTTAAATTAAAAAATTAAAGATAAAAGATAAAAGTATATGTTTCATTAATTAATAACTTATTCAATAATCTTTGATTAAATTTTATATAAAATACTTAGGAGAGAATAGCACCTATATTCCACCTATTACAATAATATTTATTTGTTCTTTGATCAGAAATTTCAGAATCAGTATAATAGATTGAATAAATGTTTTTCACATTTACAGCTCTCTGTTTAATATAAGTAATCATATCTTATTCTTTTTATGGTTCAAAATCTTATTGATCAACATTAAAAGCTAAAATGTATATTGTAGTTTAGAGAAAGTAAACTATAAAAATTAAACTATTAAATACCATTGATAATTGGAGCATAATTCGAAATAGAAGTATCATGCATTAGAAATTTCACCATATGAACTGCGTCTCTTTCTTGAATTCTTTTAATGGCCAAATCTAGACATAGCTTACTAAAATGAAATTATTTATTACTTTTTTAAAGGAGATATTAATTCTTCATTAAAATCTTCATTGCTATTTTTGCGGCTCTACATACAAAACATAGTAAGAGATTGTTTCAAACATTCATCAATACATTCATTTTTTTAATTTTTTTTTTTAATTTATTTAGCTTTTAAAGCTAAGTTTATTCAAACAACTTTATTAATATAAATTGATAATAAAATTTTTTTATCTTTTTTAATTAATTAGGGGTCCATGGCTCAGACCAAAAGGAGCATCTTGGTTAACAGGATGATGGAGTAGGGACATGTTTTCAAGCGAAATCTACCCCAAGAAGGGGGGAATAACTTGGAAGCACGAACGAAACATTAGTCTCAACTGGGCCACATAGAAGGACACTAAATTAAGAAAGTAAAGTTCAGCTAGCTGAACTAAACCCATGCTACACTGAATAGTGTAGGTGGAAGGGATACTAAATAAAACATAAAACATAAAACATTGATAATATTCCAAATAATAAATGTATCTCCTAATATCATAATGTGATGAGTAATAACTTCATCACTTGATTTCAAATGAATATCTGGTGGAAGTTCAGATGTATCTATATAATCATTGGGAACTTATTAATGACCATGGTCAAAGCCCTCTATTTATTTTGATGAATATTCTTTTTCATCTACTTATTTTAATCCATTTATCCATTTTATTTTTTTTTCATCATAAAAGATATTAGTCTAATTTTATCCTATTGTGGCAAGCTGATATTTTTTCTCATGATTTACCTGTATATATTCTTCAAGATTATCAGAATCAAAAGCACACCGTCTGCGTCTTTACATAAAAATTAAAAAAATATAAAATCAATTTTTAGATGTTAATCCATCAATTAATTATAAGAATTATTACTTACTAATTGGCTTCAAGAATTATTGTTAATAGAGATGAGAGTTTAAAGAATTAAAATTATATTTTAAGTTTAAGATCATTTTCGTTCTTTTCAAAAGTGTCCAAAATCTCTTTTTATCATCATTTTTTTAGAATAATGAAATATTTAAACTCTTATAAAGATTAGTTAAACTAATTAAAAGGGAAATTCTATGATAATAATGTCAATATTTTCTTTATAAAGATTTTCACTCAAACTATTTAACTTACATTTAATAATCAAGCAAGATTGTAATTGAATGAACTCTTAATAATTTAAAGTGTTATTTTTAAAATAAACTCTAAAAACGAGAAATTAGATATGCAATATTATTTATTCTAAATTTAACAAAAATAGATGAATTAATGAAATTAAAAAGTTTAGTATGAGTGCGTAAAAAAAATGAATTTTCAATTAACTATTTTTTTTACATTTGCCATTTATAATATTTATTATTAAGTTTATTTTAAGTCCAAATATTAATGATTATGTAAAAAATTAGACATTTAAAGCCATAATAATATTCGATAAAAATTGATAAGAATTTGTTTTTATATCATTTTTATTTAGATTTATATTTTTCATAAAATTTATGAGCTTTTTAAATATTGGCTTCCTCTATAAGACCATAATCTAAACAATACTTAAGAGCCAAAACTGATTCTGGTTTTTCTCTATAAAGTGATTCATAATAAATTCTGCATGGATCATCTTCAGGTGGAGTTTCTTTTTTTTGATATAATTTGTAATTTTCCTTGTCTTTTTCGACACTTTCAGAATTCTCATCTTCATCCTAAAAATATTAATTAATTATACGTCTTCTTTTATTTATTTTTTTTTAGTATTATTAGTTGTTTTATTCTATTTGAAAGGTTAGGCTTTCTTTTTTTTGCCTTACTTTTCAACTAATTTATTGCTAGATTCAGAATAATCTTCGGATTCATCTTCTTTTTATTTTTTTACTGCAATTTATTTTTTTTATGTTTATTTTTATATTTTTTTTTAAACTTATGGTTCATAGGGTTCCTCGGATTCATCATCATCATCAGAATCATTTTTCTTTTTTCCTTATCCTTTTTTTGGTGGCATCTAATATTTTAATATTAATTAATAAAATTTTTAAGTTCAAATACATTTTGATATTTAAAATGAATTAGCAAATTTTAACATGAAATTGATTTGACTCAATTTATTTCAGCTGCAGGACTTTCACCTGTTAGTAATAAATGATAATAAATTTAATTAAGACAATTAAGTGATTAATTAAAAATAATATTTTTATTCAATCAAAGTAATCTTTAGAAGAAGGGTCTTTTCTTTCATATTAATACTAATAAAATGATTAAAATAGAACATATTTTAAAAATGAATAAAATAATAAGAAATTTAGGATATTGTTTTATATTGAAAGAATAAAGAAAAGATTAGAACCTTGGAAAAAATATTTTCTAAATTATGGTTATAGAAAAATGAAGAAAATAGGTTTTACTTAATTTTAATATATAGTTTTAATTTTCAAATTTTGCAATTTTTATCAATAAAAAATCCAATAACAAATAAATCCAATACTTATAAAGGCTATTCCAGCAATAAACAATCTTCTTTTTAATCTATTTAATCTATTCTTTCTATGAACAGCAGTTGCTGTATCGTAAAAGACTTTAGAAGTATCCTCCAATTCCAAAGATTTAACTCATATAAGATAAGATATACTTTCAATTTAACTTAATTGCTCTTTATTATTAATTAGCTTTTCAATATTTTATTAGACTGATTATTTGGTGTTATCTAATGTCTACATGATTTATTTGATTTATTTTGGATCTTTATTGTACTGTTTTTCGAAATAATTCAATAACTTTAATATATTATCTTTTTAATTATCATTAATGATGACACTTTCATTCAACTAAATAGATTTGATTGATAAATACAATTTTAGATTAAATGGCACTAATAAGCATTTCGATATTATATTGATTGCAATCTGTAGAAGCTAAAACAAGTTAGATTATTTCTTTATTAAAAGGAAGATAATACCATCTTCCTTTTTTAGATGGCAATGAATCTCTTTGAATAGTAGATTGAATTTACATTTTCTGAAATTAACTAATTGTTTTCGTCTTAATAATCATTAGTGTATCAGATAAATCTTAAACTAGACCAACTTCACCCACCATCTCTATAAGCTCTAATCTCTCTCCGGTTGCCCATTTTGCCAAAGCAAAAGCTTTAATGTGATTCATATTTATTAATGTTAAAATTTTAAGTAAATATAAAAGGATAGACTTTTGATTTCGAAATACCAAAAAGTGCTACAGTAGCAGAACTGAAATCTCTTATAGCAGAAAAACAATAAGTAATTTATCTATTCAAGTAGATTTCAGCTCCTTTTGATCTCTATATATTTGATCAACTTTTAATAGAGGAAGGAACTGTTAATAAGATTATATATAATTGTAAAACAGATTGTCTCGAATTAAAATTAAGGGAGAAGATAAAATTTAAATAGTTCCAACAGTTTTTTAATTAAGCTAAACCTATTGTTTTGTGGAAAACTATTTTATCAACAATAAAATTTATAGATAATTTTGAAGAATTAAGAAAGTAAAAGACATAAGACTTAAGTAAAGTAAGAAATGTCATTTCATTCTTTTAAAAAGCACCTGTATTAATAAAATAAAAGACATCAAATTTATTAAGCAAATTTACTGATCGAGTTAAAGGATAAACAACTATTTTAAGTCATATTAATATGTAAGAAGATGATTTAGCTCGAAATTAAAATAATGATACTGTTCTAAACATTTTAAATAATATGGAAAATCAAAATGAGAGAGTAAATTATCATAAAATTTAAACAAAATCTAAAAAAAATAAATATCCCACTCCTAAATTAAGTCCACAATAAGAATAATATTTGATTAGAAAAAAGAGAGCTATTTCTTTATTACAAGATCCTAATTAAAGTGAAAAAGCTAAAATGCTCATTTAAGAGATGAAAAAATAAAAAGAATAATTAAAAATAAAGAGATAAGAACATTTAGATAATAGTACTGAAAAAATAGAATTAAGTTTAGAACATTATAAATAAGAAAGAGAAATCTTAATATAAAAAATCACTAAAGATAAAAGAAATAGAATTATTGAAAGACTTAATGAAAATTAAAAGAATCATGAAATACAAAGATAATTTAATAAAAAGTCTCAATAACTGATAAATGAATTAAAAAATAGAATAAAAAAGCAACAAGATTCTGTTAAAAATAAGGATGATTAATTAAAATAGATTTATTTTGAAGAAGTAAAGGTAAAATAGATTTTTTTAAAGCTAGTTAAAACTTCAAGAGAAAAAGAAGTAAGCTTAACCAATAAGATTATCAGAATTAAATTAGCATGAAGAACATTACTTAGAGAATAGAGAAATGCTTAAATTGTAAAGGGATTAAAAAAAATTGGAATGGGAAATAAAAATTAAATCAGAAACTAAATCAATGTATAAAGACTAAAAAGTCTTATAAGAAGTTAAGAAAATTGATTAATAAGTTAAGAATAAAGATATTTTAGAATTAAAGAAAAAATAGGAATTTAAAATAAGAAAATAAAAATATTCTGAAATAATTCAAGAATTTCACAGACCCATTAATATTAGTAAAATGGATATTTTAGAATCAATTGATGATTATTCAATTAATTAATCTAGAGATTCTAGAATAAAATAAGTAGTTTAATATCAAAATAAGTCTTAGTTTGTCGAATAATTAGTAAATTAACGAATCTAAAAAAACAGTATTTTTTTAATTTAAGCTATAAGTTAAAAAAATTTAATCAGCATTAAGTTAATAGCATATAACACCAAAGACTAAAATTACAGAGTAACTTTAATAAGGAAAAGTACCTGATGCTAATACTTATTTTCATTTACGAGTACATACACCTTAGAAAATAATAATTGAAGAGAGTATAATAAAGAAAAAACCAGATTATTTAAGAGAATTTGAAAGAGAAAGAAGGTCTTTGAATCAATCTGTTTTACCATCTGTTTCAGGATTAAACAAGTACAATTTGATAATATTGATAAAAGGAAAATAAGTCCTTAATAGGAAATGCACCTACTTTAAAGATTAGAAGAGGAAGCAAAAAAGAAGGAATAACTAGCTCATATCAGTTAAAACGATGATTTATAAATAGAGGCTACAGATTTATATTTAAGGAGTGTTTAAGCAAAATTGTAATTTTTGGATAAGAAATTATCAAATTTTTGAGTATTAAATATTATAATTAAACAAAATGGGTTGCTCAGTTTAAAAATAAAAAGAGGCTAAGTACTAGCAAAGTGATCTTGAAAACATTCTTTAGAGGTAGATAAAAGAATTAGTGTAAAAATAATAGTAGCGTAATTCTTAATTTTATGAAAGAATAATAAGATACTCTAATTGATCAAGATGAATTAACTATTTATGATAAATCATTAGATAAATAAGTAAAGGTTCCAAAATTAAGACTACCAAGTAAGTTTAATCGATCAATATTTATAGTTTATAACACTATAGTATAAAGAAGAAGAATATAACAATATGATGACATAATAAAATGAAAGACAGAGTATAATTGAGATATTATTTGTATTATTATCTTTTTTTTAAATACGATCCTTAAAAATATCAATTCAGTACTTAGGAATAAAATTCGAAATATTAATCAATAGTAATTTGATATTCAAAGCTAAAAAAGTTTTATTTAATTTATGATTCTCTTCAATAGAGATATTGAATTAAAACGAATACTAAAGTGAATGAATTTGAAGTAATTTATATATATATAAATTATTGATGCGAAAAAATATTCAATCGTAAAGGTATGAGATATCTTTGTTTTTATCATTCTTACAGCTAATAATAGCCCAAACAAAGAATAACAAATAAACAATGTACCTATTGAAAATAGAACATAGCTCAGATTTATTCCTGTTGACTCTATTAAATTCTTTGATTTCTATGAAACAACTTTTTTTATTTTATGAATTATCTTTAATATCACTAAAACAATTTCAAGATGTAGATGTACATAAACCACTAAAATTATGTAATATTTTTGTAGCTTGAATCATTTAAACAGAAGGATATTCTTTAATTTCATATGAATGACATCCTTAGACCTATAAAGATATTCATCTATAGTAAAATTCTTAAATTCAAATAATTTCTCATTAACAGTTAAAGTTTCAATAGTGATATCAGTGTTTAATTTTGGTAATTAAATAATATTCTAACTAATTGTATAACATTAATACATATAGTTAATCTGCATATTATATTCGATAATCAATTTCTTTAAAATATCTTTTGCCTATAAAATTTAAAGTTATGAAATTGATAAATATTCTATCCAAAAGAATTATATGAATACTTTAGAGTTTATACAGCAAGATAAAAACAAAGAAACAATAAAAGAAATTGTACTAAAAATTAATTTTTCTTAAAATCTTTTGGATTTTTGTTGCTTGCTATTATTCCTGCTTATCTAATAAACAAGATTAATACACCTAAAATTATAAAACCATATTCTTGTATATATTTTTAATGAAATGGCAGAATTTTCATAGAAAAATAATTTTTTAAAATCATTCTTAATACTATTATAGCGTAATACAATCAATTTTTAGAACAAATATTAATTAAAACAAGAAATAATCACACCAACTCTTTTGATTATTTGTTCACCAAGTGATAAAGCATTCTCGAAAACTCAAAAATACAATTTTTTATATAAAATAATTTATTATATTTTTTTTGAAAGAATTTTATAAATCCTCAAATTGTCCTATAAACAAAAAAATAAACCACTAAATGTAATAATAATATATAATTCACTCTAATATTTAATATATGTATATTAAAAAAGAGAAGAATAATAATTTCTTTATAATACCATACCGTATTACGTGTAAATTATTAAATAAAAAATTGAAAATTTGATCTATGCAACAAGCATAAACATAACAAAACATATAACCACTAGATTTTTATTAAGAAGAATATAAGGATGCAGTAAGATTCTCTTGGAATACATTACCTGCAACAAAATTATAGAGTACTCGTGCAATAGTTCCAATGGGATGTCTTTATAGTATATAAATTAATTAAAATTAGCACCAATGAAGGATTTAGAATCTTTGGTATTAGTATAATATTCTCCATTATATTGTAAATGTGGTGCAATTTTGAATCCATACAATTAAATAGATTTCAGAAATAAATAATGGACATGTGTGTTTTGTTCTTGTAAAAACATGTTTCCAAAGCATTATGCTGATCATATAACTGAAACATAATTACCAGCTGAATTAAAAAAGACTAGCACAACAATGGAATATATCTTAGCTAATTAATAAGCAGCCCCTACTACATTTTTATATATAATCGATACTTGCATTCCTTAAGAAGATTTATAAGCCATAAGGGATTCAATTTAATAGAGCCTATCAATTATTCCACCAGATTCATAGGTTGGACTTATCACATTTGGAAGAAATATCTTTGTACACGAACTAGGATTTTAAGAATGTCCAAAATGTTATAGTTTTAAGGGATCTAAAGATTATACTACTTAATAAATTTTAGAGATGTTATAAGTAAGTACAAAACCAGAAATTTTAAAAAGATTCTTAGTTCCATTAAGTGAATGTGAATTCTCATTCAATTCTATTTTGGATGATCTATAATGTGATCCATGGCCAACTTAGCCTGGAGAAAGAGAAGTTCGAGCTAATGGATCAGCATTAAAAATAGGTTCAACATTAGTTGAAAGTGCAACTTAATTCTCTAAAATCCTCTTTTTTGTTGGAGGACCTTGTACTATTGGACCTGGATAAGTTGTAGGATTAAAATTAGAAGAAACTATCCGATCTTATTTAGATATGTAAAAGGAAAATCCTAATACATAATATCTGTAAAAAGCAAAAAAATTTTATAATGAAATTGCTCAAAGAGCTATTAAAGCAAATTTGACAGTTGATATATTTGCATTCACTTTAGATTAATTTGGTTTATTGGAAATGAAATAATTAGCAGAAAAAACTGGTGGAGTTGTTGTTATGCAAGAAAAATTTGATTCTGATGTTTTTAGAGAAACATACAAAAAATTATTTGATAAAGATAGTACTAATTTTCTTAAGATGGGTTTCGGATCTAAAATGGATATATTTGTATCAAAAGATATAAAAGTATAAGGAGGAGTAGGACCATGTATTTCATTAAAAAAAGGAGGACCTATGGTATCTGAAGTTTCTATAGGAGAAGGTGGAACAACAAGTTGGTATACAGGTGGTTTAGATAGAAACTCCACAATTTTATTTTTATTTGATTTATCTTCTACAAAAGACACATCTTTTTCACAATGTGCTTATATTTAATTCATAACAATGTATAGACACTCAAGCAGATTGCAAAGATTAAGAGTAACTACAATTCAAAGAAGATTTGCCGATCACAACAATATTATGGATATGATAAGAGGATTTGATCAAGAAGCTGCTTGCGTTACAATGGCAAGAGTGGGAATTCTAAAAGCAGAATCTGAAGAATCAATAGAAGTTTTAAAGTGGTTAGATCGATCTTTAATTCGAGTTGTAGCAAGATTTGGTTCTTATCGAAAAGATGACGTAAGTTCATTTAGATTTCCATCAGAAATGATGATGTATCCATAATTCATGTATCATCTTCGAAGATCTCATTTCATTAGTACATTTGGTGCCTCACCAGATGAGACCACTTTTTATAGAGTAATTTGTTATAATAATAAATGATTAGGCGTCTTTATCTAGAGAAAGTGTTTAAAATGCTTTAGTAATGATTCAACCAGCATTATTATAATATACAATAGATGATCCAGTTGCTAATGCTGTAAATTTAGACATTCAAAGCATGAAACCTGATGTTGTATTGCTTCTAGATACTTATTTCAATGTTGTTGTTTGGAATGGAGAAAATGTATAAAAATGGATTGAAGAAGGATATTATGACAATCCAGAGTATGAATATGTTAAAGAATTAGTAGATGCTCCTAATTCTGATGTTTAAGTAATATATTAATTTAATTGTTAAGTATATCTTAGAAGATAGATTTCCAGTTCCTAAATTGATTAAAACCTATTTTGGTCATGGTTAAGAGAGATATTTAAAAAGCAGGGTGAATCCATCTGTAAATACAGTCTAAAATGAAAATGTTGAAAGTGGTAATTATATCACTGATGATGCCAGTCTTAAAGTATTTACAGACCATCTTATTCGCTTAGCTGTATAAACTGTATAATGAATATATCAAGTATAAGATAATCATATAATATCGTAATTACTCAATATATATTATAAGAATTATTAATCATAAAATGAAAATTCGTTATGAGGATTTATATGAAACCAAAAACTAATTATTGGGATAGGGTGCTTTTGCTTAAGTTTTTTTAGGAGTTAAAAAATCTAATAAATAAAAAGTGGCTGTGAAAATTAGCAATCGAAATCTAGCTATTTCTAAATAAGAAAAAATGATTCTAAAATAACTCTCACAATTTCGGCATCAAAATGTAGTTCAGCTTTTAGATATATTTGATTAATAAGAAGCTTTATTTATAGTGTAAGAATACTGTTCTGGTGGAACTTTATATGAAATGATGACAACTAAAACCTTTTCTGAAGAATAAATTGTTAATATAGCTTTATAAGTTGCTCAGGGCATAGCCTTTTTGCATAGTAAAAACATAGTACATAGAGATATTAAACCAGAAAATATTCTTAGACAAATTGATGAACAGGGAATGGAAGTCTACAAAATTACTGATTTTGGTTTAAGTAGTGTCAAATTAGATAGAATGACAACTACTAAAGTTGGAACTGCCTATTATGTTGCTCCAGAAATTTTAGATAAATAATAATATGATAAATCTGTAGATATTTGGGCACTTGGCCTAATTATCGATGAATTACTTCACAAAACACCTTTCTATAATGGCATGTCTGAAGAAGAGGTATTCTTTAAAATTAAAACTACAAATTACAATATTAGAGATCAATAATATGCTTAAGCTACTATCTTCGATCATAAAAAAAATGTTATAAAAAGCTTATTATTAAATTCAGTTCAAAAAGACCCAAAGTTAAGAAAAGATCTCAATTGGATTATTTAAACTCTTAGTGAATATTATCTCCAAAGTCCTAGTAGTTTTGATATACAATAAAATAATAACAACGATAGATATCTGTTTACAGATAATTCACTCATTTCTTAATCCACTCTTTGTGAATTAACACAAAATTTTCAGTTACCTACTTATTCTAATGATATACAATCTTAATTTTAAGATTGTCCTTTTCATCATCAACCTATCCGATACAGAATGCCAGGAATCAATGATAATGCAGTTACTAATGCATGTTAAAAATGTTTATAAATTTATGGAATTTTTGATCAAATGGAATTCTAATCCTATTTATCATAAACAAACTTTGAATTGAATTCCTTCTCAGTAGATTCCTATTTTTCTTAAAATGAAATTATTATAGAAGCATTGAGCTATCTAAACTAATTTAAATTATTTTAGGAAAAAGAAAAACTTGTATAAGAATTGAGAAACATTGTTATTAAACATCATAGAATTTTAAGATAAGAATACATTCAATATTAAGATGATATTAAATCAATGAACACTAATGCTAAATGGATTAATGAAGCTTTGAAGCTAAATCTAACTATTTCTCAAGATATGCCAAATAAAATCATTCTTTATCTAACCTCAAAATGTTAAGAAAAAAAAGAAATTACACTTTAAGAATGTAGATAATTTATTAAAGAACAACTTAAATTACTTTAATAGTATATTGAGTCTAAATTATGAAAATTTATTATTATCTATATATTAAATTTAAATATTTTCTAATACAATGAATTGATTCTAAAATTTTTTAATTAATCAGAATTTTATTTTAATAATTTTTATAATGAAATAAAAAAAATAGTAGTTAGGAGAAATCAATGTTAACAAATAATATAGTGAATCATAATTAAGAGAAGTATAATTTTAAATAAGATTAGATAATTTAAAAATTACTAGCAAAAGATGCAAATTATCGAATAGAAATTGCAAAATTAAAAGAGTAAAACATTGAAACAACTTAAAAATATCATAAAGCCTTAAAGTAAATAGGTGAAATGGAGAAAACACAAAAAAAAGTATTTGAAATAAATTAAAATAGGATTAAATGTATATTTAACAAATTGATGGTTTTTTATTGGAAGCTAAAAAGAGATTTGATTAGAATAAAAAATAACAAACTGATCATTATGTTGATGCATTATTAGAAATGACCAAATAAAGAGATGAATATCTAAAAAGAAATATTCAACTTGAAATCATGATTAATGAACTGAACGATTAAATTGAAAAATTAAAACGTTAAACAACAATAATACCATCTGCCAGTTAATAATAATTCAGCAATCCTTTAACTGCAAATGAAGAAGTGATATAAACTGAAAGCTAAGTAAATCATCGTAAAAAATCATCAATTTATTCAATGAATACTCAAGATTCAATAATAAATGATGAAGAGAAAGAAGATCAATTAATGACATTTCTACATTAACTTGATGAATAATAAGCTAATTAATTGTATAGCCTATTCAGTAGCTTAAATAATGATCTCGATTAAAAAACAACCAAGAATGAGTCTGCATTTTAAAACCTAATCTCAAATATGAATCAACATCCACTAGTAGAATAATAAAGCACATTCAGTTTTTCACAAAAATGGAATGAAAAGGAAAATCATTACTTTTGATTGATTCTACTAATGTTAAATAAATATTTAAAATGATTTCCCTAATATAAAATTGATTGAATTAGGAATTAGATTTAATTTAAATTATGAAATGTGAATTTATCTTCACAAAACAATTGATATTTCAGCACATCCAAAGCTTGTTCCCTTGGCATTCTAGAAATAAAATTGAGTGGTGATTTTTCCCTAAAATTAATTAATGATAATATCTTACTGATGGTGTATATGTTGGGAAGTTTTATGTTAATGAATAAACAACTTTATCATCCTTATCATAGATTTCATCCTCTGGAAAATCTTCTTAAAAGACATCGACTCCATTCCATTTAGCTTTTAATTACATATTAGCTAATTCACAATGAGCGTTTGCAGTTCCATAAAGTGTAATAGTTTCATCTACTCCTTTTTATGGTTAGACACTCAATGTTGCTTCTGTAAATACAATATCTGGATTTGCCATGCAATTTGTCACTTTTGTTGGAATTACAGCAAACACTGCAGATACAAGAAGGACTGCTATAAGTAGCTTCATTAAATATTTTAAATAATGAGAAGACTATGATTATTTTTGCATTCATAAAATAAAATTACGTAATGAATATTTTTATAGCAATACGTCACATAAAATAAAAAACCAATGTTTACTTTATTTATTTTTTATATTCAATAATTTAATGTAAATTATATTAATATTGGTTTTTGTACTAACAACACTTTCCTAATAGACTGATTATGCTTTGTGGATTTAAAATTCAAATTCTTAACTATGGGAAAGAATTGGGGAAATGAAAATATCAAGGTCTAACTTTTAAAATGCACAAATTGTCTTAAATTAAAATAAATAGTAAATTATTGATCGTAAAAAAATTAACCAAGTAATAGTAAATAGCTGAATCTAGAATAATTATGCATTGTTGAAACTATAAAATTAACAAGATGAAAAATCATATATTGCACACATTGATGGAAAATAATTATCTCTTTTTAATCAAAAATCTAATTATTAAGAAATAATTACTTTAGTTTTATCTAATAATGATTTATTGTCATTTGATTATGCATTAAAGCCTTTAAAGAAAAATTCGGAAATCTATATTCAAATCAACTTAAAAGAATTGGAAGTAGCTCCATAAGGTTTAGTACCATAGTTTGAAGAAAAGTCTTCAGAGGAAGAAGAGTAATAAAAACCCTAGGGTATCTTTGGACTAATATTATAATATGTAAACACTATTATTATCAATAGAAATGGTATATCATTATTGGATTTATGGTCTTTTTCTTAGCCGGTCAGGCTGATCCCTAAAAACTAAATGAGACTGTATAATAAGCTTAAGAACAAGCATAAGCTTAAAGAAGAAGAAATAAATGATTAAATTTATTCAAATGTTGTGTAAAATAATTTTTATTAATTAATCAATAATCTTTCATTTATTTTAAATAAATTTACTCTTATTAATTCCTCTAAAAATTCAAATCTTATAAAAAATACTCTGAAAATTTGTAGAGTATCATTGAGTATTGAAATTGTTTTTAAATAGTTTCAGTTCAATCAGTATAAATATTTAAACAATAGAGGTTAAATAGGTTATTAAAGAAAATTTTCAACAATATATTAATTATGAAGAGATCTAATAAATTGTATTTAAAATTTTTATTTTTGAATTGACATTTAATTAATATTAAATGCAAATTAATTGTTAAGAAATTGATTTATCGATTCTACTCTTTTCAGTTTTTAGAAAACATTTTTTTCGTGATTAATCTTACTATATAAAATAATCAAAGACATAAATACTGATGAGTTAAGTAAGTTATAATAATATTAAATAAATAGGAATGCTAATTTATAAAAAGTAAGTATATTTTAGATTTGAATACAGAAACTTAATTGGAATGGATTGTTAAAAATCAAAAATTAATTGGATTCTTATTCCCTTATTAGAATAAAATGAAAGATTTTTATGGTAACTCCTAAGATCTCTTAGACTTAAAATAAAGATTAGGAAAATAAATTATTTTTAAATCACTTAGGGTCCATTATAAGTTTATAAGATATTTAGATTCAGGAAGCTTTGGCTAAGTATGTTAATTTTTAAATAATAGGTTTCATTATAATAAAATAATATTACTGGCAACATGGTTGCTGTAAAAACATTAATCAATACAAGTAAATCTATATAAAATTAAATTGAAAATGAAATAAAAATTCTTAGAACACTGGATCACCCTAATATTTTATCAATATAAGAAGTTTTTTTGAATAGTGTTACATATTCTATTATAACTGAGTTTATTGAAGGAAAGAATCTTAAAAAATAAATGATAGAGATTTCAGAATTTTCTGAATTATCTATTCTCAAACTATTTTGTGTAATAGTCTCAAATTATTCTATTAGTAATTATTTGAAGGACTCTCTTATATTCACAGCATGGGCATTATTCATAGAGATATAAAACCTTCAAATATTATGTTGACTAAAAGTGGAAAGCTTAAAATTGTTGACTTTGGATTATCATGCTTTATTGGTAATTAACTCTAAGAAACACCTAAATGTGGAACTCTTGGTTTTTGTGCTCCTGAAATTTTACAAAATATCAACATAAAGGCTATGTATGACTACAAAGTTGATGTTTTTAGTGCTGGGTGCGTTCTGTATAATATATTAACTTCTAAAGGCCTTTTTGATGCTGATACATCAGTTGAGGTTTTAAAGAAGAATAAAAACTGTATATTTATTATAAAGGAATAAGGAAGACTTTTTGATTTAGTAAGAATTTTGCTTAAATAAAATCCACTTGAAAGATTGAGTAGTTATTAAACTTTATAATTAATTAAATCCATGATAGAAGATGATACATTGGATGTAAACACTTGGTAAAGACAAAAATGTAACTCAAATTAATCAACATTATCTAATATAATTTTAACTGCGAAATAGAATCCTAATAGTAAATCTCTAATAAAAAATTAATTAAATTATTGATGAAATTTTTTCTTATCCTTTAAAACTATTGATATTTTTAATCTAGTCAAATTATAAATTTAATATATTGCAGTATCTCTAAATTTTAAATTACCTTATTTAATTATTCTTCTTACTATTTTTAAAAAATTAAGATAAATGTCACTTAAATTTTTTACTTCCAAGACTACATCTAATTTTAAATTTATTAATTATTAGTATTAAACTAGTAAATACTAAATTTCAATTTATTATTTTAATTTTATAGGATAAATATAAATAATTTTAAGAAATAATATTCATTCTTCCATGCCTTCAGATTATTACATTAAATATTTCTTTTTTAATGAATTCTCTTTAATAATGAATTAAAGCAGCAAAACTATAACCAAGATAAACTAAATAAAATGTAAAAAGATTATTTTACCTAAGCATTATATTTCTTTTCCTTAATATTAATCTACTTTAAATGTTTCACACTTTTTTAGAGCAAAATATTGCCTTTAAAATATGACTACTTTATTTTCTTAACTCATTAATATTTATTTTGTAAAAATGGAAAATTAAAAAAATCAAAAAATATTGTTAAGCACTAATATACAGAAAAACTAAGATTCAAAACTTCATGTTGTTGATTAAATGAATTCAATTACTAAAGAATATTAAAATATCATGGAAAAATTTTAACAAGAAATTTTTTAAGCTAAAGAAATTAATAAAGAAAAAAATGAAAAAAGATCCGAAAAGCTAAAAAATATTCCAACTTTTACTAATTTATTATAAAGAACATAAGTTGAGAGATGAATTTTATATGTTTTAATTTTTATTTAAATAAATTCGAGTATATCCCTCTTGAATATTTGTTGAATTAACTAAATTTTAAGTAACTATTTTACAATATAATTATGATTAAAATTAATTAATTACACAATATTTTCATATTTAAGAATGGAGATATTAGTAACCTTCGCAATAGAGTTTTGGAAAATAATTACATTCAAACTATATAATTTACATTTACTATATTTAGAATTTTCTCAAATAGTTTTTAAAATAATATATTTCTTTGTTAGCTTTATATAATTAACTTTAAATAAAACTCAAGTATATAAAATTAATTAGCAAAGCTTTAATCTTATTTATTTTATGTTAATATAATTTATTACAATGATTTAAGTTTATTTTTAGCCAGATCTAATATATTTACTATTAATCAAAATAGAATTTAAAGCACAAATTAAAGTTTCAGATATAAATAGGAAAACTCGAAATTCAAAGAAAAAAAGATATATCATTCAGAGCAATATTCTTGAACTTTAATCAGTATAAAGTCACTTATTTTCATTTTGAGTTGATGAATTGCAAAAATTCTAAAATAAAAAAATTGAGTCATTAATTGACAATCTCAAAATAATGACAAAAAGTGAAAAATTTTAGTTCTTTAATCAATTTTTGTTGCTTAAAAAATAGTCAGAATATAGAATATTATCAAATTTAATAACTTTTCCATATATTAATAAATGCTTGTATAAAAATAACACAGATAAATTTAACAATTCAGCATTTGGCAAAATAACTAAGCTTTTTACTTATTTAAGTCAAAACTGAATTTTATTTTTTTTAATATTGCGATATTTTTCAAAAATTATTTCTAAAGTTAACTAAACTAATTAATTTAAAATATCTATTGTTAGAAAAACAAATTAAAGCATTTTTTTAAAAAGGAAAATAATTCTTACTAATATAAATTTAATCATTAAGCATCTTATCTAAATTTAAGATATATATGAGTTTTTGCTTAACTATTTCTTAAGAAACTAAAAATAAAACTAATTCTTATATCATTACTAAATATAATTATCAATCATAAATAGTTAGTCAAAATAATTAAGTTTTGAAAATATAATGAATTAATTAATTGTGGTATTCAATTGAATATTAATCAATAATGATAAATTTATATAATCATAATTTTATAAAAAACATAAATAAACTGAGNTATTTTCATATTTAAGAATGGAGATATTAGTAACCTTCGCAATAGAGTTTTGGAAAATAATTACATTCAAACTATATAATTTACATTTACTATATTTAGAATTTTCTCAAATAGTTTTTAAAATAATATATTTCTTTGTTAGCTTTATATAATTAACTTTAAATAAAACTCAAGTATATAAAATTAATTAGCAAAGCTTTAATCTTATTTATTTTATGTTAATATAATTTATTACAATGATTTAAGTTTATTTTTAGCCAGATCTAATATATTTACTATTAATCAAAATAGAATTTAAAGCACAAATTAAAGTTTCAGATATAAATAGGAAAACTCGAAATTCAAAGAAAAAAAGATATATCATTCAGAGCAATATTCTTGAACTTTAATCAGTATAAAGTCACTTATTTTCATTTTGAGTTGATGAATTGCAAAAATTCTAAAATAAAAAAATTGAGTCATTAATTGACAATCTCAAAATAATGACAAAAAGTGAAAAATTTTAGTTCTTTAATCAATTTTTGTTGCTTAAAAAATAGTCAGAATATAGAATATTATCAAATTTAATAACTTTTCCATATATTAATAAATGCTTGTATAAAAATAACACAGATAAATTTAACAATTCAGCATTTGGCAAAATAACTAAGCTTTTTACTTATTTAAGTCAAAACTGAATTTTATTTTTTTTAATATTGCGATATTTTTCAAAAATTATTTCTAAAGTTAACTAAACTAATTAATTTAAAATATCTATTGTTAGAAAAACAAATTAAAGCATTTTTTTAAAAAGGAAAATAATTCTTACTAATATAAATTTAATCATTAAGCATCTTATCTAAATTTAAGATATATATGAGTTTTTGCTTAACTATTTCTTAAGAAACTAAAAATAAAACTAATTCTTATATCATTACTAAATATAATTATCAATCATAAATAGTTAGTCAAAATAATTAAGTTTTGAAAATATAATGAATTAATTAATTGTGGTATTCAATTGAATATTAATCAATAATGATAAATTTATATAATCATAATTTTATAAAAAACATAAATAAACTGAGAAATACAATAAACGCAAATTACCTTTTAAAGTTGAAATCAAATTGTGATTTCTAATAAATAATATTAAACAATCAAATTTTTTCTATGAATTTCTACCCAATAGATTTTGAAGAATAAGATTAATAAGGTATACAATTTTATAATATTTATAGTTGAAGAACCATAAATTGATTCATCAGAATAATAAATATATTTCGATTATGATCAAAGTTTGTAATATGGAGCAGAATAACTTAATACTTTTGATGGATATTTATAAGAGGAGCCTGTCCTTTTATTTAATTTTGCTGAAGAAGCTCCAAAAAAAAAATCCAAGCCTATTATCAGAAAATCAAAAAAAGTAAAAAAGGCTGATTCAGAAACTGATGTATCATTAGGCAAAAGATCAAAACAACGTATCACAAATAGTGATTTTTTGAAACTTTAACAATGTTAAAGACTAAAAAGAATAATTACTTAGATGGAATCTCTTCTATAAAATACTAGAACTTAGATTCTCAACCAATACATCAAAAATCACTCTTAATGAAGAACTTTTTTGATTAATTATATCGAGTTATATATTTATAGATTGTATTAATTAAATACTCTACAAATATTTTGATTTAACTTCTTAATTGTATAAAATTAGTAAAAATAATGTTCTACAAAACTTCAATATTGCTTATTGTTTTTAATATTTGTGAGTGAATGCATTTCAAACTTCAATAAAATAACATCATTTTAAATTGATTTATTTGAGAGATAAATTTTATTTTTATATACATTTTATTTGAAATATAGTATATTAATATGATGACAGTAAATATATATTTTAAATATTTTGTTTTAATTGCGTATTAAAATTACAAACAATTGAAAAAAATAATAAATATTTAAGTACTGATGAAGCACTTTATTTGATATATATATAAAAATAAATTTTTTGGTTGATACCAGTTTTATGAAAAATGATTGAAGTTAAATATATGTGATATTTTTTATAAAATTGTATAATAGATAAGTTTCAGAATTATTTTAATTTAATAGTAATTCTTAAATAATAGTGATTTATATAAAATGATATGAATGAATTAGTAGAGTATGAAGTTGTAAGATATTAATAAGCTTAAATTGAAATTATAAATTTATGAAATGGATTGCATTTCTTTGAAAGCAATTAAAATATAAAAAATAATCAAATTATGAGTGAAAAAATTGATTCTAATATTTTAAAGAAATATGAAATAATGACAAAGATAGGGAAAGGTGCTTATGGGGTGGTATGGAAAGCAAGAGATATAAAATCTCAACGTATAGTTGCTTTAAAGAAAGTGTTTGATGCTTTTAGTAATCCAACAGATGCCTAACGAACTTATAGAGAAGTAGAAATAAAAATGTTATTTTAGGTTAGCTTTTTAAAGTAACTAAATCATCCTAATATAATTCAATTAATTGATACCTTCCCTGCAGAAAATCAAAACGACTTATATTTAATTTTCGAATACATGGAAACTGATCTACACATTGCCATTCGAGCTAAAATTTTATAGCCGCTTCACAGAAGATATATAATTTATTAGTTATTTAAAGCCCTTAAATATATTCATTCTTCAGGGATGATTCATAGGTATAAAATTCTATTTTAATGACAATTTAGAGATTTAAAGCCTGCAAACATTTTATTAGATTCAGAATGTAAAATAAAATTAGCTGATTTTGGATTGGCTAGAATGGTTTGTACATTAGAATAAGATATATTAACAGATTATGTTGCAACTAGATGGTTTAGAGCTCCAGAAATATTATTAGGATCAAAGTCTTATTCTTTTGGAGTTGATATGTGGTCTATAGGTTGTATGATTGGAGAAATGATACTAGGAAAGGCATTATTTTCAGGAACTTCAACTATAAATTAATTAGAAAAAATAATTGAAGGGTTAGGCATACCAACATCTGAAGAAATTTAAAGTTTAGGAGGTTAAAATTAATTATTTGATAAATATCCTAGAAATTATAAATCTAATCTAAAAGCAATTTTAAATTGTGATGATGATGAATTAGATCTTATTAAAAAACTTTTAGTCTATGATCCAAATAAGAGAATTTCTGTATAAGATGCATTGAGGCATCCTTATCTTAAAGAATTTTATAATCCTAAAGAAGAAATTACTTTTAAAGGATAATTAATTCTTAAATTGTAAGATGATAAACAATATCCAGTCTCTTAATATAGAGATTTATTATATAAATAAAATTTAGATTTAACTAAAATTTTAACTCTTGTAAACAAATAAAAATCTCTTATATAAAACATTCAGAGTAATAGGTCTGATGCATTAAAAAAATAATAAAGTTAATAATAATTCTTAAATTAATAATTTGCTAAAAGTGCTTTTATGAAAAGCAATTCTACAGTCAACATCGAAAAAAGTGTTAATAAAACTGCTACAGCAACTTTACATAATAGTAATTCAAAGTAACCTTAAAATAGCAATTCATCATCATCTAATTAAATTAAAAATAAATTGAAATAAATTTGTTTACAGTCTGCTGATATATGTGAAACTGTTGTTCAAAAAAAGTCTACAAGTTCAAAAATAGAAAAACAACCTAAACAACTCATCTAATCTAATTCGAAATAATAAATTTTGAATAATGTTACCAATACTTCAATTAGTCCATCATAATCATAATAAAGACTATAGATAATAAGGCAACACCATTAATAAATATAAAAATGATAAAATTTTTTTATTCTTTATAAATTACTATTATAATACTCTACAAAATATTAATATTTCAAGAACACTATTCTTTTTCCATTCTTTCTATCACTTGTTCTTCTAATTGATGGATCATTTTTATTGCATTCCTGTACTCCGATTTTACTTAATATAATTCTACAATCTTATCTTACAACTCTTTGTTTAATCTTTCAACAAGTCCAAAATCAGACTAGAATATATAAAAATATTACTTAATATTGTGTAGAATTTTGAAGTTTCTACTGTAATTCTTTATTTTTTATTTATTCATATTCAAGTTATTTTTTTAATTAAGTTATTTATGTTGAATAACTCAATCTTTCTGCATCTATATCAATTCCAGTTGATTTTAATGTTGCTCTCTTTAATAAAGCTAATTCTCGTTTTAAATCTTCAATTTATTATTATCTAACTTTATTATTCACACTTGCTGAATATTAAGATAATTTAGTTTCAAAAGAAACAATAATTTATTATTTTTCTTATTGTAGATATGAAATTTCACTTTGCAATTTTTAGTTTTCTATTTATAATTATTGATAAAGATCAGTTATCTTATTTATTTAACTATTCTGATCTGTAACTTTTTATTAGTCATTTTGTAGTCTAAAATTACTTTAATTTAATCTTTCATTTTTAATTTGTAGTTATTTTATTTCTTACATCAAAGTTATTTATTTTTAACTTGACTCTTATAACTAAGTTTATAAAGAGGTATTCTATTGTTTTATTAAATGGAGTTCATATAAGATCTTCTTATATTAATCATCATATTGATTGATTGGCTATTACTCTATATAAGTTTCAACACTTTTAGATTATTCATATTATGATTGCTTTTATTATGATTATTATATTTAAAGTTATTTTTTTTAATCTGAGCTTAATCTTAATTCATTATATTTTTATTAAATATGCTCTAGATCTTCTATTGCAAATTTGAACTTTTATTCTAATTCCAATTCTTTAACTTTTGTTTATTTTAATTAATTTTATAATTAGAATATTTAATTCTATTAAATATTGACTTCATTTTGTAGTGTCTCAATCTATTATCTATACTCTTCTAGATTTATTTCATTTTCTTCTTATCCAGATTTTAAATTAATTTCTTAATCATTCATTTATTATTGCATCATTTATCTGTTTTCTTATAATCTTTTAATTTAAATTTACAAAGAATTTATTTCTTATAATTAATTGAAATTTTCAGTCTCCAATTACTTAATTTATTCATTTGATTATTAATTAGATTTTTTTTCTAAATTATTCTTATTTTCATTTATTTATATTAGTTTTAATTTCAATTAATCTATTTCATTTTATTAATTGATAATCTTTTTATTCTATTAATCGATTGTTCTTTGTTAATTAAGATTACTCTAAGTTGTATCATTTGCTTATTTCTATTGATGAATAGTGATTTCAGTTTTTAATTTTTAATAATCGGTCTATATTTAATATAATTAAGAGCCAAGTAAATCATTATTTTATCTTAATTATTCAATTAATTTTTCATTTTAAATTTAATTTGAATTTGAAATTTAACCTTTTAATTCATCATATTTTGATTTCCAATCTACTGTTTCCTCTAAAACAATAGATTCCTAAATTTATCTATATTATTAATGAGGAATGATATAAGGTTTTGAATATCTATCTCTTAATAATTCTTCATATTTTGATTGCCAAAGGCTAATTTATTTTCTTAAATCTTCCTCTGAAGTTAATTAACTCTTATCATTAGAACTCAATAAGTCTACTTTTGATTTTACTACCCTTAAAGGAGTATAATAATTTTATCCATTCTTATTTGAAGTATAAAGTGAACAATTATAATATTTTCCTTTTATCTCATCGGTTGAAACAAAAGATACATTAGGTTTATTCAAACTTTTACTTGCATTTTTTACTTTAGGAGAATTAAAATTTTCATTATTTTAGATAACTTAATTCCTCTAAATAACTGATTCTGATTATCTCTTTATTTCTTCCTGATTAAAGTTTTATTATTATATTCTCTTTATTTAATTCTAAAGATTAAAAACTTCTTATTGATATTGTAATTATAATTTTTATTTCTCATTTCCTTAAGTTGTTAATTCTTATTATAACTTTCTAATTAAATTTTAATTATCTAACAATTTGTTATCTAATTTCTTGTTTTCATTCTCTAATTGCTATATTTCATATTATTTATTAATTAATGATTGTTCAAATCTTCCTGAATCTGTAGAAGATTTATTAATATTTTATTTAAGTTCAACTTATATTTATCCTAAATCTTTTATTTTTTATCTTAATTCAGAGTTTTCTTAATTTTTTTAGGTAGCTTAACTCTCTAACTACTTAATCATTTAATTAAGGCGATTAATTTCTTTTTCATAGTCTTATATTATTTTTTCCATATTTTCTTTTTCTTCTTTTTATTACCTAATTTACTAATTTAAAACATCCATAGATTTTAGTAGCTGATTTAAATATTCACTATCATTTCTAACTTGATTGGAAAATTAATTCAATTAAGATACTTAAGTTTGTTAACGATTGTTAGCTTTATAGTTTTATAATTCCATTTCCTTCTCATCAAAGTTTTTTTGTATATTTTATAATTTGATCTGCAATTATGCAATAACTAGTTTTTACTATTCAATTTATTTAAGTAATTCTTCATTAATTTGTGATAATGACTTAACTTTATTTGCATCATTTTGATTTTAATTAATAGACTCTATTTGATCTTATAATTATATTCTCGACATTTTTAGTTCATTTTATAAATGCCTAATTTGATCATTTAGCAATTAATTCTCCTTTAAATAATTTTTTAAATTATTCTCTTAAATTTCTTTCGATCTCTCCTATTACTACATTAATTCTTCATTTCTTCTTTCCAGTGTCTGTACTAAATTTGGATTAATTAAATTTTAATTATTAGACTATATTTAATCTTATAACTAATTTCTAGTGACTGCTAATTCATTTTATAAATGTTTTATTTGATCATTTAGCAATTAGTTTTCGTTTATTACATTTCTAAAATTATTTTCTTGTATTTCTTTAGATCTTTCTAATTATTACATTAATTCTTCATTTCTTCTCTCCAAAGTCTTCACTAAATTTACATTAATTAAATTTTAACTATTAGACTATTATTAATCTTATAATTAATTTTTAGCCATTTATAATTCATTCTATAAGTTTTTAATTTGATCATTTAGCAATTATTTTTCTTTTAAAAGATTTTTTAAACTGTTTTCTTGAATTTCTTTCGATCTTTCTAACTATTACATTAATTCTTCATTTCTTTATTAAAATGTCTTTATTAAATTTGCATTAATTAAATTTTAACTATTAGACTATATTTAATCTTATAATTAATTTCTAATCACAGCTAATTCTTTTTATAAATTTTTAATTTGATCATTTAGCAATTAGTTTTCATTTATAACATTTCTAAATTTATTTTCTTGTATTTCTTTAGATCTTTCTAATTATTACATTAATTCTTCATTTCTTCTCTCCAAAGTCTTCACTAAATTTACATTAATTGAAGTTTAACTATTAGACTATTATTAATCTTATAATTAATTTCTAGTCACAGCTATTTCATTTTATAAATGCATGATTTAATCAGCTAGTAATTAGTTTTCCTTTAATAAATTTTAATCATTATTTGTCTGTATTTATTTGGAATCTTTCAACTACTAAATGTTGAACTTAAATTATTCTATTCGAAATTCATAGTCATTAACCTAATCTTAAATTTATTTTTTGTATTGCTATTGCTACTTTTGTAATTCTTATTATAAGAATAGTTTTTCATCCTTTAATTTTCTTATTTCAGAAGATTGATCATTTGAAATACTATTATAAACGGTTTCTTCAATAATAGTAGTTTTATTACTGTTTTTTTCAAGTTATTCTTTTAATTTATAATTCAAATCTTGAATTTATAATTATTAAACTCTAAACTTTTAAATATAATCTGCCTCTAAATTTTATAATTACTTTCTTAGAATCATATTATCAATATTAAGTTGTTCAACTTTTTATTATAATAAAAGATCTTGTGCTGATTCTTTTATTATAGTTGTTTCTTTAATGATTGAAGTTTCCGGATTATTTTATCTTTTAATGTTAAATTATAGTTGCTCATTATGAATAATTTTAAGCTTTAAGTCATTATTTTTATTTTTTTCATTTTCTAACTCTTCTCTTTATTACAAGATTTGAGATTTAGCTGATGTCAATTCTTCTTAAGCATGCTTATATTATTATTATGCAATCTCAAATTATTATTTTAATTTTTTAAATTCAAATTCTAACTCTTAAATCATGTCATTTTATTGATTTAGCTATAACTATTATATTTATCTAGATAAATTTTCAATCTGTTGTTAATAGTGGTTATTTTCATTCTAAAGTTTTTATTAATCACCTAATAAGCAGTTAATTTATTTTTCTAATTAATTTTTTTCTAAATCTGACTGCTATTCTAGTAAATGATAATCATTAGCTATTTCATTCATTTTTAACTCTAATTAATATGTTTATTATTTATATTTTTCAATTTCTTCATCGTTTCTTTTTAAAGGAGAAGAAGATTAATAGATAATTGTTTCTTTAATTGGTGTATTTTTTAATTGTTATTATAATTGTTATATTTAGTTTTTCATATAGATATTTTCTTCATTTATTTATTTATTAGGATTATTTTACAATTAGTTTTATAATTCTTAATTTTTAATGGTTAATCTATTAATTTAATCATAAAATCTATTTCTTTCAGATTCAAATTGCAATGATTAATCTTAGATCTATTATTATAGTTATTTGATTATATCTTCCTTTCTTTTGATATTATCTTATTATTATTAATATTAAGTAATTGTGACTACTGTTTTTTCAGATTAATTTATTACACTATGATATTCTTTAGTAATTTTTTGATGTTCACTTTATAAATTATAATAATCTTCTTCTAATGAATTTATCATTTATTCGTACTGACCAATTTTTAATAACAAGTCTTCATTTTCTTATATTAAATGATTATTTTATATTTAAGGAAATATTTAAACTTTTGGTGCTTCTAGCTAATCTAGTTTTTCTTTTTAATTAATTTATTTGACCAGGTCTTCTATTTTCATTTCATATTATTGTTTTATCTTTTAATTTTGTAGGTTAGCATCAGACAACTTCTTTTGTAGAGATAAAGCTAACTAATCATTATTGAAAGCCTCTCTCTAATATTTTTCACTTTCTTTTATTTAAAGTTCTAATTTAACAGTCAAATCTTAAATTTAATCCTCGGTATTATTAGCTGCTGATCTTAATTCAATTAAATTCATTTCTCTTTATTACAGATTAGCTTGATTTTATGAATTTAATAATTAAATTTATTGTTATAAATTGAAATTTTAACTCTCTAAATCTGCAATAGAAATATTCATCTATTATATTTTTAAATTTAGTCTTTCATTATCTTTGCTCAATTTTTGGTTATTGATATTTAAATTATCAATTTGTTTATTTTAGTTGATGATTTACTATTACATAAGAAGAATTTGCTCATTATTGGTGTTTTTATGTTACAAATTTAATTCATTGATTTCTTATTATAATTATTCTATTTATTTCTTTTATTTTATTAATTACTCTTTTAACATATTTTTTTCTTAATTTAACTATAAATTAATCTCATCAGCTTAAATCTTATTATTTTATGCAATTTCCCTTTCTCTCTTTTCAAATTATAACAAATTTTGAGAATTAAGCATATCCTCCTATAGTTTTTTATTTATAGCTTTTTAATTTTCAAGGTCTTTATTGAAAGTATTTTTTAATTCATTTAATTATGTTTAATGATTTTAAATATTCTCTTCAAATCTTTATTTCATCAAAATCATTTCATTAATTTAAGATTATTAAAATTATTTCTCTTACTGCAAAATAATAATTTATTAATTTTATTTAGTAATAAGAGATGATGATTCAGTTTAACAATTTTATTTAGATCTTAAACTCATAATTTCTTATTGGTTTTAAATATTTAAATTAGATAATTCACTAATTCTAACACTGAGTATTTTAATTTCTTCATCTCCCCTTTATTTACTCGATTAAATTTAATCTCTTTCGTTTTAGAATTTCTACACTTATCTTTCTAGTTGTATTAATTTATCTCTTAATTCTTCAGTCTTATCTGATTTAATAATATTTTAGAAATCAGAAACCTATTTTTCAAGTTATAGAATTCTCATTTAGGAATTTTCTTTTTATTCTTTCTCAAAGACTAATTGCTTTTCTAAATTAATAACTTTTGAAGATGTCATAGTATTCATAGTTGACGTTTATATTTCATAATTGGATTTAATTGTTAGAATCTAATTAGAAAGATTCTCATTTTATGATTTTAGTTATTCAATTTATAATTTGAGATTCCTTATATATTCGTCATTGTCCAAGGAAGATTTATCTGAAAGTAGCTAATATTGATTTTAAATTTTTATTATTTATTGTTAACTTTAATTATAATTTTCTCTTTCCTTTTATATCATCATTTCTGCTTGGTTTAATTTTGATTATAATTCTTGATTTTCATTATCTAATTATTGACTTCTCTTTTTGTAATCATTTTAGAGAATAATTGTAGTATTTTGAATTTCTTTAGATAACTTTACATTAGTTTATTTTTCTGCTTAAAATTATTGCTCTAATGTAAAAATCTTTTATTAAAGCTTAGAAATCTAATCAGTTAAATCATTTGTTTTCTATTATTCTTATGATAATTATTTCTTTAGATTATCAACTTGAATTTAATTAAGGGATTATAATTATTAGGAGGAAGATATATTTTAATTTTGCATTTCTTTCACCTTATTTTCTAATTATTATGTTAATTAAGTTTTAATTTCAATTATTTTCTAAAGCTCTTTGAGCTGCTCTTCTTTTTCATTCAATTAGACCTTTAAAGTGTTGATTTAATTTTAAATTCCAACATTTTATGTTTTTAAAATACTATTATCTCTTTATAAACTTTCATATTATTTCTTAAGGATTAGATGCTATTCTTATTCTAATTATATTTAAGATTAGAGGGAATTCAACTTTTCTTTAAGTTATTTAGTGGATTCATTATTTTACAATTAGAGTTATGCAATTTATTGTTAATATTAATCTATTTCTTCAGATTGTATTGACTTCGATTAAGGGGATTCTTTTTATAATGAATCATAATGTTATTTAAGTTGAATGTATTCTGAGTTTAACATAGAATATTTTTTGTTCTATTATTGTAATTATTTTTCATAATTTGATAAACTTTCACTTTATTAAGATATTTTATTTAAATATTAGATTTAAGTATCTTTTTAATTTTAAAGTTTAGCTTATAAATCAGCTAATTATTATTAAAGATCAATTAATTATTTTTGTAAATCATCTTTAAGTTCTTCATTTTGACGAGATTTTTTAGTTAAATTTTCTTAATTTTATTTTAATTAATTAATTTCATTTTATTGCTTATCAAATAATATCTTTTATTGATCAAATTTTTATTATAATTAATTGTGAATGTATTTTTATTTTTCTATATTCTAATTATATTCTCTATTTTAGATAGATAATTCATTTTCATAGAGTTGCAACTATTATAATGCAGCTGTATATTTTTATTAATTTAAATCACTTTATGATTAATGCTGTTTAAGATTATCATTTTCTTGTTTAGTTAATTATAAAAGATTTTTGAATCTATCTAATTCTTATTGATATTTTCTAAGTTCATCAGCATCTTAATTAAGAGTAGCTAATTTAATATCTTAGCCATTTCTAAGACTGGGTGGTTAACTTCTTCTAATATCAGATTATGATTTAAGTTTCTTTTAGTACTCTTAAGGATCCTAATTAATTTTATCAACAGAAGAATTCGGATTTTAAAACTAAGGTTTTTATGTTTGCTTATATAAATTATCAGGATTTTGAGTATTTTAAATTTGATTTTAAGATGGTTGATCTGATTAAGTTTATTTAATAGGTTTGGTTTATTGAACAGGAGTTTAAAGTTATGGAGATTTTTGAATATCTTCTGGTTTTTAAGATTCTTTAAATTATTCATCAGGATCTTAAGGAGCATTACATAATTCAAATGGTTCAACTTAAGAATTATCAATAGGTGCTGATTGTAAGATTTAAGCAGGTAAAGATTGATTACTTTGATGTTTAGATTCTCTTGATTTAATACTTAAAGGATCTTGGATTTCTCTTTTAATAGGATTTCTGACTTATGAATAGGGCAAAGAAGAATTACTATTTGGTATAGGTTGTTTTCTAATATTATAAGGAGTCATGAATAATTAATTTTGAGTTTATGATTGTGGTTAATCTGGTTATTTATTTAAATCTTCTGGATTTTGGGGAGAATAATCATAAGGATAAGCTAAAATATTAATAGGAGATCTATTTTAATTGCTTGGATGTTAAGAATAATAAGGTATGGATTATTGGGATTATTAATTTTAAATTTAATTTACTGGTGTTGTAAATTATTTTATAATTTAATATTATTATGGATCTTAATATTATTAAAGGGGTTATTTATTTACTTAATGATATTATTTCACATCTTAATATCTAATAGTTTAAGGCGCTAAGGATGATAATCTATTTAAAATTAAATAATATTATACGATGAAGATTGAATATATTAAATTGTTGGTGGAGATACACTTCTCTAAACTTATCTTGGAATTGTATTTTATAATTGAATAGTTGTTTAAATAGGGGAATATTTAGTTTAGATTTTTTAAACTTGTTACACTTAATTTGAGAATAATGTAGTCTATGGGATTAATTATTATTATTATTATTATTATATATTGTTTGGAGAGAACTCTCTTTTAGTTTCAGCTGAAAAAGATCTATATTTAATAATATTGTTGGGTAATTGTAATTAATTTTAAGGAAATATTCTTACAGATTAAGGAATCATTTATGTTTAATTTCCATAAAGTGTTTTTTATAAAACATTTATTGGTTATTTAATAATCTACTAACGAGGTGAAAAGGCTTTATTTACTATTCTTTCATTGCTTTAAGTTTTTAACATTTAATAAACTTGTCTTGGTGGAGTTATTTAAGTATGTATTTCTTATCCTTTTATTTATAATAAAGTTTTCAAATATTATATTTAGGTATTAATGTTTTATACAGTAAGATAAGGTTGATTTTAAATAATTTATATTTATCTTAAAATCTCATTAAATTGAGGAGAATGAGATTATTAGAATTAAGGAAAACTCATTTAACCTTAGAAATGTATTGAACTTCCTGATCTTGATCCTACTGATTATGGTTTTCTTAATAATTTATAACTTAATAAAGATGTATTAGTAAAATCTGTTGGAATAATTGATTATTATTTATATCTTCTAGGTGTTTTTATACTCTGATAATCATATAATATAGGAGGAACTGTACATTAAGAATCTCCTTTAAGAGTTGCATACTATGGTTAACTATTCTAATTTGATGGTTAAGATTAAATATCAAATAGTCTCTTTTTTAAATGTTCATTATCAAATAATAATAGATTCAATTTGTCATTTAAAAATTTAAGTTCCTAATTCAATTTTTAATTCTCATGATATAGATTCACTTATTATGAACTATATTACCATTATAATAATTCTCTTTCTTTCTATTCTAAAAGTTAGTTAATAATAGTCAGTTAAGGAGAATGTTAAATGATTTAAGGTTATTAAGATTTTAATAATTAAATTTCTTAATTTTTCTCATGAATTAATTTTGCATACCACTAATCTAAATCATAGAGCTTTTATCTTAAAGATGGAGCATCTTCAAATTACTATTTTAAAAGTTAATTTTCTTTTTGTAATTCTTAAATATAAACTTAAGCATTTTAGTATTATTCATTGATAACAAATAATTATTAACTTATTAACACATTCATTTCCTATTAAGATCTAAATATAAGAGTTTTAAATTACTTTTCTTGTAATATCTATGTAATGTATGCATTCTTCTATAGAATTTGCTAATTTAAGTCAGTAATAGTTTGTAATTATTTTGCTATTTATTCCTTGTCTTAGAGCTCTATATCAGTAATATTATTAAAGTACCTCTATCAATTAAATCTTATATCTTTTTTTCATAATAATCTTTCTTAAATAATAATATTTTATGTAATCTTTCAATTTCTGTAGCCATCAATATAATATTTATCTTTGATTCCAAATATTATGATGAAACCTATTAGTATTCATCTTCTAATAGATTAGGCTTAGTCTCTACAATATTTTTTTATTGAGGGAGCATATATAAAAATAATTAATATAATTATGTAAACTCATTTCAGAGGTTAAGAAGTAAAAATTACGAATTCATATTAAATTATCAAAATGTAAATTTATATTTATATATAAATAAATATAAGATATATCACATAATTTAAATCAAAATATTATTTTCCCAATTCCCTACTATAATTTATCCATTTATTAATAAAATTCCATATCCATTAACTTTGCCATCTTTAAAAGTTCTATTAAAATAATAATTAAAATTACCCTTATAAAATAGCGCCATTTTAAAATACTAAATGTCCTTTACCATGCATAATTTTATTTTTACCTTCTCCTGTATATGATTTAAAGATTTACATTAAATTAGATAAATCATTAGGATCCATAATATTTGAATCTTGTAAAGTGGAATTATGTAATACAATTTTTTCAAAAATATCTTAACATGATTTTTGTCTTTATTTTTATTTATTTTAAGGTATTTCTTTAAGAATAGATCCATTAGAATCATTAGAATTCTTTTTAGAATGTTTTCCTTTCATAAGCATTAATAAACTTGAATTAATATCTTCCTTTTCTTTAGGAGGTGTAGCTTAACTACAAAAAATCTTATCCTAACTAGGTCTCTTAGATTTCCTACTTTCATTCTCTTTAATCAATTATCTAGATTTAATTAAACAACTGTCCAACATATTTAATAACTTATTTTTATCACAACCTATCTTTTCTTATACTATACTTTCTTCTTCACTTTCCTCTGGAATTGGTTATATTTGTGGATGAATTTATTATTATTGTATATCCTATATTTTGATGTTTTATTCAATAATACTTTCCCAAGTCCTTTCCTAAGGATCGATAGTTAACATTGTTTAAATTAAAGTAATCAATTCTTATGAATAATATTCTTTAGATCCATCAAAACTATCCTATAATAGTTAGTAGTCTATGTATAATTTATTATTTTCATCAATGAAATAAAAATCAAAACCTGACTTTAATGTCATAGCTTCTAAAAATACAATCCCTAATGCCCAAATATCTGCTTCAAATGTTTCATATTTCTATTTCCATCCTTCAAATTCATTTATTATTTCAGGTGACCAATAACCATATTCCTCATTATCTGGAACATGACAATAATTCCTCTTAAATTATTATGTTACTGCAAAATGATCTGCTAATTTCACTTAAGAATCCTAACTAAATACTATCGAATTTGGATTTATACAACTATGACATAATCCAAACTATATATTTTATTATATATATATATACATCATGAAACGATTTCATTGCACAAAGACAAGCTTAAAATGTATTATAAAGTTCTTCTTCAGACCAATATTAATTTGTATTTCTACGCTTTTATAATTCTTCTTCAAAATTTTTTAAGTATTATTCATACAACAAACATAATTTTGATGTTAAAACATAATCTGTAACTTATAATAAATTAACACAATCTAATTATTTCCTATTTTCTAAAATCTCTATCAATTATGAATTTGTTAGTATTTATTTTTTCCCTATAAATTTTGGTATTTCATATTCTTTATACACATATAATTAACTGTTTTATTTATGTTGTAAAATTATGTAATCTGAGTTTTCATCAACCTATCAATACTCATAATCTTTCTTACTAAATTATATTAGGAGAGATCCATTATGTGAATTTAACAGTAAAAAAATATTATTTAACTATTTAATAACTGTATATTATTTAATATCAATATATAATTATTCTATTTTTTCCCAATTTCATTAATTCTTAATATTCATCTATTAAACTGAAACATTAAATTATTTTTTGATTTCTTTACTACTTTAATTTCCGTTTATTAAAATATCTAAAATTTTTAATTTCTTGTACTATTAAATAAAATCTTTAGTAAATTTTTTATTATTATTTTTGAAAAAACCTTGAACTTATAAACTTTTACAAATTAACTAAGAATTAATTTAACATTTTTAGACACATCTTTTTTTCAATAAATAAATTCTTCATTACTTATTATTAGTCTCTTTTTTAGGATTAAATACTTAATTAAAACAATTATAAAACTTTATAAGCTATTTAAATAATCTCAATCCTTAGATAGCTTCTTTTTAGTTAGTTCAAAAAACTAAATTTATTTGAATTTTATAATTTCTTGACTATAAAATGAGACTTTTTCAATAAAAGATTAAATTTAGACAAAAATTAAAGAATCCTTTAAAAATTTGATTAATTTTAAATGAAAAACAATAATTCATTCTCTGCTAACTTATTGAAAAAAATAAAAAAATTTTATCTATTAATTATTATTAATAATTAATTATGATTGAAGTAATTCAATTTATTAACGTTATATATAATTATAGAATTAAAAAAAATCAATAATAAGAATTACTTACATTTTTTATTAATAAACAATTAATTTTCATAGTTTTGGATTCTATGAAACAAGCTAGTTTTTCAAAAAAGGAGGAAGCGGATTAAATTTCTTAATCATTTCATATTTTATTTTTGAAAATTCTGTAATTTCTCTATTTTATAATAGATTATTACTTAGATAAATATAAATCTTTGAATAATTAATCATATAATAAAATTGGAGTAAAAAAAGAGAATTCGCATAAAACTCCTTCACTCAAGAATTTTGCAGAAAATGTATGTATTCCTATAAGATTTCCATATTTTGTAAATAGTCCTCCTCCTATTAAACCGTTTTTTATATAACAATCAGTTATAATTGAAATGTTTTAATTTTATTCATTCAAAACTAATTTCAAAATTTTCCCTTTAGAAATAAAAGGCTTAGTTTAAAATACTCCTTCTTAGTAACAAATCATATAAACAATTTAATTTACTTCTAATTCTTTAAAATTAAAGAATTCTTCAATTTCTAAACCAACTTGGTAATAATCTTCACATTTGAATAAGGCAAAACCTAAATTATTAAAACAATTCTTTAAAAGATAAGCTTTCTTTAAATTTTTTTCAAATAAAATATAATAATCTTTTTAATTAAAGGATTGGAAATTCTAAACAGATAATATATAAGTTATTTTATTTTTCTTATCACGAATAAAATAGGCATTACTTATTTGATCAAAATCAAAATTAACTATAATACAAGTTTGAACCATTTTATCAATAAGTTAAGATTAGAATATGAATTACTATTCATGATTTATTTTGAAATTTTATTAGAAAATCAAATTGATAACTTTCCAATTCATACAGAAAGTAAAATATTTATTATAAACTTATCCAATCTGGACATTTGAAAGTATCATACCTACAAATTCTCCATTAGAATTAAATATAGCCCCTCCTTCTTAACCAGTTTAACTAATTAAATCTAATATTATTAATTATTATTCCAATTAATCATTTGGGATTATTTAAGATATTATTGCCTTTTTATAGTAATTTTTATACATTTCTTACCCTTAGATTGCAAATGGAGAACTAATTGTTATTAATTATTAACCTTGATTTAATTGACTATTAATATATTTTGGTATAATAATAGCGTCATTTTAATTCAACATTTCTAAAAATAAGACATATCCAATATGATTATCAATATCACACTAATTTAAATATTTTAGAAATTATTAATCACATGTTAATAATAGAAGATTCAATTCAATAAATTTATTATTTTCTTTCAGTAAACCAAATTTGACATAGTTTTTAATTTAATTGATATCAAAAGTATTAATATCTTCAGCAAATTTAGCTAATAAATATCCTGAAGTTAACACTAATGTGTGATTTTTTGTTAGTGTATGAAAAGAGCAAGATTAGGAATGAAATATTTATTCTGTGATTTGAGTTGTTATAACCATATTTTTATACTAGCTTATAAATGATGGATGAGATGACTACATCATCACAATTCCACAGCAATTATCCATTAATAATTAATTTTAAATATAATTTTAATATATATAAATTCAATCAATTTTAAATACTTATGATTCATCTTCATTTTATAAATAAATATATTCACAATCTTTATCCCATTCTAATTTATAATGCAATGGCTATAAAAAGTTAAATTAATGAGTTAATTTAATGTATACATTTTCATTTCCTTATAAAAAAGAACTAGTTGGTTTTAATCGAAAGATTTTTAAATTTTAATCTTTTTAAGAAAATGAAGCTAATTAATTGCCCTTATTATCAAATGCTATACTTGTTATTTATGCTAATTATTTAATTTTTAATTTACATTAATATCTATCTAGTGGTTATAACTTTACACCATATCTTAAATCATAAATCTAAACTAATCCTTCAAATGCAAAGGCTAATTTTAATTTCTTTTAAGATAAAGTTATATATTCAAAATTCTAATTTAAATGTTATACTAATTTAACAAAGGTCTTATAAGTATACTTTCTTAATTATTGATTATTCTGATCAATACATCTAAATTTAATAATATATTTAATACTTTATTGATAAATCTAAAATGAATAAAATTTCATTAGGCTTAATGTTTCTTTTGCATAAACAATGCAATAAATCAAGAATTGAACATGCTACTATTGGATAAATTTCTATTTAAATAATCATTTCTTTAAGAGTAAATTTAAATTCTTCAAAAAAATATTCGGACAAAGCCATAATTAAAATTCTTAATCTTTGCTTTATTCTCTATAGATCTAGTTAACTCATAAACTAATATTGTTTTAAAGTTTCATATTTATCTTTATCCTTTGATTTTTTATTTACAGCAGAATTTATTAACTCTTTTAATGAAAAACCGTGTTTATAAGTAGTATATATGTAATAATAAATTTAAATCAATGTTTATAAACAAATTTTAGGTTATTAGATACATTTATGAAAATTTTTCATTCCATCTTCTAATAATTTAATAAATACAAACACAATATTAGGTTTCTTTAAACATAATTAATGAGTGAAACCATTCATTATTCTATTAAATATATATTGAATCATTTCAATATTACTCATCATTTATTACATTAAATATGTTTGAATAATTAAACACATAAGTTCTAAAGAAAAATAAACATTTGAACTACTCCTTTCAAATAATTACAAAAATTCTTTTGATGTTCTTTATAGTACAACTATATCATTACAAAAACTATCCATTTTTTTAATTTATTAAGAAATTAATTAACAAGAAATTTCAATTATATCTTTTGAGTTGTCAAGACTATATCTAGATAAACTTAACAAGCTTGTAGAATTATTAATTTCTGAGATCTAAAATCTACTTTTTATTTATTTTAAACATAAAGCTGCTGCAATACTATATTAAGTTGACATCAATCCACTTATTTAATAATTATTAGATTCAATTAATCTTGAAAATCCCTCTGCCATCCCTTATAATCCATATTAACATTTAAATATAGGAAATAAATTTAAAGTATGATAAAAATGTACATATGTAAATGGTATTTTTAAAGATGCTGTATTTTCCATTGAATATTTTATTAATTCAATATTCTTTTTACAATCAAACCATATTAAATAATAAGAAGAACTAGAATCTTATCTTTTTTGTCCTTGTTATTCTTTATAAAATTTATTTACTCGATCAAATTATATTGATGATTTGAATTACTTTAAATATATTTAATATAATAAGAACATATCTCCCGTTTCCTAAGGTTCAAATATTGTAATAGATTTATTTCTATAACTTATTGCTGGATCTTCATATGAAAGTATGTGCAAAATTTCATCAAATTCGAATGTATTTTATTATACTTTGTTTAAAGTTCCCAAAAAATCATAAAAATATTATTAAGATTATTATTTCAATTCTTATGAATAATTATATTAAATTTAATAACTTCTATTTGAGAATTCTAAAAGATCAAATTAAAAAACCTAATCAGTTTTGAAAGATTTAAAATCATATAAATTTATCATTTATGACAATTTCTGTGTTAATAATGTATCTATATTTAAATACTCTTACAATTATTAAATATTGATAATTCTTTCAAATGAACCCTTCTCCATTGACCATACAGAAACTTCAACTCCTTTTAAAAATATAAATATCAATAAATGTGGTACATAATATAATTTAACTTATCCTTTATTAATTATAAATTAATTATGGAAAGAAAATTTTTTAATATTCAATATAGTATGATATATTACAATTGAATCATCTTCCAGTAATAAAGCTACAAAATGTTTTACTAACTTTCTTTTAACAATAAGGGCATCATTGTTTGAGAAAGTACTGTTATTTGATTCTTAGAATAATTACCTAATCTAAATTACCTACTTTATATTTGATGGTAAAATTGTTGAATAAGTAGAAACAAAATCAGCAGATTAATTATCGAATTTACCAAAAATGCAAGATAAACTAAAAACTTTTAATTTAAATGTTTTATCAACAGCAAATATAGAATTTTTGATAAATTTCAAAAAAATTATATTTTGTTTAAATTCCTAATTAATATAAATATTCCATCTTTTATTTTTTTCATAAAAGAATGGTATCAAAAATATTTATCCTTATTCTGTTCCGAATATTGCAAAAAGATCTGTTTTATTATATAAACCTATAGTATATATAGAAATATTTTAGATTGAATTTAATTATTATTGAATATGCTCTGGTAAATTATCATTTAAAGACTTTAAAATATCATTCTATTCAAAAATTTAGAGATCAATTTGTTTTTTTGGTAATTGTATAATTTCAGCTTATTTAGATTCATTAATAAATTTTGATTAAGAATACAAATATAGCATAAAACCTTCAGAAAATAATTTTACATCAAATAAATTATCCTATGATAGACTGCAAATACGAAACTACTCATAATTTATTGAATCTGGTATATAAATTTCAATAGTGCATCCATTTTATCGAAATAATAAATTATTGATTGTATAGATTATCTTTTAAAAAAAATATTTTGAAATCTAAATAGGTGTTAATTATTAATTGAGTAATAATAAAAGTTATCCTTAAGAAGATTAGCTTTATTTTGAAAAACTGAAACCATTAAAATCTAGAGTTATACAGTAATGATAACTTTTAGATATTAAACTTAATATATCTTAAATATCTTTCTCATAAATGAAACTTGTATGTCCATTCAATTATTCAATAATAATAATAGTTTTGTTTTGGCTTTTAAATAAATGAATATTTCTAAATTTAATTAAACTTGTAGAGGATTTAATTTAAAACATCTCTCTTTATTATTCAGATTCTTTAAAAGGAGAATTAACTACATAAATTGATTTTGAATAAACAATATACATGATCTATGATTTAAGGTTGTAAACTGTATTGATAATTTTACTTTAGGGTAATCCTTTTAATGAAAAACTTGAAGACATTCTTATTAATGATTTTTTAAATCCATTTTTCTTTTTTTCTTATGATTTTTTTTCAATATATTTTAGATAATTTTATCTTTCTGTTTTTTTATATGCTGATGTATCAATTTTATAGACTCTACATTTGCTATCTTTAATCATAATTAAAATATACCAATAACAGCAAAGTCAGCTCCAATTGATGTGAATATTGTAAATCTTGGTTAATCAAATTCATCTTGAATCTAAAATATTTTACTGCAACACATTTTCCATAAATCATATATGTAAAGAGCTGTTCCTTCACCAAAACAACTTATATATCTACTTGTTCGATCACCAACAGGATTTATTTAAGTTATTTATTTTGAATATGGAAATTGATCATGATCTGAAATCAATATTTATTTGCCATCTAACATACTTAATATTCTAATCCTTTTATCTTAATGAATTGCTATTACACAATTCATACTACTATCCTAAAATTCAGCAAAAGGTCTTCTCATTATTTATAATGCTGTTACACCTCCTACTCTATATATTAAATGAGGAGTAGACTTTATAAGTGGTTTTAAATTAAAATTATCTAATTCCCATATAATAATGTCTCCATTAATTGAACCTGTGGCTATTCTTTTTTTATCTAAATCATCAGCCCAAGTAGTTATAAAATGATTCTAGAAATCAAAAGAGCCAAAATAAACAGGAATGAACAATTCTGGCATTTATATTCAATATGTTAATTATTATTAATTAAATATTTTAAAAATACATAATCAAGATTCTTAATATTGTTTCTTTACTTATTTTGCTTGATTATGACTATTAAATTATTTGCTCTATCTATGTTTACTGTTTTCATACAATTTAGCATTTTTATGTTTCTCTAATTTTTCTTATTCTACTTAACCATATCTTGTAAAAGATGCTTCAGTTGAAATTAAATCAAGCTATTTTTATTAAAATCAAAATACATCAAAATTTATTTTTTGAAGAGAAGATTTATGAAATTCAAAAAGATTTGACTTTTCAGATAAATTTTCATCAATATAGCTTTAAACTTTCATTAGTTTTCCTAAATCTAATTTCATTTTTAAGCTTTTAGGTTTTATAATACAACCATCTTTATATTTCCATCCACTAATTCCTAAAAATTATTCAAAACTTGGAATATTCATTTCTACTTCTACACTATCTAAAAAATTTAATATTAAAAATTACCTGCATTTAATAAGTTTCCCTTAATTGGATTTTAATCATCAAAATCACAATACATCTCATAATCAACTTATACCATTCTAAAATTTGCTTTTATTTCTGTTATATATATTTCTTAAAATTCTAATTATTTTTCTGAAATCTTTGTATATTTATCTTCATAATCTACTAATAATTTTTATTATTGCAAGACTTCTATTTTATCATCTTATATTTCTGGTATTCTTGATATTGTCTTTTCTTTTTTCACCTTAACGTCTGCATTATCAAATAAAATTTTAACTTAATTTTTTTCTGAAGATGATTATGGTACAATTACTTAGGAATTCTTAATTAGAACTTAATAATTAAATTACTCTTTATTAAGTTCAAAATTCTCTTACTATTTTAATTACATTTAAAATTCAAAATCACTTTAATACCTTTCTGATAAATCATCTTTATTTTTTTAAATTATTTTTTCTATTTCTGATTTAAATGCATCAAGTTCATTTAAAAATTTAGATATCATATAAAATTAAACATTTTCTAAATGTACAATATTATTTTCTAATAAAATCTTCATTGGTTAATTTCCATTTTATTTTATTAGATTTGGATAATAAATATTTGCACCCGTAATAGGTTATGGTTTCAATTCTAAACCATTTATCTTAAGTTCTAACTCTTAATTTAATTTTTTTTTCATCTAAATCTAATGAAATTCAAAAAAGAAAAATTCTTTGTCTTTCTCTTATAATACAACTTAAAATTCTTCCATTTTTAATTCTAATAAAAAACTCAACTTCTATTACTTTTACATCTTGTCCTATATAAATAAATTAATAACTTTGGGTTGATCAGCGCCCATTATTTCTAATTCTTATAGAAAAATGTATTTTAAAAGATGTTACCTTAAATAAATAGCTTCTTCAATATTTAAAAGATAAAAACTATTCAATCCTATTAATAAATCTTAAACTCTTTATTAAGATAATTATATTTATCCTTAATATACAGAAATATTAATTTTAGGATTTAGATTCTAAAATTCTAATTTAATGCAAATTGCTAATGGTTTTTCAACTATTTTAGTCTCTAGTTAATTGGGTGTTTTTGTTAATGTTTATTTTTCCTTTTTAGGCATTGTTAATAAGTTCTCTCTTTATTTATTTAAATTATTAATAATACTAATTAAAATATCTTCTACTTATAATTATAATGCATCTGAAAACTTTTAAACGTGTATTAATTTAATGTCTATTATTGAAACTAAATTAAAATTAAAGATAATTGAATGACATTAAACTATTAATTGATCATCTTAAGGTTAAACTTAAGTAATATTACTTTTAATTCTTGAAAAGACTTCTTAATTACCTATACTTGATGAATTCTTTTTATGAAAGCCTGATTTTGCATTGTTTGAAATTTAATTCAAATATTCCAAATTTAATATAATTTTAAACTATGATAATTTAAAAAAAGATTCGTTTGACTTTAAATATATATTTTAAATATTAGCCGAAATAATCATTTCATCTAATAATTTAATTGGACTATCTATTAATTATTATACTGTTTCTACATCATCATTTGATTTATAATTAAAATTTACAACATCTTAAACTTTCTTTATAATTGATTAAATCTTATTAATATTTTAGAGTGTAGTTAAAACATTACATGAAGCATGTTAATTTTGAAATATTGCTTTAATCATTTATAAAGAAAAAAATATTTTTTTTTTTTAATTTTTTGAATTTTTTTCATTTCTTTGGAAATTTTCTTTATTTTAAACTAATTCTGTTCTAAGTGGTTTATTATAATATAGTAATATATAAAGATTTGGATCAATTTATTAGATTTAATCTTCATCTAATATTAAACTATTAACTTCATATTATTTTTCTTCATTATCTCTCTAATGATCTAATTTAAACATATCTTTTTCATTGCTTCTACAATAAAATATAAATTTATCATCTAATTTTTACCAAAATAAAAGTGGCTCTTTTACTTTAAAAGCTGGTTAAATTAAAAAATAATTAGTCTCTTTAATAGATTATTCAGATGAATTAACTTAATTTTGATCTTTTTTTTAAGCAGATTATCCTTTTTAAAATGATAATTCTTTTTAATTTTATTTTTCAAATTAATTAATTTCACTATCTTAATCTAATCTTTATCTACTGAAACTTATACCATTTTCTTTGAATTTTGAAGCAGAACAATGAATCATTATATTATTTTTAAAATAACCAATATCCCTTGTTATAACAAGTATTGGAAATGCTAAAATAGATTTATATTAACCATGATTAGCTACTTTTTATGTACTCTAAAAAGTAATTTTAATTCCTTAATCTTTTTTAGGTTTATTTTATAAATTTTAATTATTTCCTAATTTTTAACATTCATTATGTAAAATATGAAACCAACAAGGAACATCTGCACTTTTTGTAATCTCTTATATTACCCCAAATAAAATATTTGTTAATTCTACTGTTTTTCTATATTTCAATATACAATGTTTACAATCAGAACTCTAATCTTTATGATTTTGAAATAAAGTATCTAATTCAGATTTTAAAAGACTATTTTTTCCTATTTTATGTTTCTATTAGGGAGTTTATGTAAAATTTATATTGTTTTTCAAAATTAAAAGAAATTCTATAAAACTAATACAAGAATCATTTATTCTCAAATTTAAAAATGGAATTTAAACATATATTTTAGAATCTGTTAATAAAGCATGATTTTCAATATTAGCTTAAAATTTAAGAGCAACAATTTAGGTTTTCAATATTGTTTATTTAATTCCTTTGATGTGAAACATAGGATCTCTAAATTTCTATTATTATTATTAATTTTTCAAACCTTTCTATTAAATCTTAGAATCAGTAGGTTAAGCTTATTATTATGATGTTTATTTAGAAAATGGAAATTTACTTTATGAATTAATTTTTTTATCATCTGAATGTTATTCTTTCTCATAATTTCTCAGTTCTTCATTTTTATTTTTATAATCTTGTGAAAAATATTTATGAACAATTTTAAATTATTCAATTGTTAATCGAAAAGCAGAAAAATATTTATAATGTTATTAATATAAAGTTTATCCAGATTTATTTTCATTATTTTAAAATAAATCATCTATTTTTACAGTAGAATAATTAAAATTTTTAATTTAAAATTTTAATTCTGTTTTAATAATATTGGATATTTAATCTGATACTATTCTAATTTTTAATTTGCCTATTAATTAAATAGAAAATTTCATTCCAGGAGGTTTGGTATTTTCTTATCCTAATGGTTTAGACTTTAATATACATTCCAAAAGTTTATGATCTTAAGTTACATAGAGTTGACCTTAACTTAATGCTGTCTTATCTGTACTCTATGTAAAATCAAGTAAAGAACTTAAACTTTTAGAAGAAATAAAAATTGAACATTTCTGAAAAATAACTGAAATCTATTCATTAGATTATTCATCTAAAGTTTATTAAGAAGAAACTTTTTTCTTCTTATCATTTTAAGCAGAAATTTTATAATTAGATTATTCACCTTCTAAATATAATGATATTGATAAATTATAATTTTTAGATTCAATAGGAAATGTAAGTTTATCTTTAAGATTAATAATACATAATGGTATAATTCTATCACCAAATTCTTCTAAAAATGGAGCAAATAATGATTTTTTAATAATATCAATAATTTTATTGTGAACTTCTTCTAAAAATTTTTATTTATTAGAACAACTTATCCATTAATTATCATTATCATTTTAACTCTATTTATCATAATTCTACATAGCAGCTAATTTTAAAAAAGCCCATTTATTTTCATTTTTTTATTGTTTAATAACATGTAATAACATAGAATCATCAATATCTTCTCTATCCTCTTTCTCATTTACAACAAAATATTTATCATAATTTTTAAATTTCTCCATATCAAAATCTTAAAGTCCTTGTTTATCATTTTCATAATCTATCAAAAAACATTATACATTATTCATTTAATTTTAACTTAAAAATTAGCAAAATGTTTAAAAACATATATCACTACCTTAAAAAAATGATGAATCTTTTCTAACAGTAGCTTCAAAAATATCATTAACAAATTTTTTAATTCTAACTCTAGAATAATTAATTTATTTTTAATCTATATTTTCATTATTTTTTTGCTTCCAAGATTTTTCTTTCTTTTTAAATAAAGGAGATTATTTTTCTATATTTTCATCAAATTTATTTTAAAAATCCAATAATTTTGGAACCATACCAGGTGCAAATATTTTAATATCACCAATTACTATTGTAGAATTTTCATTTGTTTTAAGTCTACCATTTTAATAAATAGATACTGGAATCTTTATACCTATTAAACTAATTATCAAAATTAATTTATTTGTTCTACTAGAATCATAATTTTATTTTATTTATGAATTGTTATTTCTTTAATCTTAACTTAAATCTTAAGAGAATTAAAAATCATCCTTCTATAAATCTTCAATTTCCTCATAAAAACTATCAATCTCTTTTGCAGTATGAAAAGATCCATCATCATTTTATCTTTAAGTTTATTTAACAACTTCAGATATTGAATTATTTTAATTAAATGATGATGTTTTCTATTAATTCATTTACGGTTTTTTAATTAATTAAATACATTTTTTACATTAACAAAAAGAAAAAATCTTTGTATTTTTAGGACAATATTATGCAATATTTGCTGGACGATTTTCTAAAATAATTAAAAATATTGAATGAACACTAACATATATTTGTGTTTTTATTTAATCAGGATCATTATTCTAACCTTTTAAATAACTTGAAAGAACTTAAGTTTTATCTCGTTCAAGAATTTCATATAAATTAATTTTCTCATCCTCTTCCAATTCAATAGGAGGTTCTTCATCTCTTTTTTTTTAATCTTTTAAAGCATATTAATCATTTATAGTATTTGTCCATATTTCTAACATTGGCTTTTAATTTTATTTATTTTATCCCTCTTTTGTAGAATGATAATATCTCTTAGCTTCTATTCTTATTTCTTAAAATGCCCATTCTCGATATTTTAATAAATCTTTTAAAGATAATTACTCTTCACACTTTTTAAATTTAGTTTCATCCTAAATTGTCCAACATGTTAACCAAGGTACTAAAATTATTGTTTATTTCCTTTTATAAAGCTCTATATATCTTTTCATTAAAACTAATCTTCTAGATGAATATCCTAAATCCAATTTATGATTTTTTTAATTTTACATAACTGCATTAATCAAATATTTCCACCATTCTCCATAATTATTTTTAACTTCACATTTTGGTCTAAAATGAAAATTATCTTAAACTATCTCTAAATTCTAAAGTACTTCATTCAATTTTAATAAATAACTTTTTGATTCCTTATTTAATTAAAATATAATAGGTGTGTCTATATTTATTGTTAAATTTTAAATTGGTTTACCCAATTCATCTTAATTTTTATTAATTACTAATTTAATTGAAATGTCAATAGGACTTAATAACTATTATTCTTCTTTTTTTTTAGATGCTTTTACATACATTACTCCTAACTTTTTTATTTCAATCAATTTATATATAGTATTTACATCACCATTAAATTTTTATTAAAATTGTTTATCTGTGGCTTTTATATATATATCAGCTCTAATTTTTAATTAAGTTTCGCAACCAAAAATTGAATAATTATAAAATCGTAAAAAAAACGATTTTACTTACACAGACATATTATTATAAATGCCATCAACTATTTTCTAAATCCAATTTGGAGGAGATAATTATTCAAAATACTTTGCCATCTATTCCTCCCAAATTTTTAATTTATGTTATTTTAAATTCTCTACACCTTATTATGTTTGTTAGTCTTTATTTGATACAAATAAGTTTGCTTCTTATATTGTGCAAACTTATAAATCTATGCCTTCAACAATCATTTCTGGTTATTAGGCCTTATAATTCAGAGGCATCTAATATATTTACTCTCAAATACATTAATTGTAATTGAATTTATTTTCCCATCTATTATGTACATTGGAAATGAGAAATTTAGTAATGCTTATTTCTTAATTTACAAATTCTTCAATACTATATTAGAAGAAATGCCTAAAGAAAACTTTGAACATATGTTGATTTAAATACTTTTGCCATATTATTTTGTGAAAAATCTTATAAATATTCTAATAGGTAGGTTTAAAGTCGCTTTACAAAATATTCTTCAATTTCTTTTGCCATATTTATTATTAAAAATATATTCAATAATTATACATAATATAACTAATTCTAAAAGATAATCATTTAATTTAAGTAACCCTCATCATTTTCTTAATTAAATCTCCTTCAGATTATTATGATGAAGTTCGATTATTTGTTTCTTTCTTTAATTTCAAATTCTTTATAAAATTTTTTGCCATTATAACAGACCAAAGTTTATTCTCTTCAGATTTTCTTTAATTCCTAAGTATTTATTTATTTGATTTATCATTAACAATTTCATAATGTCTTTCTTTCTAAATATTGAAATCCATTTATTTTCTTCTCATTTCTTCAACTTCATTTTATAACCTCATAAATGTTTTAATCTCTTAACAATCAATATCTATATAAATTTCTTTATTTAATTTATATTCTTCAACAATAATTGCTTGATTCTCATTAAATTCCTAATTCTATTTAAGACTTCCGAGCAATTATATGTCTTTTTTAAATTATGAAGGATTCAAAATTTTTTGATTTCTTTGTTTTGTAGAAATTATTTTAGATTTAACTTTTCCTTATTACAAAAAAAGTTAAGAACTTTAAGGTTGATTAAACGTAACTGTTAGATTATTTAATCTTTAACACAATAAAGATTTTTTTAAGTTCTCCTATTTTATTTAATTATTAATCTTATTATCTTAAAAATTTTCAAAGCCTACATCTGAAAAGGAACTATCAGAATTACTAGGTTCTGAAACTTAAAGAATAAAGTTTTTTTTTTCTTATTTCTTATTGTCAAATATAGAAATTTCATTTAATAAACTTTCATCAAACTCTTCTTAGTTTTATTCAGTCTATTATTTATATTTATTTTCAATATCAATAGGTTTTTGTTTTAACTTTTTTTTTGAGTTTTATAATTAAAGCATACATTTTTCTTAAATAGATTTACGAGATTAAGATCTAATTCTGCTTTTGTGTCCAGGGTCTCTAGTTGTTTTTATCTCATGGCTAATTATTGTCTAAAATTTAAATGCACCTATCCCTAAACTCATTATAATTAATAAATTTAATATTAATCCTTAAATAATACTGATAATTTTTCACATTTATATATATTGAATCTTTAAGACTGTTACATTTTACTTAATCTTAAATAATCAAATTATTTTAATTCTTCTTTTTTATGATCTTCTAATATCTAAAAATTATAATTTTTTATGATTTTTTATTTTTCTTTTATTTTATACTAACATCTTTTTCATTATATGAAATAAAATATTTTAAAATAAAATTCAATTTTATCTACTTTGAATTTGATTTTGTTTTTCTAAGAATATGAAAAATAAATATTAATACTATTTTATAGATGATTTAATTTTTATCATAAAATATTCAATTTTTATTCGTTTATTTCATTTTTTTTAAAAAGCATATTATATAAATATATGATTTTCTAAATATTGTCATACAAAAAAGATGAAAATAAATAAAAAGTTTATTAAGTTTGAGAAGTGTTAGAGAAGTTAAAATAATTATTGTATTTGTATAAAATAAAGTGTTATTAACTTATAATTATAAAATTATTTGATTTTATAAAAGAAATACTTGAAATATTTTCATACAAATATTAATATTAATGGATATAGATGTTGATAAAGTAAGTTTGTAAATATAATCAAGATAATTGAAAAACTTTTAGAAAGTAAAGGAGCTAAATAAGGAAAAGCTGTAAATCTGACAGAGAATGAAATACGTTCATTATGTATAAAAAGTAGAGAAATTTTTTTAAATTAACCAATGTTATTGGAATTAGAGGCTCCAATAAAAATTTGTGGTATAAGATATAAAATATGTTAGGTGATATTCATGGATAATATACTGATTTATTAAGATTGTTTGAATATGGTGGTTTTCCACCTGAAGCCAATTATTTGTTTTTAGGCGATTATGTTGATAGAGGAAGATAGTCTCTTGAAACAATATGTTTATTACTTGCTTATAAAATAAAATATCCAGAGAATTTCTTCTTATTACGTGGTAATCATGAATGTTCATAAATAAATCGTATTTATGGATTTTATGATGAATGTAAAAGAAGGTATAATATAAAATTATGGAAAACTTTTACTGATTGTTTTAATTGTTTACCTGTATGTGCAGTAATAGATGAGAAAATTATATGTATGCATGGAGGATTATCACCGGAATTAACAAATTTGGAATAAATTCATAGAATTATGAGACCAATAGAAGTACCTGATACAGGATTGCTTTGTGATTTATTATGGTCAGATCCAGAAAAAGACATGTAGGGTTGGCAAGGTAATATTATTATTTAAAATAACTAAATAGATAATGAAAGAGGAGTATCATATATTTTTGGACCTGATGTTATAGCTAATTTCTTAAAGAAAAATGATATGGATTTAGTATGTAGAGCCCATTAAGTAGTCGAAGAAGGTTACGAATTTTTTGCTAAAAGATAATTAGTAACCTTATTTTCAGCTCCCAATTATTGTGGTGAATTTGATAATTCAGGTAATAAAAAACGATAAAAGAATAGGTGCATTAATGAGTGTTGATGAGACATTGATGTGTTCATTCTAAATTCTAAAGTCTTAAGAAAAAAAAAATATTCCTTAAGCTAGACCAAGAACCCCTAAATATGTTAATTGAATTAAAAAGTTTAATTTAACATGAAACAAATTTAACTTATGTATTTAATTAGCATTTCAAAAAATTTTATTGTCCTGTAAAGAATTTACAAAAATATTCTATTTTATTTTCAATACCTATTTATTTCATAAAAAAATAGAGTATACACTATAAGTTCTTGATCACATTCCTATATAAAATAAATTTGAGAGGCCTTTAATAATTATATGCCTTAAATTTGTAAAAATAATTCTTAGAATTCTTAGATATTTTATGATTAAAATATCTTCAAATATTAATTTTTTTTAATTATTTTTTAATATATATATGAATCAAAATGATCCATAAATTAAATCAAGGTATAAAAAGAATATATTTAATTAAATAAATTGTAAATTAATAACAGTATTATGGTATTTCTATTTGATTTTACAATTGATGGGGGGAATCCTACTATGATATTTTATATTTTAATGAAAGGATAATTATTTTAAAAAAATAAATTATAAAGTTAGTAGATGAATTAAGATAAGGTTTAAAAAAGCATAAAAATCATAAATATTTATGTTTATGATTTATTTTATTTTACTTCTGTGTCAAGCATTTTGTAGTAAATCAAGCCGATTTAGGAATCCTAAACCAGAAATGATTAAAGAGATCATAAATGATTACAATTATATGGCAAATCTAAATGAATCGATTTTATTTTAATATTCAAAGTATGTTTTATTAATAATTAGTTATTATGGCACTTATTCTATGTCCTTAGTTTAAGATAGCAATAATGAGATTCCTTTGGCATAATCACTAGATGGCAATTTCAGTTAAGGATGTCATCCTTATTCAAGAAAAATTGCGTAATCATAACTATAAAGTATAACTCCTCTCTTAGAATCTGAAACCACAGATACGCTTAAAGGAGTAATTACATCTGTATATGCTGCAAATCATTTTGTATTTGTTTTAAGGAGTGATTTTAAACTATTTATTATGAAAATAGATTACGATAATATAAATATGGATGTTTTAGACTTTTCTTAATATGAAATCGTAGATTTAATTAAAGATTTTGATAATGTAGATGAATCTTCATAGATGTTAAATTCAGAACTTTTATGTAGTCAATACTTAAGATAAGGAGGACAAATATTTTGTTTTATCATAAGTGAATATGGTATAGTACAATTCTCTTATAATTAAGAAGAGTAAATTATATATAATATATAGGGGGAAAATGATTTCAATATCTAAATTATTTAATCTAAAAAATGAATAAATCAATCACATATTTTTTAGTGATGAAAATAATTTATTATTGATAACTTATCCTAATGCTGGTGTTGATATCTATAAAATGAATTCAGATGGTTTTTTATTCTTTTTAAACAATATATCACCTTTTAACAATTCTAACAATTCTAACAATTTTAAATAAGCAAAGATGGATGAAAAATCTAATTATCTTTATATTTTAAATGAAAACAAGGGTGTTCATATTTATAATTTTGATACATATAATTAAACATTTAAGGAGAACAAAATGTATATTTACTTGAAAGGTGGTGATACATTTGATTTTCATAATAACACAATGTTTATTTTAGCTTAAACAGAAGATTAATTACAATATGCATTAGAAATATTTATAGATTTTGACAATTAATAATATTATTTTAATAAAATACATTAATTTGGATAGGATGTATATGATCTATATGTTGGGGATATGTTTGTACTATTTGTTGGTTCTGATCGTTTACATTAAGTGATTTATCATTCTGTTTATAAAGATTTTGATGCTTAACATGAATAATTTTATTTCTCTGATATTGATATAATTTAAGTGGATGAATTGAATCCTCCTTGGAAATATTCATTATATTCAGGTTAAGCATATGAAGATGGAATTTTAAGTAAAGTGAATTTAACTTATACATAAACATTTTTGGTAGGTATATCTGAAAATGAAGTAAGTTTATTTAGATTAAGATTGATTGCTCCTTTGGTGCTTTGTACTGCATATGAAAGGAAAAAAGAAGTAATTATTTAAAACCAATTTAGTATTATTAATTGACTTTAAATTCTACACTCTGCCCATCATTATAAAATAGAACTCAAAATCAATTTTAATTTTGTTAAGTTTAAGCCAATTTTAGTTTTGAAGGTGTTAATGTTATAATTTATGAAGAACATTAAACAATCTTTATGGTAACAGAAATAGTATTAATTTTAATAATACTGATATTAGTCATAGCATTAGTATACTACAGAAGACATTTATATATACCTTTAAGTGAATAAGAAGAAAAATAAATAGAAGAATATTCTAATAGATAATTAAACACAGAAAATATTAAGACAATCCTTTGAGTTTATAATTTTTAACAATAAATAATTTATTTATAAATATAAATGTCATAAGAAAAATTATTGTAGAATAATGAAGAGGAGACTTAATCATATGCTCTTCAATATTAAAAATAAAAATAATAGAACATTTCTTCTGATGATTAATAATTTGAAGTTTAAGATTCATAAAAAGAAGAATTATTAAAAAAGATAGAAATATTGGAAAGTAGATTAAAGAATACAATTGATGATAAACCATATAGTGAATTAATGAGAATATTAATTTGGGAAGCATTAGGAACAGCATTTTTTGCTTATGGTATAGTTTGTTCTAGAGGAAATGATGTAATGTTAAGTGTATATTTATTTGGTGCAATATTTTTAATTGGTAAAATTACAGGTGGACATGTAAATCCAGCTGTTTCAATGTCTTTTTATAGTTCTAATGAAATTAGTGCATTTACAATGAGAATATATTGGACAGCTTAAGTAGGTGGAGCAATTGCAGGAGCTTTAGCAGCATTTGTAATTGTTGGAAGAGTTACATCTCCTTATATAGAAACTTAACCAATTGAATGGATGATAGCAGATTTTTGTGGAGAAGTATATTTATTAATTAATTATTAAGGCACTTGGAACTTTTATTTTTTGTTTATTTATTCATATTTAAGTTCATCCTTAAACTTAATTAACAGATAATAATTTAATAGGTATTGGAATTATTGCCACTGCTTTATATTTTGGAAGAATTCTTACTTATCATACAGGAGGTAAATATTTTATATTATTAAAGGTTGTTTAAATCCAGCTATGGGTGTAGGATTAGGAATATTTGAATCTTTGTAAGATGGTAATTGGGATAGATTAATTAATATATGGATATATATTTTTGGCCCTTTTTCTGGAGCTTCATTAGCTTCTGAATTCTATAGAAGTGTATATGTTGGATTGTTACCAAAGAAATCATGATATATCATCAATAAACAATAACTTTATTTATATTATTACTTTGTTATCATTAAAAAAAAAATAGTACATCTTTTTAACTTTAAAATTTAAATAAAGAATAAAAACAAAAATTTTAATTAGAATCAATCATTAAATTCATCCATATTATTCATAGTCCTTATATTATGTTATTAATTTCTTAAACCCATCTTTTTTTCTCTCCTTTCATCATATCCTAACTTTATACTATTATAGTGATCCATATAATATAAATTTCGACTAAAAATACTATTTTTCACTTCTTTCTCAACAGCAGAATTAAGTTCTTCTGATTACTTTTTTTTCATATTTATATATTTTATGTCATTTTCATTAGTTCTTCATTTTTTTTATTTGATTAAACTTATGTGTCTAAATTTGTATAATATAATTCCAACTTATCTTTCACATTATATTATTTAATTCTATATCTTTCTATCTATTTTTCTTCCTCTTCAAATTCTTTTCTACTTCTGAGTCTCTATTTTTATGGAGATCTAACAACTACTCCAAAATTGTTTTTTAAAAATGTTAATGTTTCATCTGGACTCCTCATCCTTAAACCAGATTTTGTTATTATCTCAGAATCACTGTAAATTATTGAAGTTTCTATTTTTGCTTAATCTTCAACAGAATAATCACTAATACATTTTAAAATAGGTTATTCTTATTTCTTTATTCTTACCTTTTTGAATTATATCTCTGCGAAATTCTTCAAACCTTATTTTTTTAATTCATATATTTCTTCTTATTTATAAAGTGGCATTGAACTCAATACTTTTGTTAGTATTAAATTATCTTTATTAAATGAATTACTTAATACTTCTGTTCTATATTTTGAATAATTAAAATTATCTTCTTTAAACATTGTGAATTATAGGAAACATATTCTCATTTTCTTGTTCTCTCAGATGATTTATCTTTATCTAAATTTATTTGTTTTTTCTACTTAATCAAAGAGTTCATCAACTTTTATTAAAATATTCTTATATTAATTTTTATTCTAAACTTTTAATTCTATATTACTCTCTAAGAATGTAACTTTTCTTTCTTCTTCTTCTGTAATCATTAATTATAATTATTCTTAATATTATTTCAAAATTTATTTTCTAAGTATTAACTTTTTTATTTTTTTATTAACTCAAAACTTTATCTACTCAAACTTTATTTTTTTTCCAGTATGTTACCTTTTTTATCAAAAATAATTTTTGTCAAATTTTCATATTTTTTTATTGCTTTATTATATTTTTTATAATAATATTTTTTTATGATTGAGAATTCCTTTAGCTCTAATTAGAACATTGTTAACTTCATAGAAATCTAAATCTAATCTTTCATTATAAATTGTATTAAATGATAAATTTTTCACATTTTTTGTCATGAGTTCTAAATTGTGGCTGGAATCATAAATAATATTAAAATTTATGCACTACTATGATTAATATGATTATTTTAAATTGTAATAATTATTAAAATATTCACTAAATTTATTTATTGTGAAATATGAATGATTTAATGTTAACAATATAATTAATATATATATTCATCCTTTATATTCTATCAGATTATATATGCAAATGGACTAACAGATTTAATAGAGTTAAATATCTTAAGTTAATTAACATATGTATTTATAAGTTTTTATTAAGATTATCGAATAATTAAGCTTAATAAAGAATCCCAACTTAATCATAACTTTAATAAACTATAAATTTTTGCTTTATTTCATATTTGCTATATGGTTTAATGATTCTAATTGTTGTTATTTTAACACTATCGTTAATTATAATTTAAGTGAATAGAGAATAAATATAGATATTTTATACATGCTTATTAATAATTTTTTTCTCAACAGCACTTTTTGGATGCACTGAGTACATAAGAGAGTAATTCTCTGATGTTTTAATAAATAACTTAAAAAGTCAGAATGAAATACAAATGAATAATTGGGTTTATAAATCAACTTATAACTTTTTATTGTAATATAAAAGTTAGTCTAAATTTTCTATAATTAGATTATTATGTTTGTAAAGTGCAGTTGCTATTTTCTATTTGGGTTATAATATTATTTTTAAGACTTAATATATATGTTTGGATGATGAAAATGATAATTATAATTGGTGTGGAACTACTTATGAAAATGAAAGTTAATATTCTAATGATCATAATTAAACTAAAAATTTATAGGAAAGTGAAAAAAATGATTATTGTTCGAACAAAATAGAAATTTAAGGGCCGGTGCTAATATTACTAGGGATATTATGCTAAATAGTGTCATTAATATTTATAATATATGAGATCTTAAGTATCATTTAATGGATTTACTTGAGATTTACTTTAGGTTCCTGGCCTTCATATTAACAAGATACCTAAAACATTAGTAATCATTAATATTATTCAATAGATATTCCATAAACAATAATTTAAACTAAAGTATTTAGCATAATCCTCTTTATTTATTATTTTGCTAAATTTATAGGTCTTTTATGGATGAGAATTTTAGGTCTAACCGAACTTTAAGTTATTTTAATTATATCTTCATATTGTTACTATTTTGTAATTTAAATATCCTTAATAGGTTTATTTTTTTAGTGTAATAATATATTTAAATATTAGTTGTATTCGATTATAAAGTAGATAATAAATTACAGTACAATGATTATTAAATATACATAGATTCAATATTAAGAATGAATTACTGTGAAATAAGAGTATTTAAATTCTTATTAACAATATGTTTTATTTTCACAATCATAGGAATGTCATTATCTTAAATTTAGATAGACACATCATCTGATGAAATTATTAATTTAGATTTAATTATTTATTATGAATGTGGAATAACTTAATTAATATAACTAGGACTGATACTTATAAAATATATAATTATCCCATATTTCACTGATCGAAATAGTAGGTATTTGGCTTAAATTCATTAAGAAGTATAAACGCAAAATGTAGAACGCTTATAAATAAATATATAATAGTAATTGTCTTAAGAAAGAACAAATTATATTTTCATAAATATTAATGATTAAAACAATATACCTTAATATAGAAGCTAACTGCCTATTTTATATATAAATAAAAATTTTATTTTCAAAGTAAAACCCAAAGAGTAAACAGATTGTGCTATTTGTTTGGAAAAACTTATTTAAAATTCAAATGAAAATCCTATTATATAATTAAATTGCCACATTTCTCATATATTTCACTAATAATGTATTGAGTGTTGGCTGATCAAATTCAAAAAATGTCCATTATGTAAAGCAGAATTTTCATTATGAATTTAAAATAAGAATAAAAATTATATTTTCTAAATCTTAAAAGCAATACATCTTTATGTTTTTAATCAAATAAAAAAATAAATAAATATTTTTCATTCTTAATATATTTTTTTTAGCTTGTTAGAGTTCATTATAAAAAGTTTAAGTCATTCTAATATTTAAGGCTTTTTCTATAAAACTTTAAGTCATTAAAATTTATCAATTAATTAATAGTAGATTTAGATAATTTCTTTGTTAGAAGTAGAAGATAGTCATTAATTTTATCAACTTCTATAAATGAACCTTAATTGTTTCTCTTAATATTGTATAGAGTTTCATTTCTTTGTTATTTTAATTACTTTAGATCTACATGAATAGAAAAATAAAAGAAACAGCAGATACAATTAGAAATATAAATATTTTTATTATTTAACAATTTATAATGTAAGAACAGATGCTCCAAATAATTATTTATTGCATCAAAAAATGGTAATTCATTATTTAAAAGATGAATATATTTGAAATTAAAATCTATTTCATTGTTTAAATAATATCGAATTTGATTTGTAATTGTTAATTTAAATATAATCAAGTTTTCTTTAGTATAATTTATTGTTGGTGATGTAAATTATTAAAATTTATAATGCTCTTGTCCCAAACTAATTTTTGCTAAATTATTTTTTGTATATAGTACCTCAGCAATCATCTCTTTTTATAAACTACAAAACTATATAAAGTGTTCTGAAAAATCTGAAACTGTATTTTCAAGATGAGTATTTATTTCTGAAAATTATTAATAGTTATAATAGGCAAAGATGTTTTTTAACTCTTCTTATAAAGTAGTTTCTTATGGAAGCATAATCGCTAAACAAACTTCTCTATTTTAGGTTAAATTACTATCCTATAAGGCTTTTATTTAAATAGATGGTATTTCCCATCTATTAAAGTCCTATAATGTGAATAATTTATGTTTCTTTAATTCTAATTTTGATTTAAATTTTTCATATTCTTAATGTGCATTTTCTTTTTATTTTATGAACTATTTTGATAATTTTAATTACTTCTTTTAAGGAATTAATTGAATGATGATGAAATTTGAAAAAAGAACAGAGTTCTTCTTATACAATTTTAATCTAAGCAGTTAGATTATTTCCCCATTATACTAGCATATTATTCATTGATATATAAAGTATGTCTAATTTTGAAATTTTTCCTTAAGGAATAGATTAATTAAACTTATTTGAAAATTGATATAAATCAGTGCACGTTTATCCCATATTATAAATAGTATTAGATAACTAATCAAAATCTAATAATAATTATTTTGATTCTTTTCTTAGTTTCTTATAATTGACTTCAATTGAATTAATTAATAAAGCAGATTCATTATTATATGATCCTAAATTATCATTAATTTGTAATTAAATTTGTCCATCTAAAGAAATAATCTATTCTAATTTAGTTACTCTTGATATTTAAGTACTTAATTTTTAAATATGTTTAAAATCTTTTTCTTCTTTAATTGATAAGAAAGCTTAGAACCATCTATCATGTCTTATCAATTCATATTAAAACAAATATTATAGAAATTTCTAATATATAATTAAAAATTGATACTTCTAAAAATTTCATTCTCTTTATTAAATAAAGCTCTTAATCATTTTTCAATACAGTTTTTTTAGGTAAAGGAGGAATCTATTTAAATATATATATTACATATCGACCAGGGTATAATTTACTTAAAATTTCTCTAAGCCACAAAAAATCATTATATCTTCTTTATACATTCCATCCAATCGGCTCTGTTGTAATTATATATGTATAATATGATGCTGAAAATAAACCACCTGGAATTTTTTCGAATTTAGTAATACATACATTTAATTCTTTAGCCATTAGCAATATTTTTTTATCTTATGACTTGCATAAATGGATTTTTTAGTAGAATCGATCATTATCAACAGATGGTTTAGCAACAATTTCTTCATGTATTTTATTTTATACAATTTAAGATTATTGGTTTAAATTCTATTAAGATTACTCTTCTTTTATTTATGGCAATTATTAAATTGAGGATTAACTTTCAAATTATATATGGTCATCAATTTATGATTATCTACAAGATACATCATCCAAATCAATAGTTTCTAATTAAGGTTGATTTGTTGTTTGAAATAAATTTATTGCCTCTTAAAGTTCATGATAAGTCCATATATTAACATCTTGTCCTCCTAAATTTTAAATATATAAATAGTACCATTTACTTTTAACTATTCCATATAATCTTAAAAAGCTTAACAATCATACCCTTTATCATATATTTCTCTTCTCAGTAATTACTGTTTTCGATTTATTTGTACAGATTCATTTTAATATTACATTAGAAAATAATAATTTTTTTATTTATGTAATTAAAAACTCTAGATAATTAATATTCTTAAAAATAGAATAAAAGAATACATTCTTAATGAACTTTTATTTTCAATTCACCTTAAGATATTAATCCAACTATTTTTAATATAAATTACTTTTAGAAAAAAAATACTAATTAAATCAAAATTATTCAAAAGCACTCATTTTTTTATTAGTTTAAAAAATAAAGAATTTAAATCTTATCTATTCTTATATAAATATTCATAAATTATATTATAATTCATTTCTAACTTAAAATCAAATCAAAAAATTGTACAATCCTCTGTTTATTCATTTCTTATTTCCTATTAGATTTCAAGCATTTAAACATTTTTTGTAATTTTTTCTTTCTATTAAGGTTAATTAATTTATTAAGTGTTTCCTTTTTAAACTATTTAATTTGATTGAGGTTATTAATTTTATTCCTTATCTTAGTTTTATTTTAGTTATTAAAATAATCTATTCATCTATTCTTCATAAGATTTATCTAATAATTATATTTTTTCTTCATAATATGAAGTTAATTTTTATAAATCACTTTGATCATATGTTTATAATTTCTCAGACATTTATTACATTTCTTTTACTTAATTCTATACTTAATTAAAATAATTTAGCCTTTAAGAATTAGCATCAATAAATTGTAGTTTTAAAGAATAAATTTCACTATCTTTTAGTACAATTTAATTTCTCAATTGTAAAATGTTTTCTTAAAGTTCTTTCGCTGAGTTTTAAATTAAATTATTAGATTAATCAAAGTTTTTCCTTTTAAGCCCTTATATTTAATTATTTAAATTAATTATATGTTGCTTGAGGGTTTCTGTTTATTAATTTTATTCAGCTAACATTTAATTTAATTATTCAACATTTTATCTTAAATCTTTAATATATTATTTTTATTACAAAATTTCTTCATCTTTTTCTTAGTTCAACAAAATACTCTAATTATATAAACTTCTTAATTTTTCAAAATTAGAAACTATTTCATCTTTTTCCGAATCCAATTTTTTAAATTACTTTTCAAAATCAAGTTAAATTTTTTATTTTAGTATTGTTTCCTAAGAAAATAATTGAGAATTTTAATTTAACAATTTGCCTTCAATTTCTTATATTTCAAATCTTAAATGAGATATTGTTGCTAAAAGTTCATAAATTTCTTTTTTGTATTTTTCTTCTTAATCATTTAGAACATTTGTAAATTATATTTAAGATTGTTCTTTTTCTTCCTAACACTATTTCTATAATGTCTCTAATTCTGTTAAATATATTATCTCTCTTTCTTACTATTATGTTTGATGTGTTTGTTTCAGCGATTCAATAATTTTGTTATATTCATCATCTTTTTATTTAAACTGTTATAATTATTAATTTTATTAATTAATTAAAGATTAAATAGTTTCTTCATACTATTGTTAAATTTAGTTTTATTATAGAGCATTGCAATCATTTTAAAGTTCATCACTCTAATTTTTTTAAAATTCATCTATTTAAGTTTATTCATTATTATGCTGCTTTGAAATATACAAATATTGATCATCTAATTCAGTAGATATTTTTTACTATAATTATTAATTCAAAAGAGACAAATTTAGTATTTATTCTTCTCTTTGTTATAAGGTTAGATTATACTCCTCTTATAATTAATTCATTTTTGATTCATATTATGATTTATCATTTTAAACTGTTTAATTATGATTTTAGAGTAAATTTAAATGATTTTCACTAATTTCAAGTATAATTTTTTTATATTCATCATCTTTTTACAATAATTACTAATCATAATTTTTAGATATTTCAGTAATTTGATCAATCAATTAAGCGTTTTTTTAATTTAAAATTACAACATTTTCATCATATGATTGTGTTTAATTTTAGAAATTCGATTTTAATATATTTAATTATTCTACATAATCTTTCTCTCTATTCTCAAGTTATTATTTATAAGATTCTTCTTTTTATTAAAATTCATTAGTATAATACTCATTTGATTCTTACTTCAATTAAGTAATTTCTTGTTCTTTATTTAATAATTCTTATTTATGTTTTTGTTAAAAATCAATTATTTATTACTAATATTTTGAATCTAATTCTTTAATTTTGTCTTATTATTATAATATTACATCATCTTTTTATTAAATTTCATTTTATTTAATTTAGTTGATTTCATTTATTATTTATTAATGTTCATAGTCTTTTTGTTCTAGTAGTTTTTAATAATATTCTTCTTTTTATTATAATTCTTTTAAAAATTATTCATTTGATTCTTATTTTAATAATGCTATCATTTATTCTTTACTTTCTAATTCTGATCTATATTTTTTCGATAATTCCTCTATCTACTTTTAATAATTAATATCTTATTCTTCAAGTTTAATTTATTATTGTTTAATAAAATCATCTTTTTATTGAATTTCATTTTGGAAATTAGAACTTACGTCATTTGTTTATTATGCAAATTCTTATTCTTATTTTTCAAGTTATTTTTGATAATACTCTTCTTTATTTTATAATTCATTTGTAAATTATTCATTTGATTCTTATTTTAATAATGTTATTATTTTTTCTTTACTTTCTAGTTCTTATTTATGTTTTAATTAAAAATCAATTATTTATTACTAATATTTTGAATCTAATTCTTGAATTTGGTCTTATTATTATAATATTACATTATCTTTTTATTAAATTTCATTTTATTTATTTTAGTTGAATTCATATATTTTTTATTATTATTCTTAGTCTTTTTGTTCTAGTTATTTTTAATAAGATTCTTCTTTTTCTTTAAGCTCTTTTGAAAATTATTCATTTAATTCTTATTTCAATTATGCTTACGCAAATTCTTAATTTTCTGATTACAATTTATGTTTTTGCACCAATTCAATTATTTATTACTAATAATTTGTATCTTGTTCTTTGATTTAAATTAATTATTATTATATTATATCATCTTTTTACTAAATTAAATTTGATAAATTTTAATTTAATTCATTTATTTGTTATTAATGTTCTTAATCTTTTTGCTCAAGTTATTTTTAAAAGCTTTCTTCTTTTTATTATATTTCCTTAGTATAATACTCATTAGATTCTTATTTTAATAAAGTTATTATTTCTTCTTTACTTTCTAATTCTTATTTATGTTTTAATTAAAAATCAATTATTTATTACTAATATTTTGAATCTAATTCTTGAATTTGGTCTTATTATTATAATATTACATTATCTTTTTATTAAATTTCATTTTATTTATTTTAGTTGATTTCATATATTTTTTATTATTATTCTTAGTCTTTTTGTTCTAGTTATTTTTAATAAGATTCTTCTTTTTCTTTAAGCTCTTTTGAAAATTATTCATTTAATTCTTATTTCAATTATGCTTACGCAAATTCTTAATTTTCTGATTACAATTTATGTTTTTGCACCAGTTCAATTATTTATTACTAATAATTTGTATCTTGTTCTTTGATTTAAATTAATTATTATTATATTATATCATCTTTTTACTCAATTAAATTTGATAAATTTTAATTTAATTCATTTATTTGTTATTAATGTACTTAATCTTTTTGCTCAAGTTATTTTTAAAAGCTTTCTTCTTTTTATTATATTTCCTTAGTATAATACTCATTTGATTCTTATTTTAATAAAGTTATTATTTGTTCTTTACTTTCTAATTCTTATTTATGTTTTTGTTAAAAATCAATTATTTATTACTAATAATTTGAATCTAATTCTTTAATTTTGTCTTATTATTATAATATTACATCATCTTTTAATTAAATTTCATTTTATTTAATTTAGTTGATTTCATTAATTTTTTATTAATGTTCTTAATCTTTTTGCTCAAGTTATTTTTAAAAGAACTCTTCTTTTTATTATAATTCTTTAGAAAATTATGCATTTGATTCTTATTTCAAGAAAGTAATTTCTTTTTCTCTATTTTGTTATTCTTATTTATATTATTCTGAAAAATCATAAATTTATTACTAATAGTTTGTATCTATTTCTTTAATTTTGTTTAATTATTATTATATTATTTCATCTTTTGATAAAATTTCATTTTATAAACTTTATTTTATCTCATTAATTTTTAATGAATATTCTTAATCTTTTTATTCAAGTTATTTTTAATTGAATTCTTCTTTTTATAATAATTCCTTAGAAAAATATTCATTAGATTCTTATTTCAATAATATTAGGATTTGTTCTTTATTTTCTAATTCTTATTTTTATTTATTCGATAATTCCTATATCTACTTTTAATAATCATTATCTTATTCTTCAAGTTTAATTTTTTATTATTTTATAAGGTCATCTTTTTGTTGAATATCATTTCGGAAGTTCGCACTTACTTCATTGATTTATTATGCATATTCTTATTCTTATTATTCAAGTTATTTTTAATAATATTCTTCTTTATTTTATAACTCCTTTGTAAATTCTTCATTTGATTATTATTTTAATAATGTTATTATTTTTTCTTTACTTTCTAGTTCTTATTTATGTTTTAATTAAAAATCAATTATTTATTACTAATAATTTGAATCTAATTCTTTAATTTTTTCTTATTATTATAATATTACATCATCTTTTAATTAAATTTCATTTTATTTAATTTAGTTGATTTCATTTATTTTTTATTAATGTTCTTAATCTTTCTGCTCTAGTTGTTTTTAATAATATTCTTCTTTTTATTATAATTCTTTAGAATAATATTCATTTGATTCTTATTTTAATAGTATTATCATTTGTTCTTTACCTTCTAATTCTTATTTATGTTTTAATTAAAAATCAATTATTTATTACTAATAATTTGTATCTAATTCTTTAATTTTGTCTTATTATTATAATATAATATCGTCTTTTTATTAAATTTCATATTATTTAATTTAGTTAATTTCATTTATTTTTTATTATTATTCTTAATCTTTTTGTTCTAGTTATTTTTAAAAGGTTTCTTCTTTTTATTATAATTCTTTAGTATAACAGTCATTTGATTCTTACTTCAATAAAGTAATTTCTTGTTCTTTATTTAATAATTCTTATTTATGTATTTCCTATAATTCACTTATTTTCTATTAATAATTTTTATCTTATTCCTAAAGTTAAATTTCTTATGATTGTATTTAATTATTTTTTATTTAAATTTGATTTGATAAATTTTAATTTATTTCATATATTTTTTATTATAATTCTTAATCTTTTTGTTCTAGTTATTTCAAATAAGACTCTTCTTTTTATTATAATTCTTTATAAAAGTATTCATTAGTTTCTTATTTTAATAATGTGATTATTTGTTCTTTATTTTTTAATTCTTATTGATGTTTTTCCATTAATTCACTTATTTTCTATTAATAATATTTATCCTATTCTTGTAGTTTAATTCTTTATTATTTTATCATCTCTTCTTTTTACTAAATATCATTTTGGAAATTAGAACTAATTTCATTCATTTACTATTTATGTTCATAATCTTTTAATTCAAATTCTTTATTCATTTTTTCATCTTTCTATTGGAGTTCTTTTAAAGTTTCTATTTTCAATTTTTATTCATAATTTTAAATTTCTAATTATTATTTCTCTGTCAATTATTATATCTATTACTCATAAGTTTCTTTTTTTTATTAGATTAGCATCTATGATTCTATATTTCTTTCATTTAATAAGATTTCTAACTGATTAATCTTTTTTTATGTTTCATTTTCTATATCTTATTTTTATAAATTAATTTCACTTATTTATTTTTCTAAATTATTTATTTATTATTAATATTTTATTTCAAGTTTTTAGAATTCTAGATTTTTATTTTCTAAATCTTTTTTAATTTTCTCAAATTATTCAGAAATTAGATCAATTTCTTTTCCTTGCTTACTTTCTTTGTTATAAATGATATCATCTTTCTCTTTTAATTTTCGTTCCATTTCTTGTTGAAGATTATTTAATTTTTCTTCATAAAAATTCTAAGTATTAGATTTTTATAATAAATTATTTCTCAATTCTTCAATCATTTTTAAATACTCTCTTTCTTAACTTTTCATGCTTTATTCATGTGTTTCCTCTAATAATTTAGTTTATTCAATATAATTAGATATCAATTGTTACTATGATTTGATTTTATCTTATAACTATTTAATAATTTAATTCTTCTCATTAATTTCATTTAAACCATTATCTTATTGAGATTATTATTACTATTATTTTAATAAATTTTAATCTTAATATTACTTTAAATAATCTAATTATTAAGTCTAATTTTTTAGTTAATAATTTTTATTTTGTAATGATTTAATTAATTCTTTAATTTATGTTTTGTTCCAATCAAATTTACTTTTTTATTACAAAGATTCTAATTTTTAATCTTAATTTTCATCAGCTACTTAAATTAAAGCTTCAATAAGTTTATCAATTTCTTTATCATCAATTTTATTATTTTATTATAATAATTATTGTTCTTTTTGAGCAATTGAATTTCTGTATTTAATTTTTTTTTCATCTTCTTAAGATAAGAAAGTTGTAAATTTATCTAATTAAATATTTCTAAGAATAATGCGATTAAAATCTTCTATGGGTACTTCTTAGATAATTTTTTGTTAATCCCGACAAATGAAGGCTAAGAATTTTTCATTCAATTAAAACTAAGTTAATAATTTTTAAATACATCATGATTGATGATTAATTAATTAAAAATGAAAAAGCCAAGATAAAATTCAAATGAATTTATCATGAAAGTTGTCAAAATTTAAGTTGAATAGGTTTCCAAAAATAACTTAATTTTTGATTAGATTTATTTTTCAAGTTTATTAGGATCATTAACCATTTCTAACAACAAATCAATTTCACCTAAAACTGGTTTATTTTCATCTTGATCTAATTTATGATATTGTATTCTTGGAGGTAAGACTTTTTCATGAAAATATAATAACACTTTTAAAGCAACTGATTCATCACAAAAATATAAAATGTAAGTAGTTAAAAAGACTAAACCTTTAGTAAGTCTAACAGGTTTAGTTTAGAAAAAGCATGTTAAAATGTTGCTTATTTTTTATACAAGAATATTATCTGATTCATTTGCACAACAACGATAATGCCAATCAGCTAAAGAATAATTTAATGCTTATCTATTCTAAAAGAAATGATTAATAATTTTATACTTCTTTAAAGATTCTTAATAGGTTTGTTTAAATTTACTATTTAATTTCATAATTAGAATTTTAAACATAAATAGGTAATTATTTTTAATATTCTTCTTGAATCTTTTTAATTTCAATTCTAAGTTTAATAAAAAATTACTTGTCATCAAAAATGATTGATACCCATCTTTTGCCTACGTTAGATAATTATCCAACTTTACAATTCTCTACATCTACTTATTATTTTTATTATTGCTAATCTTCTTTACAACTTTTGCATATTCTTTATGGAGTTTTTGCATCTAAAGTAAATAATATCACTTTATCTGGACTGCAATTTGAACAAACATATCTATAACATCGTTTACATTAATTATGTTTTGTTTTCCTAATAACATCATATTCAAGTTTACCAATCAAATTACTTTGTGCAAATATCACAGGAATCACTTTTTATTGTTGTATTACCACTTATTTTTTAACTAAGCTTTTCAAGCATCTCTTTAAGAATATTTCTAATTAATTAATTATTTAAGGAAAGTAAGGATATTTTACATAGAATATCAATATGTGCAATAAAACAATTAATATTGAATTATATTAAATAATAAATAATAACATGTCTAAAGATTAATCAGATAACAAGACTTATCACTCTAATTAACAAGATCATCATCTCCATAAATATAATTAAAAAGCTAAAAATTTTAAATCGACTTTTTTATTGAATGGAAATATATCCAATCAGAATAATTGAAAAAATATTTTACATGATTTAAAAGTGTTTCAAATAGCTTGATTTAGTCTCAATATGAAGTCAAGTGCATTTAGTTGAATAAAAATAATCAAATTCCTGAATTAGAAGCCACATCATTTTCAATTATTGAATCTGATGATAGATAGCAAATTAAATCTATAATTAGAAGCTATCAATAATATACTATCATTAATTGATTAAAAAAAACATTCCTATTTTAAGATGATGATGCTAATACCTGAGAATTAGAGAATATTCTATAATTCTAGAACTGTGTCTTACTCAATAAAAACTTCAGGAAAACAAATTAAAAATATTCAACTTGAGACCAAAAACTGATTTTGTTGTGAATAATGCAATAAATAAATTTTTATTAATATCAGTTAGCTGGTTAGAATATAATTATAATTAATTTGGTGAATTGAATTGCATATAAATTGCCAACAAATAATTAATTACTTCAAAGATGAATCATAGAAGATGATAATATTAAAAATGTTGAACCATTAGATCCAGATTATGTTATTATTAATTATTTCTTGCTTTAATATAATAAAATTTATTAATTATTTAGTCAATAATAGTGGATTACATTGTTAAAAATAAAGATATAGAGAAAAAGTATACCAGATCAGAATCAAATAAAAGGTATAAAAAATAAAAGAAATTTAGCTCAATTTTGGTACTTTTAATAAATAGAAAAAGTTCAAATAATTAAAAATCAAATAAAATCTATTTTAGAGAAAGTTAGTAGTGCCAAATTATATATTTGATTAAATAAAGAAAAGATGAAGGGGTAAGAATTAATGGTGATGATAAGAGTAGAATTCAATTATTAAATAATTTAGAAATTTAGAGATGAAATTGTTTTGAAATGGAGGGAAGAAATTTAAAACTTTTTGTCTGTTATCTAAGATATCTTAAGTGAATAATGTAAATTATAAAAAAGATTAAATTCTATATAATTATCAAGCATACATTGTCAATAATAATAATAATTATATAATTATTATTTTTATATAATTTCTATTTAGATGAAATAAACATTGAATTTCTAAAATACAAGATCTTTTGAAGAGAGAAAAAATGAATCTGATAATTGCAAATAATTATATCCTAATGATGTACTTGTAGTTGTAGAGTAATCAAGCAAAAGTAAATTGCCAAAATAAAATTTTATAAAGTAATCGAATATTAATTTTTAAATAGATTTAAAATGTCAAACAATATGTCAATTATGAATGTATTACAATTTATTAAAACTAAAATAAAACTTTCATAATATGATTCTATTAATTTGTACTGTGGCAAAACTTTATTGAGAGTAGGTATAAAGAATTATAATTTAAAAGATTAAAGCTTGAAAGAATTGTATTAATAATTCAAAGACTAAGATGGTTTTCTATATATCAATTACATTGAGATGAATTCATTCGGTGCATAATTTTGAATTTGATATTTTTAATTTATTTAATCATTTTCTATAATTTTCTTCTTCAAAACCTTAAATTTCTTTCTCTACTTCATTATTATCGATTTTGTGATATTAAGAAAGAAAAGTGTCAACAATTTATTTAGCTATTTCAATACCTACAGTTCTGGCACCAAAAGAAATGACATTACAACCTATTTCTATTGCTTATAATGTTGAATGATAGTCATTCACTTATCCACATCGAATTCCTTTAACTTTATTTGCCATAATTGAGATACCAATACCACTACCACATATTAATATACCAATTCCATTTGTTTTTNGTGGATTACATTGTTAAAAATAAAGATATAGAGAAAAAGTATACCAGATCAGAATCAAATAAAAGGTATAAAAAATAAAAGAAATTTAGCTCAATTTTGGTACTTTTAATAAATAGAAAAAGTTCAAATAATTAAAAATCAAATAAAATCTATTTTAGAGAAAGTTAGTAGTGCCAAATTATATATTTGATTAAATAAAGAAAAGATGAAGGGGTAAGAATTAATGGTGATGATAAGAGTAGAATTCAATTATTAAATAATTTAGAAATTTAGAGATGAAATTGTTTTGAAATGGAGGGAAGAAATTTAAAACTTTTTGTCTGTTATCTAAGATATCTTAAGTGAATAATGTAAATTATAAAAAAGATTAAATTCTATATAATTATCAAGCATACATTGTCAATAATAATAATAATTATATAATTATTATTTTTATATAATTTCTATTTAGATGAAATAAACATTGAATTTCTAAAATACAAGATCTTTTGAAGAGAGAAAAAATGAATCTGATAATTGCAAATAATTATATCCTAATGATGTACTTGTAGTTGTAGAGTAATCAAGCAAAAGTAAATTGCCAAAATAAAATTTTATAAAGTAATCGAATATTAATTTTTAAATAGATTTAAAATGTCAAACAATATGTCAATTATGAATGTATTACAATTTATTAAAACTAAAATAAAACTTTCATAATATGATTCTATTAATTTGTACTGTGGCAAAACTTTATTGAGAGTAGGTATAAAGAATTATAATTTAAAAGATTAAAGCTTGAAAGAATTGTATTAATAATTCAAAGACTAAGATGGTTTTCTATATATCAATTACATTGAGATGAATTCATTCGGTGCATAATTTTGAATTTGATATTTTTAATTTATTTAATCATTTTCTATAATTTTCTTCTTCAAAACCTTAAATTTCTTTCTCTACTTCATTATTATCGATTTTGTGATATTAAGAAAGAAAAGTGTCAACAATTTATTTAGCTATTTCAATACCTACAGTTCTGGCACCAAAAGAAATGACATTACAACCTATTTCTATTGCTTATAATGTTGAATGATAGTCATTCACTTATCCACATCGAATTCCTTTAACTTTATTTGCCATAATTGAGATACCAATACCACTACCACATATTAATATACCAATTCCATTTGTTTTTATTACTTCATTACATACATTAACTGCAAAATCATTATAATCACAACTTTAGTTTGTGTTTGTTCCTTAATCATTTATTTAATATCCCTTTTTATTGCATTATTCTAATAAAATATTTTTATATTCTAAAGCTGCATGATCATTCCCAATAAATATTTAAATTTAATTCATATCTATTTTAATATAATTTATAATACGCAATTTTCTTAAAAACAAAATCAAATTATTAAAACAATTAATTATATAGTATATAAGTTTCTCTTTAAAGAAATAAGTATTATGATAAATAAGATTAATAAATAATGACGTATATAATTTATGAATTGCATAAATTGATTATTGTATAAATACTTTTTTTAAAATGTCAGATTTTATTCAATGGACATATGAGAATAGATTTTAAATCTCTATTGATTTAGCAGCTGGCTCTATTAGTGGAATGTAATATTCATTAATTAAATAATAGAGCAAATTGTATTTCAAGTCATCCATTAGACACAGTTAAAGTTAGAATGTAAATGTCAGATGATGGTGTTCTAACAACACTATAAAAAATTATAAAAAATGAAGGAATTAAAGGTTTTTATAAAGGAATGTCCTTTCCCATTCTTTCAATACCAATTACTAATGCAGTTGTATTTTCGGTTTATGAATTCTGGAGAAAATTTTTTATTGGAAATTCAAATAAATAACTCACATATTTCTAGACGTATTTATTTATAAATAAAATTTAAGTGCATTTTGTGGAAGTATTGCAGGAAGTTCAGCTGCATTATTATCATGCCCAATTGAATTAACAAAATGCAAATTATAAATGTAAGAAACTGAAAAAATATATAAAAACCCTATTGATTGTGTTATCTAAGTATATTTTTATTTATATTTCATAGATTTATAAAAAAGAAGGATTTAAATATATTTTTAGAGGAATGCATGCTACTTAATAAAGAGAAATTCTTGGCTATTCAGCTTAATTTGCTGTTTATGAATGTATTAAGAATTTTTTATGTGATTTATCATAAAAAGCAGAACCTTCAACAGCTAATTTATTGATTTCTGGAGGTTTAGCTGGAGTTTCATGTTGGACAATTGGATATCCTTAAGATGTAAAATAATAAATTTAAATTAAGACAATCAAGACAATTCTCTAATGTTAAACTTGCACTGATTAAAAGGTTTATAAAGTAAGGTGTTATGATGGAGGATTTTACGATTGTTTGATCTAAAAAATATTTACTGAAGGTTTTGGATCTCTTTGGAAAGGATATTCTGTTTGTGTTTTTCGGGCATTTTACGCTAATGCTATCGGGTTTTATGCGTATGAACTGGCCAAAGAATAACTTACTTCATTCTATTAGTTTTGATGTAAATATATTCAATGTTTATATTTCACTCATATTTTATTACACTTTATCAAATAATTTAAATTGTGAATTCAAAGTTAAATAAGAAAAATTATTGTTTTTCTTTCATCAAAACTATTTCATTAATAATATTTTTGGTTGCTAGATAATATCGTTAAATATATTTTTTAAATCTACATAATTTTATTAATACTAAATTATCTAATATTCGATAATTTAATATAATAAATTATTTATATTAATAAATTTATTTATATTACAAACTTATTTGATTAAAATATAATATTGCATCGATATTAAATTTAAGGAAAAAACGTATTTAAAATATGATTTTAAGAAGTAACAAATAATACAAATATAAAGAATCAACTTTCAATTATAGATCCTTATCTTCTTTTTAAAATTGGGTTTTGAGATACATTATATTGATCAAGTTAAATATTTTAACAATCATAATTTTTCTTTCCTATTTACTCGATTTCTGATGAATTGTTTAAAGTTTGATTAAATTTTTCATCCCCTTTCTTTTTTAAAATAGATATAGGAATTTTTTTTGATATCAACGATTTTTGTTTAGTTTATGCACAACCCATCTGCTTAGTATTATTTGTATAAATTTAAAAATAATAAATATTAAGTTTAAAACATATTAATAGTTTGATTAATAAAATATGAAAATAATCAATTTAGGAGTTTATTTTAATATTCATTCAAGGGTAGGATCATAAAAGAGAACAGTTGGCATTTTAGGTCCTTGAGAACAATTCTGATAATATTTAATTTAAAGTAGAAATTCAGTAAATGGATTAATTAAGTCTTTATACAATCTATAACTAATATGATCCATATCATCAGCCAAATGTAAAATACATTTATCAGATTTACATGATTCTAAATAAAAAATAAGTTTACTATATAATTCTTATGCTTATGAATATGGTATTATATTATCAGCTTTGCCATGTAAAATAAAAGTAGGTACTTTAACTTTTTAAATTTATTCTAAATTATCAAATCTTTATCTAATAAGGAATTATGCCCATGATCCAATATAATCTCTGACTGCTGCTTTAAGTGATGTAAATGGAGACATTAAAGCTAGACATGCAGGTTTATATTTATTAGCTATATAAGTAGCAGGTCCACTTCCTATACTTCTACCAAATACTATAATTCTATTTTCAGCATATCCTAATCTCTTTGTTAAATAATTAAACACATATTCAGCATCGTTTAATATTGCTTCAGCTGAAGGTTATTCATTTTTATATTTTCCATATCCAGGATATTCTACAGCTATTGCAGATACCTAAAATAATATACTACATTTTCATACTTATAAATTTTCACGGAGATGAACTAAAAAATTATATGACTATGTTATATCTTCACAATTTGCATGAAAATATAATAAAATATTAGGGGAATGTTTTTTTGAATCTACATACATACAAGGAATATGTCCATTTATTTAATGAGATTCTCTTGAGTTAGATCTAAGTGGAGGTTAATCATCAAAAGATTCATTTTAGTTTGTTTATTTCAGATCAATCAATTCTTAAGGTAATTTAATTAATGGTTAACTAAAGCAAATACTTTAATCAATTCTTGTCTTTTTTACAGGATAAAGATTAGATGACATTCTACACAATTATGGTTTTTTTGTTATTATTTAAACAGATTGCATATTTAATTTTTACAACTTTTATTGAACATTTGGACTACCCTCATTAGAATCAAATGTCGGTGAATTAATATCTGTTGTTTATCTCTTTGTTTGTCTTCTTGTTATTGGTTTCCATTAAAAATTTGGTATTGGTTGTAATTAAGATTCTCTATTTTATAAATTATATTTCTTACGTAGGTTCATCAATTAAAAAATGATCATCTTCAAAATCTTATTCACTTTATTTGAAAAATACTCCTCTTTTTTTATTTGTTCTAGGTACATAATTTTTAAATGTAGGATATAGTTTTGGATATTTCGGAATCCATAAAATTTGACCATGTTCATGATCATTTGATATTTCTTTTGGTGCTGGGAAAAAAATAAAGTCTAAGTCCATCAAATTTCTAATTATAATTTATTATTTTCTTTTTAATGCTTTTATATTAATAATAACTAAAAAAACTTAAATACTAAAAAACTTCCAAGTTTTAACTAAAAATGTCTCTATTCTTCCACTCTCATTTTAAATTATTAAAAAGATTACAGTCTCCATTTCTCTTTATATTATTGTCGAAAAATGAATTAAAATTATATACTTATAACAATCGTAATGATTTTAGAATTATGTTGAAAGAAATTACATTATTATAAATCGTTCTATTTTACTATGACACTTATATTCTTAGATTTTATAAATTTATTTATATTTCAGAATTGTTTTTAAAGTCATTTTTTTTTTACATAAATTTTTACTTATTATAAAATTAAAAATTAAAAAAGATGATGATTTTAACAATTAATTCTAATCTCATTATGTAGATTTTAAGATTATTTTTGATAAAAATAAGTAACTTATATATTATAAAAAATTTTATTTATAAATAATAATACGTCATTCGAACAGCATAAATTATTTTAAAGTATCCTTATATGAAATCATAATATAAAAAAAATAAAAAAAAATGAGGGGCTTTGTAAAATAATTTATGTTCACAGAGCAAGTCTCCCTATCATCTCAATAATAAATTAAAAGATGCTATAAAGAAGCTAGAATAGAAATGGCAACCAATCCAATAAACCCATTTCATTAATGGATTATTAAAGTAAGTATAATGGTATTATTTTTAGCTTGATGGAAAAAGTATTAAAACTTAAAAAAGAAACATTTTAGCAGTGCCTTCTCCTTAATTGGCTGCTTATATAGCTTAAGAATTCAACAATTAGAATTAGAATATGCAATTTTTTAGTATGCCATTTTTAAAGTTTGCCAGTCATGCTGTAGATTTAGATTTCGATGCTTCAAATAGATAAATGCTTGAAATGAAATTTATGTTTAATTTAGAAAATGATTTAATTATGAGAGGATAACTAAATTCAGATAAATTACCTAAAACAGAAACTCAAATTGCTGACTCTTTGTTAATTAAATTATCTAGAAAATTGAATATATAAATTAATTCAAATGATGATAGATATTAAGAATACTTAAATTAATAGAGTAAAATTAAACTTGAATCATTTATTAGAGGAATCAATAATTGGTAATTAGTTGCTTTGAACTCAAAAATAGGTAAAAAAATATTTCTATTTAATTAGAGAATCTCTCATCATGTATCTTGGGTTTGTATTTACAATTAGGATTGATCAACATTTCATCTGCATTAGCTTTAAGAAAGTCTTTAATAGAATTTAGAGATTTAAACAGAAGATCGAGTTAAAAAGAAAATAATGAATAAATTTTGAAAACCACTCTTGAAGCTTCTTAAATGTTTTCTGAATCAATAACTACTTAAAGTATAATGTATTGATTTTATAGATGTGTTTCAATAATAGTTTTATAATTAATAGATATTATTCAAGTTTATTTTTTAAGTTATAATACACTAATATAAATATTTTAATATAATTTGTTGAATAATTATAATATTTTGTTAAATAAATCATTTAATAATTATTTAATAATTTAAACAATCTAAATATGTTAGAGTAATGAAAATAAAGTAAAGTACGAGAAATTTGATTGTTGTAAAGCTATTATAAATAATTAATTTTGAAATTAGATTAAATCTATTAAAATTTTGTTAAAAACATATAATCATATCATTTATAAGGTTCATAAATTAATTATTATCTCTTTTACATCTCTCTTAATAAAACGTTTTTGTCAAATCTATATGAACTAATACCTTCATTATGTCACTCTGTTTGGATTTCAAGATAGCAAATGTTAGTGATTTTACTTATATAAATGCTTGTTTAAATGTATAAATAATTTGGAATAAAATTAATTATTTTAATTTTTTTTTATCTTCATGGTAATATATAATCAAATAATACAATATATTTAATACTAATGAACCACAGATTAAAAAAAGGATTAAAGAGTGATAGAAAGCTTCATAGAAGCAACAATAAGTCCAAATATAGACATCCCTAACAAAAATAATAAGGTTCAGAAATCAACAGAAAAATATGGGAAAAAATTGATACTTAACAATATATATAGAATCAGTCACAAAGGGAACTATTGGAAGGAGAAATTATACAGTTTCTAAAAAAAAAGAAGATAATTCCACTCATACTTTAAGAACTATAAAATGAAATATTCATAAGTAGAAAAAAAAAATTTTCAATTATCATGATGAAGAAGAGATTCCATTTAATCTCTATTAATTTATGGAAGATAACTATAAATTTCAATATGAGAATTTATCATAAAGTATAGAGAATATCTAAAGTTATCCCCCACTTCTTTCAAACTCAATTAAAAAAAAGAATAACAAATTCACTCTTAAAGTTCAGACGACAGCCTAAAGAAAAATAACTCAAATGATGAAAATTATTCTAACAATAGTTGGGAACTAAATCTTTGAAATAATAATTTATAAATAGAATTTATATCAAGATAAATAAAAATATTAAATGTTCTATTTTTTTCATTTAATTCTAGAGATTTATAGAACTAAAACCTCAAACATTTTATATCATTCTAAGGGTAAACAATTTCTAATTTTTAGTCTATAAAAATAAAATAATAAAGACTAAAGACTCTTACAAAATATCCTCAATTTCTTAAGAATGAGAAATATCATTGCTTAAAATAATCTTATTTTTTAAATAAGGCCCTTCATTCTTTCATGATTGATAAAATCTTTATTTTTTTCATTTTAAAAAATTAAATTCTTATTCTTTTCAGTCAATGCATAAAATAATGATAAATTACAGTATAAAATTTATCTTTTGAATTATTATTTAAATAATAAACCAATTTTATCTTTCATCTTGTTAAATGACTCAAAATTTATCGTTTGCTTTGATTATTGGTTACATTCCGTATTATAGGATAGCAGAATCAGAATATTCAAAATATCTCTCGTATCTTTTGGTATATAGGAACAAATATAATTAACAAGAGAATCAATTTGAACATCACAAGATTGAATGAAAAGTGAATTCAAAATTATTTCAATTTTAAGAAATATTAAGTACCATTAAATTCTATTATTAACAACAATTATAAAATATTTTCGAAATTTAAAATTTATATATAATTCTTGAATTTGAATTTATTTTTTTACTCAAAAAATTTTGGATATTTAAACTACTCCATATTTTTTTCTCTTTCATTATATTAAATTCCTTTATTTTACATCATAATTTAGTTTGATATTGTTTTGATAACGATAATTAGATTTTGAATACTTTCTATGTTTCTAATTTGTTGTTCTGGTGTTTATTCAATAATGTTTAAAAACAAAAAGCAATTTTTTATAAAATAAATTCTATTATTCTCTTGATTTATAACCAAAATTTAAAGCAATTGTTATTAAGGATTTCTTACATATTTATTAAGATAATGAATCTAAATTCACATTTCTAATTTTATTTCTAAATTTAATTCATTGGGTTTATGATTAAAATGTATTTAGTTTTTGAATTAATCATATTACTTTTCAACCAACTTAAATTTTACAAATTAAAAGAATTATAAAATGTAAGATTATTTTTTCAAGAATCTAAGACTTTCATATTTCATTATAGGTATCACTTTCGGGGTTTTTGTGTATAATCAAAAATTGCTTATGGAATTTTTGATGCAGAATTTATTTTTCTTTGAATTCTTTCTAGAAGAACTGTATTTCCATAAACGAAATTCAAATTTGTTTTAAAATTTAGTAAAAAATATCTTATTGAATTTAAAGAAAGTACCTATTCAAGTGATAATTAATCAAATATATTGAGGGTACTTATAAAAAAAATGATTTCATAAAATCGTATTTGTGAAACAAATTATTATGATTCTTTAACTTAAACTGAAAACCTTCAAATTTACATAAAAAAATTGTTTTTTTCTAAAAAGAGGAGTATCATTTAACAGTTGACTTGTCTACTTTTGAAGAAAATAAAGGGTCTTTTATGAATAATGATATTACACCAAAATCACCTAGGATGTCAAAAATTGTAAAGAAATTCAATACAACTAAATTCAAATAATATTATTGATCATAATAGATTTAACAATTTTGCAATCTTCAATAAAGTAATATATAAAATAAGAGATGTTTTACTAATTACAATTTTGTTTATATATAATTTAAACTATAGATCTTTGCTTTTATAAATATATTCTAATTTGAATATAATACAGTTTTAAGGATTATATTTTTAGGCAATTTCCTCTTAAATAGAAAAGTATATATTTGATATAAAAATCTACTGATTTTATATAAAGCTAAGTTTCAGCATATGAATTTAGAATACTCTAATTGAATCTAAAGTAATGTTTAAACATAAAAATATTAATTGTTTGATAAAATTCTAATTTATGAGTATTTTTCTTCTTTAATATTATATGAATAAAGTTAAATATTGTCTGTATTAAAAATTCCCTAGACAGCTTATAATAAATTATTTTTATAATGAATTAAACAAATTGCTTTCCTAAAATCTAAAAAGCTTAATCAACAGTAAAGAATTTAGAATTTATATAGGCGAAACTTTTAATAAAAACAGATTGGGATTAGAGTATAAATTCAAGTATTCCGCTTACTATTAGAGCAGAAATGTCATCAAACAGAATAAAAACTGATTTAACAAATAAAAACTTTTAAAGTAATTCTGATGTTTCTTACCTAAAAACAAAACATAAAAAATTTCAATCAATTGAAAGCAACATCTATAAAGATCCAGAACTATCTTAAACAGTAAAAAGTATATTTAATAACAATAGAAACATGATAAATCTTTGCAAAGTTTTTATAGTACTATGTATAGAAAATCATAAAACAAATTACAATTCAATAATAAAATTGATAAAACTACTATTAAGTGTTAATGGTTGGACTTTGAAGATTTATTAAAAGATAAGAGTTTGATGTAGAATGGGTTGTAAAAATACTTTTTTGATATTTTGAAACATGAAATAAAGCAATAATCAAATTAATCAGTTATTCCTGCAAATAGATAATAAGCTATAGATTTAAAAGAGTGGTTATTCTATATGCTTTAAAGAACAAAAGATTAAAGCAAAAATTTAAGTGGTATATAAATAGCTGAAGAAATTCAACTAATTTATACAACATGTTTTAAAGAAATTATAAAGTATATATAATAAAAAATATAGATAAGTAAAAGTTGAATGTGTAGAGAGAGGTGAATTACTTTAAATTATATGGGATTTTTATATTTAGTTAATTGACTAAATAATTAAGAGTTCAAATTAATAAATGTAAGGTATAGAAATGGAAATGAAAAATAAATTGATTGATTAAGAGACGTTTTATAATGAACAATTGCGTTTTTAAGAACTTATTTATAATGAAAGTAAGAGTTAAATCAAATAACTACAATTTGATTACGAGAGGACTTTAGATGTTGATTAACAGTAAAAAGAATAGATATTATAATTAACATAAGAATACAGAGAAGCATTAGAAATAATAGAATAACATAGAAAATAAATAGACGAATTGTAATTATAAATTGTTATGTTGAAAACTGAATCAATAAATGATACTAAATAAGAAAATGAGAAAATAAGTATTCAACTTTAATAGGGATAGTCAATAGTTTCACATTTAATGAATTTTCAAGCTAAAATTGATAACAATTAAAAATATAGAATAAAATCTCCATTTAAATCTTAAGGTAGTAAATCTCCAGGTAGATCACCTAAAAAAAATAGTATAATATTTGATAGATGGGAGTAACTTAAGAATTAAGAAAATTAATTGAAATCATAGATTATATCATTAAAATATTTAGATTTTGATAAAGATTAACAGCCATCTTAAAAAAATATATTGTAATTAAGTGGAACTGATGATAAAGCTATTTAAACAGAAGATTAATAATAATGGAATATATAAAATAACATTGTAGAAAAATTAAATTTTAATAATAGTTAAAATATAGTTATAGAAGAGAAAAGTAAAGTAGTATCTAATGATTTGGAATAAAAAATAACTATGGCTTTAAAATTAATTTAAGAAAAGAAATTAGACGAGAATTAAAAACAATTATTGTGTAATACTTTAAGTGAAAGTAAAGAAGTATTTGAATAGAATAAAACATTATCCTAGAAATTAATCACAATGAATAAATTGGATTCTATGAATAAAATTGAATTAATGGAAAAAGAAGAATTATGTTAGGAGTTAGAAATGAAGTTATAATAAACTGTATAGGATTTTATTTTCATTATTTCAAATAATAAAAGAAAATTGCATAAAATATTGAAAAAGAATTCTTAGTTGGTTGGAACATTAAAATAAATAGAGAGTAAATATGAAATTGTTATTAATGATGTAAAAGCAATAGAAGAAGAAGAAAGTCGTATTATAAATTATATTAATGAATCTGTTTAAGATGGGGATGATAATTTATTTAGTGGAAGAGAATCTTAAATTCTTGATGATGATGATTTTAAATCAAGAAACAATTCAATTGAGATGTAAGAATCAATCTAATTATAACCATAACAAAAATAAAAATAAAATTAAAAATAATTTAAAAAAGTTAATTCTGAAACTAGCTCTTAGGAATAATAAGATAAACTTGACAAAAGTTTAAATAATCCTTTTAGTTCTAACAATTTAAATGATACTTAAATGTAGTTCCATCAAACCATAAGTAATACAGATGAAGAGAATTTTAAAGAGTCATAAAATTAGATATTATCTATTCACTAATAATTTAATATGCTATAAAGCAATCAAGAATATAAATCATCAATTGTTAATAATCCTAAAATGAAAAATAGTTTTAAAAAATAATAATCAGTTTAAAAATTTACATAGCCTAGTGAATAAAATAAACCATTAAAACATCATATTAAAAATCCCAGAAATTAATTTGACAATAATTTATAGAAAATTCAAAATAATAATAATTCTAAAAGTAATCTATAGAATTAAAGAGAAAGAGATGAAAATACCAGAATGCGTTAAAGTTAAAGAAGTTGTGCCGAATCTGAAAAAAATCATTTAGAAGAAGACAAAGATTGTGCATAAAGAATTAAGGATATTATATCATAATATAAAGATAAGTAATTAACTAAAAGTAAATTTGAAAATCAAATATTTAGATTCCTACAGTCATAAAACTCGTTAATTTAATTTACTATAAGAGACAAAGTAACCAAAAAAATTTAGAAGAGTTTATAGTTAAAATACGGATGTAGCAAATACCTTATTTAAATAAGTAATTAAAAGCAAAAATTTAACCAAAACCTTATCATTTCTTCAATTTAACAAAATTATTAATTAAATTTTAAATGATGTTTCAAAGTAAAATGAAGGATATAAAATCCCTTTTCATGTTTGTATTTATGATTTCATAAAAAATAAATATGGATTTAAATAAGTTGCTGAAAAAAAAATAAAATAAGTATTTTTATTTCTCTATTTTAAAGATTTATGAATTTATTGTTTTAGAAAAAGAAAAGAATATAAAAGTTTAGTTAATTTCAAAATATTGTAATTTTAACGATGTAATTGATGAAGTTGCTTAAAAACTTTTGATAGAAGCATTCTTATTCTTTAATAGTAAGATTGAATCAAACAAAACTGAATTTTAAATTACATTTGAATCAGCAAACGAATTTTTGACTGAAAAATCTTAACTTTGGTTATAAACCAACTAAATATAATAGTTATAAACATAATATAAAACATAAAATTCATAATATGGATCTAATAAGTTTTGTATTAATTATGACTAATTTATTTTAAAGATTTTAGATTTTTATATTTTTAACAAGCAAGATTATTAAAGAATATTAGAAACTCTATTTAAAGCTGCAGATTTAGATGGAAATAAGCTAATTGAATATGAAGAAGTAATTGATCTATATTTTAAGTAGTTTAAAACTCTTTATAGAGCTATTCACATTTAATAAATGCAGACTGAAAATTTATTATAGATCTTCTTAATAAATGCAGACTTTGCTGATGAATAAGGAGATAAATACATTACATTACCTCGATTTACTGAAATGGCAATCGAATTAAATATATTTCCTAAAGATGCAGTTAAAAAATATGGAGAAGGCAGTGAAAAAATTAAAGAACATTGGGAAACAGAAAAAAACACCATAAAACTGAGATTTTTAGAAGCTAAATAATTTTCAAAAGTCAAACATACCTTTGAAGAATTAGATAATTTAATTAATAATGATAAAAAAGAAATTTAAAGTAAAATATTTACAAATATAAATTTAGATATATTATGGATGAGTTATAAACTTCTTAATGAATAATCTTTAAGAGTCTATCTAAAGTAAAATTACTAATTATTTTAAGATTTTTAAGTAAGCAGTGTCTTTTTGAATTATTACCTTAGGAAATTCTATAAATTAATAAACATTATAAATAATTAGATACGATTGAATGAAATCTTTATAAAATATATATTTATTTGTAATGCTCTTTTTTAGAATTCTTTAAAACTTTACATGTATTTTTATTTTTTGTTTAATTTATTTAGCGGAATTTTTAATAATAATTCTTTTAGTAATTTAATATTAAAATGGGAAATTCGTAATTAACGGATCAATAGATTCTTTTATATAAGAATGAAACATAATGTACATCATCTATTACAATAGTAAAGTTACTCCAGCGTAAATAAGAAGAATACACAAGAAATTCTAACAGCTTGACTCTAACAATAAAGGATTTGTAAGTGCAACAGATTTCATTAAAATTATTCAACATCATAAATATAGTCCATGATTAATTTAATAGTTAATAGGAAGGAAATAACAAGAAATAGATTTTATTTCATTAGTCAGATTACTAAATGCCATTTAATTTGGAGATAAAAATATTTTGTTGACAAAAATTATGGATCAAGATAGAGATGGATTAATTGGTAATGACATCAAAAATAGAATATCTATACAGAAGACATTTAAAAAACAATAACAGTTTTGAATCCAAGTTGTTTTAAAAATTCTTATGAATTGGCTCAACAAGTAGTTAATGATAAAGAAAAACTTACCTATAACAAAATGATTAAGTTATTAATTGATGAATGATAAATTACTTATTTAATAAACATTTTTTCATAATTTAATTTTTATATGAATTTTTGATCTTTATTTTTTTTTAATGATTTATAATTATAAGTCTATTTTATTATAAAAAAAAAGATGTTCGAAATTTAACATTGTTTAAATTTTGTATTTATCATAAGCTAATTTTGAATTAATAATATTAAAATCTTTAAAACATAAGAATTTTAATGAATACATTGTATTAATTCTTTAAATTATATTTCTTGATTAATTTTTATGGGCAACATTTGTTAATAATCAAATTAGATCATAAATTAAAAAGAAAAAGTGATTCGCCTAACTTGTAATCCTAATAAATAAGGTCCGAATAAATAAATTTTACACCGCTCTATTAAGAATTTATCATAAAATTTAGATACTTTTGAAGAAGACTTTTATAAAAATGAATTTTTTTTTGATTTCTCAAATGATAACAAGGCAAAAAGTTGTTTAAACAATAATGATTAAAACATGATCATAATGAATGAAGTCGAAGAAAAAAATATCATACAATTTCCTTCTTTCGAATATTTAAGTGTTTCTTAAATTCAGTATAAAACTAATGTTGTTCCAATTAAAGAGGATCCTCTAAATTTTGCATTCATAAAGGAGAAAAAAAAGAAAGATGTAAAGTTTTTAAAAAATTTTAAAAAACCAGTACCAGAAAAAAATCACCTTAAAAGCATTTTAAAATAAAAAAAATCAAATTGCTCATCTTTTAGCAGCTTTTCTGATAGATATAGCAAATATTCTGTCTCATTCAACATTCTGCCAAGCAATAATAGTAAAAGTGCAAGATCTTTGTCTCCAATAATTTATACAACAAATAATATAAAATCAGAAATAAAGCCACAAAGCATGATTTTTATGTAATAATTTCCATATATATGATTTGATAATAAATTTTTTATATATAAGAAGAAGAATAATTGTTAAGCATAATTTTAAGATGAATTATAAATGATTGTAATCTAATTTAGATATTCTAAACTATAATTTAGAACTGTAAAATATTTTAGTTCAGGTGCTAAGATTATTTTAATAAACTAAAACAAAAATAATTTAAATTAATATAACAATAAAAATAATGCATTCATATGATATTCCTACAGAAATTTTGACTCCAAGATTCTTAGAAGCATGTAGAAGAGAAGGCTTTCATGAAAAAGAATTAATAAAAAAAACTAAAATTCAGGTGATATAGATAGTAAAATAAAAAGATCCATCGATTACTGATGAATTTATCTGTGAAATAGAAAAACATTTGGAAGAAAAGAGAAAATAAAAAATTGATTTGGTTAGAGCATAAAGATAGAAAATACTTTAAGAGAATGGAACAAGAAGTTAAAGCATGCATAATCAATCTTAATTGAATTTTAGTTCAATAAGTTATGCAGAAAAACAATAAAAATTATTAGAAAATATTAAAAGAAGGTAACAAATTGAAATTGATAAAATGATTGAGTAGGAACAACTAAAAGAATAATAGAATAAGGATGTTCAATAGAAATTACTAAAATAATACTTAAAAGAGTAACAGTTTTAGGAAGAATTGAAAAGGAGAAGAGAGTATAATGAAATGAAAAAGTAACAACTTGAAAAAGAAAAGTTGAAAAAGGAATAAAGAGAAAAATAAATATAGGAATAAAAGATAAAAGAAAATGAAATTAAAGAATAAAAAAGGAAATAAAGAGAGCTTGAGAGTTTATAGAGATCAAAGTTAGAAGCAGAATTTAGAGAGAAGGATAGAAAATAAAAATAGGATTAAATTTTAAGAGAATAAGAATAATTTTAATTTGAATAATAGAAATTATAGGAATAAAAAAAGCAATAAATAGAAGAGAAAGAAAAAAAAAGATTGTAATTAATTGAGTTTAAGAATGAAGAGAGAAAAAAGTTTGCTGATTTAGAAAGGAAGGAATTTGAATTAAAATTAGAGAAGGTAAGAAGATATAATGAAGATATGATGGAAAGAAAAAGACAGGAATATTTAAAAAGAGAAGCTTAGGTAGAGGCAAAAAGAAAAGATTTTGAATCATTTTTAGATTATGTAAAGTAGCAGAAGTAAAAACTAAATATAGATAAGTAGAAGTAAATAAATAAAATATTGGTAAAAAATGATTAAATCATATTTAGTAATTAAATCTTACAAAGGAAGAAGAAAAGAGAAAAAAGTATGAGACAAAATAAAATGAATATTTAAAAAAGAAAGAATTAATGGATGAATTCTAAAGGTAACAAATGGAGGAGAAGATAAAAAAATATGAAGAAAAAGAAAAGAAAATAAAATTAATATTGTTTAATAATGAATTTATGCAAGAATAATAAAGGAATGAATTATAGAAAAAATTGAATAAAACTTAGGAAAAGCTGATAAATTTAACTAGTAGAAAAGAATTTGAGAATAAGTACAGGTAGATGTATATAGAATAAGACTAGAACTGCTTAATAAATAATAAAAGAAATTGACACTGAAGATAATATTAGAAGGATGGAATAATTAAGTGGGTATCGAAGATTGAAATTAGAACAGAAAATTTTTAAAGATGATGAGAAATGTTAATAGTTAAGAAAGGATAGAGAATAAATAAGTAAATTGGCAGAATAGATGAGAAAGGAAGCGGATGAAAAAAGGAAATTGTTTATATTTGATTATGAAAAAAGAAAACGAATGTAATCTGATGGACTTACAAAGATGAACTCATCAATGGGATAATGATTAGATTAATTCAACAACACTTTTATTGTTATATATTATTGGTATACTTAATCTTTAAAAATTTTTCGAATTAATAATTATTTTAAGTTTTCTAAAGAGAATTTGATAGATAAATTCTTAATATAGTTTTTTGATTTAAACTACTTTGATTTAGTGAACATTCAATCTAAATTATATAACATAAATTATGCTATATTTTTTACCCTTAAAAATTGTTACTTCATCCTTTAGATAGTCAATCCACATAATATCAAATACGTTGAATAAATCATATGTTGGATTAATGGTGTAAGCTCTATTGTAATCAAGTAATATATCCACATCACTAAAAATGATAATTTTAATTTAGGCCTGCAACATCCAATAAATTAAACAGTACGTTATATCATAATGATCTAAGAAATAGGATTTACTAAAGCTTCTTTTATAGAATATAAGAAATTTAGTTTATCTTACATTTATGATTTATATTGATACTAAACAATAATCTAAAACATAAATATAGAATGATAAACTTATTGATTATTACTAAGTTTAAACAGTTATAAATTAGATAGAAGTAACAAAGAAAAGTATAATAATTATTATGGAAAACTACTTTTTATTGCTTGTACTCCAAATAAATCTAGCATTTCTCTAGTTTCGTAGGTAATGTGACTACTTTAACTGCTCCCTATAATATACATCACACTGAAGAGGGAATCTATTTTAGCGAAACTTTAGAATATTTGAGATAATGTTCCTCAATTTAATGATTTCAACAGCTTAAACCTGTCAAAATTACTTTTATGTCTTTGATATTATTAATAAAGATAATACTACTAAATTTATAATTAATAATTATTAATGCTTTTATTTTAGCATATAAGTGAATATTGAGACATAAAAATTTTGAATGGTTTCATCAATATTTTAGTTGTGTATATTTTGGATAAGAAATGATAACAAGATTTAGAAGATTGCTTATTTATGTTCCTAATATTTAGTATCTTATTTATGTTTGCATATACTTACTTCCTTCTTTTAGTTTATTACTTTGACTACTCTTAGGATTATTATTTATTTTCCTTTCTATAAGTATCGTCATTTTATTTAGATAATAATGCTCTATAGATAAACTATTATTGGATTCTATATGCTTTATTAGTGGCTTATTAGATTAAATATTCATGTCATTTAACATATTAAAGTATCTTAAGGATGGTATATCTTAATGACGATTCTAGCAACTATTATAGACTCAAAGTAAAGAAATTATGTGGAATTTAAGGTTAGAAAATAAGAAAAAGAAAAAGATGAATTAGTTGATGATTTCTTTGGTTGAAATTAAACTCATAAATTAAATTATTCAAAATCTTTTTCATCATCAAATTCTAGTACTAATTCATGTATATCCTATTCTTTCTTACATTCTAGTCTTACTAAATTATCCTCTTTTTTTGTTTTCTATTTTTCAATTAATCCGTCGAAGAGATCAGGCCTATTTATATAGATGATTATACTCAATTTTTATTTTATGATCATCTCCAACTTTTATAATTGTTAAAGTAATCTCTTTATTATTGTGTTCTTTATCATCTATTTTTATTTTTTTTAATTTATTCTATTCTTTATTCATTAAATTTACTTGTAAAATTTCAATTTTTTTATTAGTTTCCTGATTTGGAGAAGCTGTGGATTTCTATCCTTTTCTAATAGATTTAAATTCTATTATTGGACTCACTAACCCAAAATTGTTTTTTTATTGCTAAGGTAATTATAAACTATTTAAGGGCTNATTATTATGGAAAACTACTTTTTATTGCTTGTACTCCAAATAAATCTAGCATTTCTCTAGTTTCGTAGGTAATGTGACTACTTTAACTGCTCCCTATAATATACATCACACTGAAGAGGGAATCTATTTTAGCGAAACTTTAGAATATTTGAGATAATGTTCCTCAATTTAATGATTTCAACAGCTTAAACCTGTCAAAATTACTTTTATGTCTTTGATATTATTAATAAAGATAATACTACTAAATTTATAATTAATAATTATTAATGCTTTTATTTTAGCATATAAGTGAATATTGAGACATAAAAATTTTGAATGGTTTCATCAATATTTTAGTTGTGTATATTTTGGATAAGAAATGATAACAAGATTTAGAAGATTGCTTATTTATGTTCCTAATATTTAGTATCTTATTTATGTTTGCATATACTTACTTCCTTCTTTTAGTTTATTACTTTGACTACTCTTAGGATTATTATTTATTTTCCTTTCTATAAGTATCGTCATTTTATTTAGATAATAATGCTCTATAGATAAACTATTATTGGATTCTATATGCTTTATTAGTGGCTTATTAGATTAAATATTCATGTCATTTAACATATTAAAGTATCTTAAGGATGGTATATCTTAATGACGATTCTAGCAACTATTATAGACTCAAAGTAAAGAAATTATGTGGAATTTAAGGTTAGAAAATAAGAAAAAGAAAAAGATGAATTAGTTGATGATTTCTTTGGTTGAAATTAAACTCATAAATTAAATTATTCAAAATCTTTTTCATCATCAAATTCTAGTACTAATTCATGTATATCCTATTCTTTCTTACATTCTAGTCTTACTAAATTATCCTCTTTTTTTGTTTTCTATTTTTCAATTAATCCGTCGAAGAGATCAGGCCTATTTATATAGATGATTATACTCAATTTTTATTTTATGATCATCTCCAACTTTTATAATTGTTAAAGTAATCTCTTTATTATTGTGTTCTTTATCATCTATTTTTATTTTTTTTAATTTATTCTATTCTTTATTCATTAAATTTACTTGTAAAATTTCAATTTTTTTATTAGTTTCCTGATTTGGAGAAGCTGTGGATTTCTATCCTTTTCTAATAGATTTAAATTCTATTATTGGACTCACTAACCCAAAATTGTTTTTTTATTGCTAAGGTAATTATAAACTATTTAAGGGCTGAGTATTGAAAAATAATTTTTCTTGTTGAGTGTTGAATATATTAGTTGGTTAAAACTTTTTAGGAGGTGTAGACAATTTTTAATCTGACTCAACTTATTCAAATGATGGAGGTGGTGCAGTAATTACTATTTTTGTATTTTGATTATTCTCTTTATGTTTTGGCCCTTTGATCTTTAAAATTCTTTAATATTTGCATAAAATTACTTTCTCTCTTGAATTTCTTCATGTGTATTATTTATACCTACTACTGGTAAAACTTCTTCATCATCTCCATCCTTTCCTATGTCAAATTATGGTTTTCGTTTTGACATTAATTTTATTATTAGATATTCCCGCTATTCCTTCCAGTCTTAAAGATCCAGAAAAATAATTTTATACTTTTTACATATTATTGTAAGGCATTTGTAACTTATACATTTTTAAAACAAAATTATGAATTAATATATCAACTCATAAGACTTCATTTTTACGATAAATTTCTTGATATTTTTATTCTAAAATTATGTTATCTTAATGTTAATTATATTTAAATGAACTTATCAATCAAATCAAACATTATAAAATTATTAAAAAGAATATTGAGTTTAAAATAATTCCTGTTTTTAATTTTATTCATTTTTAGGTATTAAGAAATTTAAATAAATATTTTGAACTTCCTTATTCTTAATTAAAGATTATATTAAAATTATGGCCATAACAATTAAATAAACTCAAGTAGACTCAGAAATAGTTAAACATATGTAGTTTATTTTACAATTATCTATTGATATAGAATATGAAATTATTGATTGAATCAACAAAACTTAAATAGTTGTTTTTTCAATTCTCATATATTTGAAAGAGATTTTTATAACTTAATTTTTCTAGATATCAACTTAATTATTTATAAAAATGATATCATAATGGTTTTTTAGCTATGAGACATAACCCTTCAACTGTAAATGGAAGATTTTGATTTAATCTATTTTATACTTCTTCTTTGAAAAATGCATAGAATTAATCAACTTATTCTTAAGGTGCTTTTTCAAGAATTTCTTTAAATTATGGAAATATGTAATTGTTATCTATATCATAAAGGTCAAATGGGATTGTTTAATTCCAACATACTATTTCTTTAATAAATATAAATTACAAATATCTGTAAAACCATATTTTTTTATAAAACTTATCATCTCCTCTCTTGTCTCTATATCTGTAGGTTTGAATGGCATATTTTAAATTAAGCCGCATTGCATAAAGCATTTAGTCATTGTTGCCATTAATAAATTACCAGAAGCTACAGGAATCACTATGCCTATTTTTCCTCCTGGTTTTAGAACTCGAAAAGCTTCTTAGATAGCTTAATTTTTATTTTCTACTAAATGTATCACCATATTAGAAATATAAATATCGAATTAATTGTTATTCAATTGTGTTAATGACTAAACATCTCCTTAAAATATTTTATAGTTATTTTATTCTAATAATGGACAATCTATATTATTACACATTAAAATTACTTAAATCAACATTTTCAATTTCTAATGGACTAATTTCCATGATTTCTCCACTAAGTGGATTATTTAAAAATTTTAGCATGCGTGTAGCTGCCACTTTAACCATTTACAATGAGAAATCACAAGCTGTCAATTTACAAGTATTTTTCCTTTATTATAAAATATATTAATGTAGTTAGCCACCTGCACATCCTGCATCTAATATCCTACCATTGTTTAATAAAATATTACTCTTCTGCTTCATTAAATCTCAACATATTCATTAAAGATAGTTGAAATGAAGCAGGATTTTTCTAGATGTTTAAATAACTTTTGCTGTAAGCATCCCAAATATGGTGATTCATGAATTAAAATTTTGAGATATTAAATTAAAATTTCTGCTTTTAATACCTTTATTAATGCGTATTATATTTTGATGATACTAATCTAAAGACTTAATACGTCATTAGATAATTATTGCATAATTTAACGAAATTTCTAAATTCTTAATAATTATTTAGAATTTCTAGTAGGATAGTATAAAATTAGAATATAGCAAGAATTTTAATTATTATNTGTAGTTTATTTTACAATTATCTATTGATATAGAATATGAAATTATTGATTGAATCAACAAAACTTAAATAGTTGTTTTTTCAATTCTCATATATTTGAAAGAGATTTTTATAACTTAATTTTTCTAGATATCAACTTAATTATTTATAAAAATGATATCATAATGGTTTTTTAGCTATGAGACATAACCCTTCAACTGTAAATGGAAGATTTTGATTTAATCTATTTTATACTTCTTCTTTGAAAAATGCATAGAATTAATCAACTTATTCTTAAGGTGCTTTTTCAAGAATTTCTTTAAATTATGGAAATATGTAATTGTTATCTATATCATAAAGGTCAAATGGGATTGTTTAATTCCAACATACTATTTCTTTAATAAATATAAATTACAAATATCTGTAAAACCATATTTTTTTATAAAACTTATCATCTCCTCTCTTGTCTCTATATCTGTAGGTTTGAATGGCATATTTTAAATTAAGCCGCATTGCATAAAGCATTTAGTCATTGTTGCCATTAATAAATTACCAGAAGCTACAGGAATCACTATGCCTATTTTTCCTCCTGGTTTTAGAACTCGAAAAGCTTCTTAGATAGCTTAATTTTTATTTTCTACTAAATGTATCACCATATTAGAAATATAAATATCGAATTAATTGTTATTCAATTGTGTTAATGACTAAACATCTCCTTAAAATATTTTATAGTTATTTTATTCTAATAATGGACAATCTATATTATTACACATTAAAATTACTTAAATCAACATTTTCAATTTCTAATGGACTAATTTCCATGATTTCTCCACTAAGTGGATTATTTAAAAATTTTAGCATGCGTGTAGCTGCCACTTTAACCATTTACAATGAGAAATCACAAGCTGTCAATTTACAAGTATTTTTCCTTTATTATAAAATATATTAATGTAGTTAGCCACCTGCACATCCTGCATCTAATATCCTACCATTGTTTAATAAAATATTACTCTTCTGCTTCATTAAATCTCAACATATTCATTAAAGATAGTTGAAATGAAGCAGGATTTTTCTAGATGTTTAAATAACTTTTGCTGTAAGCATCCCAAATATGGTGATTCATGAATTAAAATTTTGAGATATTAAATTAAAATTTCTGCTTTTAATACCTTTATTAATGCGTATTATATTTTGATGATACTAATCTAAAGACTTAATACGTCATTAGATAATTATTGCATAATTTAACGAAATTTCTAAATTCTTAATAATTATTTAGAATTTCTAGTAGGATAGTATAAAATTAGAATATAGCAAGAATTTTAATTATTATCATGCAATATTTTTTAATTATTAATCATTAAATCTTGTATAATATGTCAATTTGATAAATTAAATTCTCAAAATTAATCATAATGATGATTTAAAGATTATTGAAATAAAAATAAAATTAAATTAGATAATAAAATAAAGTATAATAGTATGGGATTACATTTAGTTTTAGTGATTAATAATTAACGATTCGTTAAATTACATTAATAAATGTTAATGAATAATAGATTATAAATATAAAATAAAATAAGACTTATAGATACATTTTTTATGTATAAATTGTAATAAATCTCAGAGCAATAAGGTATTAGGATCTTCAATATAAAATTTAAATCTTTGTAACCATTAAGCACCAACAGCTCCATCAACAACTCTATGATCACAAGATAAGGTGACATCCATTTAGTTTTCAACCCTTGAAATAAGATGATAAAATACTTAGGTTAACCATTTTCATCAGGTACAAATCTTTTACTAGTTTTTCCTACAGCTAAAATAGCTGATTAAGGTGGATTGATAACAGCAATAAATTAATCAATACCAAACATTCCTAGATTAGAGATGGTAAAAGTGCCACCTATAAATTCTTAAGGTTTAAGTTTATTGGCTTTAGCTTTATCAGCTAATTCTTTAACTGTTGAGGCAATTGTACCAAGGCCTTTGCTACTAGCATTAAAAACAATAGGTGTGATAAGTCCTGCATCAGTAGCAACAGCAATTGAAATATCAGCATTAGCAAATTTTCTAATGAATGTACCATGCCATTATGAATTAGCTTATGGTATATCTTTTAATGCCAAAGCACTTGCCTTAATAATGAAATCATTAACAGAGATTTTCACTTTTTATAATTTATTCAATTCTTCACGTACTCTTTTAATAATCAAATAGATATTACTTTAATACTTTATCCATTGTTACAGTCATAGTTAAATAATAATGAGGAATAGTTGTTTTTGATTCTAATAATCTAGCAGCTATAGTTTATCTCATATTAGTAAGTTCTGTGTCAACATAAGGATTGCCTTCAATAGCAACAGGTTTTGAAGCAGTTGTAGCTTTACTTTATTATTTAACTTAAGGTGGTGCTGTTTATTATGTAGTTTATTCTTAAGTTACTTAAGTTTATTATTATTATTATTATTATTAAGGAGGTGTAACAACTTATTATTATTATTAGACTTCAGGCTTTGATCCAGATTAAAGATATCTTTCAACATCTTTTTTGATAATACTACCATCTAAGCCAGTTCCTCTAATTTATTCTAAAGCAACATTATTCTTTTTGGCAAATTCTTTGGCAAGTGGTGAAGCAAATATTCTTTAACCAGATTAAGAAATTGTTTATATTGGGGTATCATTAATAATTATTTATGATTATTATTATTGTTATTATACTGGTTATGCTTATGTAGTTTAAGCAACAGTAGCAGTAGCAGCACCTTCAAGTGTGTAATTAGCAAAATTAGATACATTATCTTTTTTTGGAGTAGAAATAGCTAATATCTGAAAATAAAATAATAAATTACAGTTCCTAATTTAATATCTTTAGTTCCAGCAGGTACCATTAATTTAGCAATATAACCTTCCTCTTAAACTTCAAATCCAACAGATGCTTTATCAGTTTCAATTTCACAAATAACATCACCAGGACTTATCTTATCACCTTCTTTAACAAGCCATTTCATTAAATTTCCTTTCTCCATTGTAGGTGATAAAGCCGGAAGACCTAATTTAGAATGTTTAGGAAATCCTCCTACTGATGCTTTAGATGGTGCTTATTAAGGTGATGATGATTATTATGCTTATTATGCAGGTTTTGAAGTAGCAATACTTTACTCAGCTTATTTAGAGGATGAATCTTTATAATTAGCAAATGATGCCACATCTGACTACTTTGGAACTATTAATGCAACTAATTAACCAACTTTAACACCTTTAGAACCTAATTTAATTATTTTATTTTATTTACCTTCAGGAACAAGGATTTAGGCTAAGAATCCTTCATCTTACATCTCAAATCCCACTGTTGCTTTGTCTGTCTCTACTTCACATAGTACATCACCTGCTGTTATTGGATCCCCTACTTTCTTTAAGTATTTCTATATATTTCCTGTCTCCATTGTTGGTGATCTATTAATATATTATTTCTTTTATACAAAGCAGGCATTGCTAATTTCTTATGTTTCGGTAATGATGTGCAAAAGTAACTTACAGGAATGCTTGTAAAAAGAGGTCCTCTTATTGCCAATGTTTATAATGGTGTACAATGTAGCAATTTAGGTCTAAAGACTTACATCACTCTTAAGGCATGCTTTAACATTTTTAATTTAATTAATTTTATGTATATTAGAATTTGTGGTTGTATTCATATGCATATTACATATCAATCCATTTCTGTATTAATTATTTTGATGCACAATTCATTTTCAATATATTATTTTCTTTTATCATTTCATTTCACATAATTCATCAAAATTATCTATATTTAATACTTATTCTTTTCATTTATTTAATTTACTATTTATTAATAAACAAATCAAAATTGCATAATTTAATAATCACTAAAATAATTCATTAATTTTAATATGACAAACTTAACAATATGAGAATATTTATATATCAAACTTTTGAATTAAGTCTATGAAGTCTTATAATTTATTAATCTAACTAAAGAGCACTGCTTCTTTCATTTGATACTAAAATTTATATTATTTGAAGTGTTTTTTTTATTTTCTCTGTAATTTTTTCATCTTATTATTAATCAACAGCTGCCTTATTCAAATAGTTTAGAGAGTATCTCAAAAAATCTTAAGTAAGGATAAATTTACTATGAAAAATCTTTTGGAATTCCTCTTCTTTTAACCAATGAGGTTACTTATTTTTTATCTCTCTTTCTAATTCAAAATAATCATTTTGACAACTTACAAAAATTACCTTTTTCTATTATTTAGATTGTTCTTCTAAATATGCTAAATAATAAATGTTTACAAGCTTTAAGTAAATAAAAGCTAATTTAAGTTCTTTACCATTTAAAATTAGTTAATATACCTTATAAAAATAATTAACCAAATCTAATAAAGATATAGTTTTATTACCTGGGTTATTATTATTATTTATATTATTATTTGTATTATTATTTGTATTATTATTTATATTATTATTATTAATAGTATGATTATTATTATTTTAGTTACTGTTTGTTTGTTATTAATATTAAATATTTTTCTGTGGTACCATTTTAAGATCAGAAGTTTGAGTATTTTATTATTATGTTTATTAGGTTGGAGTATTATTAATTTATTAATTTACATTTCTTGAATTTATATTATTCATTTATTATAAAAATTTTTTTCTTTTAGNAGTATTTCTATATATTTCCTGTCTCCATTGTTGGTGATCTATTAATATATTATTTCTTTTATACAAAGCAGGCATTGCTAATTTCTTATGTTTCGGTAATGATGTGCAAAAGTAACTTACAGGAATGCTTGTAAAAAGAGGTCCTCTTATTGCCAATGTTTATAATGGTGTACAATGTAGCAATTTAGGTCTAAAGACTTACATCACTCTTAAGGCATGCTTTAACATTTTTAATTTAATTAATTTTATGTATATTAGAATTTGTGGTTGTATTCATATGCATATTACATATCAATCCATTTCTGTATTAATTATTTTGATGCACAATTCATTTTCAATATATTATTTTCTTTTATCATTTCATTTCACATAATTCATCAAAATTATCTATATTTAATACTTATTCTTTTCATTTATTTAATTTACTATTTATTAATAAACAAATCAAAATTGCATAATTTAATAATCACTAAAATAATTCATTAATTTTAATATGACAAACTTAACAATATGAGAATATTTATATATCAAACTTTTGAATTAAGTCTATGAAGTCTTATAATTTATTAATCTAACTAAAGAGCACTGCTTCTTTCATTTGATACTAAAATTTATATTATTTGAAGTGTTTTTTTTATTTTCTCTGTAATTTTTTCATCTTATTATTAATCAACAGCTGCCTTATTCAAATAGTTTAGAGAGTATCTCAAAAAATCTTAAGTAAGGATAAATTTACTATGAAAAATCTTTTGGAATTCCTCTTCTTTTAACCAATGAGGTTACTTATTTTTTATCTCTCTTTCTAATTCAAAATAATCATTTTGACAACTTACAAAAATTACCTTTTTCTATTATTTAGATTGTTCTTCTAAATATGCTAAATAATAAATGTTTACAAGCTTTAAGTAAATAAAAGCTAATTTAAGTTCTTTACCATTTAAAATTAGTTAATATACCTTATAAAAATAATTAACCAAATCTAATAAAGATATAGTTTTATTACCTGGGTTATTATTATTATTTATATTATTATTTGTATTATTATTTGTATTATTATTTATATTATTATTATTAATAGTATGATTATTATTATTTTAGTTACTGTTTGTTTGTTATTAATATTAAATATTTTTCTGTGGTACCATTTTAAGATCAGAAGTTTGAGTATTTTATTATTATGTTTATTAGGTTGGAGTATTATTAATTTATTAATTTACATTTCTTGAATTTATATTATTCATTTATTATAAAAATTTTTTTCTTTTAGCACTAGAATTACTATTTTTTGAACTTCTTCTATGTTCATCTTATGAATTGTTACCTCCTGATATTTTTTGATTATCTGAATTAGATTGAATTTCCTAAACAGATGTTTAATTTTATTAAGAATTAGAATTTACATTGATTTCATTGAGATTTGTCTATTATTATTCTTAGAATATTTATATTGCATCTTTTTCATCTACATTTAAAAGCTCTTTCTTAATTTATTTTTGATTTTCGTTTAATTTTATTTATTGATTGACATTGCTTGGTTCAAGTAATGAAACTGTATCTGAAGCAGTTAATCTTTAAGTTGGGTCTACTTTAATTAAAAACAAAATCAAAGCTTGAACCTTTTTAGAAACCCCAGTATTTGGAAATTATAATTTACCATGTTCTTTAAACTTTTATAGAGTGATTTTTAAAATATCATTGTTTTCAGAATAAAAAGGAGATTGTCCATAAACCATCTCATATAATACACAACCCAAAGACCACATATCTGCTTTACAATTGATATCATTATCAAAGAGAACTTCTGGTGCCATATATAGAGGTGTACCAATAATGAATGTTTATTGAGCTTGATCAATTTTTTAAGCAAAACCAAAATCTGCTAAAACACATCGATCTGACAATAAAATATTTGCAGATTTAATGTCTCCATGCACTAGTGATATTTAAATTTATACTTATATTATGTTAATGAATAGTTTATAATGCTTTTGCAATTTGTAAAGTAAATTATAATGCCTCTTCTTCTGAAATTAAAGATCGTTATAATTTTTGTAAAAGATCACCTATCATTTTATTTAATTTAATACCTTTATTGCAAAATTCAGTTACTAAAAATACTGTTTTATTGTTTTAATGATGATACAATAGTTTAAGTATGTGAGGTGAATCTAAAAGTTTAAGAGTGTTGATCTCATTTTCAATCATGTACATTTGAATTGGATTATTAGCTTAGATTGTAATAACCTTAACTGCCACTAATTGATTAGGCTTATTCTATTCATAACCTTTATACACAACTGAATACTATCCTTTCCCAATAACTTAAGAGCAATCAAAAACGTAAGGACCAGTCTAATTTTTATAAATTTTTACCTACATCAAGAGAGATTGCTTTCTTGGTATTTGTAAATTTACATGAGCAGGAGGAGACTTCACTCTCTCTTAAGGACTTAAAAACCTTGGTCGTCGCATCATTAATTTTTTTAATAAAATATGTAATTATTAAATTTTAATTCATTTCTTTTTTTATTCAAAATTCTGTTATTATTGAAACAACATAATATTTTAATAAATTTATTTTATTAAATCTATGACGACTATTTTTTATTCAAGTTCTTTTTGAATTCAGTTTTAAATCCACAAGTATTATTTATAAAATACTAAATTTATACCAAAATTTAAATCAATAAAAAAATAATTTAAGCGGATTCATTATTTGTTTATAAGTTTTTGTTTTTCGATTAAATATCTTTAATAATTTAATGAATCAACCTAAAGTTTGGGATGCTTATAGTAAAAGCTATCATAATATTGAAAAAAATCCAGCAGGATTACAATTTTCTTTGATAAATATGTTAAGAATAAATGAAGCAGATGAGTATGAAATTATTCAAAAAATAGAATCATAGATACTGGTTGTGCAGGAGGCCATTTACATTAATACATCTTATAGCAAAGAAAAAAAAACTGTAAATTAACTGCATTTGACTTTTCCCTTGAAATGACTAAAATAGCTGCAGTACGAATGATAAAATATCTTAATAATCCTTTAGCAGGATAAATGGAAGAAATTAGTCCATAAGAAATTGAAAATGTTGATTTAAGTAACTGTAATGTGTAATGATATAGATTGTCCATTATTAGAATAAAATAACTATAAAATATTTTAAGGAGATGTTTAGTCATTAACACAATTGAATAACAATTAATTTGATATTTATATTTCTAATTTAGTATTATAATTAGTAGGAAATAAAGACTAAGCCCTATAGGAAGCATATAGAATTTTAAAACCAGGTGGTAAAATAGGAATTGTAATTCCAGTTGTATTAGGGAATGTTTTAATGTTATCTTTATAATAATGCTTTATTAAAGCTGGATTGATTCCCAATATGCCATTCAAACCTACAGATATAGAGACAAGAGAGGAGATGATAAGTTTTATAAAAAAATATGGTTTTACAGATATTTGTAATTTATATTTATTAAAGAAATAGTATGTTGGAATTAAACAATTCCATTTGACGTTTATGATGTTGATAACAATTACATATTTCCATAATTTAAAGAAATTCTTAATAAAGCACCTTAAGAATAAGTTGATTAATTCTATGCATTTTTCAAAGAAGAAGTATAAAATAGATTAAATCAAAATATTCCATTTACAATTGAAGGGTTATGTCTCATAGCTAAAAAACCATTATGATATTATTATTATCAGTTTTTATATGTGGTGGTTGTTATAGGATAAAAATAATTTTTATGATAATTTCATCTTCTTGAATGAATCATTTATTAATTTCTAGATATCACTAAATTATCTGGTTTGAACCGTTAATTGTTTGACACTACATATAAAGGTTTTGGCTCTGGTTATGAATATTTTGGTGCTGATAATTAATCCTCAGAGATTTTTCTAAAAAAATTATTAGTATATATACTTGAGTATTAATATTAAAGATATTAATCCAAATAACATCAAAAAAGCTGCTAATAAACAATATAATGAAGGATTAACAAATGATAGACTATCTTCAGAATCCATATTTGATGATCCAATCATAATTGTGTTTTCTTTTGAATTGAATATAGCTCCATTTTATCTAAATTAAAATGATGTTATTACTAAAAGAATTAATTTCCTAAATATGATGCAGAATTATGTTGGAATATATCAAATACACATTTTTATTCGTTTTAGATATATTAAGGATTTAAAGGGAGATTAAAAGTATTTGGTAATCCATTAAATGCAATTTTAATTTTGGGAATCTTATTAATAAACTCTGGCTTTGGACATAAACAATTTAATCTATTATTTTCGACAGAGCAAAACTTAATTATAATAATATATTCAATTACCAGATTTTAATAATTTTTTATTTAAGTTATTATCTTTTTGATAATGGGTTTAGTAAAATAATTGTATTTAGTTGTTAGATCAAAAGTAATAAATTCATTATCACCTTTTTTAATAAATTAAATATCTTTCTGAAATAATTAGAATTATAATTTCCATTAATCTTCAGCTTAATTTTAATAAGTAATTGTTTTCTAAAGTTAATAGGTATTCTATTCGCTAATAAAGATTTTTTCTTATCCAACAATAGTTGAGATTTGGAATATTTATTAGAAGTTTTGTTGTTCTAATCTAATTCAAATTTTACTTACTAATAAAATAAATTGGATTTATTTGGAGAATCTGTTAATTTTGTTAAACTCAAAACTCCATTTAATTTATATTGCTAATTTGATATATCATAAGAGAGACAAATCTGAAAATTATCAAAGAAACTCTTATCTAACACAATATTCTTGCAATAAGTAAATTTTAAATACATTTTTAGTTAGGATGCATTTATTAGAGTTTTGTAGTGTGATTGATTGAGAATTTGAAAGCTTTGAGCATCCATTAGTTTCTTTACATTCAAATTATTAGACATTTTATGGGCAACCTATACATTAATGATTATTAATTGGATTTTTTGAATATATCCATGTATAAGGAGTGAGATTGTCAATTATCATTTATTAACTTTAACCAGCAATTTGTAAATAAACCTAAATAAATATCTATTTTACTGAGTATGCAGTATCTGTTAGATCTCCTCTCTTATAATCAAATGGGTATAGCTTCAATTACAACCCATTAATTATTACGACTGATAAGAATAAAAACATTAATAAAAAATTAATGAGTATTGATTAAATTCTAAAAGATTAAGAATAAGAATGGTGGTAAGCAGGAAAAGAAGATGAATATAATGTATTAAATAAAATCTAAAGAACATCTTGTCGTCCTATTTAAAGGAAATATTTAGAATGTTTGAAATAAAATTTTGATGAACAAATGCTTTGTGATTAATAAAAAAAAGACATGGATAATTGTTTAAACATATTATAATATATGAAAATTAAAGAGATTTAGAAAAAATTGATTAAATGAAATATACAATTAATTTAGAATTGATTAGATATCATTTTTAGACCACTGTTAATAACAGTTCTGTAAATTCTTCATATTAGATATTCCCATCATTATTTTTATCACACGATTAGATAATTTGATCCCATTCTGAATTATCAATATTAATTCCACATAAAATATCTTATAATTCAGCTTTTGATATCACACCATTTCCATCCTACATATTATTAAATTAAGAATTTACTTTATCAAACATTTTAAATGCTAAATCAATTTTATTTTTAGAAAGAATTGTATTTTGTTTAGCAGATGCTACAAGAAATTCAGTATAACTTATTTTACCAGAATGATTTTGATCTATTGAATCAAATATTTCACTAATTAAAATTTGTGCCTTCAATTCATCATTAAAAACTTAAGTATAAGCTATTAGATATAAAAATTCAATTACCTTGAATTAATTCTTATTTTGATAATTACCCATCTTTATTTTTATCCATGCTTTAAAATGTTGATGTAAGTTACTCCTTTTCTTCATTAGTCATAATTGAACCTGCTATTAATTACATAATGGCAGCTCTCATATTACTTTCATTCTAAAATTATTATAAAGTAATTATACTCTAAATTTTCTTAATTCATTCAGAACATCAACACTTATTTTATCTTCACTCGCTTTTAGTTTTATCCATGGATCATCTAAAATCTGTTAAGCAGAAGGTCTTTTTTTTGGATCATACTGTAACATTGATTTTATCAATTCCTAAGCTTCAATTGATAATGAAATAAACTCTTTTCTTATAAAGTTATATTGTCCCGATTTTATGTTATTAAAAAGTTATTGTAAACAAGAAACTTTGGTCTCAAATGGAAATTTCCCAGTTAAAATTTAATATAAAATTACACCACAAGACCAAATATCACATTTTTCTGTATAATTCTTATCTATAACCTCTGGAGCTATATATAAGGGCTAAATTAAGTATATTAAATTACAGTTCCTATAGTTTGTGACTAAGTTTAACCACTAACAAACTTTTTAGCAGTTCCAAAATCTATTACTTTTATCTGGGATTATGAATCTGTAGAAGCAAACATTATATTAGCTGGTTTCATATCACTAAATAGATTAGATTAATAAATACCGATGAATAATATTTTATGCATGACAATATGCTAATGCTTATAAAACTTATTTCATATATTCTGCTGCAATTTTTTCATTGAATGTTTTCTCAACATTCAATTTATCTAATAGTTCTCCTCCATTTAGATATTCTGTTACTAAGTAGTAATTTTGACTGTCTTAATATAGCTCATATAATTTGACAATATTTGGATGATCCATATTTTTAAGTAAAGAAACTTCGCTAAACATTGCGTCTTCTTATTCTTTTTGTATTTTTTTTTTTGATATTTGTTTCATAGCTCTTTATTATCCCAATTTCTTATGTAAAACTAACCTTACTTGACCACACGATCCTTAAATTTTAAAATATTATCTTACCTTCCCTTAAGATTTTATTAAAAATATAATTATCTGTTATATCTCCTGATTTTAAGTTAACAAAGATATTTGAACCTACTTCAAATTTATTTGTAACCAGTGCTTATTAAATTAATAAAAATTTATACATTGTTGTTCTTTGCTCATTTTTTACTCTTTGATTTTAGGTTTTGACCAACAGATTCCCATAAATTAAATAAAAATTACTATCAAATTCTAAAAATTTCTCATTTATAATGTTCTTTTTGATCAATTTCTTAATATTATGCATAAAAATTATTTACCAGAAATTCATTAATCACATTCAACTCATCATTTAGAATCAAAATACAAACAAAAAATTTAATCATCTAACTCTTCAATTGAATGGGATCAATTAATCAATACATCAATACCTAACTCAATTAAAGTTCAAGTAAATTTAAAAGCACCAGGTGCTATTAATTTATCTAAACTTGTTCCATCATCTGATGTTTCATATCTTAAATCCACTAAAAGAAATTTTGCAAAGCTTGGAACTAATATCTATAAAGATCCTGAACTATAATAANAATATAAAATTACACCACAAGACCAAATATCACATTTTTCTGTATAATTCTTATCTATAACCTCTGGAGCTATATATAAGGGCTAAATTAAGTATATTAAATTACAGTTCCTATAGTTTGTGACTAAGTTTAACCACTAACAAACTTTTTAGCAGTTCCAAAATCTATTACTTTTATCTGGGATTATGAATCTGTAGAAGCAAACATTATATTAGCTGGTTTCATATCACTAAATAGATTAGATTAATAAATACCGATGAATAATATTTTATGCATGACAATATGCTAATGCTTATAAAACTTATTTCATATATTCTGCTGCAATTTTTTCATTGAATGTTTTCTCAACATTCAATTTATCTAATAGTTCTCCTCCATTTAGATATTCTGTTACTAAGTAGTAATTTTGACTGTCTTAATATAGCTCATATAATTTGACAATATTTGGATGATCCATATTTTTAAGTAAAGAAACTTCGCTAAACATTGCGTCTTCTTATTCTTTTTGTATTTTTTTTTTTGATATTTGTTTCATAGCTCTTTATTATCCCAATTTCTTATGTAAAACTAACCTTACTTGACCACACGATCCTTAAATTTTAAAATATTATCTTACCTTCCCTTAAGATTTTATTAAAAATATAATTATCTGTTATATCTCCTGATTTTAAGTTAACAAAGATATTTGAACCTACTTCAAATTTATTTGTAACCAGTGCTTATTAAATTAATAAAAATTTATACATTGTTGTTCTTTGCTCATTTTTTACTCTTTGATTTTAGGTTTTGACCAACAGATTCCCATAAATTAAATAAAAATTACTATCAAATTCTAAAAATTTCTCATTTATAATGTTCTTTTTGATCAATTTCTTAATATTATGCATAAAAATTATTTACCAGAAATTCATTAATCACATTCAACTCATCATTTAGAATCAAAATACAAACAAAAAATTTAATCATCTAACTCTTCAATTGAATGGGATCAATTAATCAATACATCAATACCTAACTCAATTAAAGTTCAAGTAAATTTAAAAGCACCAGGTGCTATTAATTTATCTAAACTTGTTCCATCATCTGATGTTTCATATCTTAAATCCACTAAAAGAAATTTTGCAAAGCTTGGAACTAATATCTATAAAGATCCTGAACTATAATAAACAGTAAAATATATATAAACTATTTTAGAAATACGATAAAGGTATGTAATCATTTTATAGTACACTGTATCGTAAATCTTCTTCAAGATTGCCATTTAATACTAATTTAGAAAAAGAGCCTTTCTCTGGTCGTTTATTAGATTTCACTGAAATTTTTTAAGATAATAAAAAAGCTACAGGACTTTAGAGATACTTCTCTGAAATCTTAAAACTAGAAATGTAATAAAATCATTCAGAAAAAGAAATGGTTCCTCCAAATAGACAATAAGCTATTGACTTAAAAGAATGGCTATTTATGATGATAGCATACACTAAACAAGAATCTTTAAATATAAACACAAGAGAATTAGCAGAGAGAATTCAATTGATTTATGCTTCTTGTTTAAGAGAATTGATTAAGTAATTTATAATCATTAAATAGATAAGTTAGTATTGAATGCACTGAAAGAGGAGAATTATTATAAATTGTATGGGATTTCTATGTTGAACTAATTGGTTAAATAATTAAATGTTATTCTGAACAATAAAAAGAATCAGAAAAATCATATATAGAATAAATGTAAAGGATTTAAAAATTTCATGATTCATAAATGGAAGACTAAAAAATTAAATATTAATAATATTAAGAGGAAATCTAAAAAATTAAAAATGAAACTACTGATACAATTGATGAACATAATTTAACAAAAGCAAAAATGCTATTATTAACAGCTGATATGAGATAGTTATTATAAACTAACGAAGCCTAAAAAAAAGAAATAGATTCTCTACTTTTATAAATTATGCTCTTACGAACTTAAGATTAAAGCGATAAAAAATAATAAGAAAATGAAATAATCAATGTTAATTTATCTCAAGGATAAAGCATAGTATCTCATTTATTAAATTATAAATAAACAACTACTGATTATAAATTTAAAAAAAGTAGAGTTAAAGATACAAATTTCGAAAAATTTGAATAGCTAAGATAACAAGAATAATAATTGAAGTCAGAATTAATAGATTAATAAATTTTAGAACCTGATATTGAATACAATGATTAAGAAGTACAAGCAAATATTGAAAATTAAGAGTAAGAAATTTAAACGGACTTAGATTCAATTACTTTAGAAGTCTTGGAAAAAAAATTATAAGAATAGGATTTAAAAATTGAAAATTTTGAAAAAGCATAAGAATAAGAAGAATAATAATAAATATAATAATAATTATTATAAGAATAATAAAAACAAAATGATTAAGAAATTGAAAATAATTAAAATTCAACTTAAATATAAAATCAATAGTTTGATTTAAATTAAAGTTTATTTGAAACTTAAGTGCAATAAGCTATATAATTAATCTTAAATTCTTAATTAGATTAAAAACAATTAATTTGTGATATTCTTAATCAATCTATATCTTAAAATCAGCATTTATCATAAAGAATAGCTATATTAGAAAGAGAAGAAACTATATAGAAAATTGAATTGATGGAAAAAGAAGATTTAAATTAAGAATTAGAATCTAAATTAACTTAAGCTGTTTCAGATTTTATTGATATAATAAAAAAAAAAAAAAAACAGATTAATAATTTATTAAAATAAAAATCTACTCTTTAAGAAACACTTAATTAAGTAGCATCTACTCATAATATATAAATAAACATACCAGAGTTTATTGATGAAGAATTCAATATATCAGAATAAAATGATTTAGAAGAATCATAAGAAAATTAGTAAGAAATAGAATAATCTTAAAATTTTGATTAAGATGATGATTTAAGAATTGATGAATATGAAGAATTAGAATATTAATTTACAGATAGAACCAGAAATTAAGAAAATGAAGAAACTAATAAAGCCAAAGAATAATTAAAGAAAATAGTTAATGCTAATGAAGGTAAATGATAATAAAATATAATAGATTCTTAAATTAGAAACTAATAATAATAATAATTTAATTAAGAGGAAGATAAAGTTGATTAAAGTATTCGTCAAAACACTTAAACTAGTTAATAAAATACTCTCTAATAATTAGATAGCTAAACGACAGTTAACTAAAAGGATAAAATCTCTCATATTAAATAAAAAAATTAAATGTAAAATTCTCAAAATACTGAAAAATAAAAAAAAACCTAAAACAATTCATCTAATGCATCTAAAAATTTGGAAAATAAGGCTGAAATAGAAAGAAAATAATTATAATCAGATTTAATATAAAACTCTGATAAAAAAAATTAATAAAATAATAGTAGCAATTAAAATGTAAATTCTCAAACAAAACAAAATGAAAAAGCTTAAAAATCATAAACTTAGTTTACAAAACCTGAAATATAATAATAACCAATTTAATAAACTTCTAAATAAGTTTAATAAAAGAAATAATAAATTATATAAGAAAATTTACAAAGTTAAAATTACAAAAATTCATTATAAGATAAAGATAGAAAAACAGTTAAACAGTTAAATTTAGATTAAAATTAAGGAAATTCAGTATAATAGGTTTAAATGAAAGAGTAAAGTGACTAAAATTATTCAATTAATAATAACCCTTAAACTACAAAAAAAAGGAATTCAAAAGCATAAAATTAAGAAAAAAGTATAAGCATGACATAAAATGATGAATCAATCTCAGAGGATTTAGATCTTGAATCATCTTAAATTATAACAAATAATCCTTAAGGTGAAAGAGTTAAATAAGTGATTAATCAATATAAAGATTAAAAAAATAAAAATAGGAATAAATTTAATCCAATAGTTCTAGAACCTAAAAATTAAAAGAGATTTCGTAGAATCTATAGTTAAAATACTGATGTTGCTAATAATTTATTAAATGAATTAAAATCTAAAAAGAAATAAAATAAGAAAATCTAATTTTCTATTTTATAATTATAAAAATTAGTAATATAAATATTGAGTGATATTTGCAAATAAGCAGAAGGATATAAAATTCCTTTTCATGTTTGCATTTATGATTATTTTAAAAATAAATATGGATTTAAGTAGGTGGCTGAAAAAAAAATTAAATAGGTTTATCAATTTATTTATTATGAAAAAGCCAATCACATCAAAGCAAAATTATTAGCTTAATTTTGTTATCTAACTGGAGAAATGGATGAAATAGGATAAAAATTATTAACTGAAAGTTATTAATTTTTTTCATCAAAAAATGACTTAAACTATGGAAAAGTAGAATTACTATTAAACTATGAATAAGTAAGTGAATTTTTAAGTGAAAAATCATCTAGATGGCTTTAATAATAATAAATATAATAACTATTACATCAATATAGAAGTTAATAATAAAATAATTAGAGATATTATATCAATCATGATAATTTGTTATTAAAAATATTAGAATGTTATTATAGTAACAAAAAAGATTAATAAACAATTTTAGAATCTTTATTTAATGCAGCAGATTTAGATGGAAACAAATTAATAGAATTTTCAGAAGTAAGCAAAAATTATAATAAATTAGTTCAAAACTCTACACAGAGCAATCCATTAAGATAAATTATCTAGAACATAATTATTATAAATTTTTACAAATAATGCAGACTTTTAAGACGAAAATGGCGATAAAATGTTGACTTTATCAAGATTTACAGAAATGTCTATTGAACTAGGAATATTTCAAAAAGAACATGTATTAAAATATAGTGAGGGAAGTGAAGAATTAATAAATAAATGGGAAAAAGAAAAGTCAAATATTAAATATAGGTAAAATATAAAATGTATTATTTTATATAGATTTTTGAGAGCTAAAAAATTTTAAAAGGTTCGTCACACATTTTAAGAGTTAGAAAGCTAAATTAAAAATTAAGAGAAAGATAAATAAACAATATTATGGGTAAGTTATAAATTATTAAATGAAGAATCACAAAGAGTTTTATAAAAGTATTGATTGATAATTAAATTTAGTTATGAGACGAATCAGTGTTTAAATGAGCTCTTACCAGAGTTGTATTTGATAATGTAATAAAATAAAGTTATTGAATAATTAGAATGAATAATATAAATATATTTCAATTTTTATGATTTAAATATAAAATGCCGAAAATAAGTATTGATAAATAAAAAGAATCACTTTTTTGGTTTAGGCAAGGTGTTTTTATCGTCCAAAATGTGTCTCGTATTTTTAGTTAAATTGATTATTGCAGGTTCTTAACCAGATCTTTCTGAAGGATCATCTAGATTTTCTTCTTCTGTGTCATCGGATTATTCATTTTCTACACTAATTCTCGAAAGTGTAGGTAACTCAAAGTTTCTCTTGAAATTTTCACTTAATTCAAATCCTTTATCATCTGATTCTTCTTCATCAGTGCTATGATCCAATTATCCCATTCTCTAAGCACTTTTTATACATTAGATATCGTTTGGAATATATGTATAATCAATGTAAAGTATTGTTTATTTTATTGCTTAGATGATGTCATATAATCTTAGCTATAAATCTAAAAATACCCATATATTGGTTTCCAAACTGTTGGATCTAAAAATTTTACATAAACTTAATGATTTTTTAAATCAATGTTAGGATGAGGAATATTTGACTCTACATAAATTATTGGAGGACTATAAGGGTAATTAGTACTAAAATCTAATTAAAACTAAAATACTCATGTTTAAAATACTTAGTAATTATTATAAATAAACGAGCCGATTTTTGGGGATATTAATAAATATAATTTTTGACCATTTAAAGTAATCTATACTTAACAAATGTTATCATTTAACTCTTATAGTTTTTCATCAAGTAAATCATTTGTTAATCTTTTCAAAGATTATTAAGCAATTTAATTTTTTTCCTGTTGACTTTTACTTATAAAAAATTACATGTCTAATAATTATTAAAATTAATATTAACAAAATTTTTTATAAAAAAATTATAATATTATTATTTCATACTAAAGCTGTTAAAATGTCTCCATAAAAATATTAATTAGTTTAATGGTATTTCCAGTATTTGAATATCCGTTACTTATTTAATGATTTCAATTATAAGCTTTTCATAATTAAAATAATTGTAAAGGATTTTTACTAATATGAAAAAGGAAAATTTATTAGTAGTTTTGATACCCAATTAATAGAATAATATTGATAGATCTATAGAATTTCATTATCTTAAATATAGACATAAGTTCATTAAGCTGTACTTTCAATTTGATTTTCAGGTAATAAAACTTTAGTTTGATAAAATAATTTTAGATTAAATAAGATACGCAAGTGATTTATTTCCATCCGATACATAAAGCTAATAATTTAAGAAAAGAATTTTTTAATTAATCTATTTATCAAGATGCAACTCTCAACTCTTACAAAAAAGTATAAAGAAATGATAATTTTTTTAGTTATTTTAATTAAATATTTACAATTTTTTGTTCTGTTTATAAAGAATCTTAAACTTTAATAACAATTTCTTCATATACTTTAACTTTAGAGATCGATAAAGATTTATAATAAATTATTTTCTTAAGGATTTTATAATCTAATTCCATTTGTCTAATAATAAGATCTCTTTAAATAATTTAGCCTCTACTAATGGGTTTATATAAGAATGTCCGTAAACATAAACAGACATCTTTATTAATCTTCTAAAATCTAACATATAATTTAGTATTATGTAAGAAATAAACAATAACTTCATCTGCTACTAAATATTAATGAATCTTATAGTTTCTTTTCAGATCTTCAATTTAATTTATATGTATAAAGAATTTTTTATATATTATTTCAGTTTTAAGTTGTAATCTACGCAATTAAGAACTTAAAGATTATGCAATTAATTAAAATATAAAATTATCAAAATGAACTTAGACTTCTATCAATTCTAATACATGCATCATCCATCAATTACATTAAATTATTTGTCATAATCTATCTTTCTTTTTTCTCATCTTATAACATCAAGGATAAGTTCTAATGAACATCATTAATCATATCAAATATTTTATTTTCCTTTTATCTTCTAAGACTAGATTCAGAAGATATATAATTTTTAAGTTAAATAAGATTTTACTCTAATTCTCCCTCTATTTACTCAAAAGATTGTATTCTACTATTTATAATATTGATTTACCTTTGTTCTCTTTCTGTTTCTAGAACATCTTCAATCTAATTAACTGAATCAGCTATCATTTGTAATTTATTCTGGATACCAAAATCATATTGAGATTCATTTCTTGATATTTAATCTTAAAGATTATTCCAATCAAATAAATGACCAACTCTCTTCTCCATATCCTATGTTTATTAATTTTGCTATTGTAGACTCTTTTCAAAAGTATTTTTTGTGTTTTCATATGCTTTCGATGATTTTTGATTATATTCTTGAGTTAAATGATCCTAGACATTTTGATTTAGAGTATTTATTGAATCTTATAATTGTTTTATTTCGCTATTATTAACCGTTAATGCTTATTTTTCAATTTATTTCATTTTTTCTTGAAGTTATTATAGTCTGCTCACTTTTTGATTATCAACCTCTTATGATATTCTTCTCCATTTTTCAGAAATCATCTTTATTGTATGAGATGAAGCTGTTTATTATTATGGTTGAACAATACTCTTTCTTGATTATTGCAACAGCATTATTTATAAAATTTATTTTTATGTTAAAATAACTGTGTATTTTAATTCAATACAAAAAAAGATGTGTTAAATATATAATTGATTATTTCCACTAATTACTTATAATCTTAATACTTATATTTTTAATGATCTCAATTATTATAATATTTTCTATATTACATCTTACATCATTCAAATTATTAATATTAATCATTTAATATTATGGATAATTAAGAAAAAATAGAAACTAAAGATCTATAAATTAACATTAATTAAGATTCAGAAAATAATAGTTCTGTTATTACTAATCAATTAAATTCTCTTAAACATGATTTGGATGAAAATTAATCATAATAAAATGAAATCGTATCAATCAATGAAGATTATTAGCATAAACTTAATTTAGCTTTATAGTAGAATGAATCTCTTGCTTAGTAAGTATTACAATTGAAAGAGGAGTCTTATTAATAGAATCAAAAGATAGAGTTGAATATTATAGAATATTAAACACTAAATAAAACTAATGAGAAAACTAATATGGAATTAAATCAAAAGTATGATAAAGTATGTTAAGATTTCGAATAAGAAATTTAGAAACTTTAAAATGAAAAATAAGAATCACTTACAGAGATATATAATTTAAAAGAATAAGTTTAATAAATTTCTCAAGATCATTAAAAAGCGTAAGAAAAAATTTAAGATTAAACAGAAATTATCTATCAAATTGAATAATAAAATCTTCAAAATTAAAATATTTTATCAATCAATTCTAATTTAACAAAAGAAATTGAATCTCTTAATAAGTTAATCAAAGATTAATAATTGCAGATTGATACATTAAATAGAAATCTAATAAATTAATTATAATAAGAAAAAGAATCATTTATATTAGAGAAATAGTAATTATAGACTCAATATGAAACTTATTAATAAGAATTATTAAATGAAATTGAAGCTTTAGCATAACTTTTGAAAAAATCAGAGTTAGAACATTAATAGATTGATGCCTCTTATGAATTGAGTAGAAAGGAAATTGAAATATTAAGTGAAAAAAATTTAGAATTAGAAAACTTAAACAAGGATTTGACATTGCAATTAGAAACATTTAAAATTAATTAAGAATAAATATAAGAATTGAATCTACAACTTTAAAATTAATAAAAAAATCTTAAAGAACAATTAATGTTAGAAGTGGAATAAAAAAGTCAAGATTTAGATCTTCTTAATAAATAGATTTAAAATGAATTATAGGATAAATTATAGCTTTAGTAAAATAATGAAGTTTTATCAGAAAAAGTTTAAGAATTAGAAAATATTGTAATATAACTGAGAAATTAGTAGAAAATACAAGAAGAAAAAACATAATTAGAGTATGAAGTATTGTAAATAAGTTTGGAAGAAGCTCAAGAAAAAGAAAAAGAAAGTTTAGAATAAGAAAATCTAATTAAAATTAAATTTTAAGAATTGAGTTAAAAGTATGAAATATTAGAACAAGAAATTAAGTAAAATAATCAATAAATGAACGAAGAGAGATAAATATTAAAAGAAGAACTTCAATATTATTAAAATTTATGTGAAGAGTTAAAAAATAATTTAGATTCAATAAAAAAAAATCATAAAAATGAATTAGAATAATTAAAAATATAAATGGATGAATAAAATAAACTCAATTATGAATAAGAAAGATAAAATATTAAGTAGCAATTACAAATAGAAAATTAGCAATAATCTGAATTTATTTAATAGTACTAAGATATACATGCTAATGAAATAAAAGTGTTGCAAGATGAAATAAAAAGATTAGAAGTTCAAAATTAAGAATAAAAGAAATAATTAATGGATTAACTAGAAAAAAAAGAAAAAGAATATTAATAAGAAGTTGATTTATTAACTAGATAGCGCATGGAATAAGATGAAATGATATAAACATTTTAAAAATCTTAAATGCTTTTAAAAGAGAAGGAATCTTAGATAGATCAATTAAATTTATAATTATGTGTTAATTAAGAAGATTAATATAATATGGAATAAAAATATGAAAACACATTGTTATTATAAAAATAAAAACATGAATCATAAATTGAAGATTTACATCGATTGATTCAAGAATTGAAATAATAATTAGAAACAGTTGAAAGTGAAGGTAAGATGATGTAAAATAGTTTAAATGATATGGAAGTATTAGATTTTAAATGTAAGGAATTGAAAACTGAAAATGATGAATTAAAGTAAAAAATTCAAGAAAAATAAACTTAAATTGATGAATTTAAATTAAAGGTTGATTTTATTGATGATAAAGATGAAGAAGAATAAAATAAAGATGCTTAAATAGAAGAATTGAAAGCTTATATAATAAAATAAGAAGAAGATTATTCAGAATAATTTGAAAAATTGGGTATCTAGATTGAAAAATCAAAAAATTAAATAAAAGAATTGGAGTAAGAAAATTAAGATTAAAAAAAAATAATTGCATAATATCATACTTAAGTGCATTCATAATAAGTTTAATTATAATAAGTGATATAATAATAATAAAATAAATAAAGTTGTGATTCAGGAATTAATTAGAATATTTCAAATCCATATGTATAAAATTAATAACAATCACACAATTAAGAAAAAACAGTAACAATTCCAGTTAAAGAGTTATAAAATTGGGATAAGAAATCTAAAGATTAATTAAATTAAATAAAAGTATTATAAACAGAATTATTATAATTAAAATAATTATAAGAGGAATAAACAAAAGCATAGAATACTAAATAACAAAAAACTAATCTATCAATGGAAAGTTTGGTTTAAAAATGTTAGGCTTTATAATAAATAATCGATGATAGTAGTGTTATAAATTCTAAATTGACTTCAGAGTTAGGATGGTTCAAATAATAAAATTCATAATTAAAAGAAGATTTAAAATTATGTAATTCTGAACTGCGAGATTTAAGAATAATTTCTTAAAATAAATTTAAATTAGAAAGTGAACTTTAGTAAGCATTAAATACATTATCTGAATATTAAGACCAATAAAAAGTAATTGTTATATAGTTATTTAGTTAATCAAAAAACTTGGAGATGAAAATTAGAGATTAAAAGAAGAATTTGAGAATACATCAAAGTAATTTAAATAAAATGAGAAATAAAGAATAAAAGTAAATAATTATTTTATGATTTTTAGTTATAAGAAAAATATGATGAAGTATGTGAAGAATTAGGAAAGGTGAAAAAACAAGGGTAAAATATAGAATTAGAATTGGATTAAAAATCACTTAAATTAAAAGATTTGGAGAAGATCTTGTCAACATAATTTTAGGAATTTTCTATTTTAGAATAAAAATATAATGATTAAAATTAGATAAATGATGATTTGAGAAATTAATTGAGAATAAATTAGAAGAGATATTCCTAAGAAATAGAATAGTTAACATAGGATTTAATGTTGAAATAAAAAAAATTAATATAATTAGAGGAATAAAGCCATATTATGTCTAAAGATTTATAAATAATGCGAGATATGTAATTTAGATAAAAAACAGTGATAGAAGCACCATTAACGAAGAAAGAAAAAATAGTAGTAGAATCTTTGGCAAATAGAGTATAAGAACTAGAAATTCAAAATAAAACTATGAAAGATTAATATAATTCAAAAATTATTAGTTTGACAAATTAATTAGAAGAAAAAATAATCTACATATAATAATTGGGTTACAATCTGAGCAAGGCTTATCCTAATTTGTCAGAGTCAGACATGTAATAAATTTTGATTATTAATTTTAGAATTGATAAAGAAGATAGAAAATTGATATAATCATTAAGAAATAAATAGAATATACAAGATATTTTAGAAGTAAAAATAAATTAAATATTTAGAAAACAATGATTGAAAATTTGTAATTAAGAGATCAGATAAAATTATTAGGGGCTGAATTGAATAAAAGAAGATGAATATAATTGTTATTTATTTTTTGTAAATACAATCTTTCGTATTTCAACATAGATTTTGTGTTAATTATTCTTTTTCTCTTGAGTTTTTCTGAAAACATGATATTCTTAGATTATTCTCAAATGATTTTAGATTGACTAATACAAACTACCTTTAATGCTTAAAAGAAATACGATAGACAGTAAAAGTTGTTTCAATAAATTTATCATAGAAAAATATAGTATAAATATTAATTTTGAATTGTTTTTTTGTAAATTGAGTAAAAATAAAAAATGTTACAAACAAATAAATTTTGTGGAAATTTAAAAGTTAAAATAAATTTGTATATAATAAAATAAAAAAAAAGCTCCGCGTCCGGGAATTGAACCCGGGCCTCAAACGTGACAGGCTTGAATACTAACCACTATACTAACGCGGATTCTTAATATCTATCTAATCATTTATTGATTAATCACAAAACATGATTTTAATAAAAATATAAATTTAAATTAATAAAATTAGATGAATTATATTAGATGTAAGTTTGATAATTTATTAATCAAAATTTTCATTTGTTTAATATCTAGGACTATTCAGTTGGTTCATTTATTGGTTAAACTCTAGTAGATTATATTAATTTTGCCTCATTATAGTATTTAATTAGCTAAACGATAGTAAATATTAATGTTATTGCGCTCATTAATCCTAAAACTAGCCATCCTGTGATTATTGATCCTGTAGCTAGTATTAAAAATGCTCCAAAATACATCTAAATTAACATATAAGATAAATACATAAAGTAGAATAGTTAAAATACTTAATTCTATTTTATTAAACCATTTTACATAACATGGTTTAATTCTGACATGGAAATAAATGAGGATTATCATGACAATACTCGAAAAAAGCATTTAATATTAATATGCCTAGCTTTACAGATTTGAGAACACTGAACTCATACCCAAAATTAATAATTTAGCCTAAATATATAAAACAAAATAATTGGATTTGTATTTTAAATCTAAAGAGTGATCCATATATTAAAATGTAGGTTATAAATAGGATGATAATGGATAATAAATAATACTACCAAATATAGCTAAAGTAACATACATAAAATGTATATCACTCATGCATTCAACACTTGGTTACCTTATTAATGTATATGGATATGAATTATAATCGCAAATAAATGCGTCTATGTAACTTTTCATCACAAAAATGAATTATCCACTTACAAGTTAAATAGTTTTACTCAACCAGTATCTTCTACTTTTGTATGTTGCAATAGTTCCATTTTCGTCAAATCCAAATGTATTATTAGCTATTTATTTTGCTGCCTCAAATCCCAAAAGAATATAAATTATGCTCAAAGAAAGAGCTAGAAAGAAAAATAAATTATATTCACTCCAAACTGCTGAATAATCAACCATTTTTATTGGATTTAAAGTTTATGAATCTCCAAACCATCCTACTTAAGAATCAAATGCTAGAGTAGCTAATCCATATAAATCATAAATTCTTAAAAAAACAGCTAACACATTAGTAGATGTAAATTTCAATATAAATTCTTAATCTTTTATTTTCTTATCAAACTTATTACATTAATCAACCATACAATCACTTACTTTTTCAGCTAATTGTTCCCATTTTACATTTTAAATTATTTTATCTTATTCTGGTTCTGGTGGAGTTATTTTTTAAAATAATGAATTTATTAATTAACTCACAAGTTGTTAAGAGTACATTCTAGGTTTAATCCATAATATTTGATTAACTTTTTAACAAAATTACCAAAAATTAACTTTTAAATTTTTTGGGATTTTTTATTAAAAATTATTTTCTATAATTTATTTTTTTTATTAATATTGCAATTCGATTTTTTCATTACTTTTAACTCTTTCTTTTTTTTCTAATTTTCTTCGTTCTTTCTCATTATTAGAGGGTAATTTAAAGTTTTTTTAATGAAAAGGAGTGTTAGTATTATTTTAAAGTATTTTCAAAATTTATCTTAAATCATTATAATTGTAAACAAATAAATAATACTTTTTAACTGCCATTTCCCAAATTAAATTATAATAATTTTTTTGGTCATCTCTTTAAAGATTATCATAGAGAAAAAGAGCAAAATCATTCTATGACATAGTAAAATCATCATCTTCCAAAATCTTAAAACTTTAATATTATTTTAATATATCATCATTTCTCTCTAAATCTAAATAATCTAAAACAACATTTAAATTGTTTCTAAACTTACTATAAATAGCAGCCCAAAATCTTTCAGTTCTATCTTTATATTTAGTTCTTAATGCAGTATAAAAATCTATATCACTTGCAGATTTTAGATCAGCTTCATTAGGTTAAAGAATTCCTTAAACTCTTTTAGATTCTCTTTCTTTCCAATAATCTAACTCTAATAATTCTACATCTAATTATTATTTATTTTTTTCTATCTCTTCCATTTCTTCAAAACCACATTTACAAAATATGCATTCAAAAACAAAATCTATTATTTAATAACTTAAATTTTCTGATTGATCATCCTCATTATTTTAAATAGATTTTTTTAATTAATCAGTTTCATCCTCTAATAGATTACGAGAAATTCCTCCTTTTTTTTATTTAGATATTTATTCTAACTTTTTTTTATTCTCATATTCTGATTTAGTCACTAATTGTTCATCAAACATCCTACCCTTATCTACTCCTGGATAATCATAAACATTAACTGGATCTCCCTTTTTCAAATCATTTTTTAATTTTATAGGATTATTTTACTGAATAAATCTCAAAAATATTAATGTACAGATTTCTTCTGTTGATTATACTTTGTGATTAGCCAAAAGTTGCATAATTATTTTAAGTACTTCCTTCTTTTTCATTTCTAATTATTCTTTATTCAACAAAACAGAATAAACATTTGATATACAAGTAATTATTATAATTGCTATTAAAATTGTATAAGCTACAGCTAATTATGCAAATACTGAAAATTAAGATGAAGAATTTTCATAAATATCAGCCAATATTGGAAATATTACACCTATAGGCCCAATAATAAAAATCTACATAAGTATTATAATTAGAGGCTAAAAAAAGTCTTAGTATTCACTAAGCTCTTTTTTTAAATAGATCAAAAAATTAAAATAGATAAAAACTACTGGTAAACCTATTGCATTAGAAATTAAAGCATTTTTAGTTGTTTCATTATCCAAACTTAATCCAATTGGTAATAATATCACAAATGGATAAAATATTCCACTTCTTATAAGATTGTCAATCCTTTCTAATTACTTTTGTTATTATTCTTTCTAATCATTTGAATTGTCTTTTATTTTTAAATCTAAAGCTTATTTTGTTAAAATAAATAAGACTGATAAAATTACAAGAAGTCCTTACATCTTTTATAATATAAATTATTACAGCTCCTTTTTTTGTTCCAGTAGCAGTAGATGGCTCATTCCAAACAAAATAGCATATAAAATAGAATCCAATTATATAGCATATTGAATTAAACCAGATTGCTAAATTAATTAAATTTACATATTAAAATGCACCAAAATCAAAATTTAATGCTTACTAAGGTAATTTAACGATGTATATAATAACAATTATAAAATAATATACAATAATCCCTACTACTGGAACGCATCCAATAATAATCAATACTATAGAACTAGCATAAATTCCATAATCATTTAAAGCTTATGATAATGTGAATAAAAATCCAATTGGAAACGCAAAAAAAAAACAAGAAATTATTAAAACAAACATTTTTTGGTTCCTTCTCCATGATCTAAAATATCCTACTGTCAACCATATTAAAGTTATTATTAAAGGACATATACCAAACAATCTAGAAATGGATTAAAAGTATTAAGCATCATATGTTAAGTTCCAAACTTTAATTGTTATAACACTAAAACCTGCACCTAATAATAATGAACCGTATAAATATAAGTTAAATGGATTTAAATTAGAATTAGCTAAAAAAACTCCAAAAGACATAAATATTGGTATTCCTATAAACAAACATCCATGTGTAATTGTTAATTCATAATTCTAAATTGATTTAAAATAAAGCCATCCAGTATAACAATAAATTTAAAGAGTTAAATAACTTATTGTTATCAATATTGGTGCAACAGTTTATAATTTTAGTTTTTTAATTATATTAATTGCTTTCTTATTTAATATATAATTATAATATTGCTTTTGTATCTATTGATCTGGTTAATCTTTTAGTGATAAAATTTTTAAGTCAAATTCTATTTGTTCAGGACTTTAGCTAAATAATGCTTATATTATAAATATTGAGTAAATTAGCATTATTATAAATATTTATGGGGCTATTAAATCTGATAAGTTCTCTACTATATATTCAATATTATTTGTCTTTAGTATTAGAAAAAAAGCTATAATTTTAAAAAGTATAAAATATATCACAAGAATGCAGTAACTGCAATTAAATAAAGTAGCTATCAATTCTGAAAATAATTCAGAAACTTTTGAATAAAAACTTTTGTTTAATAACGAATTTATAAATATTAAGAAACTTAATATACAAAATCCAATTCCTATATAATCATATGAAGGGGAGCTGTTATTTGCAAATGCATTAAAATGATAACCTAATAAAACTAATAAGGGTATTATTATTAAGAATAAAAACAACAAAATCCATATATAAGTATTTTTTATTTAATAACAACTATTAAAAATATTTTATTATTTACATTTATGAAAATAAAGTGAATAAAAATGCGTACAATGGCATATATTAAGCAATATCTATCTTTAATTGATTATTCTTTAAGTTTGAATCATTTTTTAATTCCTAAATGTAAATATTAAATACTAATGATTCTGAAAGAACACTAAAATATGCACTCCAATACACTATCGTAATTATAATTTAGTTCGTATCAAATTTTAAATTTTCATTTAAACAGCTCCATTATTTGTAGATTTTTTTTTCGCAATTCAAGCATTCTTAAAAAAGATAATGAAAACCACTTTTTGCAGAATTATTATCCTAATTCTCTTAATTTTGCAAGACTTAAATTAACTCTTCTGTCTCTTCATTTATTGGACCTTAGTATATATATTACTTTTCCTTAATTGTAAATGTAAATCTTTTCCAATTCTCAACAGAAGGTTAAGATAGGATGGGAATTATTTATTAATACTCTGAACCTTATAGATTATTGCTATGCTCCTTTTCTTGTAAATTATTCATTAATTCTAATCGATAAGAAAAATAATAAAAATATAATGTATCATTGTTAATCAAAATTTATTTTTTTTGCATTTTCTCATAGAGGTACCTGATCTGTTTTTTGTACAATTTTTTAAAGCGATTTATACTATAAGACAATATAAGGCTTCCATATAATCTTTGTAATAATTTATTCTTAAAAAATAAATTCTAATTAATTATTAAATTTCTATTGTTGTTCTAAATATTTAAATTGATCTGTAATTAAATAGGATTGAATTGATTTTATAATAATTCTAAATATATCTAAGCAAGTAATTTAATTCACGAATCGCTTACTTGATAAATTAAAAAAATTAATTTTAAATTAATTTAATATATTTCTATGCATACAAATCATGAATTAAGTTTTATTCATGTAAATCATTTATTTTCTATTTATTTATATTTAGTTTTATAATTAAATTTCAATTCTAAATATTAAAATAAAACAAAACTTTTGAATTGTGGATAAATTATTAACTAAATTTCAATCTTTCATCCTCTTAATTGATTTCTATATAAAGAAAAATTAAGTTTGTATAAATATCTCAATCATATACATAATTAATCTCAAATTGAATTCAAATGCCTTTAAACTGTAATCTAAAGTCTCTTACTTTTACAAATAAAAATATAGTTAGCAAAGCTAATTTATAAATTACGAACTGTTTGTATAAATAAATTTTATATTGTTCTAATAGTTCTTCTGTTTTAAAGTTCCTAATATAAGTAATAATTGATCTGTAAATAATGCTGATGATTAAATTCTACTGGTTTAATAAAAAAAACACTCTAATATAGGAGTTTGTAAAATTCTTTCTTAAAAAATTTTATTTTTCATGTATTATTGAACTATAATATTTGGATTAAACAAGCGCAAATTAAAATAATACAATTATCAATTTTCAAAAGATAATTTTGTAAATTGAGTAAAAATAAAAAATGTTACAAACAGATAAATTTTGTGGAAATTTAAAAGTTAAAATAAATTTGTATATAATAAAATAAAAAAAAAGCTCCGCGTCCGGGAATTGAACCCGGGCCTCAAACGTGACAGGCTTGAATACTAACCACTATACTAACGCGGATTCTTAATATCTATCTAATCATTTAATTAATATATGGCAGAGATTTAACAATCTTATTATTATTTATAATAAATCCTATAAGTTATTATAAAGTCAGATAAAATTTTTTGATTCTCATTTGTTTAATTAAAACAAAAAAAAATTAGTTAATTTAAAAATTTGCTTATTCATTAAAACAAATGGTTAAATTTTTGTTGATTTCAATATTATAAAATAGATTTACCTATAGTCTTGATTATTTTAAATTAGAATAACAATAAAAATGAGTTATTATAATTATTAATAATCTTTAATTAATAAAAATTATTTGCAAATGTGTATGGGACCAAAATGCCCTTGTATTTATCCTCCTTAACCTCATAAGACTCTAAAATATATTTCTTTTCGAGAAAGATCTCCAATTGATAGAAGTTTGATCAGAAATAAGTTAACAAATATTTCAAAGCCTTTATTAACGAAAATAAAATATTAGACAAGGCCATCTTAACAAATATAATATCAATTATTTGCTTTATTTAACTTATTAGGTGAATAAAGTGATGCTTGGTTTAGAATATAGAAATTATTAAATAATTATGATTAAATAGTAGGTTATTTAACATAATTGAACGTTAATCAATTAAGTAAAAAGTAAATTGAAAAATGTTAATATTGGTTGGATGAATTTGATAAAATAAATAAAGATAACTAAGTTACAGTTTTTGCAGATGTAGCTAAAGGAATTTTAAGTAAGATAGTGGAAGTGGAATAAGAAAAGCATTCAATATTAATGGAAGAATTAAAAGATGTATGCATAAAGAAATATAATGATGAATGTGAGGTTGATGAAGTGGCTATATTATAAGTAACATAAGAATCACAGCCAGATTAACCAATTGTTTAAAAATAAAAGGATTAAAGTTTAGAATTAGAAACAACTGAAAAAATTAGATAAAATGTTTTAGATTCACCAAATAGATCAACTAAAAATGATTAATCTGAGTATCATCCTCATAATTCTTCAACATATAATATTAGAAGATTTCTTGAAAATTCAAGTCCTAAAACACCATTGAATTTATCTTTTTGTAAAAGTTAAGAAAAGTCTTTTAGAGAATCTATTATTAGTAATACTTAATAAAAAAAATAAAAATTATCTAATGTACCTTCAGGAGGAGTATATAATGATATTGTTTCATTAAAGAAAGAATTAGAATTGATTTAAAAAGACATAAGTAGATTAGAAATTAAAAATAAGAAAGATGAATTTTTATTAAATAGAGAAAGTCAAAGGAATTAGGTTTAATTAAATAATGAATTAATTAAATAAGAATTCTCAAACATTCGTGCTTAAGTATATAAACATTGTTATTTTAGACCTAAAATGATGAAAGTTTTATAGAAATTAAAAAAAAAGAAAAATTAAAGATAGAGAGAAGTAATTCTGCATTTAGAAAAGAATTAATAGGTTCTAAAAGTCCAAAAAATGAAAAATATTTAAAGTATGTGGAAAAGTATTCTTAGAAATACATTCCAATACTAGATAGGATATAATAATAAGAATAAGAACTAAGATCATTTTAATCCTAAATTAAATTAGCAGAATAGAAAAGGGCTCTTTAAGAAAACAAATCAAAAAAATTACTTTGATAATAATAATTATAAAATATTATTGATTTTTATAAAGAAATAAATATATTAGTATCATAGATTTATTATATAATTATATTTTTCAGATTGTAAAGTTTCATTTATTCATTATATTATGCAATCGTAATTTTAAGGAATTCTAATATCTCCATTTACTTTGTTTTCTTATACTATTGATTCTAACGATGGGTTTCTTCTTTCAACAACTAACTCAATTTCATTAGATTTAATCACATTATTTACTATTTTTCCATGACTTTTATCTCTAATAAATAATCCTATTCCATCATTATCATTAATATTATTTTCAAGAATTTCAGGTCTACTATCTTTTAGTATCATGATTCCATTACTTTTATTCTTCTATATATTATTACTTCTTATTACAGGAACAGCTGTAATACATACAATTCCATCATTCTATATAAATATTAATAATATTTACATTTTCTGCAATATTATTTCTAAATATCCAACATCTACCACATTCTATTAAAAAAATACCTTCACATCTGCCACCTAATATTTTGTTTTCTACAATAAATGTATCTACTGAATTTGCTCCTCCTAAAGCCACATTAGCTTTGATATTATCAGTAATTTCATTTTTTTCAATTACTGCTGATGAAGTTTCAACTAACAAAACTCCTTAACCTAAATTTTTTGAAATTTTATTTTTGAATATTGATATACGTGATTCTGTATCTGCTTTAATTCCTGCCTTCTTATTATAACCTATAAATGTATTTGATTCTATTCTTGTAAAATTATTTTGGCCTGTACAATGAATTCCATTTTCTTTATTTCCAGAAATAGTTTAATTTGATTTAATTTTACCATCACATCTTAATTGTTCAAATACTTTAGTCAATACACCATCTGTAAAATTTTTGTCTATTTTATTATTAAAAATTTAAGGATCAGCAGATAATACTTCTATTCCAATAACATTTGTTTTAATTTCATTCCCAAAAATCTTTGCTTTATTACCTATACCTACTTTTATACCTGGACCCTCATTATTTTCAATTCTACATTATTCTATTTAAGGAACAGCATCTGCACCTACAACATGAATACCTACTTTTTTATTCTAAATTATTTTGCTATTCATAATTCTAACATTTTTATTTGTTGGTGCTTATTGGATTAGAATTCCTCCGTATGTATGATTATGAATCTTACTATCTTTTATTATAAGATCTCCCAACTTTAGTAAAATACCTATTGTCTTAGCATCTTAATTTTTAGATGAAGTTCCTTTTATTTCACATCTAATAAACAAAGCTTCAGCTCCATTATTTATTGCTATTCCTGGTAAAATACCTTTGAAAGATTTTACTATAAAACTATATCTTTAAATTAATTATTTACTTTAAAGCAATCAGGCAGTCTTCCATAAACAATTTACCACCATTTAGTAACAAAACACAATTCATATTAGGTTCAATAGGTACTTTACTAACAAAATCTTCATCTGGATTTGATTCCAATCCAGCTGCTCCATCTTCATGATTACCGAATAGATTTTTTGCAATTTCTTATTCTTCTATCAGTTTCTCTAATTCTTCTACTTCTTCGCTTGTGCCACTATGAGACATTTTTAATCCAATCAAAGTGCAACGCTCATCTTTTTTTAAATCCACAAATATCGTAGATTTTGAGGATACAACTATTATTATATCTCCAACTTTTTCTTTGGGCTCTAAACGAAGGCCCGGTTTATTTATTATTATATTTGAAGAATAAAGTCCTGGAGCTATTTTTATAACAGTATTAGCTTCAGCTTTATCAATAGCTTCTTAAATTGTTTTGTAAGGACCACTTTCAGAATCAACAATCAGTTATTATTTCAAAACTCCCTTGAATGTATTATCTTAGTGATTCATTGAATATATAAATAATGACTAAAAATAATCAAACGTAAAATTTGTTATTTATTTGAATTTCCTTTATTATTCCTATCAAATTTTAATGTCTTTTCTTATTCTAAGATTAATCTCAGACCTAAATTAAATGTCTTCGATATTAATCTAACTATCATTTATGTTAAATAAACTTTTTATATCATTTTTTAAAACAATCATTATTATTCAATTTAATTTGAAAATAGGATCTTTTAATATATATTTTTTACATATATATTTAAATTTATTGTACAATATGTTCTAATTATTCTATCAGAATAATTCACGAAAATATTATTAATAAAATTTGTTAACGGAAATAAAACACAATGCTTGTTAATTAATCATCCAAAGTTAATAAAGAAAATTAAAACCCACTACTAATTGTCAATTAATAAGAATAACTCAAATTAAATGGTGTATTACCTAAAAATCATTTTAATCAAGGAATCACTAATAAATTTTAAAGCACTGTCTCATGCTATTAATAATCATTAACAAAATGCACTAGTTCAAGATCATTATAAGAATAAATTGAAAGAATTGCCAAAAAACTAAAATTAAAATAAGAAAAAGAAATAGTTCAACAACCTTAAGATTTAAATAAATATTCAATTGATGAAATGGTTGAAATTCTTAAAAATGACAAACTTTTGCATATAAGATCCTTATAAATTTAACCAAGTTCTAATAAGAATAAATAAAAAAGTCCTAAGAGCCTATTTCCTCCTTTAACATCTAAATAGAATTTTTACAGTTTTGAAACCACAAAAAGCTCTGAAAATGAAACTCTCATTCATAAATTAGACTTTAGATCATAATAATATTAATAATCAAAACCAAAATCTATATAAAAAACTGAAAGCAGAGAAACTATTAAACCTTAAGAAGACTTAAGAAAAAAAAGAACTGTTTCATAGATTATTGAACCACCTGCCTAATTATTAACTAAAAAAGAAAGAATAGAAAGGGCTCTCCAAAATTCATAAAGAATAGTATAATTATGTAGTTAATTCAATAAACACGATATTACAAATGAAGAATTGCATAAATTAATTAAAACTGAAGGATTTAAATTGCAATTTGAATGCTTAGTTTAATTTAGCGATAATAGTTTAGATGGCAGAGCTTAATTATAAAACTTTATGAATTCATAAATAAAACAATATACCGAATTAAGGAATGCCGAATTAGAACACTAAAGTATTATATTATTTTATATTATATAGTTAAGAAAGAAAATTTTCATTAAGTGCTTGATAATTGTCTAAATACATTAAAATCTAAATATTGAATAAATAATTGATAATCTAAAATTTTGAATTTAACATAAATAATTTAAAAAAATTATTTTTTTTTTTAAATTGACCTTTTCATAAATCATGTCTGCTGATTTGATGATAAAATAATTACATTATTTGTAATTATTTTTATTTTTAATAAAATAATTAATTTTAATGATAAAAATTCAATCTAAATTTAAAGCAATTAGATTATCAGGGATGAAATAAAAAAGTGGAAGAACTTAGAATTTTATCAATCCAGATTAATTTGTAAATTAGAGCATGGTTGATTTTAAAAAAACCCTAACATGGATTTGCTTTTAAGTATCTTGAATGTATATTTTTTCCTTAAATAAATATCATATTATTAAACTTTATGTTGGGTTTGGATTAAAATGTATTGCTATTTTTTATTATGAAAGTGATAAGAACATAATTAATGAGCATTTCCTTGTATTTTATTTTATTTCAATAAAGTAGTAAATGTTTTTTATCAAAAAAGCTTGATTGTAATATAATTATTGATATGATTGTATGATGAAAAAAAAAATGGAATAATTACCATGCAATTATCTTGAGACTAATAATCACTTCTTTAATTGACATAATAATTTCTCTATTTCAATGATGATGAGTAACTTTTGATATAAAAGGAAAAAATAATATTAAAAAATTCTTTTGATGATTGTAGGCAATCTTGCTCTTATATAATAATTAAGGAGGTAAAAATAATGTAAATATTATATTTTAAACAAACAAAAAACACACAATTGAATATCAAATTTATTCTGATATTGGAACACTTAACCTTTTGAGAATGAGTGGAGATCGAGTTAATTAGAGGGAGCATCTATGACTTAAAGAGGAAGAAAAACTATCTTATGTCTCAGTATCAGAATCTATTGAGCGTAAAGAGAATATCTGTTTTTTCTTTGAGTCTTCATAAATTAGTTATTTTAACTGTGGATCAGTGAATTATTCCAACTTCAATTCATCACAGAGATATTTAAGAATCCCTGATTCATATTAATTCAAAGCTTCTACATGAAGTTCATTTTCCCTCGGATCATTCATTATAATTAATAAATTAATAAAATTTTCTCAAAATTTTTCACCTTATAATTAATTAAGATTAAAGTTCTTTTGGTCAAGCTAATGCTCTAGATAAAAATTATAAAAAAATAAATCATAAATATGTGTAAAATTTTAAATTAAAAGTATCAATAATGAAAAGGCTGATTATATTTTATTAATAGCAGTTTATATATTATCTATCTTAAAAACCTAAGCAAACTTCTTCAATAGTATTTATTTATAAATAATAGAATCAATTAATTAAATGCTTAGTTTAAATGTACTAGAAATGCTTTTATAATAAAATTTATTATGAATTCCTGGATTATTTTAGTTTTTTCGTTTTTTAATAAAGAGAATAAATAAAAGATTCAATCTTGTAGCTAAATGTGCGTTTAATTTAAAACTAAAGAATTATTATTAAGCTTAATTAGTTATAAATAGATTGGGAAAAAAAGTTTATGTTGAGATCAGAAAATTAGAAAATATATAGTTTTATAGTTAATATCTTATTAAAAAAAAGTTTATTAATAAAATAGAAAATAGAAGAAAAAATGCTAAAATTAATTCAATAATAATTTAATAGGTGAAATTAATAAAAAAATAAAAAAAAAGCTCCGCGTCCGGGAATTGAACCCGGGCCTCAAACGTGACAGGCTTGAATACTAACCACTATACTAACGCGGATTCTTAATATCTATCTAATCATTTAATTAATATATGGCAGATCATAATTACTTTAAGATTCTAATTATAAATTATGAAACAAATTATTTATGAATTTTAATATTAATATTAAAAGTTCATTATTAAGTGATTTTTAATTGACATTACAAAGCAGTAAGAGTTTTAATTGCTAATGAATGTAAATTATCTTTTTCTGTATTTCATTATATTTATAATCAAAGCATGTAAAACATTTAGATCAATTGAGTTTTTAAGGTTCAATTATAGATGTTTAAGAAAGTATATTTAAAAAATATGGATACGCATTATTAGGATCAAGTAAAACTAAACTAAATTAATTGGATCTTAGTTATTGTTTGGTCAATGATAAATTAGTTTAATCTATGATTGAGGCTGGAAAATTATTAAAAAGATTAAGAGCTCTTTCATTATCTGGATGTAGATATTTAACTGATAAATCAATTTATTTGTTATGTGATGTTAATTATTCATTAACCTATCAATTAAAAAGCTTAGATATATTTAATTTACCATAAATAACTTAATCTTCATTAGAATACTTAACGAATAAATCTATGAAGAATTTATCAGATTTGAACTTGGCTCATTCTACGTAAATTTAATCTGAACATTTGAAAAAGGCTTTTGATACTGAAAAATTTAATTAATTAAAATATTTGGGTATCAGTAGCACCAGTGAAAGTGGAGGATAAACAGATATATTTAAATTTAACATACCAGAATTGCGTACATATTATATCAGAAATCATTTCTCAGAAATTTAATTAATAGAAATTTTATACATTTATTAAAAATATCTAAAAGATATCAACAACTGTTTTGAGAGATTTTTGCAAAATTTAATCTTAATCAAAATTGTATCAACAGATTAAATTATTTTAGAGCCAGAAACATATGATTTGTTTAGAAAATGTATTGGTTGTTAAAGATTACTTTAAAATAATCAACCTCTTCAATTGGATAATTAAAATAAATATGAATATTAAATTACCTCACAGCTAATTAATTTTATGAAATGTTACTCAAACAATAACAGCATTTAATTATTAATAATAATGAAATAAAATTCATTAATTAATGTTTAATTTTTAAACCATTAATAAAATTTGCTTTAAAAAAACTGAAATAACAGATCAAGATATTCAGAGCATAAGTTGAAAATTTGTTTTAATACAAATCAGTATTAAAAAATGTAAAACACTTACATCTAAATGTTTAATTTATTTAGAATAGCTTTTAAATACTTTAATTAATTTAAATTTTAGAGGAACAATTTTAAAAAATTTATATTAAACTCTATAACATTTGTAATATTTTCCTTAACTTTTATGAGATGTATGATTTTTGTTTTAAAATTTAGTATAAATGTTAATGAAACAACTCATATTATTTAAGAACTGTAGCACTAACTGTCTCTTTGGATGTAACTAGAATAAATTAAATCATTTAAATTAACTATTAGAGCTCATTATATTTAGACTTTAAATTTATTTTTAAAACTCTTTCTTTATTACTAAATAAAAATTAAGACTTTATAAAATCAATGTCTTTGCAACTTTTATAATTTAAAGTCATATAAGATAAATAATTTTATTTATTCCACAATAGTTTATTAAATTCATCATTTTTGTAGAATTTTCAACTTGGATTTTAAAAGGTATTAATTAAGTAGTAATCTTTTAGTATGTTTATTAGTCTTTTCAATTTGGATTATCTTAAATCACTTTGAATCAGTTTAAATGAGTAAAAATAAATATAATATTTAGTTGTTAATTTAAATTTGTAGATGAGGATTTATTCTAGGCATAAAATGTATTTGAAGGGATAAGAAATAAGAAATTATAGAGTTTAGAATTATCATCAAATGATACTGTAACATATGATTAATCAATCTTTTCAAGTCTTTTTAAATATTGTGTCTGATATTGATAGTTAAAGGATTTTACTTTAAGTTTTCAAAGGTAAATAATCTTATTTAATTATATAGATATATAAGTAAAAAGAGTTTGTCAGAGGTATTTTCGACCTTGAAAGAATTGAATTTAAAAAGTTTAAGTTTAAATTTTGAATAGAGTGGAGTTAAATATCATACATTTGATTTGATTGACATGGAAATATTTTAATAATATAAATGAACTATATTGTAAGAAATTGATGACAACATATGTATCTTTGATAGGGTATTTTAGTACTGAAAATTTAGTTGCTATCATAATGAAAAGAGTATTAAAGAATTTTACTAATTAGGATATTAAAAATTATTTATTTTTTATCTGATTTAACATATAAGAAAAATAAGAATTATGTCTTATTTTGAATGATTTAGATATTATAAAAAATTTATAAATATTATTTTAAGAGTTGCAAATGTACATATAAAGATAGGAGTCTGAAAAATAATGTAAACAAACTTTAATTATTGATAGAACATTTTTATAAATCATTTAGTTTATTTTATATGTTCTTCATTCCAATATTTTTATGTTTTAGGATCAGCATGATTTGTAACCATAGTTGGTTATCCTGGTTTCCATTATGCAGGACAGACTTCTCCATGTTCATCTGTAAATTTAAATGCTTAAACTAATCTAAAATAATAATCATTATTTATACCTTAAGATTTCATCTACATTTCTACCAACAGGTAAATCATTTATTGAATAATGTCGTAGAATTCCTTTTCCATCTATTATGAATGTCCCTCTAAAAGCTACACCAAAATCTGGATCTTCAGAATCATCTATTATTACGCCATATTTTTTAGAAATTTCCTAATCTATAGATTAATATTATATACCTAACTCAAATCAGAAATTAATGGAAATTGCATTTCACCTAATCCTCCATTGCTTCGAGTCTATTTACAATATTTCATATGAGAAAATTAAGAATCTACAGATACACCTAAGATATCACATCCTATGGATTTGAATTCCTGTCATAATCAATTCTTTATACTTCAACACGGTCAGAAAATTGAATTATTTCTGTTGGACATACAAATGTAAAATCTAATGGATAGAAGAAAAGAACAACATATCTATCTTTATAATTACTTAAAGATATCTAATTTTATTTATTTTGATACTCTCTTAAACTATTTATTAAAGTAGGCTGATGCTGTAAATTAAGGTGCTTATTTACGCACTTTCATTAATTATATTATTATTAAATAATAATTCATTCTGTTTGCTTTTATTAAACTTAGTTAATTGATAAATATTTGTATTTAACAATATTTTTAAATTTCTTTTCTTCATAAGTCTTATTGGCAATTCTTCCTCTTGCATTTATAAACCATATTTGAATCTAAAAATTATGGTAATAATACTTATTTATATGTTAAATCACATTTTTCTGCTAATTAAAAAGTTTATTCTTTTGTTGGGTATGGATAAGAGAAATGTTTATATAGCCAGTTTTTTAGAATTAAGTTCGATTTCTTAGAAAACTTATGGCCCTTTTTCTCATTTTATTTTTCTTAGTCCTTGAGAAATTATCGTTATTGATAGAGTTTGACTTCATTCTCAAGGACCTATTACATATAATCAAAGTGTTTTTATAAAGATTTTATTGTGTAGCAAGCTAGTTCGTCTATACTGAGGGAACGTAAGTATGTAAGAAAACCTTGGAAAAGAGAAATATTAGTTGCTGTCTAACTTTGAGTCAATTATTCTTCTATATGAGATGATTGAGTATTTTCTTCATTGAGGTTGTTAGAGCTAATCCATTTGTGAAAGAGAGCTTCAAGTTCATTAACTTATTGTAAAACAAATAGTTTTCTCGATTCTGCATGAATAGGTAATGATTGAGACATTATAATGAGAAAATTGAGATATTAATTTTAAATTAGATACATTCAGCCATCCATAAACTTAAATTCTTTGAAATCAAAACAAATTATCATTTTATATTAATAATTATGGAAATAGGTTTGTTAGAATACACAAGTCTATTTATATGGCCTGAGTATAATTATATAAAAATACTGATGGAATTTTCAGTCCTATATATCTTGTATTCTTTATATAAGGTGAGCTTTGGGAAATATAAAAATTATAAAGCCTATACAAAGATTACAAAAATTGAAAAGATCATTAATGAATAGGACGTCTAAAAGACAAAATAAAAGAATTAAGAAAAGTAGGAAAAGTAAGACAAGCATTAGAAATAAGGAAAGAGAAAGAATTCTGAAAAGGAGTAAAATTAATAAAAGGATGTGTAAAAACAACAAATAAAATAAGAAGGGGAGCAGTAAAAATAAGAGAATCATCCTCATATTTCATATAAGGAATTATTGAAACAAGAAAAGCATAATAAACAATAGTAAAATAAATAGAAACAGAAATCACATACAAAAAGTAATTAATTTAGCAATATTAGTATGTCATCCATTATACCTTTCCTCAGTAAAAGGGTTTTCAGATTATATAACAGATTTCGCATATAATAATAGATACTTAATAGCAACAGGGTTTGATAATAGTATAAAATTATTTGAGATGGAATAATTTTTTAAGAATCCAGATTAACCAAAGTATTTATTTCATAATTTGAATGACATGCATGCAACAGCAATATGTATATCTAAAAAAGAGGAGATAGCATATTTTGCAGCAAACAATTAATTATTCAATTTAGAATTTTATCCAAAAGCTGAAGATAAATAATATTTTAATGTAATTCCCAAAACAAAGAATTGTCATAAGAGTGATATTAATAGTTTACATGTTGATGAGAATGATAAAATATTAATTTCAACAAGTTCAGATAGTCATATTAAGGTTTGGAACATGAAAGGAGATTTATTGAAGGAAATAAATACATCATATGGTGATCATTATAGTTCTTGTTTTATGAAAGGACTTTTAGTAGTAAGTTGTTGGAGTGTGGATACAAGCATCTTTGAGATAAAGTTTAATAAGGATCATACATTTAGAACACTTGAAAAGGAGGAAGTATTAAGAGGTGAGAAAACAAGTGTTTTAGATGCAAGTTTAAATGAACATGGAACTTTGGCTACTTTATGTAATAAATCATAGTGTAGAGTATACAAAATAAATACTGAGAGAAAGATTAAAGAGGATGCTAGATTATTGAGTAAGATTGAACACTAAAATATCAGTGCAGCTGCAATAAATGAAAATATTTTAGTTGTAGCTATCGATGGAAACATTCATATCTATGATAAAAATGTATAAATAAAATTAATATATAATAATAGTTCTAATAAATAGATTAAATTGATAATGCTGCTAATGGTGCATATATAAAGAGAGTGAGAATTCATGAATTACATTCAAGTTTGAAGAATAAGAATTTCTATGTTTGTTTCATATGGGGATAGGAAGAAGAAAGAGTTAATATCTACGATTTAACCAAATATCATGAATGATTAATTATATTAATATAAAATAGATGCAGAAAGTATATTTATAAGAATGAACAATTATTGTTTTTAAAAACGAATTCATGTATTATTATTAATATACAAAATATGAAAGCATCTCTTGTATGCATACTAATTCTGACTGTTGTTGCAGTTGATTTTGAGTCATTTTAATAAGCCTTGGATTTTGATCCAGAGACAATGTCAGGAGATAATTGTGGAAATGATGATTAATTCACAAAATAATATGAGGCGTATTTCATACTAATATTTTCAGTTACTTCCCTTGGATTTAATTACTTGAAGAGGGTGAAATTGAAATGTAAGAAGATCACAGTGTACTTACTTAAGCTAGAGATAAGATTAAATTAGTCAGAGACTTTATTTTAGATTTAGATGAATGTAATTTATTTATGTTTATTTAGAACTTGAGAAAGAAACAGAAAATAATAATAATAATGTAGTTGAGTAACCTACTTAATAATAAGCAGACCCATAACCAGTTTAATAACCATAAGAAGAAGTTTAGACAGATGATGATGATGATGATGATGAAGATGATGATCCTTTTGGTTGGGGAGCTGGTGAAATTCCATAATAATTATTGGTTGATAGCAAGAAAAAACATAATAAGAACTTAAAAGGACATGCTAAAGTCTTGTTGGAAGTTATGAATTAGAGCAAATCACTCAAATATAAAAGCGTATCATTTAATCTATTTTAGAAAATCAAAAGAATAATTGCTATGGCTACTGCTTTAGATACTGATATGGGAACTTAAGATTTATAAGAAAGAAAAAATCGTAAATTAGAACTTTGTGATTTAATTTTAGATGAATTAATCAATATGATTGAATTCTTAGAAAAAGTTATGAATGATTATGTATTAATTTATATCTATAATTTATAGGTTTATCAATAAGAAGCTTATGATATATTCAAAAAGAAATAAGAAGAAATAGTATAAGTTGCAGATGAATGTGGAGCAAGAGTGATTTCACTTTAAGATACTTATTCAACAAGTTTTGTTTAAACTAAACCATTAAACAGAAATAAGAAATAAAATAAAGAACAAAAAAGAAAAAGAAAGCATTGAATGATAAATAAATGATACATTTTCATTTGCCTTAAGGGATCCAATATTACTCATATTTCTAATACTTGTCAGTGTTTCTTCTTTAAATATCTTCTAAATGTTCTATTTCATCATCTGAAGATGAATATTGCACTTTTTTTTACTTTTTTTCTCTTTTACAATATCTCTACTTTTTTATTTAACCATCCTATTGGTCAATCAATCTCATAATTATAATTAATTTCCTATACCATATTGTTTGATTATTAAGCCAAACTGTCTTCTATTAGTTTCTATAAAAGAAAAACCACATCTTCCTAAACTTATTTACGTACCTAATCTAGCTCTTAAATCATTTATTGGATAATTATTTAATCACACCTTTTACTTTCTTGTTATCCTATTGATATTACTAATTATTTATTATAATAATATCAAATCATAATGTATAATATTAAAATGAAATTACAATTAACATTTACATAATTAATCATACAATCAGAATAATTAAACGACTAATCTAGATTCAATCATTTCTAGTGTTAATCCTCCTTTAACTATTTGACAAGTAGGTAAATTGAAAAGAAAGTTAAATCTACATCAAGAAGATGTGTAATCTACATTTTCTATTCGTTGTTTAAATTATATAGATTTTCCATCTCCAATCATAAAATTATTTATAATTTAACGCTTTAAATTCAATTAATATCAATTGAACATTTAAGCTCTAAATATTAAAATATTTCTCATTGATTTTGTTTTGGATAATTCTTAGGAAAAGGAAAATTTAATGATGCTTTAAAAGTGATATAAAAAAACTGTTTAAGTTATTTGAATCATCCTAATATTTTGAGTTTTCTAAGAATTAACTAAAGTTAATCTTCTTTTATAAGGTAGATTTACCAGATGGAGAATCATAAAAATTATTATAAAAATAGTCAAATCGTAACAGGTAACAATATTGCAGATTATGTGTGTCAATAAATAGCATCAGGATATGATCATTCTGTTGATTTATGGTCTATAGGAATCATAGCTTATGTATTAACTATTAGAACTGCTCTATATCTTGATTTCTCTAAATATGTTTCAAATGAATTTTAAGATTTTACTATATATTGCTTAAAAAAAGATCCTTAATTGTTAATATGATAGAATGCTAGTTAAGTGAATTTTAGGAATGCTTAATAAATTTTATTATTTATTCTTTAAACACCTAATTATACTAAAATAATTCATATTTATATCACATTTTATCCTCTATTGTAAACTCTTTTAGGATATTCTATTATGATAATATATTTTTAGAAGGTTTCCATATTTTTATTTATTTATCTTAACCTCCACTTATAACATAATGGTTATTTTAAATCACATGCAATACATTAACTGGTTATGTTGACGCATTTATTTCATTCATTAATTAAAATTTACCATCCTCATTTATTTTTATTCCTTTAATTTATCCATCCTTTGAACCAGTATATATTAATTTAAGAGATTCATCAACTATTATAATAATATTTATTATATACCTGCTAATGTCATAATCAAATCCTTATGAATACTATCATTTGTTTACATTTCTAATCCTGTTTATTAATTCCAAAGCAACATTCTCTTACTTAACGAACTTTATTTTTGTAAATATTTATATATACCAACTAATAATATAAGTACTAAAAGAGGCAACTCCAATTACTTTATCTAATTAAGGAGGCTATAATTATTAAATCTGTCCATATTTGTTATTGCTGAAAGGTATTCTTTTAGTATAATGTTTTAATGTTCCATAAACTAATTCTTTATTCCGATTAGATCCATATACGCTTATAATATCTGAACTTCTTTCAAACTCATATAAAATACTAATAATAAATATATACTTTTTTACTTATTTTATCTATGATCCCAAACATTCAAAGCACTAGAATTAATTGATTTTCCAACAGCCACAAATAATCCATTTATAGTTGTCATTGCCTTAACTTCTTCTATTGTTGATTTTAACAATCCCTTTTAAACAAAAGTTTGAGGATCATATAATGTTATTTAAGATCCATGAGAAATAGCTATTGCATCTCTTTCATCCCAATAATGAATTGCTCGACAATGACTACTTTACTCTATTGAACTTATTAATTATGATGTTTCTATATCCCAAACTTTTACTTATTTATATTATCCAGAGCATAAAATATTCTCTTTACTGCACAATGATAAAATTGGAATCATGTCCTTATAAAGTTTTTATTAATCTAAAATATTTTTATAATAATTCTTACTCATAACCTCCATAATCTTATGAATAATTCATATGATCAGCCATAGAAAGAGAACCCCTTACTCTTGCACTAGAACTCATTTAACCTATTGATTTTGCTCTTGAAATTGTTTAGGACTCTTAAATTTATTTTTAATCTTTTCCATAATAATTTCTAACTATGTAATTTGAATTTGAATGTTATAATTAAGTTCCCAATCCTATTGATCTATCTTTTTATTATTTATTTATTTATTCATTATAAAAGTTTTTATAGTAATCTAATTCTAAACTAGCTGTTCGATAAGTATTTTAAGAAGCTTGTAATTTACGTCTATACTCATTTAATTATCTTTTTAAATCATCTGCTGGAGTTATTGATCTCGCTGATTTCTTAATTGAGCTTGGTCTTGAACTTAATAATGCTTAATTTGCTTAATTTAAATCTTCTATCTATTATGCATATACACTTATCAAATAATGATCTTTAACCCAATTATCTATTATATATCTAAAAGATCTTATACACCAATTTGGTAATTCTTTAAAATATTGATTAGTTAACATATTTGTATATTATTCATTTGATTTCTAAGCCACTACTCGGTATTCATTAATTTTTTAAACTTAAAACTCTATTGTTTCTGTTATATTTTCTCGCTTTTATTAATAATCATTTAATTCTAGTCTCTATTATTTCAATATATCATTATTCATTTAATTTTTACTTTATGCTATATCAAATTCTATCTAATCAATTTTTATTTAAATGTTAGAAATCTTTTATTAAATTAAATTTAATTCTTCTTAAATCTCTTCTAATTTTTAATACTCTTATGTAATTTAATCTTCTGCTTAATATCCTAACATAAGTTCATTAAATAAATCATCAATTTATTTTTCAAAAGCATCATATTATATTGATAATTAATTTGTATTATATCTATTATGCTATTTAATAACAATTTTTTCATTTTTTTATTTTAATAATTCATCATCCTTTCTTTTCAATTATAAATCTTTTCTTGTATTATCATTTTTTAATTTGCAAAGAATGTTATCTTATTAAATTTTAAGTTTTTTAGCTTTAATTAATTCTTTCTGTTTTTCATCTTTTTCTTTTATATATTTTTCATTTTCCAATTTCATTTTTTTTAATAAATCTACTTTTTATCTTTTCATAGACTCAATGTTATTTTTCAATTAATTCACTTATGATTCTTACTCTTCTAGTTTTTTGTTTAATTATTTTGAAATTGTCTCTTTTTATTTCATTTCTGAAATTTTAGTTTCATAATCTTAAATTTTTGATTTTAAAATATTAATTTAAGCAGAATCTTATTTAATAACTATTTATCTTTACAAATTAAACTTTTCTAATTCTAGATTTGCTATTTATTTTTAATAATCTTATTTAATTTCTTTTTGTAATTATAATTTAATTTATGTTTGTTGTTCATCAATTAAAATTAAATCCTTTTCATGCTCCTCAATTTTTTAATCATTCTCAATATACTCTGTTTCATCCATTTCATATTCATCATTTGATTAATCTAATTTCAACAATTAATTTTATTTGTTAAAATATTTTAAAAGCAATTTCTAATCCCTGTGTGATTCCTATACTAATATATAGATCATACTAAACTACCTTTATCAAAATATCATTCTATTATTGTAACAATTAAATTTTTTTTTCTTATTCTTGTATTGTTTTTTTAAAATTACTTATTTCATTATAACAACTATCTAGTTATTAATCCTCAACAAAATTAGTTGATATATTATTTTATATCAACAATCTAAAAATATTTTCTTATTATTACTTTCTAGAATCCTAAAACCATCTTAAAACCTAATCTCTTTATTTTTTTGCCTTAAAACAATCAATTTCACTCTCACTTAGTTCTTTCTTAAGTATTAAAAAGTCTTTTTACAATTTTTAAAGTTATTGATCAATTATAAAGTTTTACTATTTAAGTTTATTAATTTATTCAAAATGTTATGCACATGATTGTTATTAGTTCTAATAAATTAGCTCAGTATTTAAAATTTGTTGAATTTTTATATTGTCAGTATTTATATTGTTATCTATGAGTAATTACTAATATTATTTAATTTATTCATTTAAAATAATGATAGTTTATTTCAAATTCATAATCTAAGCTGTGTGAGGATCCTTTAATAATTAAAATAAAATTACAATATTTTTAGTTGGATTATTTTTAATCTCTCTTGCTCTACTAGCATATTTTAAAGTATTAATAGTTTCTTCATAATTAATTGCAGCTGATGATATACAAGCGATCATAAAAGTATTTGAATTTCCACCTAATGAATCTTAAAGAATTCTTGAAATAGATTAAATTTAATAATACCTTGTAAGTTTACTTTCCCTATAAGGAACATGAGCACATTTCTTTTAATCACTTAATGTATTAATAACATTTCCTAAAACTAATAAACTTTAATTTATATTTATTCCTTCTTCCATTTATTTACCTATTGCTTATGTTTTTTTCAGTCTTTCACTTCCTGCTAAATCTACAAAATGAAATTTTGCTTTTAATGATCCTTCTTCAGATTCTCTTTTTATTTCAAAATAAATTGTAAAAATAGCATGAGATCTTGAACTATTTAAATTCATTAATGTTGCAGATGTTGTCCTATGTGCTCCTCCTCTATTTAAAATTTAAATCATATATTATGAATTAGTAACTGGAATTGTTGTCAAATTTTGTATTGATATTGTATGATCCTTCTCTTCTCTTATTGTTGGTTGAATGTTCGTTTGGATTATAGACTCATTAAGTAAATCAATAATTTATTCATTATACAATTCTACATAAGAACATGTAATATTAATATCCAATTCTTATTTTCTTTTTTCTATTTCTTCAAATATAAATTATATCACTCTTGGAATTATTCCATATTCACTTGAATCTTAAATTAATACAATTCTTTAACCTCTAAATTAATCTACCGAAGATGTTCCCATTGTATAAGTTTTCCCAGAACCTGTTTAACCATACGCTAATACTGTACTATTGTATCCATCAAAACAACGCAAAATCAGATTAGTAACACAACTTAATATTTCTTATTTTATTATATTACCATTAAAATATTTAATCTTGACTTGAGTCTTCATTGAATACATGATCGAATGTAAATAGTTTACCATTTTAAGGCAAAATAATCTAAGATTCTAAATTAAAAGTACTGTGTTCCCATCTGCTTTTAAAAAGTTCTAATCTTTTCCAATAATCTCTTTTTAACTTAATGGTCGAATTCTTACTCCTACTTTCACATTCTACTATTAATCTTAATTTTCCATCTTGTTTTTTGACTCTTATTATTTAAATTTTATAAATAAATTATATATTATAGTCAAATCATTTATTGAATTTACGCTATTTCAATCTTAATCATCATATTATCAAGTTTAAACTCAAATGGTATACCCTTTCAAAATTTTTAATTACTTCTACGCATATAAGATATTAATTTTTATAAAAACTTAACATCTCTGTCCTTTATATTTCTCTATTAAATTAGTTTTATTTGTTTACTATTCTAGTAGATATTATAATCCATTATCCATTTAATTTAAAAACATTTATTAATCATCACCAATCTTTTATAATCTATTCTATTTATCTGTTTGTTAAAAAACTAACAATTTCAAATTCTTATCTAAATCTTAAATAGGTAATTAAATTCATTATTTGCTTCATCTTTCTTGTTTTAAATGGAATTGCTATATTGTAAAATAGCCTAGGTTTTTTGAAAACAGAAATATGACTACTTCAACAGTAATAAATCTTTGACTTGTACTTTCTAATTAAGTCAATCATTTAGATTATTTTTGAAGATGATATCAATTATTTATCTTTACTCTTTTGACATATTTCGTTTGCCATTCATGTTTTTCTTAACTCTACTTTCAATCTCTTAACCTAACCTTTATAATAATAATTATTTTCATTTGCTTTAAGTAATTGACCCTTTTAATCATACTACTTATTCAGAAACTTGATTTTTAGAGATTTATCTCTTATCTTAAATCTTTGCAATTCAAAATTGATAGTATTTTTAAGAGTTTTTCAACTTCAATAAGTGATTCTTTTATGATTCTTTATCTTATAAAGATTTGATTTAATCATTTTTTATATCTTTAAAATTTATTGAATTCTTTGTCAAATTCCTGTATTTACATTATTTTTATTTAACTATTGAATTAAATCATCTCAATAATTGAACATTTCTAAACTTTTCAATACTTTCAACATCGAATTTATTTTCTTATAAATTTCTTATTTCTAATTAATCAATATTTTTTCTTCTTTGGTTTCTTACTTCTTTCTATTTTTCTTTTTAGAAGCTTGCAATTATTTAACAGATTTTCTTTGTAATCATACATTATTTTTTTTCAACTTAGTAATCTATTCTCCTATATATTAAATCACTTTTAATTCTTACTCTTAATCTATATATTTGTATTTAAATTTGAATGAATATGATTTGTTCCAAAATGTATGGATTCTGAGATTTAACATTATTTACAATTATACATTTACATATAGATCTAGAATAGATGCTCCCTCTCCACCTACTCTTCCAAATAATTGGATCATCAGCTGAATCTATTGTCTTAAAGTATTTTTGTATTATTTTAATTTATTCACTTTAAGGTTTGTTCAAATATAGAAAAGGTGACACATGAATTTATGAGATTAGGTTATGATTATTATTAGTTAATCATATAAATTTAATAATTTTCATATTTCTATTTCTTTAACTTTAGGCTTCTTATAAAAGCGTAATTAAGCATTAGATTCAGGTGGATAAAATGGAGCTTATTTACCATAATTCTTTGGTAATGGTGCTCCTGTAATATCATCTGGAATGTATTATTAAACTCTTTGTTTGGCCATAGTCTTACAAGAAAACGGTTCAAACATTTTTTCTTATTATTCTTTTTCTAATCTTTGACGTCTAACAATAAATTAATAGTTAACCTATCTTCTAAATATCTTATCTAAGCTTTTTATTATCTTAAATATTCATCTTCATGTTCTGGCAAAGGAGGCAAACTCTTATCCAATCTTTCTCTAGCCTCTTATACTACATTTTCTAATTCATCTTTTTCTTATTATAACTTAATTGCTGTTGCTTAATACATTGATAATTCAGCTATTGTTGCCATCATTTTTCTTGTTAAATCTTTTAACTTTGCTTAAAACTCATTAACCTTTTCTGATAACTCTAAAGTAGACAATCTTCCATCTAATGCTTATTTTCTTAACTTCTCTGATAAATTTGTTATTTCATCTAAAATTAATTCTTTTTCTAATAATTATTCTTTTTTATTATTCAATCTTTCTTCTAAAACATGTATTTTAGCATCTAATGCTTCCTAATCTGGATCTTCACCACCTAACTCTCTAAATCTTTATTAATTATTTGGGTTTTCAAGTTCCTCAGAAAGTTAAGATTCTTTCTTTTTCTCCAATTCTAATTCATCTTTTAATTATATAACTTTTGATGATAATTATGGTATTTAAAGAATATCTTTCCTTGCAACATCTATTTTTCTTTTTTATTCCTATATTTCAATCTTTATCATTCTTATATCATCTTCTAATCTTTTTATTTCTAACTCTCCAGATTTTAATATGTTATCTTATATGTTACATTTTTCATACATAATGCATAATTCATCATTTCTATCTATTAATACTATGCCTGTATGATTTCTTGATTCACAAACTTACTCATATTACTTTCTTAAATTTAACATATCTTTTTCTAATGAAGATATTATCATATTTAATTTCTATATTTCATTTATATTTTAATCTATTATTTCTTTTTTAGCTTTTCTTTAATATTCTAATTTATTTAATTTAGCATGACTTCTATCTTTCTTATGTACTTCAACCTATAAACAATGTCTATATTCTAATAATGTTCTCTCCTTCTCTTAAGATTCATTTTTTAATATTTCTAATTCATTTTAAAGTATTTTAATTCTTTCTTTTAGTTCTGCTAAATCTTATGAACTATTCTAGATCATATTAACATATTTATTTCTTGCTTATTTAACTTCTTCATATAATGATTTATAATTATGTTCTTTTGCTTCTGTTTCTTATGCTTTTTTCTATAAATCCATAATTAATAATTCTTTTATTTTAAGTTCTTCTCTTGTTTCTCTTACTTCTGCTAATGCACTAGATGCTTTTCTAGCCATACTTTCTCTCGTTGCTGTTAATGCTTTAACTCTCTTTAATCCTTCAGCTTCAAAATTTTATAATTCTATCATTTGTTTTTCAAATTTCTTTATTTCATTATCTACTTTACTTTATTCTTACATTTTCTCTTCTGCTTTATCTTTTACTTTTCTTACTCTACCTTCTAACATTGTGTATTCTTCGGCTATGTTCTCTCCTATTTCATTTTATTTCTCTATTTCATATTTTAAATTAACTATTTCTTTTTTTATATTTTCTAATATCATCTTTTATTCATGAAGAGTATCATTTGTTTATTACATTTATGTTTATTATTTTTTTAATTCTTTTTTATCTAAATCAATTGCCTTCTTTAAAGAACTAACTGTATCTCTATGTCTTCTAATTTCTAACTAACTATTTCTTATTTCAATATCATTAGAAACTTTTTAACTACTTAAATCACTAATTTCTTCTTTCAATTTCGAAGATAGATCATTTTAAATTGCTTATTCTCTTTAATTCTTTTCTGTTATACTCTTCTCTTCATCTATTTAACCTTCATATTCTTATAGTTTTAATTATAATTTTTTTAGTTCTACATTTAAATCATCTATTTATTTATTCTTTTTAGATATATCATCCTTATATCCTTAAAGATCTTTTAACATAATTTTATTGGCACTTTTTAACATTTCTGCATTTTTACTAAAACGATTAGGATCATCCTTTATTTTTATATATTCATCATTTAATTTACTTATCTTATTTAATTTCTCATCATTTTCAACTTTCAATTATTCTATCTTTTCTGATTTTTCATCAATACTTTTTTATTCACTTTCAATTTTTTATTTATACTCTAATAATAAATCTCTTTCTCTTTCTATTTCAGCATCTTTTTAAAGCATTTCTGGTAAAGCTTTGCTCTTAGCCATTTTTTCTTATTCAGATATTCTAGTCAATATAATTGATTTCTCATGTTCTACTTCTTCACATTAAAATTATTTAGCATCAATTAATTATTCCATCATTTCATATTCTGCTTCTGTCTTTTTTAAACTTGCATTTAAATTTTATGCTTTCTCTTATGCATTAGCCTATAATGTTATTACAATCTATATATACTTAATCATTTAAAGCAGTTTCGAGATTTTGTTTCTCAGTTGCTAATTATGTTTTCAGTTTTTTTGATTTTTCCCATAGAAAATGATGATTTTTAAATGTTTATACAACTGTGTCATGAAGTTTATGAAATTTTTTCTTATATGAATCACATTACTCTTAATTGATTTTTCCTTACCTAAGATAAATTATTGAAATCTAACTTAAATAGATCAGTAAGCATACTAAGGGCAACATTACTCTATAAATCTCGTATTTCATCTGGTACTTCTGACATTATTAAGTTAAAATAAATATTAAATATATATATATTTTATGAAAGCATCAAAATACTAAATTGAAAATAGAGACTATAACATTATTACATGTGTTGATTTTAATCAAAAATAATAATCATTACCTCCATTAAGGAAATTAGGTTAATCATAAGACCATCCTTTTCCAAGAAAAGCCAAATTTGAAGTAGCTCAAGAATAAGTATAGATGCAACAGACATAAACCACTAAAGTTAACAATTCTCAATAAGACATAAAATAAATATAATCAGGTTCTATGATGAATGTTTCATCAGTTAAATTTGATTTTATTTCTTTTACTCAAGGAAAATAATAACCATTTCATGATCTAAAGTAGGAATTGAAGATCTTGCACAAAAAAAAAGTATCTTTATCTATATCAATATTAAAGGGTGGAATGGGTGAAATTGCTGATTTAGGAGGCTTGTGTTACCCAAATTTTAATAGGGAATATCAAGATAAATTCAAGGAAAACCAAACTATATTTAGAAAATAAAAAGGAGATTATCCTGCTGTCACAGATCCTAAATTCTCTTATGGACCTTTTATGAAACCTTTTAAAAAGTTCAAGTTTTGATATTTCATTATATTATTTTTCATATTAATAATTAAATGGAAACCTAAATTTTAAGATAATGTTTAAGTTCAAATGAGACTTATTCAAAAACAGATGAAATCAAACTTAAAATCTTATATTCTGACATGTGATTATTTAATCTTATATTAGTTATTATATAAAATAGGTTTAATAGTCTATTGCTAAAATTATCTAAGATCCTTTTGAAAGTCCAAATATAAAACTTATGGCTTTAAAAGTATAAATCTCATCAAAACTTTAGTTAAATAAAGAACTTGTCGAAACTTTCAATGGCAATTATATATATTTACTATAAAAAACGTTATTACCTGTATTAGAAGAAATTGCTAAATATAAATATACTTCCGATGACCCAGACAGAGGAGTTACATATTTTTTAAATGGTGAAAGTCCAAATTAAGGTTTAATTAATCCTTATATTAGACAATAAGGACTTATAAATTACTGGTGAATAATTTGTTAGAGTTGTATTAGAGTGTATAAGAGTTTGGAGTAGATGGTTTCCATTAGAATATTAATCATATTATTTAAGTTCTTTTAAAATTACATATGAAAAGTTAGTAAAGTTAGGAGTTAAATTTCCAAAGATCGTTTATTTTGAAAACATTGAATAATATATTCCAAATTAGTTAATTCCTTTATCAATGATAATTTAATTAAGAGAACGACTTAAAAATTAAACTAATCTTTCAACAAAATAAATTTAAAATTATTTAGCCATGAATCCTGCCCATTTTTTTTATTAACATAAATATAGTACATATGGTGATTTTTTCCATTAAATTAAAAACAAAAATCCAATTTAAAGAAAAAAAGTTTTAAGAAAGGCTACTTTTCTATTAGAAAAGGAATTTGAAAATCTTGATACAAAAAGAAAAGATCCGTTATATAATCCTATTTCAACAGAAACTTTATAAATCGAAAATCTATGTTTACAAAATTTATATAATGTATTATCAATTAAAGTACCAGATCTTCAAACATAAATTATCTCATTATAGAATAAAGTTAATAGTTTAGAAAAATAACTATTAGATAAGGAATAAAAAATAAATGAATTACAGAATGAATTGAAACAATTATAAAAACAGTTTTCAATTAACATTAAAGAGTTTTTAACTTCAAATGACCTATCCAATAGCTAATTATTTCAAAATGATGTAAACTAAACTATTATAATTAGGTTACAAAATTAAAATTACACTATGGAATTTATGATTAAACTTATGAAATTGAAAAATTAAAACAACTTATTTATAAATCTGATATAAAAATAGAAGAACTAACTGAAAATTTAGATGAAACTATCAAAAAAAAAAATTTACTTTATGAAGAAAATAAAACTCTAAATTAGACAATATTAGTTTTAGAGAGAAGACTAATTTAAAATACTACATAACCTATAAAAACTATATCAACATAACAATGTTTAAGTGAATGTCGTTAGAATACTATGACTAATATTAGCTAATCAGGTACAATAGTTTCAAAAAAAGAAAAGAGCACTGGATTTTAAAACTCTTTGTTGTTGTCACTAAAATAATAAATTTTAGGATAATCATATTATATTAAGACCTTATAAACTCAAATAATTAAGTTTGATAAATATTTTTTACATTCTGGTCATACAAATTCTATAATCTCTTAACCTACAACATCCACTTAATATAAAGGTAAATCTAACAAAAACTAAATTAGTCCCTATGTATTCTCCATAATCTGTCTCTTAACCTAAATCAAGAGGATCAAAAGAAATAACTTCACCATTTGTAGATTATGATGGCAAAATATTTGCAATTATTCCTGAAGCTTTTACTGTCAAATTTAGATAATCATGTTTGCTTAAAAAATCAATTTTATATTCAGATGATAATCTTCAAATTGGTGTTCAATCTAGTTTATAATAAAATTAATAACTCTTAATTAATTTAGTCTTGCATAACAAAACTCAAGAATAATTGTATAACCTTTGCATTTAATATCAAAAATCTTAGAATCTATAATTTTAGATTCATCCTAATAATATTTAATAATCTATTAAAAGTAATGAATAAGTATCCTAAAAAATATTTATTTCTTTTTAAAAACTTCCTTATCAATTGTTGGAATTTTCAATAAGCTACAAAATATCTCATAAAGAGCATAGCTTCAAAGTTTGCCTTCCTTGTACAATAAATAAATTTTTCACATTTTTAGAGGTTACATAAACATAAGAAGCTCCAAAATCATTTTTTTATAATAGTAAAATCTTTCAAACAAGCTTTTAAAATCAAATTGTATCATTACTTCCTGATTTTTAAATTAATTAAATTAATGATCAATATATTGAAGCTTTAGCAAGGATTTAAATAGAAAAATCTGTGTTTTTAATATCAATTTAATCTAATAATCATCAAATGCAAATTAAATTGAATGGAACTTATTAGGATACTCTAGTGGAATGCATAGTGTCAACTTATTAAGGACTATTTATGAAGAGATGACAAAAATTGAATATATTTATTAAAATTAAAAAATAATAATTATAAATGCAGTAGCTTTAGATAGGACTAGTCTTATTAATTTCATGTTTAGCATTTTTTCTTTTAGGTTATTAATGGGCTGTTTCGAATCAAAAACCATTATATGATAGTGTATAATTATAAATATCGTTTTTAGATTGGATCTGATGATGATGAATGTAAAGTATAAGTTATTTTCTTTAGAAAAACTTGAATAATAATTGAAGGAATATAAGAAAAATGAGGAGAATTATAAGAAATAAATTTAGGATCTTACATAAAAATTAGAGATGAAAAATAGTAATAAAAATACAAATGTTTGATTCTTAATAAAATAATTATGAGACATGTGTATAATTATTTATAATATAATTACATTTTTAAATTCTAGTATTGATTATTTCTCTTACTTTAGCATTGAATATATTTTTCATTAATAAATAATATAATATGGCACAAGAATCAAATTATGGTGACGTAAATAAATTATAAAATCCTAGATTTTACTTTTATGTGGAGATTTACATATTGGTACAAGAGTGCAAAAGCTTCATGAAAAGATTGTAAGTGCATTAGGATAGAATAAATTATAACATGTTCTTTGTACAGGAAATGTTGGAAATAAAGAGACTTATGATTGGTTGAAGTAAATTTCACCAAATTTTCATTGTGTTAGAGGTTAATATGATGATGTATTAATCACTTTTGATATTAGGAAAATAATGAAATTCATTATGATCAAAAAGTAATATAAATTGGAATATGGAAAATTCTATTGATACATGGACATTAATTTGTTCCATGGAATGATGAAGAAACAATTAGTGTATTTTTGAAAGAAAATGCATGTGACATTGCAGTTTTTGGAAATTCTCATTAATCACTAATAAGCAAATTTGAGAAAAAATATTTTATAAATCCTGGAACAATCAGTGGAGCTTATGGATCTATTAAATAGTTAAATTTTTAATCATATATAGAGATGCAGTGATTTAACCAGAATTTGTTATACTTGAATGTTTAGGTGATGAAATTGGAGTTTACAAATATAAATTAGTCAATGGAGAATTACTAATTGAAAAATGTGTAATAACAAAATGAACAACAATTTAATTGTCTATTATTATTGATTTTTTTGACAATCTCTATTAATTAAAATAATTCTATAGAATCTCTGTTTTTGTATGAATGATTGAGATGTTTATGTAAAACAATCAAAAAATTAATATAGAATGAAGAAGATAATTTATAAAATATTTATAGTATTGTTTATTCAACAAAAATTAAGTTCTATCAGATTCTTATTAGTATCTAAATATTCTTTTTCAAATGTATGTTTTGTGATTGAAACATCATTAAATGTAATATTAAATTAAGCAACTCCTCAATCTCTTAATCATTAACTAAGATTTAATAATTCTTATTGTTTCATTAATAATTGAATGAAGTACTCTAAAAGTGAGACGTACATTGGCAGATTTTTAAATTTATATTAGATTATTGATTCTGTTCACTGTATTAACTTCCTAAGTGTTTTTTTTGAAAGTTGTTATTAATTGGAGTTTCAAAATATTGAATTCTGAAATAACAATTTCTTTGTAAGTTAATTTTAAAGATTATAAAAATATTCTTAATAATAATATATTAGAAATATATCTATGAAATAAAGTGAGCAAGTTATTCTTGCATCTTAATAACCTGGATTAATTGATACGTCAACTAAAAGATTGATTTCTAAATCTTCTACTCAATTTTAAACATCTGGTATGTAATAATAGCCTGTTGTTACTCGTCGTATACATAGAAAATTAGTTCCAATGGATGGTGGTAGATTATTAATGTTAATATTTAGAGGCTGAAGAAACTGTTGTATAACCTATTCATCCTCCTCCTTAACCAATAGTTCATCCTGTACAATAAATGATTTGGCCAGTTGCAGTTTAATTTAATGAAGATGATGCATTAGCTAAAATTAGAGAAGAAAAAATGTTAGCCCTTCTTGAAAGATAATCTGAAATGCTTACAAATTTACTTCAAAAGTATAAAAGATTAGAGGAGGAATAAACTAATAAAATATAAAGAAGAATAAAAGAATTGGAAAGAGAAAATGAAGAAATTTGGTAAAGAAGAAGATAGAATTATTTAATTTACAATGTTTCTTAATCAGTTGATTAAAAATTAAAGGAGTTTAATGAATTTTAAATGCGTCCTTTTCTAGATTAAGGTTAACCTGTTCTTTTAAAACCAATTCATTAAGATGATAGACTATTTTTTGATAAGAAAAAGAAAAAACCAAAACCTAAAAAGATTGTTGAAGTTGATGATGGGCTTGTTTAAGACCCAGATACAGGAGAACTTTGGGATCCAAAAACTGGAGAAGTTGTACAACAATCTCCTCCTTTATAATAATCCTATTGATTATAATTATTTTTAAATAGTTATACTATTTATTATATATCTTTTGTTGTTAAAATCTATTATTTTCTGCGATTTAATATTATTTTTGTTAAATTATTATATAATTAAATGAAGGAATAAATATAATTAAGAACAAATTAGAAAACAAATATACTATCATAAAACAACTTTTTATAACTAAGCTTACATTCATTTTCTACAACTATTAGAAGATAAATTTTTTTCTAATTTTAGAGCCGAAGCTTGATTGTTCTAAAACATTAAGTTAAGATTTTAATCAATGAATATAACATTTCCAAGAGATAACAATTTTACATTAGTTCTATATTTATTAAGATAATAAAAGTAAACTACTAATTATTTTTCTTATTTTTATATATATAAAATTATTAATTAATAATCAGCATGTAAATAAAAAAAACAGAAATCCTGATATAACAATTAAATAAATATATATTTATTAAATGTATTAGCTATTATAAAATTCTTACAATTATAGAATGTCATTACCATAAAATTTTGGCTGATTCTCCTAGAATTAATTTTCAATAAGTTTAGTTCTACTAATTAGGAATAAGTAATTCTTTCGATGTCATTTTAGATTAACTTTTTCAAATGAATTAATAAGTTATTTGATATAATATTATTTTTATTTGTATAAACCTAACTTATTTTATGTTGAAGTTCTGTGTTTTATTTAATTATTGAATTATTTAGCTTTATAAATAATAGCTTGTTTAAAAGGTGATAAAATTATAATAATAAAGTAAAATAAAGATAGTTATCAAAACTATTCAAGAAATAGAATCACTATCTGAAGAGACTTCTGCTATAATATCATCATAAATATTTTTTTCTGTTTCGTCAGTAATATCACGCATTTATTTGTTTTTCAAATATTTTGGTTTTCTCGATCTCATAGACTTAATATATAATTTGATTTCAGCAGCAATTTTGTCAAACTTTTCATTTTCATCTGATTTATAAATAGTATCAAGGGTTTGTACAAACTTTGAATCATGATTTATTATTATATCTAAAAATATATAGTTGAAATGAGACTTTTTAAATTTTCCTTTTCATTGGTGGTGATAATCTAATTGGCAGACATTTGTTGGACTATCTTAAATACGTCATAGTAAAATTATTACGACAACATTTTATAATAAAAACAATCATTTATATTAAATACTTATAGGTCCAAACTTTTCAACATTCTACTAAGTGATCTTGAAATTAGTTAAAGTTTATGCATCACAAAGATAATGATAAAATTACAAAGCCTTGTCATAACTGGATTTCTCTTAAAATAATGACATTGAAGTAGTATAGTGATTAGATATCTCCTCTTATATTTCTTCTAAATGTTATTCTTCTATAAAGTGTATCCTCTTCATACTTTTATTAGAGTCTTCACTCAAGTTTCTACTTCTGAGAACAGATTTTACAGACACATTAGATTTATTATTACTTTCACATGATTGATTTAAGTATATTTCTTCTGGATTCATTATACTAATCATAGATAACAATTGGTTTTAATAATTAGAATCATTAAGACATTAGAATATTTATTGAAGCATTTCATCTTAATTAATTAACTAATCCTAATGTTATACCTTATACTCATTAATAAGATATGATTCTAGTTTTTACAATAAATGAGATTCTTCATCTTCTAATTCATAGAATTGACTTTTATAATTTTGAATCTTTTATTTTTTTATTCCTTGATCCATCTAGACTTTTATTTTCTTTCTAGTGTTTTGTTTGGTTTCACATTCTTCATTGCATACACTTTCAGCATCTATACTAATTTGCAATTATTCTAACATTTATAAATACAAATTATAAACTACACCATTTTCTATATTAGCTTGTTTTACTTCAGTTTTAAATATATTTTCTTCATTTTAATGTATTTATTGCATAAAAATTTAATTTTTAAGCAAATCTCTATAATCTGGGACAAAAATTTATTCAGGAGCAATTCCTTCCTCCTCAATTTACATAATTTACTATTATGAATGATAAGAAGTTTATTGACTGCCTGGTAATAAGATTGATTCTTCTTTAGCCAATTAAGAATCTAAAATATAAAATTAAATTTCACTTTAAGTTTATGAGAAATAATTGGGTAATTTGATTAATTAATTATCAACAACTATCTGTTCTCTTCTTTATTTTTAAACTTTTCGCTTTTTTGGAATTGGAGTAACTAACTTTTAGTCTTTACTATTAGTATTATTGAAAATGGATTCTTTGGCTTCAATAATCTATTATTTTAATTTTTTCATTCTTTTTTTGATTATTATACTAATTGCTAACATTAAGAAGACATCATCTCTAAGTAAAGAATGCCCATGGTATTTATGAACATAAATATTCCTTTTAAGATTAATAATGGAAATATACAAGATAGATGAAATGTCAATGCGTTCTGTTTCTTAGATAGTTAAATTAGTATAAACCAATCTCTTTAAAGGATGGAACTAAGGATCTGAAAACATGAATAAATAATAATAAAGGTAAGAGAGATTTTAGTAAGGTTTTATGGTTCACTAAATTTTAGTTAATTGATGCTATGTAATATATAGAAATAATATTGGAAATATATAAATAAAATAAATGATTGGCAGATAAATCTTTCGTGCATTTTCATCAACTACAACTCCATATGTGTGGGTTAATAAGCACACAAAGGTGATATGTTAAGGTATCACTGGAAATTAGGTAATTTATGATATTATAAGACTAGGGCACATTCTAAACAGAATAAGCATTGAACTACTTTACAAAAATGGTTGGTGGAGTGTCACCAAAGAGTAATATAATTATATATAAAATATAGAGGCTGGAAGTACACATCTTGGATTACCAGTTTTTAAGAATTGTTAAGAAGCAAAAGAAGTCACTGGATGTGATGCATCCGTAATATATGTACCTCCTCCAACAGCTGCAGCAGCTATTATTGAAGCTATTGAAGCATAAATTGGATTAGTGGTATTATATATATTATATAAATAACAAGGTTGTAATCACTGATGGAATTCCTTAACATGATATGATTAAAGTTAAACATGCACTTAGATCTCAATCAGTAACACGTGTTATTGGAGTAAGATACTAATATAATTTTAGCCTAATTGTCCAGGAATCATTAAACCCAATGAATGTAAAATTGGTATCATGCCAGGATATATTCATTAGAATGGAAAAATTGGTATTGTTTCAAGATCTGGTACACTTACATATGAAGCTGTTGATTAAACTACTAGAGCAGGTTTAGGATAATCAACTGTAGTTGGTATTGGTGGAGATCCATTCAATGGAACTAATTTTATTGATGTTTTAGAGAGATTCATGGTTGATCCAGAAACAGAAGGTATATATAATTATTATTATTAATTAGGTATTGTTATGATTGGAGAAATCGGTGGTGAAAATGAAGAAATGGCTGCTGATTGGATTAAAAATAATAATCCTAAAAATAAACCAGTTGTTGGATTTATTGCTGGTATCACTGCACCACCTGAAAGAAGAATGGGACATGCAGGAGCCATTGTATCAAGTATTATAATAATTTATATCTTTCTAGAGGGAAAAGGAAGTGCTCCTGAAAAAATTAGAGCTCTTGAATAAGCAGGAATTAGAGTTGTGAAATCACCTGCTTAAATTGGTAAGACTATGTTAGAAGTTATGAAAGAAAAAGGATTAGCATGAATTCATCATCTAATTTTTACATAATAAATTTATTTATGAATTATTCAATTATACTCTCTTAATTCTAATATCTCTCCTACCTATTATATTTCTCAAGGATATTCAATGCTAAAAACAAAATGTTATAATATTTTAATCAATCAAGTTTTACTCATAAATATCTTGATTTGGATGAAGAAAATTAAATTTCTATCTTGGATGTGAAGTAAAATTATTTTTAAATATTTTAAAAAAACTTAATATTAATTAATATAATATCTTTGTCATTTATTTACTTAACTTTACTTATAAAACTTGTAAGTGATTTTAAAACTCTGTAAATCCATTATTATTCCCTGAATTTATTCTCAAATTCTTAAATTTACAGAAACGCGATCTCCACTAAATGGTTGAAAATTGATAATAAATAATATTTATCACAATTGTCTTAGCTATTATACTAATATATTTGAATAAATTTTTATTTTTAAAAAACTCATAAAATCTTTAGGTTTTACAAACTAAACTGCTTTTATCATCCAATTAAACTATTAAACTATTGTAAATTTGGCATTAACTATATATTATAAATATTGTCAATTATTTAATCCTTAATTTTTCTAATAATCCAGCTAATTATTTTGATATCTTTTGAATCATTAGACTATTGCTAGAGGAAATGAGAAACTAATTTCTAAAATGAATTAAGTATTTAGCAGTGAAATAGAAATCCTCTAATATATTTGTATATGTTTTAAAACAATTAAACTTAATCGAATTATTTAATTATTTAACATGCAAATATCAAGTAAAATAAAACAATGAAGCTTTTGTCAAATAAAACTTAAAAATTTATTTAATATGAAAAATGATTTAATTTAAGAACTTTAATCTAGATTCTGGAATAACTTATAATATAAAGCTATGAAATTTTTAATTGCTAATATAAATAGATCACATTGGCTGAATTTAATATGATATTCAAACTAAACCATTTAAAAGCTACCCAAATTGATTGTTATAAAATCAAACAAAACTTTTAATACAATAAATTTGCTATATGAGTTAAATTGTTATGAAAATAATATCAAGAGACTTTTTGTTTGAATATGTCAAATTTATATATTTTAACTGTAACTCCAAAGGTCCTCTACGGATTTTTACTTTTATTTTAATTTGGAACTAAAAAATTATTTAAATTCTTTACCTTAAGACAGGAGATTAATTTTATTTTTGCTATGGTTTCATTTGCATTAATTTAACCAATTATCCTGTTGATTTAGCCATTTAATCATTTTATTTATTTATTAACATAATTTTATTAGGGGAATCACTTGTAGATTTACTAAAAGAGTACTATCCTTTAATATGATTTCTACTTGGTTATAAACCCTATTTTAACATTTTCTATAATTAATTTAATTCTTTAGCAACATTTACTAAACTTTATTCATTTGTTTGTGAAGTTAATTGTTCCAATATTTTATCAACTGATTTTCTAGCATTTTCAATCAAATTTGTTTACTCTGAATTTGATATTTTCGTTAATTGTTCTATTTCATTTTTCCTCTTCTCTAATTCTGTTTTAGTTAATTTCAAGTCAAATGAAATTTATTTATTGATTTCAACTTAATTTTTAAGTTCATAGGATATAAGAGCATCTGATTAGACTTATTAATTAGTATGTAAAGTTTAGACAGGAATTTGTTCTAGCTTTTAAATTTGTAAATCATTCTGTATATCAATAACCTTCTCTTTATTATATTACTTTTAATTTTGTAATACCATAGGTATGTCAATTTTATGTTCTAATAATAGTTCTTCAAATTATTCTAATCTAATCTATTGAGAATGAAATTGATCTTCATTTTCTTTTTATAATTTTTCATATACATCCAACTCTTCTTATAATTGAAGAATAGTTTCATCTCTATCATTTAATCTATTAGTTAAGGCTATCATAATGTCTCTTTACTTTAACAATAATTGTTTATACTTATCTGTTTAAGCTTTATCCTCTTCAATACATTATCTTTCTTTTTCTAACTCTGTTAATTTTTCTTAATATTATTATCTTATCAATCTTTATTATTTCTCTAAAGCACTTTAAAATTAAGGAGTTTCTTCTATTTTTTATCCTCCAACTAACATTTGAGAATTTAATGCTGAAATCTTTTCTTCTAATTATTTTCTTAGTTCTGTTTCTTTAAATAAATCTTTGGATCTTTATTCATAAGCAGATTGAGCTTCTTGTTTATCCTCTAAAGCTTTCTACTTTTCTTTTTCTAATTCATTAACTAAATTTTCAAGTGGCTATTTAGTCCTTTCATCTAATTCTTATTTTAATTTTTAGATTTCTAATTAATATTTTCTTAATAAAGCTCCTTAATCTCCATCTTAATTTACGATTGGAGTATTCTTAATAGTTTTAGCTCTATTGGCAAACTTTAAAGTTGATAAGGATTCACCAAATGCATCAATAGCTGGTGATATCATTGCCATAAACGTTGTTTTACAATTTCCACCTAAAGAGTCTTCTAATAATCTTGTTATTTTTGAATCTCTATAAGGAATATGAGGTTTAGAACCTCTATTTTCTGTTAAAGCTGCTATAACATTTCCTAAAGCAGATAAAGATTAATTTATTTTTTTAGATTCTTCTAATCTTTAACCTGTGGCTCCTGTTACTCTAACTCTTTCACTACCAGCTAAATCAACTAAATTCAATTTCCCAACTCTTGCAGATTTTCCTTCTGGCTTTTCCTCTATTTATTCAACTGTAATAATAAATACTGCGTGACTTCTTGAACTTGTATCATTCATTCTTGTACTGGCAGTTACTCTTTTTGCATTACCTTTACGCATTAATTAATATATTTCAGCGGGACCTCTTACTGCCCATTCTGACAAGTTTTCAACAAAAACTCCTCTCTTTTTATCTTCTCTTATATTCAAAGATGCAGAATCTCTTAATAAATCACTAATATTTTCATTATATATTTGTAAATATGAAGCACGAACCATAAAAGTTGTAGAGGAATTACTTTTCATTTGAATGTGATTAAATATGTTATGTAAGGATCTAGGTATAATACCTAATTAATCAGAATTAGGGTTAAAACTAAATCCATGCATTGTGTAAGTTTTACCAGTTCCAGTTTGACCATATGCAATTATAGTTGAATTGTAGCCTTACAAAGTTGAATCTACTGATAATGCTGCAGTTGTATTATAAACTTATTCTTAAGTGCTATCTTAATCATAAATATAATCAAATGTAAATTAATGAAGAGTATAATTAGATGGATTTGATACATATTATTCTAAATCTTCATCAGGTACAAGTTCTATTGCATGATAATCAAAAATGCAAAGTTATAAATTATCAGGAGCTACCTAAACAGTTGAAATAAATTTGCCATCTCTAATTTCTCTAGCCATCGGAGGACGTACTCTTATAACTACTCGTAAATTTTCATTGCCGGGTGCTTAACCATTATTTTATTTCATTGAATGAACTTATAATTTTTATTTTATAAAATAAAGTGAAAAGGGATTATTTTTATTAATATTTTTATTTCCTATATTTTTGTGGATTTTATATTATAATTAATTTTGCGCGACGTTAATTATTTTAACGAATAAATAATGGAAATTAAGTACAACAGATCACTCAGTGGAATTCCTGAAAATCAATAGTAATAACCTTTAAGAAGAATTACTAAGACTTATATAGAAAACAGAGACCCTGTGAGAAGAAATTTGACCATGTTGTATAATGAAGGTAATTTCATAATAAAATAAAGTAGACACATAGCAAATAAATAAATCTATGCTTAGTAGTAATAATGATTTAAGAAGGAAAATGATTAATCAAGAGAGAGTTAAAAGATCTCTTAATCAGGATGTATTAGAAGACAAAGAAAATGTACCTTAACACAAAGGTATTACAACAAAACTTTATACTCTTCCTTAAGAATTTTAGAATATCATAATTAAACCAAAATTCGATCATACAATTCAAGAAAATAAAAATCTTTAAAAGTTTTATACAGATGAGATATTTTTCTATTTAAAAGAATAAGAAGTAATTATCAATAATATTTATATAGAAAAAATCAACTCCATTAGAATGTTTAGATAATCATTCCATTCCTAGTAATTTAAGAGCTAAAATGATTGATTGGATGGTAGAAGTACTTTGTTCTTATAAATGTACTGATTAAACATTTTTTGTTGCTGTGAGAACTATGGATTTCTATTTTTCAAAAAGTGAAAAACAATTAGAAGTTTCTGATTTACATTTATGTGGAGTCACTTCAATGTTTATTGCTGCAAAATATGAAGAAATCCATCCTATGAAATTATCTGTAGTTTATGAGAAAATTGCTCATAAAAAATTATCAACAGATTAAATTAAAAAAAAAGAGAGTGAAATACTTTAAACTATTGGATTTGATTTAGTTGGTGGAACTCTATTTGATATGTACAATTTAATTCTTACAAATTGTTTTATTGAATCTAAATTACTTGAGAAAAATTACAAATATTTAAAAAAGTTATGTTTGTATCTTTCAAAAATGGTTTTGTATGATTATGAGATTTGTAGCAAGAATAATTATACATTATTGGCAGCTGCTTTAATATTTGTAGCATTCAAAATAGTTGAATAATTAGAAAATAGTTTCAATGCTGATAGTTAAGTATGCAATTTGATTTATATTAAAGATCAAGGAAGTTGCTTAAATTATTTAAGTTGATTAAGATTAGTTAGTAGAAGTTGCAGCAAAAATCTTAAATTTGGCTAAAAACTTTGAGAAACATTTTCCCAATTTGGAAAATTTAAAAAAATTTAATGGATTTTAGTTAGAAGATGATGAATAATGACAAATATATAAATATATATTACTTTTATAAATAAATATGTGGCAAACAAAAAAAATATTTATAATGTACTTTTATATTTTAATAAATCAATCAGCTTTCTTAGTGCTTTCAGTTGTGTGTTTCTCTCCCTTTCCTTTAGTTGAAACTTTAGCTGATGCCTTTCTTGCTAACAATTATTTTCTGTCTTCATTAAGGTAAGGTTTTGTAATGATGCATTATGATGGTCTGATTGGGATTTAATATGGCATTCCTACAATAACATTATTAAATTACCATTGGCTTTTGTTCTTGTGAGTTTCTCAATTTGTATAACCCATCTCTTTCTGTAAACTGATGAAACTTTACCCTTTGTTCCCTTATGTGTGCCTATGCTCAATTTTATTATTATACCCCTAACAACTGTGACTTCATCATCCTTTCTAACAGGTAATGCTCTAACATTGTATTTCTTTCTTAAATCTTTAGAAAGATGAGCACTCATTAATTTATATCTAATGTTTGATGGTGCTCCTAAATGGGCTCTTCTGCCCTTTCTTCTTTAACTTGAAACTTCTACATGGGTTTTCATTTTGAAAAAGATTTAATTAAAAATTAATTTTTTGTTTTTTCTTCACGAATTTCATACAATATATTATCTAAGTAATGCTTTCATTTAATTACTATTTAAAATCAATTTATATTATCTGCTTTATACTTTTTTTTTCTATTGATCAACTACTTAAAAATATAATCAAATTGTAAAATAATATTTATTTATTCTTTATTTCAGATATCATTTTTCATTAATAAGATCTCATTATAAATTAATTTAATTTTTTTCAGGATTCCTCAATCATAATTATTGATGTATTATTAAAAAAATTTAGTATTCAATCAAGTAATTTAAATTGAATTTATTTAAGATAATTATTTTATATAATTATTAATTCTTCTTCTGAAAGTAAAAATAATTTGTTTATAAATCTTGTTCATTAAATTAATACTTTTCTCAATCATCAATAAATCTTTTTCTAATGATAATTATTTATTTAATTATAGTAATAATAATTCTCTATTAAGATGTTAGTGTATAGATATTTTACATATAAAAATGTAATAAATATAAATTAGGAAGCATTTCGAATATTTAATTATGTATTTCAACATATATATATAATAAACCATAAAAAAATAACTGATATTTATAATTGTTATCCATTTTATTTATTTTAATAATTATATTTAAATTAAAAAATACAATAAAAATTGGGTCTTTTTGGAAGAAGGTATTAAGAATAGAATTAATTAATTCTGAATGAAAATAAAACTCATGCACCGAATCCATAGAGTGTTCTTCCTTATCTCTTTAATGAGTAAACAACATCCATAACAGTGACGGTCTTTCTTCTAGCATGTTCAGTATATGTGATAGCATCTCTAACAACATTCTCCAAGAAGCTCTTTAAAACATTTCTTGAATCATCATAAAGGAATGATGAAATTCTCTTGACTCCTCCTCTTCTAGCTAATCTTCTGATAGCAGGTTTTGTGATTCCTTCAATTGAAGCTTTGTTTGGTTTTCTTGCATGTCTCTTTGCACTTACTTTTCCAATTCCTTTTCCTGATTTTCCAGCCATTTTTGTGTATTTTGAATTGAAAATAATATAATTAAAAAGTGGAGGATGTATATGGGATAAAAATCCAAATGATGCAAAAATTAGCCAATCAAATTTTATCATAAAAATTGATTTTTATTGGTTGGAATATTTATATTATGCCTTTTTATACTTATTGTTTAATTGAATGAATTAAAATTGATAATTATTTGAATGTAAATCAATCAAATAATAGCAATGTAAAAAATTAATTATCTTTTATTTACATTAAAATTATAATTAAAATTTATTAGTATAGTAAAAAATATTTTACAAATAATCATCATTTTTATTAATTTTCATCATCATTATTAATTTTTGATCTACATATAGGACATGTATTATTGGCAAAAAACCATTTTTCTATGCATTTGATGTGAAATAGATGTTTGCATGGTAACAAAATGCCTTAATTCTAAAATGAACAAAGACATATTGAGCATAAATCTTTACTTGTAAATGAATTGTGGATATATTTCATTAATATAGTGTGTTTTTCTCTTTTAATCTTGAAAATATTAAGTATATATCTTATAAGATTTGGTACAGAAATACATATATTAATAATAATTTTCACAATCATATGTATTAAGTTGATAAATGAATTGATGCAGATGTATATTAACATTAGGGATAAGATTATTAGGATAAATGAAAGTGGTAATGAAATTAAAGCAAATTCTGAAAAAATCAAATATTAATTATTTTTAGATTCCTCAATGATAAATTAGATACAAATAGCATAAATTCCTAAAGTGATTAAAATGATAATAATTAAAGAGTTTATATGATATTTTGTGAATTCCTTAAAAATTTATTAAAATGTTAATTTAGATGCAATTTTTAAATCAATCAATTTTATTTCAAGTCTATGTTCTGGATTAGGAATTATTTCTTTAACAATAATCTTTAAAAATATTTTTCTAGTAATTGTAGATTTAAGTCCTATAAACTTTTTTTATTTTTTAGCTGAAATAGTTAGTATTAGAAATATCAAAAATTTGAAAAATAATCCAAATCCAATGTAAATTAATAAATATTCATGACTAATGATTAAAACGATAAAGCAACTAGTAAATGCAATTGCTTCATACCAAGTGAAAATTATTAAACCATTTTACAATTATTTTAAATATGCTTTAGATTTCTTTAAAGAATCTGATTCAGTGGTAGATTAAGTTTTTAGGTAATTTAAGAATAGTTATGAGATTTCTTAAGTTTCTGAAAGCCCACAATCTACAGATGTATCAATTTTTTCAGAATAATTAATTGAATGGCTTCTTTAACTCATAAATTATAATGAATGCAATTTTAAGAAATATTTATAGAAAAGTATTTCAAATAGTTGTTTATTTTTTTACAAAAAAATTTTCAACATGAGAATCACATTCTTATACTTATGATTAAGCATTGATTGAATCTTTAGAGTTTCCTAAAAGTTATTTAACATAACTCATTTATTTTTAATATTTATCATGGGCTTTTTTCTAAATCATAGTAACCTGACCAATTTTTTGAATATCTTGCTATTTAGTATTTATTTAAACAAAACTTTGCAATACAATTTTAGCTATATAAGAAGATCTAAGAAGTTCTTTAGCCTAAGGTCTTTTTGATGGATCTATATTTAGAAGTGATTAAATTAAATTAACTAATTCTAAACTATATTATCTAGTTTCTTAAGATGTTTAATTTTAAAAATCCTAAATTAATATTTCCTATTATAATTTTCTCTGCTGTATATTTTAAAGTACTTAATCAAATTATTGTCCATCAAAAGCTCTTTTCAAAGTACACATTTCAAATAATATGCAACCAAGTGACCATAAATCTGAAGAGTATGAATAATCTAATCCTTAAGTGATTTCTGGTGATAAATAGAATGGACTACCAGTTATTGTTTTAGCCATTTAATCTCCTGACAAAATCTAATAATAAATCATTAAATTACTTTGGCAACACCAAAATCTGCAATTTTTAATTATCCATCTTCCCTTATTAGAATATTAGAACTCTTTAAATCTCTATGTAATATATTATTTTCATGTATATAAGCCAATCCCATTAATAATTATACAAGCCATTATTCAACAATCTTTTAGGTGTATCCTCTATTTTTTCCTTCAATAATTCTATACTATATCATATTCCATAGATCTCCCTCTATATTTAAATAATAAATATATACTTTAACAATGATCCATCACAATAATTGTTGAATTTTAATCTCTAAAACATTCATAGACATTTATAACATTTGGATGTTTTAATTTAAGTAAAATATCTAATTCTGAATTCTAGCATTCACCATTTATTTTTTTTGCTGCATACTCCTTCATGTTTTATTTATGCTAAATTAAATAAACAATTCCTAAAATGTTAATTGTTTCTAGTTACCAAATTAACCTCTCCCAATTATTTTAATTTCGTTGTAACATTTTTCATATTCATTTATTGGTCTTATCATTATTGATATTATCGAAAAATTAAAATTATATTAATCAAATATAAAATAGCATATTTTAATAAATTAAATCTGATTGTGATATGAATTTTAATTTATTTTTATTATCATAATTATCTACAGAGACAATGTGCATAACGTACTGATGCATATGATTTCGTTGAAACTTATTTCAATAAATAAAACAGTGTTGATTTATAGTGTAATTTAATATTAATATATTAATTAATAAATTAAAATGATAAAATAGAATTTAAATCTATTTTATTGATAGAAGCCAATAATTGAATATTAGTTAATGATTTATAATAAAGAATTAGAGTATTATTTAGAATAATTCTATTTTTAGAAATGCAAATTGTTTAAATTGAGTTTTAATTGATGATTAACTAAAGAATTTAAGGGAAAGAAGTTGTAACAAGGATATGTTATAAATAGATTATGGATATTTTTGGAATTAATTCTTATTATATTGTTTATAAATAATATTAATATAAAAGAAATGATACTCTTTTTATTTTACTTTTTTATAACTGGATTAGGGATAAAAACAATTAATTTTAATGAGGATTATTTGAATGGAGAAGAATTATTTGAATTAGAAGATTCTGATTATTTTGTAATTTAAGAGATAGAGAATGGAACTATGTTTTTTTAAGTAACATCAACTGACACTTAGAAATATATATAGATAGAGTAATATTAAATTAGATAAAAGGTTGATATTTTTAGCTCCAGGGGATGGGAAAGTTAATTTGTCTTTTACCATAAGTAAAAACAGTCTTCCTTCATTGAAAGACAATAAAACAATCTCATCAACATATGCTGATGTAAATGGTTATTATCTTCGGAAGAGTTATCAAAACATTGTGATACCAGCAAATTCATTTAGATCAGGTGATTAATTTTATATAACTAATTTAAAAAGGGAAAAAGATTAAACATATTAATATAATATTAGAATAAAGAAGAGTGATAGTACTCCATGTCCTAATGATTGTACTTCAGCTTCTTACGGATTTTGTAATTTAGGTACATGTGCGTGTGAACCAAATAGAGTTGATATGGATTGTTCTAAGAAAGCAACACCATTAATGATAGATAAAAGAATGGATAATATTACAGTTAGTGGAATAGAGTATTTTTATTTTGAATAGATAACATAATTAGAAACAATTTTATTAGATGTTGGAATTTCTAATATCTTAATTGCAGAATATTCTTCAATCTTTGTTTATTTTATGTTTGAAAACTTTAAATATGGGGTACCAACTCCATATTATAATAATTATTCTTTTACTTTTAGTCCAGACTCAAAAACTAAATCATTAATTATAGATGTTTCAGGTTTAAATAGTAATCCAGATTTAAATAGGTAATTAAATGTAATTATATTAGATTTAATCGTCTTATATTATCTATTGTCGTACCTGATACATGTTAATTTTATTTTAATATAAGTATTCCTTCAGAAGATTCAGAAGTTAATACAAATTTGATGCTTATTTATTTTTTGGTTTCTCTAGCTGTTGTTTTAGTGTTAACATGGATTATCGTAACATTAATTAGATATAGATAAAGAAATAGAGTTTAAAATGAAATTCAATTCAATTAATAATAATCAAATTAATAATAAAGAAGAGGTTAAAAAAGTGGTATCAGTGTATAATAATTGGATCATTTTATGCAAAAGACTTTATGGAAAAATTTAGATTAAAATCAAAGAATTAAAGAAAGGAAAATGGATCATCGATAATTCGAAGCTTGTACTGTTTGCTTAATCGAATATGATAAAGATTCAATATGTAGAGTAACTCCATGTGTTCATGTATTTCATTCAGATTGCTTATAATAATGGATGGTAGAAAAAAAACATGAAACATGTCCTATGTGTAGAGAAGAATTGAATGAACAAGCATTAGAGAAATTTGCAGAATAAGAGAAAAATAATCATCGAAAAGAAAACTCAGCATTAAAAAAAATTGAAATTAAAAATAGACCTGAAAATACCTTAATGGTTATCTAATAATAAAGATCTAGTCAGCAATTTTCTTGAATATTAAATATAATTTTGTATTTTATAAGGATCATTCAATTATTTATTTATGTTTACTTATTAATTTGATTCACATTCAATTTTTCGCTTTTGGTACAAAAATCTATAATTTATAATTTATTTTAATTACAAAAGTTCTTTCAATTATTCTACCCTCCTCCTCACAATTTAATTTGATAATATTTTTTGTATTTGTCAAGTTATCTATTTAAGTTTTCAATTCCTTCTTTTTCAAGTATTCTTTTTCTAATTCCATAATTATATGAGTTTTGACCTTCTCAAATTTCTTTGGCTTTTCTTCTAAACTTTTTTACTCATCCTTCAATTATTATAGCTAAGAATTTTCTTTTTCTAATTATTATTATTTTTATTCCTCTTCTTATTATTGTATAAATTTCTTATATATTTCTGTTTTTTTAAATTCGCCTTCTAAAGGATTAGGTTTATTTCTCATTAAATCTTACTAATTTTGAAGTAAAGATTTACCTATATCTGGTAAATAATACAAACCTTTTTCATCACAAAATACTTTTTTATAACCTTAAATAAATTTATTCATTGCTGAATCGCTGTTAAAATATAAATAACATTTGGAATCTATTTTTTCTTACTCTCTTATTATGAATGGTATTATTACTTCAATTTTCCTTTCGCATAATATTTTACCACAATATCATTCATAAATTCTTAAATTGTTGCATAGAATTCTTCTTCTCTCAAAAGAGGAGGCAATTTTCTTATATGTACTTTAAAACTTTAAGGACTTTTTAATAAAGTTTTCCTTGGAATCATATATTTAGTTTTAATAAAGAATTGATTTAATTATATAAAATAATAAAAGAGATGAGACCAATTTCATCTGCTCTAAAATTAAAAACTAATGATAGTTAAGAAAAACGATTAAGAAGTGCAGTATAATTTAAATTATTAGATTCCTAAAAGTATTTCTGAATGTATATTCTTTAATAGATTAAAGAATGTACTCATAAAATAATCACAAACATCACAATAGTCTTTATCTCAATAATCAAGATTATAAAGCGGAACAACTTATAATACAACTCAACGTACAGGTAATTCTACACATAGAATGAATGAAACAGAATATGATTCAGGTTCCAACTCAGCATTTAGAGGTTAAATTAAGATGAGATCAACTTTTCATTCAAGCAGAAATAATCTTATTAGAAGAGTCGATTCATAATTCAGTCTAGATAACAAATAAGATTCATCCCCTTAAGAAACTAATAGAACTCGTATTCCAGTCCCAAAAAATAGGCTCTTTCAATAAACCAATAAATCTTAATAAAAATAATTAGTTGTAACTTAAGATAATATTGATTCTAATGAAGTGAAAAAAAGAATGAAATTTGATCCTTAAGTTAAATAACAAGTCATCTATTTTAAAATATTGAATATATCTAATATCGGATTAAAAAATTACTTACTTTATCTTTATAAACAATAAAAGCATTTGATTGAGTTAGTCAAATCTAAAGCTGAAAGTTAGGTAATAAAATAGCATTTAAATTAGCTTATTGATTTTTCATAATAAATTTTAACATTCTCTATAGGAACCTTATCTTCAATTGCATTAATTGAAACACTTAGTTTTGCTGCTTCTATGTTAGAATTAACATCTTAATTAGACTGGGCAATATTTTATCATAATTAAACTCGAATTATGGCAAATCATGCTAAATAAACTATGGACAAATATAAAATGAAATCTTTAATTGGACTTGGAAATTGTTCAATAAAAATGCAACAATATGAGATTGGTATTAAATTCTTTAAGAAATGCCTATAATATTCATGGTTAAATAATGATTTAGAGTATGAAAATGAGGTCTATTCAAAACTTGGTGTTTGCTATTATTATTTAGGAAATATTGACAAAGTATAACTTTAATATAGTTATTATCAAGTCTAAATTTTATCATGAAAGGGCTATTACATATGATTATGAATTAGAAACCTCTCCCTTGCGTTAGATGAGTTCAGATACACTTAAAGCATTTTTAAGTAAAAATTTCAATAGAAATTATGCTGAAACTATAAATACTCCTCTCTTAAATCGATTAAATCTTCCTCTACCTCAAGATATATTAAATATCTCTTAATAGGAAATTCAAAATGAATCTCTTATAATAATCAATCCTCGCATTTTCAATGAATCTAAAGCCTCTTCTACTAGGAGAAGTTCAATTTTTGAAACTAATCCTCATATCAAATTATTTTCGACCATCTAAATAGATGGATTAAGAATTTAATAAGAAATTTTATCAACTTAAGAATTTGAAGTTGAAGTTTATACTCCAAAACATTCATGTAAAAATTTATCATAAATAATTTAAAAGTTAAATCAGAAAGCAAATGCTTTGATTTTATTAGAAATAAAAAAATACACCCTTAAGATATTTTTCATGATATTAAATATAAAACTAATCCATTTATTTTAACAGATCTTGGTGTGATTAAAAGTTAAAATGATGAAAATCCTATTGAGAATCCACAAATATATAAATTGCCTTTAGACTAATAAATAGATATTAGATTAAAAAAGAAGATATATGTGGATATTTAAACAAAATTGAAAAAATTGATGGATTACAAATATCATACAAAAACTCAAATGAAGAACAAAATTTTGGTAGTCATTTAATTTAATGAAGGTTACACATAAAAATGTAGAAAATGAAAAAAGACATTATGCTGCAGATTAAATGAAAGTTCTAGAGAATGTTTAAAAAAACTTTGAAAATTTAATTGAAAATTTGATAATTTTGTAATGAGTTTTATGTGCTTGTGATTTTCATACTTTTTATATAGCATTATTATAATAAATTACATTATTATAAAACATGTATCCAAGATAATCAAAAAAATAAGACAAACTAAAATAATCTCATAATATTTCAGATTTTATTTTGAATAAACTAATATAAGAATTCGGTTAAAAGCCAATAGATAAAGAAGTATATAATAAAATTTTAATTAGTTAATTACATGTTATGTAAATGATTATAGTTCCAAATATTCATCATTTAATGAGAGTGGTGTTAGAGCTTTAAAAGTAGAGATATAAGAAGCACTCAAAAAATCATAAATAGAAAAAGAAGCAATTATAAAAACTTTAAGAGGGTAGTCTAATACTCTATAGTTACAAAATAAAGAAGATAACTAAAAAAGTGAAAATAACTCAAAATAAAATACAAAAGCTATAACATCAGGTTAAGAGTAATTAAATTCTAAAACAAAGCATAATCATCCAGAAATTCCAAGATTAGACTCATTAACTTCTGATAATAAATAAAAATCTGTATATTAATTAGATGATGATGAATAAGATGAATGGGCAGCTATTATTAAATACGATACTGTTTTGTATTAGAAAGAACAAGAAGATAAAAAAAAAAGAGAACAGTAATTGAGATAAAAATTAAAAGATGATTTAGATAAATAATTAAAAGAAAAAGAGTAAATAAAAAAATAAGAAGCCTTGAAAGAAGCCTAATTTCTTTAATAAAATGAATAAAGAAAATAAGAATTTGAATAATTTGAAAAATAAAAAAAAGAATAGATTAAACTTAAATAATTAGAGGAAAAGAAACTAAGAGATGAATAAGTTTAATAAGAAAAAAATAAAAGGTAATTCTTATATACTATTAAATTAGAAGAGAAAGTTTAAAATAATCTAAATTGTAGGATAATGAAATGCTTTAATAATTGAAAAATGAAATAAGTAGAGAATCTTAAGAACTAAATAAAAAAAGATAGCAATAAAAAGATAAGTTTTTGTAAATTTTAAAAGAAAATGAATAATTAAGATCTAAAGTAAAATGAATTCTAATTTTAGGCATAAGAGGAGATTAAACTTTAAAAAGAATTTGATTCTAAATTGCAATAATAATAATTATAGAAATTGATAGAAGACGATGAAAGAAGAGAATAATAGAAAAAAGAAAGGGATAATAAAATTAAATAGTTTATGAGTAATTATAGTCATTAAGTGTTAACAAAGTAAAAAGAAAATGAACAAAATGAAGGAAAATATATGTTAGAATAATTAAAAAAGCAAGAAGAATATGATAAATAATAATAATAGTATAAGAAATTAAAAGAAAAAGAGAAAATGGAATTAGTAAAACAACAATTATAGTTGTAAATTTAATAAAAATAACAAAAAAGATTATCAGAAGAAGAGGAATAAAAATTACTATTACTCTAACAATAATTAGAGCTTATGAATTATTCTTAAAAAGAAAAGGAAAAATAACTTGTAAGTGTTTTTTTTTAGTATATTTTAGTATATCAAAAATAATTATAAGTAAAATCAAGAAGATATAAAGAAATAAATAGAAGAGAGTAGAAATAAAAGTGCTCATGAGAAAATGTCTAAGATGGAATTATTGCAAAATAAATCTTTATTAAAAAATATTGCTTAGGAATAAGTTGTTAAAACAAAATTTAGAAAAGTTAATGTATCAATGAAATGATAATATTAGAATTTGATTAATAAATATGGTTTTTGTTTAGTTTAATAAAAATATAATATAATAAGAAATAAATAAAATATTATTCAAACAATGAATTAGAAAAGTAATAAGGTTTCTCCAAATTAGAAAACTATAGGTTTTAGATTTAATTGTGCTATTAATTTAGAACTGCTTAAAAAATCAACTAGAATGGCTTTATTAAAAATGAAATATTAATTGCCTGAAGAATCAGATCGAATTAGAATGAGAAAACGAAGTTTAATCTTTGCAAAAAATTAATTAGATTCAGAAAAGAAGCAATCAACGAAAAGCAAATTTTTAGAAACTATAAAAACAAGATGTAGTTCAATAGCTGATGACAATAACCAAATGCCAACAAAATTGGTATTCTAAAAATACTCAAAACAATTAGATAATATTAATTATGGCAACCCTAAAATATTTCAGTAGATCACTTCTTAAAATCAAAAAGATTCTTGTGAAAACTTAATATTTCCTTTTTAAAGATCAATATATCCTTAAAGGAAGTTGGTAAGAAAAAATAGAGCTGAAACTCAATATACAATAAATAGTTCAATTAATTAACCTAGCCCAAATAATGCAAAAAATAATATCAAGTCCCTAATTGCTATTCAAGAGAGATTTGGAGCAGCTGGATGGGAAGTTGAACCATCAGATGATCTTTGAATATTACTATTAAATCACTTTGAAAACTTAGAAAATTACCATATTATTGTAATTTAAATTATATAAATTAATGAAATTTTATAAATAATAATATTGATACTCATGACATTCATAATTATTATTTATTAAATAGATTGTTGCTTGAACATTTTTCAAATATCTTTTATTTAAGAAAACATCATATTTATATAAAGTAACATATTGAAATTTAATAATATTTTTCCAAAGGTCAAATTTGTATTTCAATCAATAAGCTTAAAATTATGAAATAATATTGTGTAAGATTTAAATGATATTAATAAATATATAAAAATTCATTCATCATTCAGAGTTTTACTTTTTATGAATATAACTTAATATTTGCGATGTGAAACAACAATTAATTCAGAAGATAGCACAATTAAAACAGATAAAAATGATGATTAGTTTAATTCCAATTTTAAAGATGGATAAAATCTATATAATTCTGATCAACCAACTGATGATTCTTTTGAAATGATAATATTAAGTAATTAGCACCCTGAAAATGAATGGATTAAAAAAGAGCAAATTATTGTCTCATATCTCAAATAATTAGGCTTAAAGATGAAAACTGATCCTTTTGAAAAATAAGAGCTTTTCTATAAAAAGTTAAAAAGACGACCAAATAAATATAACACAATGTCTTTCGATACTATACAAAATGTTAATCAATCTAATTTGGAAAATGATAAAGCTATGGTCTTATTGTAAAAAATCAGTATAGAAATGAATTCAATAAAATAAAGACGTACTCCTAATACAACTCCTTAAAGTTCTCCCTTAATTACATAAAATTTAGAACAATAAGAACCAATAAAAAAATAAAGAAAGTCAATTTTTTAGAAAATGTAAAATCAACCATAAGATCTATCTTCTGATAATGAAGAAATATAAAAGAATATAATAAAAAATTAGTTTTAGATAAATGATTAAAATAATGGTTTTGATAAAAGTGAAACAAATAGTAGTAAGAGTGAAACTGATGAAAATTATTTCTAAAATTTATGTGAATGATATATGAGTAACTATATCATTTTATCCCTGCTTATTAAAGCTTTTAAGTTAACTATTGAATTTTACTGTCTTTTAATTTCACTAATTATTCTAGCTTTTATATTTTAAGTTCAAGTATTTCTATCGTTTCTTTTTAGTCCTAAATAACTATGTCTTTATCATTTTATTTATTATTGACTGCTGGCTTTTAATTGTTAACTTAATTTTAATTTTTTTAAATTTCAATTGGTTTTTCTTATGTTTACACTTAATTTTATTCTTATTGATCTAAAAACCTATCTAATTTAACTTGTATCACCTTTAAGATTCTTTCTATAGCTTCAGGGATTACTTATATAACAGCATCAATATCTTTTTAAGTGATTTAGAAACCCATCTTTCTAAAAACCTATTAATAATGATTAATATTACTTTGGTATTTAAAGTATTCCAATTATATTATTTTTATTAAACAGAATGAGCCATACTATAATTATGTATATCAATTATTGCAGGAACATAGTGTTAAATAATTTCAGCAATTAAAACTCCATCAGCAAAATCTCTACCTATATGTTTTTTAGGTCTTGAGAATGGGACTGTATCAACCCAATTATAAATTTTATTTAATTCATCCTCACTAAGTGGAGGAGCATCCATATCTTTACTTTTCATAGTTATATATATAAATAATTTAAAATTTATATTATTTAGCTAACTTAAAATAAATAAATAGAGATATAAATTTATTCATTTATTAAGAGAATTTTAGGACTTATTTAACTTCTATATATTAGTTTTTAAACATAATCTAATTTATATATAAAATTATACGTATTTACTTCTTCTAATTTTATTAATTATTTAATTCTCTTTGCAAATCCAACTTCATCTTATTCTCTTAATTTTTTACTTAATTAATTTGATTGATCATAATAAACATCAAGATTTACTTCATAAATTGATTACAAAGATTAATCATCAGATATTTCTTCTGGTTATTTTTCAGTCTTAAATCTTCTTTATGTTTCTAAAAAACCATGCTAACGAAATTTTAGTCTTTTTTTTCTTAGTTGATTTAGTTGAGTATCAAGTTATTCATTTAGTTATTATTCTTGTTTACTTTCAATCATTGTATGAAATTTTTAAGTAATTTCTTAAACTCTATAATCGATAAATTTAATACTGTTTATTTAAAGTGTAAATATTTCTATTATGTATGTAGTCATATAGTTTTACATCAAAAGTTGTAATTAATCCTTTAGTATTTTTTGAATTTTTATCTCCATCTGCTTATTTAGTAAAAAGATAAAATGGTTTTTTTGTAATTACATATTCTTTTGTTTTTCTAGGATCTGTAATTGATTTTTTTAATTAAGCATAAGAATTATATTAATTAATTGATTTTTTTGGACTTGCAACAATAACATCTAATGGACAATCAGCTAAGGAACCTATAAGATTTTAATTTATTGAAGCTTCTTTATTAATAGTCAAAGGAGATTAAGATTTTGAATTTTTATTACTTCTAATTTAAGATTTTCTTAATTCTGACTAAAACTTAATATTTTATTATTCTAATAGTTTTCTAACTTAATTTAATGCTGTTTTGAATTAAATTTATTTCTATTCTTCTAACTCAACTAAATAATCTTTAGAATATTAATTCATTTGATTTTTAAGAATACCTAAGGATGGATAATCAAATCTATCAAAATGTTTTTCTTAATGTTTTATAATAGGTTATACATTATCATAATTGACTAAAATTTGCTTTAATTTCTTTTAACATGGCACTAGTTTTTTATAATATTAAGCATCATCTTATAATTCTTCTTATTATTCTAAAATATGTTAATTATAATCATTAGAAATATCAAAAAATGTTTTAATAAAATGAATATTTCTAATTTCCTCTTCTCTTTATTCTTTATTTAATTGTTTTCTCAAATCAATCTTTATTAAAATATAATTAATACCCTTTGTTAAATGAAATCTTTTAAAACTTATACTTTCCTATTTATTTTTGTCTTAAATAAATCTAAAATCCTTCCAGCTTCTGTAAATCTCCTCTAATCAACTAATCTTAATTATTAAGCTTTTAATTATCTAGTTGAACTTGCAATGTCTAATAATGGTGTCTTATCACCTCCTTATTTAGACATACCACTAACTCTAAATTTCTTAATTTTCTGTACAATGGATAGTTTTCTCTTTTATTTTTTTTAATCCTCAATTTATATCTAATACTTTAATATTATTACTTACTGCTTCTAAGTGAGGAAAGCTTATTGCCTTTAATAATTCATTAATTGATTATTCTCCCTCTAAATACTTATAGAACTAGAGCTTGAATTGTTTATTTGAACATGGGAGAAATATTGGAACTTCATTTACCAGTGGATCTTAAAGATGCTAAACTTATTATAAATATTGATTACTTATTTAGCTTCTTAAGAGATATGATCCTTCTTTTATTTTAAATTAATATCATGTAGAAAATTGCCAAACATTTATTTCCAAGCGTCTTTCTGATTAGAAACTACTATTTTTTTGTTAGAGTATGTTAATTTTTTAGTGTTTAAAAATCTTTAATTAGTTTACATGAAATTATGCTTAAATCTACTTGTAGGAAGATCTTTAAGAGAATCTGGTTCAGTTTTTAAATAAGTGGATATAGTGTCTTACATATTAAAATTAAAATAATTTAATCACTATGAATGAGGTATGAATAGTGAAGAATTATCTAGAATCTTAACTTTCAAAAACTATTGAATCACAATTTGAACCCTACAATGGACAATCTTTAAGTCATCTATTCCAAGTTACAACAATTATAATATTTTAATTCCTTCATTGAGAAAAATCTTAAGGGAACTTAAAGAGAGAGTCTTTTATATGTATAATTCTTAGACATCATAGTTATGTGGCAAATTCAAAATAGAACACTTTAAAGGAGGTGATATCATCTTTAAAGAAGGAGATAAGTCAAACGATAAATTATATATAATATTTAATGGTAAAGTGGCTTTAATAAAGTAAAGGACATAACAACTACAATAATAAAGTCCTGAAAAACATACAGATAATCAAAAATAGTTGTAGTTTTAATAAAACTAATCAAATAAACCTGTAATTTTAAAAGCAGAGTAATTTATTAGGATTATTAATTTACTTTAGAAAAACATAAAACAAAATTACAACTTTAACATCAGGAACAAACTTTTTTAAATAAATTGCCTTTTCAAAGAAGTTTGCTGATAAAATGAAGGCTAATATAGTTTAAGGATAAACTAATGAAAAAGTTTAAATTTCACAATAAGAAATTTAAACAATTAGTGATAAATTTGGTGAAACTGTCAGAATTTTAAAAAGAGGAGATGGTTTTGGAGATAGAGCCTTGATTGAAAATCTTCCAAGAGCATTAACTGCATGTGCTTATACTGAAGATTTATTTTTGTTAATTTTAAAAAAAGACGACTTCGATTTAATTAGATAATAATTTATATAATAAATGAAAGAGAAAAAAAGTTTAATTTTTACTAAATTTCCTGTTTAAGGAGATTATTCATCAAAATAATTAGAATAATTAGCTTATAGTTTTGATGTTGAATAATTTTAAAAAGATTGTGTTTTAACTATAGATGGTCATCCTAAAAAATGTTTTTATCTAATTTAATTTGGAGATATTTTACTAGAAAAAGTAATTAATGATTAAATGGTTAAGATATGTATTCTAAGTAAAATTATCTATAATTTGAGTAGCTAAGGGTTAATTATTAGGGGAAGAAATAGCTATGAATGAAGATGGTTGTTGTGAATATAATGCTGTTGTTTTATCTAATGAGGCTACTTTAATGGTCATTCATAAACATGAATTTTTATAAAAATTCCCTGAAGAATGTAAATTATGGGTAAAAAAAGAATACATGAGAAAGATTAAATTTAGAACAATTTTCTAAACATCAAATATGATTAGTGTAAATAAAATAAATTAACCAAAATTCACCCCTGTGAAATAATATATTGAAGTTAAATACAATCCTAAAAAAATTAGAAGTAAAGAAAGACAAGATTAAATGGAAATAGGTAAAATAGTGGAAGAAAAGAATTTTATTTATTAACTAAAATACCAAAGTGATCCTGAAAAAGATGCAGGTTCTGCTTTGTTTGGAAATGATCTTTATTAAAGTCCAAAGATAGGATTTACACCAAGTTATTCACATCATAATAATATAGCAGTTAAATCATTTAAATAATAATATCTTTATAAATTGTTAAAAAAAAAAAGAAAACATTTAATTTTTAGCACTCCTCCTTTAACTGCTAGGACATTGACAAATAATTAGACAATATATTCGGATCGTTAAAGTAAACATAAACACACTTTTTCAACAGGTATTAATTCAAATACTCCTTGTATATCACTATCTCCAATTAATATGAATAGCAGAGAAATTATTTGAGATAAGAATACAGATAATAATTAATATTATAAATCATTTTATTTCATTTTTTAACATTTAATCATAATATCTTTATGCCATTGTTTCTCTTAATTATCCATTTAAAGCTCCAGTTTCAAAAATTGGCTATCCAATTTTTTATGGTGATCTTATAATCTAAGGAGGAGTTGATTATTATAGAGGTAAAACTGGCATAGGCATGTGTTCTTAAAATACTGGAGTTGGATAATATGGTTAAGGATAAATTTGCATAGGTTCTATTGGAATCAATGGAGGTTATTAATACATAACTGGCTATAAAGGAGTATACTCTCTGACAACACTAAATGGTTATATTACCTTTGATTAATATTTATTGTTATTTATGGGTTAATTTACTATTGGTTAAATCTACACTATGGGCTGCTATTATACTATTGGTTATTATTATATAATTGGTTAAATTTAAGAATCTTACACTGGTGTTGTTAGATAAATGTACTGTTTTAACAATACAAGGATTTAGTTTAGATTATCATTAACAATCACTTATCTCACATTCAATTTTAGTTTTTTCAATTATTCAATATGTTCTTGATGATTTCTTTAGTATATTGCTTATGGTGCTTATTCTGGATCTGAATATTTTTGGATTAACAAAGGCAAACACTATTATTAATTGCTTTAATTACCTTGTCTGAATTCAATTTTAGTAAATTTTCATGTTAGGTTTTCCATTCTAAATATTCAATTTTATGTCGGGCTTTTACTTATTTAATTAAATCCTAATTAGATCTTTAAGTTTCAATTATTAATGTTTATTCGAACATTCTAAAATATTCGTCCACAACTTTATAAAATTGCTTCTTTGCTTCTTAATATTTTTAAAGCTAGAACTATAAATAATATAAAAAACACTTACTTCTTATGCCTTTTAAATTTCCTCTGATAAATTACTGGATTCTTATACATCTACCGCCCAAAGGTTAAGATATTCTAATGATTTATTATATTATTCTGTTAAGCAATTAGAGAATAAATCAATATCACTTGCAATTCTTTCTGATTCATGTTCCTCAGAATGAATCTTTATACATTCAGCACACATTGGTAAACTACATTCTCTAAATTATAATTCATTTTTAATACTGTTTCTTGCAAAAATTTTGAATAATATGGTCTTCATGAAATCTACATGGAATTTGGGGAGTATTTGCAGCTCCAAAATAAATGATTTAATCAGCTCTTAGTGTTGAATTCATCGTTAAATATAATTTTATTTCAATTAAATAAAATAATTAATTATATACATAACTACAAAAATAAAGTATTTTAATCATAGAAGAAGGTTTTATTCTTAAATATGTGATACAACATGATTAATTTAATACTAACTATTCTATTATCTCTCTTTAAAAATTTCGAATCATCTCATCGATAAAAATCATATATTTTTATCTTTTCCTTTTTAAATTTAAATCTTACTTTCTAAAATTGAGAAAAAAAATAAGCTAATTCAATTTAATATTCTTTCAATCATGTATTTTAAGAATTATTTTATTTAATTATCAAAACAATCTAAAATTATTTTGATGCTGAATAAATTATTGTCATAACTCATCTCATAGATGTTAATAGTTCTTTGTAGAAACTTTTAATTATTAATATTCTTCAATTCTAATTATTCTTAAAAACTAAAAGAGTATATCTATCGTTAAATTACTTCTTGTTTTTTTGATTAATTTGAAACTAATTTATTTTTAAGTTATATATAGAATATTCCTGAAGTTTATCATTGATTTGTTTTTCAAAATGATTTAAATTAAGATTGAAAATTAATTGAAAAATTATATTCGTGTAGGTTTATTCGCCTTAATTAAATGTATATCTAATTGATTGAAAATAATTATTTAATAATCCAATGAATTTTGATGCTAAAACAGTGGACTTGAGTTAAATAGATAAAAAAAGGATATTTAAATTAATCCCATTTCAAGCAAATGCAATAACTCTTTTAAATTACAAGAAAACTTTAGCGATTAAGATTATTGAACAATAAAAATCGAAACTCAAAGATTTTGGGGATTCAGAATAAAAATTTTGACTTATGTTTTATATCCATCGAGTATTATTATATAAAATTTTGTATCTCTTACCTAATAAGTCTTATAATATGGTTATTTTAAAAAGAATATGTTTAAATCATTTTTTTAGAATATAAAATAACATACTCTCAAAGCTTATATTGGCATATAAGATCTAATTAGTTTTTATTAATATGCAAAACATATTATATGTACTTAAAATAAAGCTTGCAAAGAGATTGTTAAATTATTTGATTATTAGAAAAAATAGACATAAAAAATTAAAGAAATTTAAGGAGTCTTATAAAATAAAGGTTTCATATAAAGAAAAGAGGGGAAGATAATTTTGGTTATTATTATTTTCCAAAACTCCCTCTCTTCTTTCTATATAAATTTGAATAAATGTTTTGTAAGAATGAAATTTTAAAATGACTCTGATAACTTTGATAAAATTCTTAATTAAAAATCGGATTTTAATTATTTTAAGTATAAAATAATACACAATATTATATTATTAAATTTAATACCCAAGGGAAAAAATGCTTACAAAAATATATATATTAAAAATCAGTTGACCCCTTATTTTGGAAGAGAATTTTATGTTATTCTAGTAGATTAATTTAATGATTAGAGTCGAAAAGAGTTTTGGCTACGCTTAAATTTAAAACTATCAATAATAACTTTTTTAGTTTATTTTTCTCTATTAGTCATTGATAATAAATTTTCTTGTTGAATTTGAAAAGGACAATTTGTTGTGCTAAGGGTTTTGTATTTTTATTGAGTAGAGAATGCTTAATGATCATCAATATCAATTGAGATTTTAAATTTATTTTATTGAAGTTAATTTTAATTTTTATTAATATCATCAACAGAGACATTACGTTCTCTTTTAATTTATTAGGAAATAGGTACAATAGATTCAGATTTAAAATGAATTTTTGTAAATGGTTAAACATTTTAGTATGGATTAAAAGTTTAATGTAGAGAATTATAATTTTTTTTGGCATCATAAGTATTATTCTAACTTTATTCATTGGATGTAGAAAGAGATTTCTTTTTATATTCTTTGGTTAGTTTATTAGCTTCAAAATATCCATAAATAATAGGTTTATTATTTCTTTTTAATTCACCTTCTCCACACATTTAACCATTATGAAATTAACCTTTATAAAATGAACCATCAATCCATCTCATTTCTCCATATCCATGTCTATGATCATTAAAGAATTCTCCTTCATATACATTTCCACTAGGCCATCTATAAATCCCGTGTCCACATTTTAAATCATTAATATATTAACCATCATAACTTTCATGATATTAAGGATCTTCATTCTTTAACCAATAACCTTTTCCATGTCTTACTCCACTACAAAATGTTCCATGATAAGATGATCCATCAGCCCATCTATATACTCCAAAACCATCAGGTTTATCATTTATAAAATCTCCATCATAATAATCTCCATTTGCATAACTTTCTTTACCTTTCCCATATTTTAAATAATTCTTAAACTCACCTTCATACCATCCTCCATCTTGATAATCATATCTTCCATATCCATTAGCTTTATTACATCTCCATTCTCCAACATATATTTCATTATTCTTTCCTCTCCATTTACCATAACCTTATTTTATTCCTTATACCCAACAACCTGAATATATCCCATTTCCTGTTTCCAATGTTCCTTCTCCATGAGGTTTACCATCTTCAAACTAACCTTCATATTTATCCCCTTTATCTAACACTTCTTTCCCCTATCCATGTTTCTTATCATTCTTCCAAAATCCTATATAATATCTGTCTTAATATGTCATCAATCCTATAAATATCATTAATTTATCAACATATACCATATCCATGTCTAACATTGTTTTATATATCTCCATAGTATTGACCTTATTTATACTATTTAAACTTTCCCTATTTTGATTTTTAATTAACTTGATCAATCAACTAATGTTCTTGTTCTAGATTATCGAAATCTGATATCGATTATTATTGCATATATTAATTCTAATTATAATTATAATTAACTATCATATTTCATTCATCTTTTTTAGGCTTTGCAAAATATGGCAGTCCACATAACATCAAAAATACAATTACATTAAAAATTATATATATTAATGTCAAAACCTTTAGTTATCCACAATTATTTGATATTATTAATGCAATCTAATTTTATTCCTATTCTTACACAAAATAAGATAAAGAAAACTAGTTTCATCGATCCTTCAACTATGTTTGCATAATCAAAAATCTAATCATGTTTATAATAAATTGCATATGGATTAAGTACTCTAATTATAAAATTAATTATTATTTTCATTTTACATTGAAGCAAACAAACTAAAAAAACAATATATTCCAAACCATAATGCACAAGGTCTTAAAAATTTACATTAATCACCACCTTTATCATTAAAATTGAATACCATACTTACTCTCATGAGTTGAATAATAAAAAAATAGACTTCCCATTAAGGCATTCATCAATATTTAAAACAAAGTTAATATAATCTTGTCTTATTATTCATTTGAATTATCAATCTTATAGTATTGTACATCATCTTCTCTTCTTTCCATAATATTTTTTATTCGTTTTAATTAATATTTTTATTAAAATCAATCCAACCTTTTAACAATATTTTTATAAGAAATATATTGAGACCAGTTAATACTTTATTAATTAAGATTCAATTAGAACTTAAGAATTATTAATTTTTATCTAATAAAATAATTTCAATCAAATGAGCTTATTCTTAGAATAAGTAATGTAAAATTATCTACATTCTAGTTTGAAATTAATAATTAATAAATAATTTAGTATTTTTTTTCTTGGAAATTTATGTAATATTGATTATTTTTTGTATGGTTCTTCATCAATAAAATTCAAATCTTAATGATTCAATCATATTAATTACTATTGCTCATTATCTCTAATGAAAAAAATAAATTTACATAAATTATTTATAATTTAAAATGATCAAAAACATAGTATTTGTTTGTATTAGTGATACTCATGGATTACTTGGTACTAGTCCAGATAAAAATGCTTCTAAATCAATAATGCCTAAAGGAGATGTATTAATCCATTGTGGTGATTTTACAAATTATGGAGAAATTGAAGGTATAAGAAAATTTAAAAAATGGTTGATTGAATAGCCATTTAAACATAAAATTTTGATAGCAGGAAATCATGATCGTTCTTTTGATTAAATAAAATATCCTCAACTTTACAATCAAATGAAAGAGGAAATTGAAGACCTTAAAAACTAATGTCATTATTTATATAATAATTCATGTATTATTGAAGGTTATAAAATTTGGGGAAGTCCGTACTCCTTAGAATTTTGTAATTGGGCATTTTAATTGGATCCTCGAAATGCTAAATAATTTTGGAATCAAATTGAAGAAGGAACAGATATTGTCGTAACTCATGGTCCTTCATATGGCCATGGAGATTTAGTCGATAACTCTGGTAATGTTGGTGATATAGAATTATTAAATAAAATTAAATAGATAAAACCAAAATATCATTTATTTGGTCATATTCATGAAGGTTATGGTATTACAGAAGAGAAAGTTGATGAAAATATAATAAAATTTGTAAATTGTTCCAGTTTGAATGAATACTATAAAATTACTAATTTACCATATATTTTCGAATTACCTTAGAAATAAAATATAGATATTTGAGTATAATATCATAATTTTCTGATATTTTATTGTTATTTAATCTTCTTGATCTATTGATAAGAATTCTGTCAGAAAAATATTATTGCATTTAATAATTTTTTTACATAAATTATAATTTAAATGAAAAAGGACTTAATAATTGTTTGTATACTCATCGTTATAACATGCCTTTGACTCCAGGTAAATTTAACTAAATGGATTTAAGAAAGAAAATTTTTTATTGTTTAATGGTTGTTGAAAATAACCATTTCTAAAAAAAAACTGAAATTGCTAATAATCGTCTCTTATCAATGAGTACAGATAACTCTCTATTAAAGTTGAACCTCTAAAATAAAAAAGTAAGTAACTTTTATGATTTAGAATGATTTGAGCAATAATATATATAATTACTTTTATCTAAACTTCTTCACTAAAAAGAAATTTAATTGATAATATTTTGTTCTATTGCTCTGTTTAAGATAGACTAAGAATATAACAATGTAGATTTTATAATTTTAACAGTGTTTGGATCAAATACAATAAGTATAGAAATATGTATTATAAATTTTTAAAATTAAATGAATTCTGCTTTTTTGAAATAAATAGAAGAAGAGAATAAGATTCTAGAATAAGAATTATCGTAATTATTAAGGTAGGAGGCAGTGAGATTTTCATTTAGCCAAAAATGTTCAAAAGAAGAAAATGAGAATAATAGTGAAAATGTGAATCCAAATTTTAGAAATGAAAAAGGAATTTTGAGTAAAATTGATGAAGAAACAGAGGAAGAATAACCAAATCGAATTGAACCTCATCGATTATTGGAATCTCCATATAAATCAGGTCCATATAAATTTGAAAATAATTAGGAATCAATAATAGATAATTTATAAGACTCCATAAATAATTATATGGAGAAAAGAAATTGCAGTATTGCTGACATTTAGAGTAATAGAAATTCACAAAAAAATATTGAAAATACAACAAAATAAATAAAATCATTAGAGATGCGATTATCTGGAACAAGAGAAGCTTTAAAATCAATGGAAAAGGAAATAAAAGAAAAAAACATAATCATTTAAAATCTTTAAATTGATTTGGCAAAGAAGCAAAAATAAATTGAATTATTATCAAAACAATCTAATAATTCTACATCAACGCCATCAAAAAGCGAATTTAATAATGAAAGTTTTTAAGAAATAAAAAAATAGTGTAAGGAGTGGGAAAAGAAATATTAGGAATGCGAGGCTTGTTTAAAGGAAAATAAAAAATATACATAAAGACTTTAAGAATTAAATTAACAACTATTATATAAATTAAAATAATATGAATCAGAAAAAGAATTATAAACAAATGAATTGGATTAGTAAAAGAATATTAATAGTTAAATTTACTAAACAAATTCAAGTATTCTGAATAAGTATTTATAAATTTTAGTAATATAGATATGAACAAATAATTAAATCTTAATAAGATTAAATTCAATAAGAGGATGAAAAATATAGGCAATTAGAAAGAAAATATGATGAATTAAAAATAAATAGTGAATAATTTTTGTTAAATTCTCNGTTCTATTGCTCTGTTTAAGATAGACTAAGAATATAACAATGTAGATTTTATAATTTTAACAGTGTTTGGATCAAATACAATAAGTATAGAAATATGTATTATAAATTTTTAAAATTAAATGAATTCTGCTTTTTTGAAATAAATAGAAGAAGAGAATAAGATTCTAGAATAAGAATTATCGTAATTATTAAGGTAGGAGGCAGTGAGATTTTCATTTAGCCAAAAATGTTCAAAAGAAGAAAATGAGAATAATAGTGAAAATGTGAATCCAAATTTTAGAAATGAAAAAGGAATTTTGAGTAAAATTGATGAAGAAACAGAGGAAGAATAACCAAATCGAATTGAACCTCATCGATTATTGGAATCTCCATATAAATCAGGTCCATATAAATTTGAAAATAATTAGGAATCAATAATAGATAATTTATAAGACTCCATAAATAATTATATGGAGAAAAGAAATTGCAGTATTGCTGACATTTAGAGTAATAGAAATTCACAAAAAAATATTGAAAATACAACAAAATAAATAAAATCATTAGAGATGCGATTATCTGGAACAAGAGAAGCTTTAAAATCAATGGAAAAGGAAATAAAAGAAAAAAACATAATCATTTAAAATCTTTAAATTGATTTGGCAAAGAAGCAAAAATAAATTGAATTATTATCAAAACAATCTAATAATTCTACATCAACGCCATCAAAAAGCGAATTTAATAATGAAAGTTTTTAAGAAATAAAAAAATAGTGTAAGGAGTGGGAAAAGAAATATTAGGAATGCGAGGCTTGTTTAAAGGAAAATAAAAAATATACATAAAGACTTTAAGAATTAAATTAACAACTATTATATAAATTAAAATAATATGAATCAGAAAAAGAATTATAAACAAATGAATTGGATTAGTAAAAGAATATTAATAGTTAAATTTACTAAACAAATTCAAGTATTCTGAATAAGTATTTATAAATTTTAGTAATATAGATATGAACAAATAATTAAATCTTAATAAGATTAAATTCAATAAGAGGATGAAAAATATAGGCAATTAGAAAGAAAATATGATGAATTAAAAATAAATAGTGAATAATTTTTGTTAAATTCTCGAGATCTTAAATCTTAATATGAACATATGCTAAATACTTTATAGTCAATTGCAAATAGTTATTGATTTAATAATATATATGTAAATCTGAATAACATTTCTAAAAGAAATAGATATATACAATCATTGCTTTTTGAATTCTTCAATTTCTTATTAAATTCTTTTGAGTTCAACTCTTTAATCTTATTTAATTTTACTTCCCAAAGGAGCAATAGCAAATAGCAATTAAAAAATCATGTAAATGTAAAGCATTAAATAGACAATATAATTCATGATCTAATGAATAGTATTGAATCCAATAACTCCTCTAAAATCATTAACAACTACAACTTCAATGAACAGTTTCATCAAATAAGGTAGAAAGCCGCCAAAAGTAAAAGTTTCAAAAATAAAGATTGCTTTCCATCCACCTAATGAAATGATATAAGTATTTGGTATCCAGTAAGATTTGATTTATTTATTTGGATGTTTTAAATTGTAGGCAATAATTTCTCCTTACATTTCAGCAGAAAAGGCTGTTTTTGTTTCATTTTAACTGGAAATACATATATCACCAGCACAAAAAATTTTAGGATTTGTTCTAATTTTTAAGTAGTCATCAACTAAAAATTATTTTTTAGGATCAAACATTTCAAAATTATCATCAAGTCGAACACTTTCATAAGAATTACCTTTACAATTAAAAACTAAATCAAAATTAGAATCTAAAGAATGTCCTTTATAATTTTCTTAAATTTCTATTCCTAAATCTTGCATTCTTTTTTTAGTATAATCATAAGCAGATTTTGGCATAGTAGATAAAATTTTACCTTTAGTAATTAAAGCAACTGTTTTTGATTTATAATTTGATTTGATTTCACAAGCTAATTCTACACCTACAGTGCCTCCTCCAATAATAAGAATAGTTGATGATGTTATGATTTTTTATTGAGTTTTTTTAAGTTCAATAAATCTATCTGTTAGTTTAGGAATTATAGATTTAATAGGATTAGTATAATTAGAACCAATTGTAATAGCACAATAATCAAATTCTATTCTTCCACCATCATAATATGCTACATTGTTTTCAATATGAGTCTATTTATAAATGTAAAAATACTAGTTTGCCTTATATGAATAGGAGTCCAAATTTACTATTTTTAAATTGTAAAGTTAAATCAAAAATTGATTCTGGTTAAATAAAAGCATTGAAGACTGAAGGAATAAACTTAAAATGATTTAATAAAATTACTTCGAAATATGATTTTTGATCTAATAATATAATGTTAAATTATTTATATGTCTGAGTAATAATTGTCATGCCTGCAAAGCCACCTCCAACAATAAGAAGAGTTTTTTTGGAATTTCTCATAAATATGTATAATTAAATAATTTGTTATTTATTTTAAAATAAATGCAAATCTAATAATATGAGGATGTAATGCAAGTGAATTTATTTGTTATTTGATTATTTAAATTTGATTAAAAATTAATGAATAATCATTATGAACCATATGTTAGAAATAAAAGAGATTTAAAGGTGCCATACATATCATGTTAAGATTATACAAATTTAGAGTAAGCATCTAAATTAATACCTGCTTTGAAACAAATTAATCAAACAAATAGAAATTTAGCAGATACCGAAGCATATGCTTATATACTTCGTAGTAATAATGATGATGATATTCATAAAGTAAAAAAATAAAAGAGTTATATTAATTTAGTCAATAAAATATGGTATATGGACATCAAGTAAAGAAAATAATGAGAAGCTCAATACCAAATACTTAGAGGCTTAAGAATAAGGAAAAACTGTGTATTTGTTTTTCAGTGTTGTAAGAAGTGGTTAATTTGTGGGAGTTGCTAAATTAACTTCAGGTTATAAAGATGAAAGTTTCCAATATTGGTGGGAAATAAAGAAATGGAAAGGTCATTTTAATGTATAATGGTTATACGTAAAAGATGTACCAAATAAACATTTTGAGCATCTTAAAAATAGGTAGAAATAATAAATTATCAAAAGTGATAATGTAGAAGTAACAAGATCAAGAGATGGTGTACTTTTAAGTTGGGAAACAGGAAAAGAAATGATGAAAATATTTGAAGACTTTGCAGATAAAAAGAGTATTCTCAATGATTTTAATGTTATTGATGAAAGAGAACAAGCATTGAGATAATACAAATATTAGATGCAATAATCGAGAAATCAACAATAATACTATCCTTATTATCAATATCAATATTATGATTATCAACAACAATATCAACAGTATCCCTAATATCAACAGTATCAAAACTATTAATGGCAATAATCACAGAAATGATTTTAAATATCATGTATTGTAAGGTTTCCATCAAATACAAATACAATAATATTAATTAATAAATTAAAATGAAAATGGAGAGATCTCTCTATCTAAATGGTAAACCACTTGTTTAACCTCCATTAACAATTGACCAATAATTAAATGATCGTCTTGCTAGAACTGGATACAAAATAGAAGATATAAATAGACTCAATGAACGTCCAACATTATAAATTGTAGTTATATTAATAATACTCAAAGATTGATATCGATGGATTAACTTCTGGATACTTAAATAATAACTAAATATTCTAAATGCTTAAACAATAAATTATGAGTTGGAATGAAAAGGTTACTCTTCATAGAGCATAATAAATTGAATTAAAAGACCCATTTGTGTATGAAAACCTTTTTAGATAATTGAAGAACTCATTACTTGAAGTAGTAAGTACCAGAAATAAATAACAGCAATTAGAGTTTTTAGAGAAAGTTTCAACTTGGTTCTTTCGTTAATTACCAAAATCATAAAAATAACAATTATCTTAGTCTCTTGTAGAAAAGAAAGACAATGTAACTTATTATTCATATTCTAAGATATTGTCATATAATCCAAATCCTTATAATGAAAGTATGTATGCATCTGGAATTGAAGATTACACATCTAAATGTAGATCAATGCACCCAGATTTAGATCCTCCTGAAGACAGAGTTAAAAGTTATCACAGAAAGAATCTACTTTCTGATACAAGTACAAGACCTGGTACAACTCCAGGAATAATGGGTTTTTCACAACATACAAGGCCTTAAACATCATAAACTACTTATAAAATGGTTGATTAAGTTGATAAACTATCAAGACCAAGAACGAATTAATAATATTCGGCTATAAAATAATAATCGTCTTGGATGTATGATACAAATTGTCCAGTTTTTGAAACTTTTGAAGAGTAATAAAAAAGTACTAGACGTTAAATTTAAAGGGAGGAATCTCCTCTTAAAGCTGATAAACCTAGTGATAGAAATAAATTAGATTAAATAGAAGGCATTGAATAAGAGTAAGATGAAGATGAAGAATAATCTCCTGACAAAATAGATGGTTCATAAAAAAATATATAATCTCAAAAAGATATTTCTCCAAAGAAAAAAAAAAAGAAAAAAGAAAGAAATGATAAATATATCAGTATTGCACCTGAATTAAAGACTTATAAAACTGATAAAGACACTTAATTAGCATATTAAGTTGGTTAAAATCAAAGACTTGGAGAATTCTAAGGTACATTTCATAATTATGATCCAACTAATCATGAAGATAGAATGGCTGCAGCTAGACTTAATTAATATTATTAAGAATAAAGAATAAAAGAAATTAAAGAATAAAGAGAAGATATTGAAATGGTTTAAAATATGAAAGACTGGGCAGCAAACAAAAGTAGAATAGATGAAATAATCCTATAATCTGAATATGTATAAATATGTTTATAATATGAATAGCTATAATCTTTTGGATCTCAGTTCTCGAATATTGGTATCAAATCAACTGAAATCTATGAATCTAAGAAAATGGATCTTGCTGAAGAAAAAGCCTATGCTAATTATTTAAATAAAACTTCATATCCAAAAGGTAGAATGGTCTAAAGTGCTATTCCAATAACTAAAATAATTGAAAATACTGTTATGCCAACATAAGTAGATGATGAAGCTGAAGACTTTTAATCTAAAAATGCTTATTTAGAATATAGAATTAATTCATAAAGACTTTAATCCTTAAAAAGAGCAAGAGCCAGTTGGTTACCTGGAGGTATATAAAATCATCCTAGTGTTGAAAATATTCAAAATAATCGTACTTTATCTTCTAGTTGTTTTAGAAATGCTTAACCAACTAAATAATTTAGTACTATTTTTAAAAGTCATAGTATTAAATCTGATATAGATAAATAAGTATTTTATAATTATTTAAATTTAGATAAGTGAAATTAATGGATTGAAAAATAGATTAGCATCTGAAAAAAGATTTGTTCCTATCACTATACTATAAAAATCTCTTGTAATTCCTTAAGGACATCTAAATCCTTAAAAAGTACCACTTCCAAAACCTGGTATTATGTTAGCTAATATTCCTGATACAAGTAAAAAAACTAGAGGTAAAAAAAAGAAATCTAAGAAATGATTATATAATTATATAATATAATTATAGATTTATATAATGAATATATATGAAATGGATTTAAATTCAGAAGAAAATAAAAAAAAACTTAATGCAGCTTTCCAATAAATGAAATCTAAAATTTAATTAGAAGAAAAAAGAGCTTCATAAGAAGAATAGGAAAGAATTAAATATTAAGAAAAATACTATACTTTGAATAACGATAAAACTAAAATTGATTAAAAGTTAGCTCAAAAAGAAATAGATTTTATGAGAAAATGTGAAGAAATACTTGAAAAGGAAGATAGAATTAATGAATTATAGAAAAAGCTAGATTTTTATTAAGTAAATCTATTGTAAAAATACATTAGATGAATGAACCAAAAAAAGGTTTTTTTAATTTTGGAAGCGATGAAAATAAATAATTTCGTAGAAAACTATTTGATTTTTAACAAGAATTAGAAATTAAAACTAGTGAATTATAAAGACTTCATGAATTATTATTTGAGACTAGAAGACATCATGATGAAATTGATAAGAAAAATTAAGATTAGATTATTACTTTAGAAGGCTAAATAAAAATGTAGATAGAAAAAAATGAAAAAGAAAAAAAAGCTAAAGAAGAATTAGAGGCATCAATAATATAATTAAATTATATTATAATAAACAAAGAGTCAGAACTTAAAACATTTAAATAAAAATTAAATGATTAAGATGATGAAATTAGACAACTCAAAGAAAAATAATAGTAATAATAAGATATTTACAATGAATTATAAAGTACGTTAATTCTTAAAAAAGAGGAATTAAAGAAAATTTATTTAGAAACCGATTAATAAAAAGCAACCCTAGAATCAATTAAAGATCATTTATATAATATAATTCCATAATTAGAAAATGAATATTAAAATTCCTCAATAGTATAGAGTTTAAAATAATTCGTTGATAAAACTTTTGGTGTTGATAAATAACGTGATTAAAAAGGTATTTTACAGATTATTTTTATAGTCAATTAAATAAAACAAGAATAAGAGTTATAGAAAGAACTTTTAATTTAAAAAGATAGCTATTAAGTATTTTAGAAGGCAAAAGATAGAATTATAAAGATGGGTAAAAATATGGAATAATTGGAAAAGAAGAATAAAATGCTTTAAGATCGAGTTTATCTCTTAGAAAATAAAAGAGCTTAAGGAAATTAATCAGAATAATAGAGTGATAAAATAAGTGTTATGTGATTGTTTTAGTGGATATTATTTGATATACTCTCATATTATAATTGCATACTTAGAATGATTAAGAATAAAATCTTAACAGAGTTTAAAAACTTCTAAAAAAATAAAAAATAATTTTCCTTTTAGTAGTTAATGTCTCATACCGATAGTACAAAAACATCAGGTTAAAAAGTTAAGAAATCTTTAATCAGTCCTTTAAAAGAAGCTCTTAATTAGGTCACAAAACAATATAGATTCTACATTTCTAATGAAGAATAAATCTTTGATGTAGTAATAGATGTAGCTCCTCATACAGAGCTAGTAGATGCTATCAACCGTGTTTTATAAATAGCTAGCAAAGATCATCCATTTGATTAGAATCCAAGAAATTATGAAGCCTATATAGCAAAGAAGAATGGAAAACCTAAAACTGATTTTCCTTCTTACTAAATAGACCTCTAATTAGACTAAACTCAAAATTCTATATTCTCTCTTGTTCATATGACATTTTAAGAAAGAAAACCAAAAAGAAAATCTACATATGATTATAGCAACAATTACAGCCCAATCAAACCTTAGTAATAAAAAGATATTGATGAAATCAAAGGATAAAAGAATTGGTTTCTTAGATTTTTGGGTTGTGCTTGATGATATTATAATTTTTATCTATTTAACACTTATTTATAAATATAAATTATGAATAGATTAACTACAATAACTCACCTATCTGATAAAGAATAAATGTTGAATTAATATGAATTATTGATATAAGAGTATCGTAACTAACCTGATTCCATAAATATTATTGCTATTTGTCTCAATAATATAGGAGCTTTATTAAATAAGTATCAACAAATTTATTTAGAAATGAACTTTTATCAAAATCAATTTTTAGATTTGTTAAATAGCACATGCTTAAAATACTTCCAAACGCTCTTTAATTTATAATATTTATCAATACAGCTAAAATATTTAATTAAATGGGATTGCATAGTAAAGCTTTTTTGAGAGCTGAAAAAGCTTTGTAGTTCTATGAAAAGTTTGCCTTTAATTAATTAAATTAATCTGAAGCTATCTTATTGATAAATGGTTATATTACTTTAGCTAAATCTTATGAAATGGCTACATTTAATGATTTGGCCAAAATTCGTACTAAAAGCAAACTAATTTAAACTGGGTACTAAATTATTTTTAATTTAGTTTTAAGAGCACATAAATTTTCTATTAAAATACAAAAAAACTTTTAGTAAAATATGTTGGAATAACTCATCCTTTATATAAACAAATTATTGGTCTATCTACATAAAAATCTGCTTTGCTTTAAAGAAGCTGTATTTTTTAAACTGAGTTAAATTTAAATTAGTTTGTTTATTAAAAATAAACTATAACTAGAATTATGAGATTGTTAGATACTCTTAAAAATTATATACCAAAAAATTATGAATTATAAGAAATTTATTCATAAACTCCTTAAAAAGGATTTTCAAGATTGAAAACTACAAATGAAGATTCTATAAATAAAGGGAAATTCTATAGAATTAAACGAATTAGTAAAATAGAAGATGATTAAGAAACAACTATTGAAACAAAGAAGAAAAGAAAATCTTTTAAAATGGCATCTATTTCAAATTTAGAAAAAATTATAACAAATAAAGTTGAATAGTAGGTTCAACTTCATTTCTAAAAAAAATAATAAGAAGATCAGGTGTCTAATAGTAAAATTGATTTAGATTAAAAATATCTCATTATACAAAATGAAATAAACAAAATTGAAAAAGAAAAATATAATTATGAAAAATAAGGTTATGAGTGGAGATAATAAATAAAATTATTATAAGAAGAAATTAATTAACTAAGAAGCAAAATTATTGATAATGAATAAGTACATTTAAAAGAAGCTAAAGAATAGCACTTTAGACATTTAGAATAAATTAAGCATCTTAATGAATAAAACTAATAATTAAAATTGTAAATGAATAAAACATTTCATCATGAAAAGAATTATACTACTTATAATAATAGCATTGATGATCATTAGTATTTTTATTTTACAGATAATTTTACTGGCTAAATGATATACATTCCTTTACTTCATAATATTTCATTTATTTTTAAATAAGATGGCATATTAATTGAAGTTTAGTTGTTGCAATAAACATTAAAATTGTCAGCCAAAATAAATGATAAAATATTAAATGAATTTATCGAAATTTCGTAATTTCAAGATTTCCTCTAATATACACAGTACATACATACCTTACCATATCCAATAAAATATTTGAATAATTTTAAGACATTTATACAATATTTGATAGTGCCTTTCGTTCAAATAGTTACTGAGTAAAATGAGACAAAAATTGCAATATGGCCATAACCTCAGGGATTATTACAAGAATAACAAATAATATTTCTAAATGAAAATTGTTAATGGTGGTTTCATAATATTGGACTCAAGTGGTTTCGAGTCATCATTTATTCTTAAGCAGATTTTATCTTTTAATTAGATATACGATATGATGAATTTACATTTTAATAATATTTTAAGCAAGAAAACTTAGATGAATATGAAATGTAAGAAAAAGAAGAGATATTACAATATTTATCTAAATTAAATTCATAGTAAATCTAAATATTAGAGTCTTCTAAAAATTCAATTCATAATACTTATTATTTACCAAACATTTAGATTTTAGATAAGCAAAAACTAATATGTCTTATAAATCAATAAATAAAATATATTGAATAATTTTTAAATTAATAGAATATAAATTCAATATAGTAAATAAGAAAAAATAACAGTTTAGAAATTTAATTAATTTCAATATAATTTAATGAGAATAAATCTTAGATTTAAGCAGTCTTGTTAGAAGAAGGAAAATGTATGGTAAGATTAAGAAATTGTTTTTTAAGTTATGCTCCTTAAAATAAATAAATAAACGCTGATGGATATTTTGAAATAACAAATTAATTTTTAAAACAAAGATATGGAATAACTTTTGAGAATTTGCTTAGAAATGAAGACAAAATCTATTTTTATGAAAAACTTTTAGAATCATTTACTTTACAAATATTTTAGAAACCTTTTGAGGATGATGATGATGAATTGTTTAAATAAAATGGAATTTTATTAAGGGAATTAAATTTTGGTGGAACAAATAAAATATTTTATGATTCAAATAATTATAAAATTCCTATAAATTTTAGTTTGATAGGTGCTAATGATATACCATAATTTGTTAGAATAGATCTTTATAATGAGGAATCAATTGAATAGCATTGTATTTTACTTAATATAACTGAAGAGTATTGGATTAGACCAGTTGTAACTTAAGTTAAAGTATGAATATTAATTAAAATTTAGTAGCAGGAGAAAAAGAAAAAACAATAGAAATATAATAAAGAATTTAAAGTTGCTGGTTAATATTACTTATCATAAATATTGTAACAATTTGGTTGGTTCATTTTGGAACATCACATATACATGAATGATGATAAGCAATTATATATTCAGAGACTTGATAATTAAATTGGGAAATTAGAATAATACATAAATATGAAATCAGTTTCTGAATTAATTAAATGATTGTTAAATATTTTATATGTAAAAAATTCTTAAATATTCATTTACACATTTGAATAAATAAAAGCCATTTTTAACTAAAACAAAAATAGGATTAGGTTTAGGGGCTGGTTTCTCATATATTCTATATAGATAAGGTAGAGAGAGATATTAGTAAATGCATTTTTCTTCTATGTACAATTAGATTCCTGACACTGAAGTAATTCATATTTTTAAATAAGGCACTCACCTAAGAGTACTTTGGAGAAAAGAATTCTGATAAACTCTCTTTATTTTAGAGAATAATTTAAAGTTTAAGGAGAAAGATTAGATTTTTACATTTGTTATTAAAATTTGTACCTTTGGCAATTGCTTTACCATTTTCATTAATATTTAAGTCTTATTTGTTTCCATATTGGCTTAAATATTTGGTTTATACACTTTAATCAGCAGGTCCGTTATGGATAAAATTAGGATAATGGGCTAGTCATAGAGGGGATATATTTGGAGAATAAATTATTAAAGCTTTAGAGTCATTAAGAGATGATACTCCAGCTCATTCTATTGAATAGACAAATTAATAATTTGAGTAAGCTTTTAATAAGAAAATTAAAGATGTTTTTGAAGAATTTGAAGATAAACCAATAGCTTCAGCTTCAATAGCATAAGTTCATAGAGCAAAATTAAATGGAGAATATGTTGCTCTTAAAGTAAGACATCCTGACATTATAGATAATTTAGTTATGGATATAAGAATTTTATATAAGATTGCGAATTTTTTTAGTGAAACTTTAAAAATTAAATAATTAGGAATGCCTGTTACATTTGAAGAATTTTAAAAAACTCTTGTAAATTAGACAGATTTAAGATTTGAAGGAAGAAATCTTAAAGTTTTTTGTGAGAAATTTTAGAATAATCCTCATGTTGTATTTCCAAAACCTATCGAAGAATACATTTCAGCAGATATTTTAACTGAAACATATGAAGATGCTATACCTTTAACATAATTTTTAAAATAAGAGAGAATATAAGAACATTTAGCATTAGCCAATTTAGGTTTGAAAGCATTTTATAAAATGTTAATATATGATAATTTTATTCATGCAGATTGTCATGCAGGCAATATAATGGTAAGAATTAAAGATTTTCATACTCCTACTAATTTTAAAGAAAGAATATAATAAAAATTATGGAATCTTTAAGATTCTGTTTACGAAATTGTAGATGGTTTAATTGAAAAAGGATTAACTAAAATAGCAGAATATTAAACATCTTAAACAATGGATGAAGGAAATGTATATTTATTAATTTTATTTAGATGTTAAAATTAAAATAAGAAAAAAAATCAGATGAAAAATTATTTCATTCATTTTTAAGAGGTTAAGGGGAAAAAAGAAAAGATGTTTAAATAATTTTTCTAGATCCAGGTATGATAACTATTTTAAATAAAAGTGATCGTGCATCATTTATTAAATTAGTAATGTTTGTAACATTAAGAAAACCTTATGAATGTGGAAGGTTGATGTTGCAATTAGCCTAATATAATTAAAGATAAATTGAACAAAAAGTATAAGATAAATTTATGAAAGAAATGTAAGATTTATTTACAAATGTTTGCCAAGTTCCTTTAGCTTAAATGAATATAGGATAGGTATTGAGATCTATGTTAGAAATTTTAAGAGCAAATGGAATGTCTATTGAAGGTCATTTTGCAGCACTCCTGACAAATATGATTGTTTTAGAAGGTTTGGCAAAAGCTTTAGATCCAGATTTAAATATAGTTGCAAAAGCAGCATCTTTCATTATTCATATTAGAACAATAGATAAAACTATTGATGAAATCATTTAACAGGCTTTGTGAAAATTTATTTTTTAAATTTAAAGAGTTTATTAACATTATCATAAATCATCTACCATATTGATCCTTTTATTTTTTTTATTTAATTATTTCTATTATTTAAATTATATTTAAATTTATATTTCAGAAAATAGAAATAATTTATCAGAAAATGAACTTTCTTTTATAATAGACAAATTTCCATTTCAATTTTTATGAATGGAAATTATAGAAATGATAACACAAAATAATAATAAATTTTAAAAAATAAACAAATTTATATTGTGTAAAGTAGAGACTAAATAAAAAGTATACAAAACACTTTTTAGAATTACAAAGGAATTTTTAATATGAAAGCTTACATTCTAAAACTCTCTATAATTAAGGGATAAAGATGGCAAACTGACAATTAATCTTGTTATTTTGCTTTTAAATTTATGGATCAAATGAAAATTTAGAAATGTTAACTATATAGAGCTTTGGTAATTTTAGCTTTCTAAAGTCTATATTATTATACAAAATATTCATAAATATGTATTTTATAAGATACAAATCTTGTAAAGATAAATATGCTGAAAAATCAGAAATTTCTCTTTGAACTTATATAAGATATGAATTGTTATAATTAGTTGTTACAAATTTTTAGAAGGAATATATTTTATAGATTAATCATTGAAGAGCTATAAATTTTATTTGATGAATCAAATTTTATTATTCATCCTAAAATTATTCTAATAAGATAAATTATTTCTTAAATAATTTCACCTTAATTTATTTGAAATAAAAAATTTAATCAAGTTTAAATGAGATATTTAATCTATATTATACAAAAAATTTTAAAATTATTGAAAAAAAATGAAGATTAGATTGAAGGATTCGTAAAGAAAGAAGTTTTTAAATGATTAAAAATCATAATTTTTAATTTATAAAGGTATTTTAAACTCTTCACTTTATCTACAAAGATTTTCCCTTTAAAGTAATATTTAATGGTTTCTCTGATGGTTAAATTGAAGTGTTATACTAAGAATAGGTTTAGAAATTAGGCTTATTGATAATTTTTCTGTAAGTAGAGCATTTCTCATCTCTCAAAAAACTAGGTGTACATAATTTACTATTACTTGGAGAATGAGGATTTAACTAAATATTTATTAGTTGATGTACATCTGTTGAAGTTTTTAGGATTGATGTCAATTTCTTTTAATTAATATCAAATTATTTATTTGGTTATGTTTTGATCAGATTTGTAGGTCTTCTTTTATGATTTCCAGACAAAATCAAAAATTTTTACAATTCTCCAACCAAAGATATTGGAAGATGATCAGTATTATTAATAATATTTTATTTATTACTAATTTCTGTTTTAAGTTATTCTCTATAACTTGAATTGATTTTTTTTAAGTTTAGTTACAAATAAGGAGTTTATTTTGCATTAGATTCAAAATTTTAAGATTTGCTATATTTATCTTTTTTTAATGCTTTATTTTATGATGAATTATTTAATATTACAATGTGATTATTATGAAAATTTTGATGAATTTATCTTTCTGATTTTGCATTGATTTGTAAATTAAATTAGTTAGGATATTAAGTCTGTTAAGAATCAAGGCTAGTTCTTATATTATGATCTTTTTACTAATTTTATTTTTTACTATATTTCAATTTCAATAATAATGGCAAATCATTAGAATTATAAACTATCATTACTATCATTAATATTACATGAATTTTTAGAACAACTAAATTTATTTTTATAAAGTTTTGTAAATTCTAATTCTTCTGAATCTTATTCTCGCATATTTTCATTTATAGGATTTGAATGCTTTTAATTATTCTAAATTTAATTTTAGTTCTAACTCAATTAAATCAATTGTAAGTATTATTAAAATTTATCATAAGTTGTTAATGAATTTTGCTATCAATATGAATTTTACTACCTTAATCGATTCTTATAATTCATTTCTACTAATTAAATAATTTAAATAGCTTATCATTTCATTAAATTAAAATGGTATATATCCACTATTACAAGAAGATTCAAATTTTGAATTTGTTCTTACTTCTTTTATTATTTTATAAAAAACTATTAGATTTGATGTTTATATTCATACTTTTTGATGCATCTGCATCTATCACAGAATTTTTAAATTCATCCAAATTTAATGCATCTAATTTATCAATTAAATTATACTATCCTTATCTTTATCAATCACTGAAAAAAAATCTTTTAGTTATTTCTCTGTCACACCAAATCCAAATTTTTAAAACATTTCGTACATTTCACCAATATCAATATTTTCTATTTCATATAATAATCATAATACTTGACTTGTCTCTATCGAAATTTTGAAATATTTTCTTAATTTCTTATTCTTATTTCATCTAATCAGGATACAAGAGATATTATTTTTTAACCTTACTAAAATACCTAGAATAAATAATTTGATTATTACCTTCTTTTTAACCATAAGTTTACATCGTTAGTTTACATCTGAGATCGAGACTATTTCTCAAAAAAAGTATTGCTTTAATTCATTATTTATTAAAATGATTAGATTTATACTATTCTTTTCATAATATTAAAATAAAAATAAAAATAAAATACCATAAAAAAATTGACAAGAATTTATGGTTTCTTATTTTGTTTTAGAAATCTCAACTAATTTCATTTAATAAAATAGTGATATGATTTATATTTAATAATTGTATCAAATTTCAATTTTTTTAATTATTACTTATTTCATACATTAATACTTCAAAGAGCTTAAATTTATTTTCAATTCTCCTCATTATAATGTTTCTAAGGATCTTACTGATCTTATTATTTCGATTTGATTGTCACATAAAAAAAGTGTTTCAGCTTTATTTGTTGAAATGCTTGTTAAAATTTTTAGATTTCCAAATGACTATTTTAATTTTATCATTCTAAGTATCACAGTTTCATTTGATTTTAAAGAAAATTAAAGTTAAACTGCATAAAATTATTAATACTCCTCTTCCAAAAAAATTAAAGATTATAAAAATTAATTTTACATTTATATAGATATTAGCCTTGCTAAAATTAATGAGCTTGATGCTTTATAATTAAATTATTATTTAATAGAAATTTGATTTTCATCGTTTAGATATTCACCTCTATTTTATTAATTAGAATTATATTATAATTTTTAATTGTTATTTCCTTTAATGTTCAATATCTTTCCTTATATTTCAATTTAGTATAGAACTTTATTTTCATCTATACAATCCGCAATGCAATATTCAATGCAATATTGATAAAAAAAAGCAATTTTATTCTCACTCAAATTTAAAATGCTAATGGCAGTTTTAAGAGAAAATTTTAAGTCAAAATAAAATATCTCATCAAATAAAATTCCAGATTTTAACTGTTTAATAAAAAGACTGAAATTCTAATTTCTTAATAGTTATATTGGAACATTGCAAATAAATTTTGAGTTAAAAATTATGAGTATCTAAAATTTAATTTAATAATACATTATTTTGATTTTCTATTTCAAGACCCATTAGATCAAATTCTTCAGTAAATCTATTAATTTCATATACTTTATCCATATAAACTTCTTTACGTCTATTGATATCCTCTTCTTTAACTTCCTAAAGACTCATCCAATGACTTGATAAATTAATATAAAATACCAATTATAAATGACCAAATATGGATATTTTCTATCATTGTATTTCCTAACAATCCAAATTACACAATTGTAATAATCATTTATTATGACTTCATCGAAAGGCATACATTCTTTTTAATTCTTGCGACATTAAAATATAAAATATTTGGTTTCATATAATCCTGACTTATCTTTTTAATAGTATAATAAATAAATATGTTGTTTTGAATTGTATAAAAATATGTGCGGAATATTTTAATCTTCTAGCCACTAAAAAAGAATAAATTTTAATTTACATTATCATAAAGGCAGATTTAATTTAAATTATCATTTAATGATTAAAAAAGCATTGAACTTTCATTTAAATTAATTTTTATTTTCATCAATAACATTTATTGCTACTAAAATATAAATTTAAAATGCATATAATTGCATTAAAGGTTTTTCTATAGCTTAATATCTTTGCTATAAATTTAATCTTCCAATTTATTCCGTTATAAATTTTACTCGAAAACAACCAATTCTAAAGCAATCGCATTTGAATTAATAATTTCATATTTTATATTACTCTAATCTGATCTAAAAAGCCTTGAATAATTTTATATCAAATGAATATCAGAAACATTTTGAAATTTATCACATCTGCAAGTAGAATCAAACTGATTAAGTTAAAAATTAACTTAATATATTTCAGATATGCAAGGAACAGCAAAATATCTGGTCTAAGATTCAAAATAGATAAACCTAGTTGATTCATTTTTTTAATCATTATTTTTTTGCAATTAAACAATTAAAGGGTAATCATAACCTTTTGGTAATTGACTGTTTTGTTTTTTATATTAACTAAGCTTTAAGGAATTTCCTTCAACAAGATCTAATTTTATTCCTATCTATTAATATAAATTGCCATCTTTACATCCACTTAATAAAGAAAATGAGGAATCAGAGTGTTTAATAGCAGTAAAGCCTTTTATATGACTAATAATTTAGTGATCACTTTTAACTTAAAATTTGATAAGATTCTAATTTCCTTTGAAATCATATATAAAAACAGTCCCAACAAATTAATTTTTTGAATTTAAATCTAAATTAAACTGATAAAATTTATATTAATCTAACAAAAATGATGAATTAAAATTATTTTAAAAATAGATTATTTTATCTAAGTTAATCTTTTTATCATTTTCATCATTTTTGATTTCAATTTCATGAATATTTCCTAATCCCCAATAAAGTTGCGAATCTTTAATAATTGCTATGGTTATTTTACTATAATTATCTTCTTTAAAATAGGAAACATAGTATTTTATATCTGAATTCATAATAATATATTCTTTATTTTCTTAATCTTCCAAAATTACATATTCGATATTGTTTTTTTAATTTAAGATTGGGAATTTAAATTTTACTTCTATATTCAAATTTATTTTATTCTATTATTCAAATTTTTAAATTAGATTCAAACTTTCAAATTATCTTTTGTAGAAATCCTTTTCTTTTTTTGTTTGACTTAATAAATTGACCCAAAATTTGTAATCCTGTGCTTTCATAACATTTTTAACTTTTTAAGTAATATTCTTTCCTATTTTATTATTATAATTTAAAGCATTTATACATTAAACTAAAGTTTTCCAATAATTTTCTGAATTTAAATTGCTTTTTTTCATTGGGAAAATTATCAGCGAATTTTAAGAAATCTTCTTTAATTACTAAATAATTTTTGTAAGAAAATAAAAATCCATTTCAAAAAATAAGTCATCAATTTCAATTCCTAAAATGATGATTCTAGGGTTGAATTAAATGATTTTATTTTTTAAGATATATTTATATAAATTGTATATTTCCGAGGTAATCTTTCCTCTTTTTTCTTAATCTTTAAATTTTATGGGTAAAAAATACTAATTTTATAAGACTAAACATTTATTAGTACAATTTTTATTAATGAATAAATTTTTATAATTAAAATTATCAGTAGAATCAATTACAATGTTAAAGCTTTATAAAATCTTACTAAAATTTTATTCTATTAGTGAAATACAATCACCAGAAATAATATTTAAAAAAGTTATTCTATTATTTTCATTGTATTATTGATTTAAGTCTTCTTAGGATAATTAAAATTTATTTAAAACATCATACAATAAAATTCCAGATTCAAAGGAATCCTAAAAAACAATAGAATTAGATGAGCTATCATACATATTTTGAATTACGACATTTAAAACTTCTAGAATTTTTTCATTTTATTACTCTTTTACATAATATTCTTTTTTTATTGTGAAATTCTTTCTCCCTTAAAAATTAAATTATTGATAGTCTAAAATGTAGTTGATAAAATCCTGATTGTCTTTATCAGTATTGTTTAATTTGTTTTAATCTTTTTAATCTGTAGATCGAAAAAGGTAAAGAACCAAAAGCGTAGGAATAATTTCAAAATTTATTATTTTGTTTAAGAATTGTTGTTAAATTTATGTTTCCTATTCTTTGAAGGTGGAATGTTAAATAGAATTAAATTCTTAAATTCTTTAATTTTTTAATTAATTCATAAAAATAATAGATAATTTTGATTAATTACTATAATCATTTCAAACTTCAGCTTTAGGTTTAACCATTATTTAAACTTTCTGATCAAGTTCAGTTATCAGATCAAGCCCTTATAAATTACTTTATATATCAGCCCACACCAGATGCATCTATATTTAAATATATTATTACTTTAGTCAAATCTTTTGCTTGGCTATCAGCAAATTAAATGAAATGTTTTGCAAAAATAATTATATTCTGTTCAAAGACTCTTTTAATTTCATTGTATGCTGATAGATTATAATATGCATATGTATCTCTTAAGTCATTTTATTAAGATGTTTCTTTAGGTAGCATAATATTTAGACAATATTTTTTATTATCATTATATTGCTTTAGCTCTTCCTATATTTCTTTAGAAACCTCCCATTTGTGGTATTCCTTTAATTAATAGAATTTTTCCTTTTTCAAATCTAAGCGTTCCTTATATTTTAGATATTCGGCTTAACTTTATTATCTGAGGAGTAAATGTTCTTTTAATTAGGCAATCTCTTTGTCATGATATTTAAAAAAATTTCTGAAGTTTTCTTAAATATAATTCTGATAATTCTAAAAGTTCTTACCCATTATTATCATCATATTATTTAATGTGATTGTAACTGCTTCAAATTTGAGAATTTATTCTGAATCTTAGACAGAGGAATTAAATTAATTAATGTGATTAGTTAGCACTTCAAAAGATTCTCCCATTTAAAACATAGTTGTTGAGACTATTTCAAAATCTTATAACATTTTTTTTGATTATTTCATAATTCTATATAATAATAATAATAATATTATTTACATTTCAAAGTCTAAATTTAAACTTGTCATTAAATTACCTGCAGCTTTAATATAATTATCAGATTAAGGATTGAATGCTACTTCAATAGATCCAGTTTCACTTATGACTTTATCTAATTTTGTAGTTTTTTGAACCTTCTCTGAGGCAGTTTGAAGAGATTTAAATTCTTTTTCATCTTATATTCTTAGAAATTCATAAAAATATTTGTCATTTTTGAGAATATTTGAATTAAGTAGATGATTTAAGAATTTCTAAAGAATTTTGGATTAATTAATTACTTCTAAGAATTTCATTCTTTTAGTTAAATAAGCATCACTAAATTATCTGGTAGGGGTTTTATTAGCGATAGGAGGTACAAATACTCCAGGATATATTCTTGTTAAGATTTCTCTAAGCCATTCAAAATCTGAATATCTTCTAGAGACTATCCATTAGAATGGACTTGTAACAATTTTATAATTAACATAAGATTTACTAAGACTAAAGAATCCTGTATCTTTTTTATCAAAACTAAAATGAAAATAGGATTATTATATACTTTTCTATGATAATTTATACATTATTGTTGTTTCCAATTTCACTTTCAATCATTTTTTAACAATCAATTTTTCTCTTAAATCCATTATTTTCATCGTCAATAATTTACATCATTTGATTTCTAGTTTTTTAATAATCAGTGACTGCTTGTATTAATTCATCCATTTGCCAAATATCTAAATCTTGACCTCCATTTTCTTTCTTTCTATCCATATACTTTGTAAAATCTTCACTATCATAACCCTTATTTATAATTTCATCAACTAAAAATTATTATTTCTCTTCCAATGACATTATCTATATTAATTAAATTATTAAGATTCAATCATAGGAATATTTAATATGTATTTATTATTTATTATTAACTTTATCAAGTTCTACCACCTTCTCCACTTGCTCCAACTCCTTAAGTTGTAACCAATTCCCCTTCAACAACATCATCATCTTCATCATCTGGTACCTCTACAACTTTACTGGAAGTAGTCTTGGTGACTGTTTCTTCAATTACTGTTTCCTCTAATTCTTCTGATTCTTCGACTGTTTCTTAAGTCACAGTTTCTGTAACAGTCTCAGTTTATTCATGGTGTTCTTCAACAACTTATTCATGATGTTCTTCAACCACTTATTCATGATGTTCTTCAACAACTTATTCATGATGTTCTTCAACAACTTATTCATGGTGTTCTTCAACAACTTATTCATGATGTTCTTCAACAACCTATTCTTGTTGTTCTTCTACGACCTATTCTTGGTGTTCTTCTACGACTTATTCTTATTTTTATTCAGTAACCACAACAGCTTGTTCTTCCCTTCTTTATTATTAGGATTATCCAACAATAACTTTGTCTATTGAATCAACTCTGTTCACTTTTACTTCTGAATCTTTTTCATTGCATTTTTTATTTATTACTTATATTTTTCCTTCAGCATCATTAATTATATTTATAGTAACCTAGCCTTTATATATTATTTACATCAGCATTTCCACATTATTTAGCGATATGTTTTCTCTCATCTAAATATTTGTTGATTAATTATTCTATTCTATCACAACACTATTTGCTCTCATTCTCAGCTAAAAATGTCATTTATTTATTTACTTGTTGCTGTTTGTAATAATTAAATTGAATGTTTTAATTAATTGATTTCATTCACTCTCCATTACTAATAAATTGTATGCTGTTTCTTATGTGTATTGTGTCTTAAAGCAGCAAGTATTCTTTATGCCCTATGAATAGTTTCTATCATTAATTTTTATCTTACTTGAATTTCTTAATCTGTTAAACCTTTATTCACTTAGTATTTTATGAGCTGTACTCAATAATTTTATTTCATGATGTATAACTTTTTCATCTTAGTATAGTTCACCCCACATTTTTAATTAGTGGCTTACCTACAATAAGTTTGCCTAACAATCTAATTAACTATAATCCATAGTCATTAGTTTATTTAGATTGGTCAAACTTACACCATTTTCGAGTTAAATTAGAGTTTCTTTTAATACATATATTTTGTACCCTCTTAACAGAGACAGACGCAAACAAGTAGGAAGGTTAATAAAATTTTGTTCATAAAATAATTAAAACTTATTTCGGTTTTTAAATTAACCCGTTTTTATTTTAATGTCAGTTAATATACAAAATAAATATTAAATTTCTACTATTTACTTATAACTTTTTAAAAATAAATTGGATTCAATTAAAACCTTAATATTATCAGTTTATACATTGGAGGTGGTAAGGTTGCTAATTTTATGATTCGCAATTGAATTCACTTAAATTTCAAACAAACTATCAATTCAAAAGAATCAATATTAATATTAATCATAAAGGTATTTCAGCTTCTAATATGGAATATACTTTTCTCTTATTTAGCCTTATATTATTATACTTATTTCATATAATAAATATATAATAACAATACATGTGTTAATTTTTGTAATATTTTAATCTAACTTAATTAATATATGATTAATAATATTATTTTTAAGATATTGCTATAAAATGCAATAGTGTGGTTGTATTTCAACTTAGGATGAAAATGAAAGTCTCTCATCTAACTTAAGTTGGTATGATTTATATTAATACCTGTATAAGTGATTTGGAGGAATGCGAAAATAAAATAGAAATTAAAAATAAGAGCAAAAATAAAATCTCCTATTTTTTTAAAGTGAAGACTGAAGTATTAAAAAAAATAATAATAGTTTATATCTGTAAATATTGGGCAATAGGATATTGTCAATATGGATAATAGGTAAAAATTACATTCTATATTAGTGTGCATTTGCTCACGGAAAACATGAAATGAGATAAAAAACACATGTGCCTCATAATTACAAAACTCAAGTTTGTAAAAATTATACAAAATTTGGGTATAGATTTATATAAAATATTAGATATTGCTGTTATGGAGAAAGATGCTAATTTAAACATCCTGAAAAAAAAGGAAATAAGCTTCCTTGTCTTATTTACTAAAATCTTCTAAGTAGTATAGGGGACAACTTTTTTAATCAAAAGTATTAGGATTCTTATAATTCCTAGGCTGATTAAAAATAAAAAAAGAAGTAAAGGTTTGCCGTATAAAATTTGATTATAATTTGAATTAATTAATAATTGTTATTATATATAATGACTAATTATCAAAAGTAATGAGTAAATTATGCATCGATTTTTTAGGAAGTAATATTAAAGAGCAATTCTTTTAGATTAGCTTTGGTTACAGGTTTTTCAATGGCTCCCAACATTCCTACTTATTTGTAGGTCTCTAACTGGGCATTTGTTTATCTATTACCAGTACAAGCAATGATTTTAAGACTTGGATCAAAATCCAATAATTTCTTTGCTGTCTATAATCCATCCATTATTGGCATTTCAATATCTAAAAATATTAGTTTATATTGACTAAAAGCTCGCTCTTCACATTTTTTTAATGCAATTTATCCTGAAATAGCAGAATCACAAGTTATATATAATTATTCCAAAATATATTATAAGACGATAATGTTAAATTCATTATCATCTACAATTAATACAGGAGGTTATTTTGAAGTTTAATCTAACCAATTATTTGTTTATTCAATAATTTAATTTGATTGACTTGTTGATTTTCTTTAGTAAGACTTTTCACATTCCACATTAAATGGAAGCAATCGATTTGATTATAATAAATTTGATGAATTAACTCTCAAATTATACTTTTTTATTGATTAATTATTATTTGAAGGGATAACTTGATAACTATCAAATGATGGCTGTTTAATAATTGGCATTGTGAACTCTTTTGATTTGAAACTACAGCTCTATTACTAGAAAAAATGTGTTTCCGGTAAATTATTCACTTCTTAAACAGCACCATCCGAAATTTTAGAATCAGAAAGATCTTCATCTGGAAGTTTTTGATTTAAAATTTAAAAATAAAAAGTTGCCCCTTTTTCATATTCAGATTCTACAGTTATTCCTTAATTATTAGCAGATAATAGTTTAGATAATTCATTACTTATTAATAATCCTAAGCCTATACCATTTGGATTTTTCTCTAAATTTTCTTTATCTTCTACTCTTGCAAATTCTTAAAATAGCATATTCAAATTCTAAGGTTTTATTCCTAAACCATTATCTTTTACAGAAATTTTAAAAGTTTAGGTTTTCATTGTATATTCACAACTTATCGCTATTTATCCTTTTGCCATAGAATATTTAACTGCATTACTCAATAGATTCATTATCACTTATCTAATTCTATTTTTGTCACTATTAACAAATTGAGGTATATTATCATCATAATTTAGTTCTATGTTTAATTCTTTTTTTTCTTATTATATATCAAAAATTGATATTGTTTTTTCAATTAACTTTTTCAAATTAAACTTTTTGAATACTAAACGAATTTTCCTATTTTATAGCTAAGCTTAATCTAATATATCATTAACTAAATTTAATAATAATCTACAAGAATTAAGGGAAGGTTTTAAATACCTATCAGCTAAAACTTTATCAATCTAATCCTTTAGACATATTTACATATTTATAATAGCATTGAGAGGAGTTCTCATGTCATGAGACACTTTGCTTAAAATTTTCATGTTTTCTTTAGTATTATCTATTTAAGTCTGTTTTATTTGTAAAACTGGCTTTAATTTTTTTGAAAGAATAAAACAATAATCTTATTAAGTTGTGAGACACTTAAATAAATTGGATTAAGTTGTATTTTCATTAATATATACTTTCTTAACTACAATAATATAATTTTATTAGGTTTCATAAGTTTAATCTTACCAATTATTTTTAGTAGTTTTCAATTATTCAAAAACTGTCTTAAATTAAAAAGTATTTTTATCATCTAATAATTTTGGCTGTATTCCTTTTGGAAATTATTCTCTATTTGTTATAATACGATCACTTCGTTCATCTCCTCCTCGAAGAACCTAATCATTCATAATATTCTAGAAATTCTCTTATTCGTTTTCTGGATTAAAATTATTATCAAGAATTATGAATATTTCTGAACTAAATTACCTAATTATTTCTTCCATTTAATCGATTGTGTAAGATTATTTTTTAAATAAGGTTAAAAGCAAAAAGTAGCATATACAATTTCTCACTATTCCAGTTGCTAAATAATTCATATCTGCAAAAGTTAGAGAAGTTGAATGGATGCAAAATAAAGTGAAGATCATTATTCTTGTTAACTTTTAATTAAATTTGATTATGCAAACAATTTGAATTCCTACATAAATTATCCATGATCGATACAACATTTAGGAAACAATAAGTATTTAAGCTAATTTAAGTATATTGAGAGACAGCCTTATTACCTCATTTCTTGTTATTTGCTCAATTAGAAATATAATGGCATGAAAAACTGCTGAGGATAAACCTAATATTAAATATAATATCTCGTTAGTGATGTAAAATTAAAAGTGAAGTACTAAACTGTCAGCTGCTAAGACAATTTATAAAATTTATTGGTCACTTAACATTTTAAATACTTATTTGATTTAATAAAAATAAAATAAGAAACAAGATAAACAGTTCCTAATAGACATATATATTTATTTGTTATAGATGATTGATATAAAAAGAAACAGACAAATAAATAATCATTAGATATAAATCTTTAATTAAGTTATTAAATTACAAAATTTCTATGCAAAAATGAATAATTAAATTATTTTATTTATATTTACTCAACTAATGCAAGAAGGTCAGAAACTATAGAAATTATCTACCCTTCCTAAAAACTTTTCAGATTGGTAGGTTGGAGATGATTATGAAATAATTAAATAAATAGGCTCTGGATCTTATGGATAAGTAGTAGAAGCCTTATAGAAATCGACAAATAAAAAGGTGGCAATTAAAAGGTTTAATAATTTGTGATATTTAAGATTGACTGGTATATTTGATGACGAGATAGATAGTAAAAGGATTTTAAGAGAAATCAGTATTCTGAGAGAATTAAAACATCAAAATCTGATTTAAATTATTGAAATCTTGGAGCCAACAGATCCAAAATTTGATACAATCTATGTTGTGATGGAATACGCATAAGTAATTATTTTATTTGAGAAAAGAGTGACTTAAAAAAATTATTCAAATCACCAATACATTTATAGTTTTTACATATTTAAACTATAATATACAATTTATGTGTTGGTCTTAAATACTTGCATTCAGCAAAAGTATTGCATAGAGATTTGAAACCAGCTAATGTACTTTTGAATGAAGATTGCACAGTTAAAATATGTGATTTTGGATTAGCAAGAAGTGTATAAGGTAATAAAGATTATTATGTTAGGAATTGATGTTTCTGATGCAGCCTTAGAGGAAGAGATAGCAAGATAGTAAGAAGAGCCAAAAAAAAAAGATGATAAAAAAGGTCCTAGATTGCTTTAAAAATAAAATAAATTGAATGCAAAGGCGGTAAAGAGAGAACTTACTGGTCATGTTGTTACTCGTTGGTATAGAGCCCCTGAAGTAATTTTATTAGAAAAAGATTATACTGCTGCTATAGATGTTTGGTCAGTAGGTTGTATCTTTGCAGAATTATTAAATATGATGAAAGAGAATGCACCTACATTTTTAGATAGAGCTCCACTATTTCCAGGAACAAGTTGTTTTCCTTTAAGTCCAGAAAGAAGTGCTATTGCTAAAAAAGGAGGATTTCCATATTCTAATACTGATTAATTGACCGTCATATTTTCTGTTCTTGGTACTCCAGGAGAAAAGTTATTTATATTTTAATAATATTTAGGGATATGGAATTTGTAACTGATAAGAAAGCCATAGAGTATTTAAAAAGCTTTCCTAAGAAACCTAAAGTAGCCTTTGTTGATATCTTCCCAGGTGCTCCTCCTGAAGCATTAGATTTTTTAGATAAATGTTTATAATTTAGCCCAAAGTTGAGAATAACTCTTGATCAAGCACTTGAACATCCGATGCTTTAAAAAGTTAGAGATAAAAAAAAGGAAATCGTTGCTCCAGGTATGTTTATAATTAATAATATAAAGGACCAATAATCTTGGATTTTGAATAAGAGGGAGAATTATAAATTCCTAGGTTGAGAGAATTATTCTTAAGGGAAATTTCAAAATATAAACGTTGAATTTATGTGTTGTTTAATTCATTAATTTATAAATTTTAATATCTTTGACTTTTCTTCTTTATTCTATTGATCTAGGATGGGATAATGTATAAAGTTAAAGATATTTCTCAATATTTATGGTTCAATATTAAAATGTTCAGCCCAAAATTATAAATTATACTAATTGATAATTAATTAAATTTACTAATTTAGGATCTTTATTATTTAAATGTAATATTTTAGGAAATTCAGTTAGTAAAATTCTTCCTTCTTCACTTTTATAGATTTATGTTTTATCATCAATTTATAATTTTTCAAATTATTCAGCTTTCTTTTATAATTCTTTTAATTCTTCTTCATGACCTGGAATTTAATGCATAATATCTCCCATGATTTATACTTATTTTACTAAATTTAAATCTTTATCTTTTCTATCAGAATATTGAACTGGTTAATCTCCTCCAATTTTTTCTTTGAGAGCTCTATTGGCTAATATATTATAGATTAAATGAAATACATTATTCAATTAATTCTTAGATATCTTGTTTTTTGTAATCAGCCAACACTTAATCTAATTTAGATTCGTAATTATTGTGAGGAATTAGAATTGATTAAGAGAAATCGAGAGAATTTTTAATATGAGCCTCCCATTTTTCTGTCCATACTTTTCTTAATAATTCATGAGATTCAACAAAAGGAGGCATTTATAATTTGTTTTATTCTTTCCTAATTTTAATTTTATTCAATTCTAAAAGATCATGATAATCATCATTTATTTTTTATAATTCTTTATATCCTTCATATACCTCAAGATCAATTCCACTTAAATCTTATCTTAATAACAAATTCTCAATAATAGCATCAATATCTGGAAATCCTTGTTTAAATTTCTAGGAGATATTATTTTAATATTTTACCATTTCAATCCAATCATCATATTTATTACAAAAATGAACACATTTATTATAAACAAACATCATCATTTCTCTTTATTCATTTAAAATAGTAACAATAGGATCATCTGATTCAGGTATTCTACTCTTTTCTATAATTTAAATTACACTAGTTTCTTATACATCTAAAGTAGGTCTATTTTCTTGAATTAATCTTTATTTATATTCATCCAATTCTCCTATTTCTTCTTAAAATAATTCTGGCACAACTTCATATAACTTTTCTCTTTAAATTGGTAGATTATTCATAACATGATAATGAACAGTCTCAATATTTTTCATTGTTTCAGGATTCAATACTAAACCAGAAACATGTCTATGTTAAAATTCAATATAATTAATCATGGTTAATACAGTCTTTTTCTCAATACCTCTTAAAATTACCATATTAGGTTCTAAGACTGCAATATCATTCTCTAAAATCTTTAATTCTTCTTTTTCTTTATCTATCAAAATCAATTAATTATTAATATCCTCTAATTCTTTAAGAAGAGATTATCTTCTTTCTTCATCAATTTAATGATCTTTATTTATAGAGTTGTTTTCAAGTGTAGCATTTGTTGAAACGTAATCAATCTAACTTGATTCAAATTATTTAATTAATGCGATTTCTTTTTCTAACACTCTTTTTTTCAATTTATTTTTATATTCAATCAATTGTAATCTTTATTTTCTCCTCTCTTTCTCAAACTTCTCAAATTCATTTTAAATATCAACATGTTTATACAACCTTTATTTTCCTGGTGTGGGTGCACTTCTTAAATAACTATTAAAATTTGTTTATAAGAATCTATGCCAAGTTTAATATAGTTTTTATTTAATTGACATATATAAAATAATGAAATTAATTACTGCATTATTGATAATATCAATCGTCTTCTTAATTCCTCTTTTAGACCAAACTAACTACATTTATTTTTTATATGGAACCGTGTACACAATATACATCGAGATAATCATTTTCTTTTGGATTTTACGTTTTCGAATGTTAAAAAGAATTAATAATTCTAAATTGACAATAGGATTCAAATAAATAGCTTCTATCATCAGCCATTCAACCAATTTTCAATCATATATTCCAGATGACTCTGATAAACTTAATGATTCCTCACTATCTTTAAGTGCTTATGAACCAAGTCAAGTCGAAATTATTGAATAAGGTGATTAAATTGATGATTTACCTCCTGCATAAAAAAGTCGTATATAGTAGTAAGCAGATCTTTATCTAAATTAAATCAAGAATTATTTTGGTTCTCAAAAATTACCACTCATCAAATTAGATAGAAAAGGATTACTATAAAAATATCAATGTGTAACTAACCTAACTGATTCACTTTTAACTTATTATTCAAATCTAGAAAAGAGTTTTGAACTTTAAAATTAAGCTTCACTATTAAGTAAATTAGCCAAAAAAGAGTCCTTATCTATTCTAGATCAAGTTGATTTATCAAAACAACACAAAATCTTATTTTAAGAATTGAATAATGATTAATAATTATTAATCAATTCCTTTATTTAAATTCAAGGAAGAAATATTCTAGTACCTCATTGGAATAATATTAAATAATAAGTAAAATAACTTAATTAAATATTTTAATAATAAAGATATCAAATTCTAAAAGTAACTTAACCTTAAATTTAATCAATTTAAAAAACTTATCTTGATGAATATAAAAATATAAAGAAATTAAAAAATTAAACCTAATCATAATATGATGAAGTATTTCGCAAAAATTAAAATTATGAAGGATAAAAACAACTTTTAGAAAAAGATTTAGAATCAAATAATAATCAATATAGAGAGTTAAAAAAAAATAAGTCAAATCCAGAAAAACTAATAAAAATGGAAATGTCCATCAAGTTATCAACATAATAATTATCTACAATATAGCATAAATTGCAGAGTTCAAAGTATGAACTAAAAGAATTATAAGTGGCTATTACTAAAACTAATTAATAATTAAATGAATTTAAAGATAATTGGGATAGATAATTTATTGTGATGTATTAAACAGTTATTAGATCTCTCTTACAAACACATTATGATAATTATGAATAATATTTGAAGTCCTTTAAAATTATACTTAAATTTTAGAATCCATTAATTGATACAAACTTGAATTAGAGTTAAGCCAATACTCCTACTTAATTAATATATAGATAATCACGCACTATTTCATTAGATGAAATGGACCCTCCAAGATTAATGAGGAATGAGAAAGAAGAATTATAGGATTTAATAAAAAAATTTAAATTTTATGAAGATTAAATTCACTAATTCGAAAAATATGATGGAGAATGTTTGGACTTCTTTGTTGAAATAGGAGAAGTAATAAAAAAAATAACATAAGATGATATAAAAGTACACTTAGTTTAACTAAAAGATATTTGGATAACTGATTTATTTTCTAAGAGTTTTCCAAAAGATAAAGTCTTTTATTAAAATCTTTTCGCTTAAATTAAATTAATTACTAATAATTTTGTTGAAGATAGAACTAAATTATATAAAGAATACAAGGAAACTTAAGTATCTGTTAAAGAGAGAATTAATAATATAACGTATTTATTCAATTGCATTTTGAAGGATTCCGAAAAATTTAATCCTGTAAAAGTCGATGGATTTACAGATTATCAAAGGATGAAGTAGTAATTTAAATAAAATTATAATCAATATCAATAGGAAGCAGAATAATTAAAAAAAAAACTAAGTTCATATGAAATTAAATATAAACACTATATTGATTAGCATTTTGAAATAATTTCTAAGACTAAATTGCAATTTATTTTATCGTTCGCTACTCTTTCAAAAAGCATAGCTAATCATACTATGAAAATGATTGATGAATGTAATAAATATAAAAAATATTCTTAGTTGATCAAATATATCAATAATAGGATTAAATAGTTAAAAGTCTACTGGATAACTAAAATAATATATAGTTCACTCCTAAAGATATCTAAATCAATTAAACTTAAGGATTACTCTAAAATAATACAATAACTATTCCTAAAACTAGTTCAAGATCTAATAGCTAATTAACAAAGCAACCTAATGATACAGTTAATTCATTGAAAGAGACATTTGTACTAAAATAATTAATAAGAGTATTATTTTTGTAATGGACTAAATCAATCTATTTTAGATAGAAATTCATGACTGAATTATACAGATCTTTAAATAAGAAACGACCTTCTTAATTAGATGAGATTTATGTAACTTTTATTGATATAGGAGGAGAACCACCAGAGGTATTACAATTTATTCCATAAAAAAATACTGACTCTTGTATATTTGATTTAGAATTGTCATTTAGAGGTTTTTTTTATATGGAATTGGAAACCTTTGTTACTATCAGTTGGGCTAAAAAGCATTTACCTGTTAATATTAAAGTTAAAATAACATCTTTAAATGGGCGATTAAGGCTTTGTTATACACCAAATTTTATTGGTCGAAGTTGGGTTTCATTTGTAGGAGAACCTTCTATGAATATTAGCATTGAACCTACAATTTCTAAATTTAATATTTCTGTTGCAAATGACATTATAAAAGAATTTCTTATCTATAAAATCAAGATGTTGACCTATCCAAATAGAGAAACAATCACTGTACCTTTAGCTGAATTTGAAACTGAAATACCACAAAGTGCTCTTGATAAAATCAAATAGTTTGTTGATAAAATGAAAAGTTGAATAATTGAATCATACTAGATGTTATTAAATAAATATATATATATCAGTATTTTTTATTACTCAATCCTGCTTCTTTTATTACTTATTCTTAGTTTCTAGCATTTAATTATAATTATTCAAATGACATTTATGAAATTTGATCTTCATTTTATTTCATTGCTGAACTTCCTCGAACTTATTTTCTAGGAGTTACTCCATTACTTTTGGTCTCTATATTTTGTTTTGAACCTTGTTATGAGTAATAACTTTCCAAACATTCTATCTTCTTTTACAATTCTTACATTTTACGTACATCTACTTAAATAATAGATTCATAGATTGCTAATTCAGAATTTAATTTTTATAGCTTTGTAATTTAATCTTTTAAATCTTTTATTTCCTACTCTAAATTCTCTTTTTAACAATTTATTTCTGACTCCTTATTCTCTTTTTCCTTTTACAACTCAATATTCACTCTCTCTGCTTATTTTAACTATTCTTATAATTCTTTTACTATTTTCCCTTATTTTTAAAACATCGCATCCTTTTTCTTAAACTCTTCTATTTATTTATCTAATTTCTCAATATGCTAATCTTTAGAAAGATCATTTTATTCCCATTCTAATAACTATTCATTCGTCTCTTTTAGTTATTTTGTTAATTCTATTTCTTTCTTATCAGAATCTTATTATTATTTTTTGAATTTCTCAGTTTATAAATCTAATTATTATTATAACTTCTTAACCTGTTCTTCTAAATTCTTTTAATTCTAGCTTAATTGTAAAGCAAGTTGTAATTCTTAATTTTATTAGTTAAGTTCATTTTGAAGTTTCTCTATTTCTTCTTTTTTTGTTTTTGTTTCTCTTTCAATTTGTTGTTAAAATTTTTTTATTTATTCCTCTTATTTCTTTTGATTGTTTATCTAATTTTATAAATTTTTTAACTCTTCTTATTTCTAATTAAGTGCGGTCTTATATTTTTCAACCTCATCTTTTAAGGTTTTATTTTAAATTAAATCCTTTGAAATTTACTCATTTTTTTTGTTTAATTCTCTTAATTAATCTTATTACTTTTTCAAATTCTCTTCTTTAATTTTCATTAATTACTCTTAATTAATAATGGTATCTTATAGTTTTTTGAATTCTTATTATTGAGTTTCATTTTGTTTTTTTTACTACATTGCTATTTGTTTCTATTATTATAATTCTTTATTTTCTTCCTAAACTTTCTTTAGACCCTATTCTTTAACTTTTAATTAATTTTCAAGAGTTATTATTTATTATTTGCAACTTTTTAATTCTGTTAATTAACTATCTTTCGTTTCTAGAAGTTCCTAAAAACATTCTATTTCTTATTTATTAACTAAGTTTTTTTATTTTTATTCTTCTATTATTTGAATTTAATTGTTAAATTAATCATTTTTTTAAATTAATTCAATTTTTTAATCTAATATTTATTTTATTAAATCCTGTTTATTCTAAGATTCTAATTGAATTGCAAAATTTTTTAATTCATTCATATGATATTAATTTAAATCACTTAATGTAGTTCCATCTTCACTTTGTGGTATTTGTTCAATTTTCTTTTATATCTCTTATCTATGAGATTCTAATTCTTATTATTCTTTTTTTTCTAATTCAGCTTATCGAGATTCAAGATGTTAAATCTTATCAGAAAAAAAATTAATTTTTTAAAGTAATTATTCATTTTCTTATTTTTATGATTAGATTTATTTAAGTAAACCCTAAATTTATTATTCTTTTTCAATTAATTTATCATTGAATTCAGCTTCTTATTTTCTCATATTCGTTTACAATTCTGCATTTGATAAAATCTATTTTTAACTTGAAATAATTATTTCTTGATCTTTTCCTTTCAACTATGTCTCTAATATTATAACTTACTATTCTAATTTAGTTTATTAATTTATCAATTCATCTACTTATTCTTTAAGTACTAAATTTTCAGATTAAATATTTAAAGTTTTATCTAAGGGTCTTGTTGAAATTAAACTTTATAATTTTTTGATTTCATACTCTTATTTACTTAATAAATCATTTTATTCATCAATTTATTAATAATTTCTCTAATTTTCAAGTTCTCTTTCTGTAATTAATTCTTTTTATTTATTAATTGCATCTTTTAACTGATCTTATAGTTTGTTAATTTAAAATTCTTTTATTTTCAACTATTATTCATTTTTTTAAATAATTTCAGCTTAAACTTCTGCATCAATCATATTTTACTCTAATTCTAATTTTAACTAAATTATTTAATTCTCTAAATCATATATTTTATTTTAATTTTATCCTTTCTCTCTAAGACTTTTATTTTCTATATCTTTTGTTTTGAGTTACTATTAAAGCAATACAATTTTCGCTTTTAAATCTTCCTCTTTTTAATCCTTCAATTATAAATTTTATTATATTTCTTTTTTTTCTTCAATAACAGATTATAAATTATTTTGCAATTTATTCTTCTCTTTAATTTAATCCTATAATTTTTTAATTTCTAAATCTTTTTATTTCATCTAATTTTATAGTTAAGTAACTTATTATTCATAAGCAATAAGATCTTCATTTCTTTGATTTTCAATGGCATTTAATTTATCTTCATAAATTTACAAATCATCTTATTATTTAATGATACTTCTTTTATGTTCAGATTCCTTTTTTCTAATATTTCTATGATGAGATTTGATTTCATTATCTTGTTAATCAATTAATTACTATTTTTCTTAATTTGAATATTCTAAATCTTTGATTAAATTCGATAGTTTTTCATTTTCATTTTCTGCAATTTATTTTTTGTAAAGAAGTTCATTGTATTATTTTTCTTTGATTTACATTTCTTATTATAATTTTTCATATAGAAATAGATAGGAATCTTAGTCAGAAATTTAGGAACCAGAATTTTTTTATTCATTAAATCCTTTCCCTGATGAAATATATTTACCAGTTTAAAAATCAAAATTTGATCTTCTCTTTACAGTTGTTTCTATATCATCACTAATATCTAAAACATTTTATTCTATTTTAATATATTATTGTTTATTTTAAAGCATATTTTATTTTTGTAATATTTCATTTCTAGATGAATTTAGACTATAATTTTTCTTTAATTATTCAATAATAATATTTTTTTCTTCAAGTTCTTAATATAATTTATTGATTATTTTTTTTTATTCTTCTAATTATAATGATTGAGTAATCTTTTGAACTTATAATTATTCCATTTAAATTAAAAATTATTTATTATGATTGTTTGAAAATTTATCATCCTATTGATTCATTATTATACTCATTTATTCAATTTTCTATTGTAAATCTTCAATTATTGATTCGTACTATAATACCTAATGATTATTATCTTAACTTTTTAGTGATCCTCTTTAAGTTTCAATTAATCTTTTAGTAACTAAATCTAATTCATTTATTAATTATTAATTTTAATCTTCTAAACCTTTAATTTTATCAATCTAATAAGTTAATTTTTAATATTGTTACATAATCTTTTTAAGTAATTTCTAACTGCAAATCTTCTTCAAAATGCTGCTGATAATTTTGTAATTCTCTATCTTTTTAAACAATAATATCTTTGAGTTTTAAGAGTTCTCTTTCCATATCATTATAATTTTTTTAATGATGTGAGGAACATTTCTAGTTTTTACATCGTTTGATTTATTCACATAATTATATATTGATTTCAGATAATTCTTGATTATTATTATAAAGAATATCAATATTTTCTTTTAGTTAATCATTTTCTTAAATTTTCTCTTTTAACAGTAAAGTCTAAATGAAATCTTAGTAATAAAAAGTACCAATTTTTCATTTGCATTTATAACTGCATTAAGCCTTAATTCCATATCATCAATAGTATTGGATGATTTGGATGGAGAATGTGTGCAATCATATTATCGGTACATATATATATTTATTATTATTTATTATAAACAACTCTAATAAAACAAAAAAACATTGCAAAAAATTCATATTTTATAATCACAATAGTTTTTCAAGAGTTTAACAAAGTTATGTGAATTAAAGTTCTTCTTCTCTGTCTTCTTAATCAAATAAAGTCTACTTAAATTCTATTTCATTCTTTTTCAATAGTGATTAAGTATGTGCTTTTGACATCTTAGTACTTCCACTTGTATCATCATGTTAACTAAAATAATTGCCATTAGCTTTTTAAATCTTTTCTCTATTCATTTGTTAATTAGTGTTAGAAATACGGAATTTTGTCTAAATAGTGTTGATATTAGTAACATACTTATGGAGTAATTGAATTTATACTTGGTTAACTCTTTTCCCTAGTAATCTATCTAGATATCAATGGTCTAGGCATCGATTTTCTTGAAATGTTAAATTGAGATTGTGTATTCAGAAAGTTCATTATGTTTATTTTAAAATTAATTTCATATTTTACTATAAAAATGGATAGCAACTAAATTCTATAAAGAATTTCTAAACATAACATTTATTATAAAGAATTTTACTTTTAGAATAATTATCTATAATTTAATTCTCAAACAAATTTCTATATGAATTAGGTAATCTCTGGATCATGGCCTTACAATAATAAAATGCATTCATCAATAATTGCAATTTATTAATTTCTATAATCACTTAAACCATTGTGACTATTCTAAGCATCATTACAAGATTATTGCCAATCAGAATTCTCTTTAGTTTTTAGATTTACTAAATCCTAATATATAGCTATATTATTATTTAATTCTAATAATTATTACTATGATTATTGAACATCTGCCCTTAATTCAGCAATTTTTGTATTTAATCTAGTATTAGCAAATTCAAAACGTATTCTTATTTATTAAATGTAATTTACTTAGTCTTTATAAAATCTGCTTCTCTTTAATCATCAGCTATCATTTCTAATTTTTAAACTTAATAAATTTCTTCTATTAAATCTTCAATTATTTTAATGACTTTCTCCTGACTTGCTCCTTATTAAATTAAGGAAAGTGTTTAATGTATCAAAGTATAAAACATAGATGATTATTAAATTTACTTTACTAATTTATTAATTCTAAAAAATTACATATATTTTCTTTATGGTTTTTTAATTAAATTAAAGCTGTTGGATCTGTTTTAATTTAAGAAATTATTATTTTAGCATCACTTAAAGCTCCAACCATAGATGTCAATTCATCTCTTTTACTTTCAAATTATTATCTTGATTCTTATCTTTATTAAATTAACTTATTAATTCTATCATTATTTCTCTATTCTTCACCTTCTTTATCTTCAGCTTAATGTCTTTTATCTAATAATTTTTATTCAAGTGGGCTAACCTATTCTTAAGCTTATGCCAATTTAGTTTATGAATCTGAAATTGTTTATGAATTTTAGGAAATATGACTCTCACAAGTTTACAATCTTTCATTCAAAAGTCCAGAATCTTCATCTTAATCATTTTAGATTCCTTTTTTTAATTCTTATAATAAATCTATTGTCTTTCCAAATGAAGCTGGTTCCTCATTCAAAGTTAATTATATTGCTTAAAGTACTGTTTTTCCATATTCATTTTATGATATTTAATATATTGATCTAGTGCCTATAACACTACTTATCAGAAATATCAACAATAATGATGTTGTTCTCATTAAAAACGAATATTAATATTTATTATATTCAATATTATAATCAATATTAATTGAATATCAATAAATTAATATAGCACAAAAACTATTATAGGAATTCCCAGATAACAATCCAATAGTATTTACAAATTAAAATAAATAAAAAATCACCAGAGATAAGCCTTTTAATAAATTATTATATTCAAGTAATATCAATAAGACTTTGAGGAAGCAAGTAATAAATTTAATATATCTCTATTTTATGAAATCATAATCCTAAAATTGGTCAAGAAAAGGGAGTTAATGATTTAGACTGTTAATGCAAAAAATAAACCATCTCATGATTTAAGATTATTTCCTAATAACATAAATATTAGATAATAAATGAACAATTATTAAAATTAATTTTCATTATTAATAATTTGCCATCTCTGGTGCAGAAGAACGTTTTTAATGAGAAAAATGTAAAAAGTTTCTTTATTAATTTTAAAATTAAGGAATTTAACATACGTTCTGATAAACACAAATCGGTTTCCTAGGTTATTAATTTTAGCTATTTATAAAAGTACGTTAGTTTTAAATATTATTTTATTTATTTAGATTTTAAGGAAAAAACTAAGGATTTTACAAATTATGGCCGTTGTTGAATGACTAATTAACTTAAGTTGGAGGTTTCAATTTCAACTTTTACTCTTTGAAAAAGGTATTGTCAATATTGACTTTTGGTTTTTTATCAACACTAATAGATTTTACTTCGTTAACTAAATTCTTTATTTCTTAGATCTTAATTCTATATTGGGGATTTCTATTTAGCATTTACTTAAGCAATTATTTGTATTTAAAATCAAGATCAATTAAACTATCTATTTTTTCATTTATATTGAGATTCATAATTTTATCATAAATTTCAATGGCAGTATTACCTTAAAAAATAAAATAAAAAAATACCATTAAAAAGTGGAGTTCTTGTAAATAATTCATACATGACAGATCCAAATGCCCAAATATCGATACTTTCTGAATACAATTCCTATTAATTATTTTAGATTTATTCTGGAGCTAAGTAATAAGGAGTTCCAACTTGTTTAGTTACCAATTTATCAAACTCTTTGGTCGTTCCAAAATCACAAATTTTATATATTTCTTGAATTCTACCTTGATCTTCTAATTCAAAAATAAGTATGTTTTCTGGTTTGATGTCTCTATGAGCTAAACCTAATTTATGAAGTTCTTCTATGCCATTTATTATTTCTTTCATAACATATCTAGCATCTTTTGGTTTGAGAGGATTTTTTAGTATATAATCATAAAGTGAAACACGACAATACTCCATCACTATAATTATACGAATCTTTTAAGTTTACTATTCGTACTATTCTTCATAATCGAAAATATTNTTCAAGTAATATCAATAAGACTTTGAGGAAGCAAGTAATAAATTTAATATATCTCTATTTTATGAAATCATAATCCTAAAATTGGTCAAGAAAAGGGAGTTAATGATTTAGACTGTTAATGCAAAAAATAAACCATCTCATGATTTAAGATTATTTCCTAATAACATAAATATTAGATAATAAATGAACAATTATTAAAATTAATTTTCATTATTAATAATTTGCCATCTCTGGTGCAGAAGAACGTTTTTAATGAGAAAAATGTAAAAAGTTTCTTTATTAATTTTAAAATTAAGGAATTTAACATACGTTCTGATAAACACAAATCGGTTTCCTAGGTTATTAATTTTAGCTATTTATAAAAGTACGTTAGTTTTAAATATTATTTTATTTATTTAGATTTTAAGGAAAAAACTAAGGATTTTACAAATTATGGCCGTTGTTGAATGACTAATTAACTTAAGTTGGAGGTTTCAATTTCAACTTTTACTCTTTGAAAAAGGTATTGTCAATATTGACTTTTGGTTTTTTATCAACACTAATAGATTTTACTTCGTTAACTAAATTCTTTATTTCTTAGATCTTAATTCTATATTGGGGATTTCTATTTAGCATTTACTTAAGCAATTATTTGTATTTAAAATCAAGATCAATTAAACTATCTATTTTTTCATTTATATTGAGATTCATAATTTTATCATAAATTTCAATGGCAGTATTACCTTAAAAAATAAAATAAAAAAATACCATTAAAAAGTGGAGTTCTTGTAAATAATTCATACATGACAGATCCAAATGCCCAAATATCGATACTTTCTGAATACAATTCCTATTAATTATTTTAGATTTATTCTGGAGCTAAGTAATAAGGAGTTCCAACTTGTTTAGTTACCAATTTATCAAACTCTTTGGTCGTTCCAAAATCACAAATTTTATATATTTCTTGAATTCTACCTTGATCTTCTAATTCAAAAATAAGTATGTTTTCTGGTTTGATGTCTCTATGAGCTAAACCTAATTTATGAAGTTCTTCTATGCCATTTATTATTTCTTTCATAACATATCTAGCATCTTTTGGTTTGAGAGGATTTTTTAGTATATAATCATAAAGTGAAACACGACAATACTCCATCACTATAATTATACGAATCTTTTAAGTTTACTATTCGTACTATTCTTCATAATCGAAAATATTCACAAGATTTTTAAATTTATTTTTCAGAAATACATTAACTAATTATTTCTCCGATTCCGTGATTCTATTTTAAACTTTTATAGCAACTGTTTGATTATTTTGAAATTGTTAAGCTTTATAGACTTTACCAAATGAACCTTCTCCGATACGGGCTAATATCTTATAATCTTTAGAATTAATCTTTAGAATGGAAGGATCTTACATTCTACCAATATTTTAATATTTTTATAATATAAATATATGAGGATTATTGTATTTAAAGATTCTTTTTTCTAAATATCAATTTAGAATAACAACTCTATTTAAACAAGTGTTTTGAATGAATAAAATATTCATCAACACTGAATTTTGGATTTTTACCCTAAATTAATATGAAGATTATGAAAAATTTGTTTTTGTGTTATATTTTGACTAGAAAAGAAGAATTGCAGAAATATAAAGAAAATAATTCCAATAAACCAGATAAATCCAAATGATGATTATTTTATAAACATTAATAATTTAGATGCATAAAATACTTTTTTTAATAGACTCTTTTTGATGCAAATTTATTTAAATATCCTTGAATTAGCTGTATTAACATGCAATTCTTTCAGTTGGATCCAAAGATAACCAAAAAGATTCAGTAAAATACAAGTAAATTATTAACTAATGTTATATCAAAAATAAAACAAAAAATATGAATAACAAATAAAAGTGGTTCAAATATCATTAATTTATTGATCCTTCTTTAATTCTAAACTCATTTATTTAATATTTTTCATTTCATTTCATTTCTTATATATTTATTTTTAAGAAGTATTATTAATCAGTTAGATAATTTATTTCAAAAAATTAAAATGAGAAAGAAAATTGAGAAAACAAAAAAAAGTACTTCTAAATTAAATATTAGAACCCTGGACTGATTATGAGGATTCTTAAGTTATTTAGTTAGTTGAATTGTATGGTCCTCATAAATGGACTTTTATTGCTTCTAAATTACCAGGAAGAATTGGAAAATAATGCAGAGAACGGTAATTATCTTATTGAAATAATGAAAGATGGCATAATCATTTGAATCCATTAATAAAGAAAACACCTTGGGATTTTGAGGAAGAATGGATTCTATTTCTTTATCATAAAGCAATAAGTAATAAATGGGCAGAAATTGCTAAACATTTAGAAGGCAGAACAGATAATGCTATTAAAAATCATTGGAATTCAGGTATGAAAAAAAGAATCCCAGAATTCAATGAAAAACTATAGAATATTAAATAATAGTACATATTAAAAGGGTTGTATCTTATAATCTTATGAAGGAAGGCCTTCTTATTTTGATTAGTTTCCCATTGAATTTGAAAAAAAAGCCCTTGAAATCATATTTTTAAATAAAACTTATGTTAGTTTATTAACAGATTCAGAAGAAGAAATTGAAGAACCTAAAAATTAAACTACATTTTAAAGCAGAGAAAGTACTGCTTTAAGAAAACAAAAACATGTAATTTCATTTATTTATCAAAGAATGATTCAAAAATAAGAACAATATTGAAGCATCCAAGAAGAAATCGAATGCATAAAAAATATCTTATTTTCAAAAAGTAATAAAAAGAAAATGTTAATTCAAGTAAATAATAACATCTTCTTTAATTAACATAAACTCCATAAAAATACGAAGAGTAATCAAAATTTTGATAATTTTATTAGTGATGATTATTATTATACACCTGCTGCTTTCAATAAATAAAGAAGATTGAGTCATAGTAGTTTTAAATATAGTTAACATTAAAGCTATGTATTTAAACATTTAAATAGTGTAGTTGAATGAATCGTTTATGGAAAGAGAGGAGCTCAAATAGAATTTATTCCTTTGAACAAATTTTATGTGAGACATCAATTTTTTCATTTCTTTATTTGGGAGAAATAAAGAAATTATAAAATAATTATGTTAAAAAAAGTAATAAGGTTTCTTTACTCTTAAAAAATTGATTTACATTCTGATATTCTAAGTTTAAAAGAAATATAGTCTGCCATTAAATCTGTGGTAGAAACTCATGAAGAAAAGTTCATTTAATAAATTAAAGTAGGATAATATAATCCTTAATTGTGGTTGAAAATTAAAAGACATTATATTGAACCAAATGATGCAATTAGAATAATAAAAATTTTAGGAGAATAAGAGTAATCTTAAAAAAATGAATTACTAAATAAAACACAAACAACTTAAGAATTAATAAAGAATGACATTTATAATTATTTTATCAAATATTTTTCAAAGAAGTATGAAAAGTTGTCATTTACATAAATTGCAATAATATTAGAATAATATGCATATGTAAAAAGATTTGATTAAGAATTTTTTCGAATAATGGAAAATGAAATATATGACAGATTATCAGATAAAAATGAAATAATAAAATATTAAGATGTAGAAAAAATATTATGGGCATATTAGTATTGTCATTATGGTTCAGCTATACTTTATGGTTAATTAGCATAAATAATTAAGATTGCTTAACATGAAATAAATCCTATGAAACTTGCTTATTATTCATATTTATATTCTAAATGTCCAGATAATCAAAGAGGAGGATTTGGAATATACGCTGTTACAGAAAAGTAAGTTTAATAAAGAATAAGAGATTATAATTTTTCAGATTTCATTAAATTAGCATAATACATATTTGTTCCAAATATTTGTTCGAATGCATTTTAATTAGTAATTGAAGAACAGTTAGCTTTGTAATTTCCATCGAATAAAAATCTATTGCCTCATGACTTAGTAAAATTATGTAAGGCAACTATGAATTATTATTTTAAGTATAATGATAAGTCTCTTTAACATAAAATAGAGGTATTATTTATATATTATTAAAGGGAGCTTGTATTGAATTAATTGATAAAGTTAATGATAAATAGTTTTGTATTATTTTCTGGAGTTATTTAAAATCAAGAAAAGGAAATGCTGAATTGTATAAAAAGTTTTCAGAATAATTAATTCTTAGATAAAATTTGTTATCTTTAAGATAGTTGACTCTTTTATATTTAAATGCCTCAAACAATTCTGAAACTTTTGATTTAACTAAATAATTAAATTAAATTATAATTAAGAAAATTAATGAATAGTAATAATAATAGATAAAACCAACATATTTAGCATATATTACAATTGCATCAATGTAATCAAAACTTGAAATTCCTATCAAATTAACATAAGATCATTTAAAAATGATTTCAACTCCTCTAAAAGTAGCAATTTTATAAACACTTTAAATGTCATTACCTCATTTAGAATAAATTAAATTATCTATCCTTCTTATATAAAATCTTTAGGAAATTGAATTACCATATGAAGATTAAGTCATTTTACATTATTGTAAAAAATACTTTTATAAATTTTGTACATAATCTTAAATTAATATAAAGTAAACAATTCATAAATCATTGTTTCATTAAGCATTTTATCTTGATCCATAAAATGAACATCTTCACAATCAATTAATAGTTTTAAATTAATAATATAAAGATGAAATGAGATTCTTTTTTAAATAAGATAATTGGGTTGTTATATCTTGGTGTTTATTACAAGAACATTTATTAAATAAAGAAAGAACAATAAGAAAAGAACTAATACAAGAAGCAAGTTATGGTATCAAAGAATTAGATATTAATACAATATTTCATATTGAAAAATATGTATAAAGTTTATGGATGGTTATTTTAATTGAAAAACTTAGTATTGAGGTGGGGATATAAAAAGTTTCAGAATTCATTAAAGTTTCTCATTATGCTTAGACAAGTGTGCTATTGAACAATTTTACAGATACTTAATTGTTAGAATTAAAAGATGTACTGAAATTATCTTTGGAATAATAATGCTAAGAAATTGACTTAAAGTAAGAATTTAACTAATCTTATATCAATATGTTTGATTAAAGTATTGGAATGATGTTACATGTAACTCATTTAATTAAAACTAAAACTTAAGATCTTAAATTTGGGTTGATAGTTCTTGACTCAAGTGATTTTGAAATTAAATTGGATTAGGAAATTTAAATTAAAATAGGAGAACAAGACTTTAATTTACTTAAAAATTTGAGAAAGGAAAGATAAATATAAAAACTAATCTATGAATAACTCTTCGACTGGAATTTAGAATATATTTATATTGATGAATTCTAAAAATACACCAAAGAAAAATAGGTAGAATATTTTAAAAATGTTTTTGCTTTGAATCCTCTTGATGAGACAGATGTAGAAAAAAGACAAGAAAAAAGAGCAAAGAAGGGATTAAATTTTTAGGATAGATTAAATTCATTAAAATAATAAAAAAATAAAAATAGATATTTATAGGCAGAAACTAATGATTTAATAGAAAATGATCTTAATTTTGAATAGTGAATAAATAATAAATATTTTTTATATAATTCAGTTTATCAAATTTAAAATAAATAGACTTAATTATTTTATGTTTCAAAGATATGATCATCTTTTTTTTGAAAGTTTAGGAAGAAATTATTATAAAATTGTAAAAAAACCCTTCAAAAATATTGTAAACATAATATCATAAAATTATTAAGATTAAAAGAAATAAATAATAAACCAATTTTAAACTAAAGAGCAAAAGATATTTTTGATAAATTAATAAATTAACTAAGTTGCTTAGGAAATATAAAAAATTAATTGAACTGAGAATAAAAAACAAAATAAATAATTTTTTAAAACTCCTAAGCTCCTTCTAAAAATATTTAGTTAGACTTAAGAAGCAGAAGCCAAATTCATACTTTAAATAAAATAATTCTTGACAAGTTTAACCAAATAACATTAATTTAAAAACATATGATACATACAAATAATCTAAAATTAGAGTCACCATAACTAACAACAATCAAATTCGTTTATAATATAAAATAATTTATAAATTCTTATTACTATAACTTATCTTTTATTAACAAAAGATCCTCAAAAATTTCTTATACATACAAATTACTTATTTAAGAGCAATATTTAAAAATACTCTTTTAAAGTTTGAAAATAAATTTAGATAAAAATTTCCACTAAATTACACAATTAAAAATAAATTAATATTAATTATAAAAAATTAATGAATCATTATTTTTAATTAATCATTTGTTAATAAAAATAATCTAATAATACAAGTGATTTAAGATTTTAGATTAAAGAGTTCAAAAATTACTATTAAAAAATAAATGTATTAAATTCTTTCAATAAATTTCTTAAATGGAAAGGAACTAAATAGTTTTATTTTATAATGCTTAAGATATTTCATCTCTATTTTTCTTTTAAGACCACATCTAAACTAATTGAGTTGCAAATTTTCTATCTTTAATTTTGCTTAATATTTTAGTTTACTTTCTTACTTCTTCAGGGGTTAGTTAAACATGGTGTTAGTTTTAAGATGTTTCAGTATTAGTATTTATAAATTAATTAAGTTATTTAGGCTATAAATTTTAATTTAAAGGCTTTTGACAAATATTATTCTAAAAACTATGTTTCTAATCATTTTAAAAAAAGTCTTATAATTATGAGAAACAATTTGATTATTATTCATTCTGATTGTTTGAACAAAAATTTTAATTTTGTAAAGTAAAATTTTATTCGTATTGATTAAGTTTTTATTATATTGTTAAAAATCCTTATTATGATTGATTAAGTAATTCATTTTTAACATTTTAATATTATTATTCCTATTAATTAAGGTTTTATAAATTGTTTTTCTGATCATTTTAATTTAAATTAAATTATTATTGATTAGGTTATCCAACTTTAATATTCGATATAGTTTAGTTAAACTAAGGCTATTAATTCATATTTTATTATATTGTTAAAAATCCTTATTATGATTGATTAAGTAATTCATTTTTAACATTTTAATATTATTATTCCTATTAATTAAGGTTTTATAAATTGTTTTTCTGATCATTTTAATTTAAATTAAATTATTATTGATTAGGTTATCCAACTTTAATATTCGATATAGTTTAGTTAAACTAAGGCTATTAATTCATATTTTATTATATTGTTAAAAATCCTTATTATGATTGATTAAGTAATTCATTTTTAACATTTTAATATTATTATTCCTATTAATTAAGGTTTTATAAATTGTTTTTCTGATCATTTTAATTTAAATTAAATTATTATTGATTAGGTTATCCAACTTTAATATTCGATATAGTTTAGTTAAACTAAGGCTATTAATTCATATTTTATTATATTGTTAAAAATCCTTATTATGATTGATTAAGTAATTCATTTTTAACATTTTAATATTATTATTCCTATTAATTAAGGTTTTATAAATTGTTTTTCTGATCATTTTAATTTAAATTAAATTATTATTGATTAGGTTATCCAACTTTAATATTCGATATAGTTTAGTTAAACTAAGGCTATTAATTCATATTTTATTATATTGTTAAAAATCCTTATTATGATTGATTAAGTAATTCATTTTTAACATTTTAATATTATTATTCCTATTAATTAAGGTTTTATAAATTGTTTTTCTGATCATTTTAATTTAAATTAAATTATTATTGATTAGGTTATCCAACTTTAATATTCGATATAGTTTAGTTAAACTAAGGCTATTAATTCATATTTTATTATATTGTTAAAAATCCTTATTATGATTGATTAAGTAATTCATTTTTAACATTTTAATATTATTATTCCTATTAATTAAGGTTTTATAAATTGTTTTTCTGATCATTTTAATTTAAATTAAATTATTATTGATTAGGTTATCCAACTTTAATATTCGATATAGTTTAGTTAAACTAAGGCTATTAATTCATATTTTATTATATTGTTAAAAATCCTTATTATGATTGATTAAGTAATTCATTTTTAACATTTTAATATTATTATTCCTATTAATTAAGGTTTTATAAATTGTTTTTCTGATCATTTTAATTTAAATTAAATTATTATTGATTAGGTTATCCAACTTTAATATTCGATATAGTTTAGTTAAACTAAGGCTATTAATTCATATTTTATTATATTGTTAAAAATCCTTATTATGATTGATTAAGTAATTCATTTTTAACATTTTAATATTATTATTCCTATTAATTAAGGTTTTATAAATTGTTTTTCTGATCATTTTAATTTAAATTAAATTATTATTGATTAGGTTATCCAACTTTAATATTCGATATAGCTTAGTTAAACTAATTTTAACTTTCTTAGGATTTATGATTCTCAATATTATTTGACTTCTCACCTGATTTTTCGATTAATTCAATTTAATTAGAGGTTACTGCATTTCCATAATTTACAATTATGTCCATCTTTTTATCTAAATTTAAATTAATATTTTACAATTACCTTTAATATCTTTAATTTTTAATTTACTTTATTAAATCTTATTATTATTTTGATAAAAAATTTTTTATTTTTCATTAAATATCTAGCTATCTAAACACGTGAGTATTTGTTCTATTTTTGGCCTTTTTTATGGCATAATGTCTAAACATTGCTCACAAATTTATTTTATTTGCTACTCATAGATATTTTTACTTAATTTCTCCTTAATTTTTGGGTCTATAATCTAATCAAAAATGACCATTAAAGTTTTTCCATAAAATAATTATTGCTCTTAAAAAAAATCGTAGATTATAACACCAAGTGCCCAAATATCAACTGATTTATCATAATTTTAATTGTCAGTTTATTTGATTAATTCTGGAGCCATGTAAAAAGGCGTACCAATATTTAGTGTATGCTAAACATTGGTTTTGGATACTTTCGAAAGGCCTAAATCACAGATTTTTAGTTATAATTCATCATCTTTGATATGAATCATAATATTTTATGGTTTAAGATCTCTATGAATTATATTAAATTGTTAAAGTTCCCAAATACCAAAAGCAATCTTAATATAAATAGAATTTACTTAGAAAATCATGTTTTTTATACGCGATATATCTAAATTTTTTCTTTATACTTTTAAAAATTATGCAAGATCACCATAATTACAATAATCCATAGTAATACATTAATATTCAATAAAACCTTGTTTTTCCTTGAATTTATCATAAGTTCGGACGATATGATGAGGTTCGCATTGGCTTAATAATCTTTAGAATATTTAGAATAAATATACTCCATTATTTCAAATTCATATTCAGAAATTTCTTCTCTTTATAGTTTTAAAGCATATTCATTTTAATTTTAGTTTGAAACTACGAGGAATACAACTCCATGAGCTCCAGATCCTAACTATTTCTTGATTGTGTAATTTCCAATTATTTATGTATACATTTCTATTAAAATAAATTATATAAATTTAAACAGTTCGATAATATTTTATTAAATAAATACTTAGACAATTTATATATTTTTTTAAGCAATCATTTTTTTAATTGCCCACATGGAGTGTTTAAAATTTTATATATACCAGTGTTTATTCTTTAATATAATATGCAAATCAAACTTTGGTATTATTTCAAATAATTGATTATTTTATATCACTAAATAGCTCTACAAAAAGTAAACCAAGACTTAAAATTCTTAACATCTTTTTTCAATTAATCTAAAAATAATATTTAGATATTAGTTATGGATTAGGACTAACCAACTGAAAGATAAATAATTTGTATATGAATTTTGAAGTTATTAATTGTTAAAATTTGAATTCAATTTTTTAATGTATCAGAATCGCAGTAATGTAGGATAATCAATATTCTAAAATGACATACCAACATAAAACGTTAACCCTAATGATGTGATGATGCAAAATATGATGAAAATGTTTTAAACTTAAATGATTTCAATGATGCAAAGTCATTCATCTGGTAAAGAGAATGTATTTATCATAGGATTCGATTTAGAGAAATTTTATATGCATAAAGTGAATGATATGAATTAATTTTATAATTAAGTGAAACCTGAAGAATGCTAATTGTAACAAACCTCCTAATTTATTAATGCTTATAATCCAAATAAATATTATGAAGTATTTAAATATAATATAATTAGGAAATTTATTCAAATACAAATAGACAACTCAATTTTGATGATATTCCAGTCTCAAATGATTACAATTTATAAAAGAATGAATATTTTAATTAATATCAGAATAAATAAGTCTAAAAGACTAATGGATCATAAAAATAGTTTAAAAGAGATAGTTACTCTTAATTTGAAGAGGATTCAAATTCATTCAAACAATCATATCATCATTTTGATAGTGAAGAAAATAATAGACATTAATCAAGGTAGCTTTCGAATTCGAACTTTAATTAGAACTAATCTAATTATTAGGATAAGATGAATAGTTAATATTCAAATTTAAGAAACCAAAATGATGAAAATAATTATTAGAAAAATCTAAATAGAATAAATAATAATAATGAAGAAATTAGGTATCGAAAAAACTCTAATCCTTATGATGAAATGCCTATCAAACCAATTCAATAAAATCAATTTGAGGAAATATAAATCAGGAATAAATAATTAGATGACATATCTAACAAAATAAAAATTGAAAATAATCGAAAATAATCGGATATTCAACTAGAGCCATAAAACTAAAACTGTTAGTGGTAAGAATAACCTACTAAAAAATTGCAAAATTAAATTTAATTTGATGAAATTCCTATTAAACCGGCAAAATAAAATCTTTTTGATGAAATTCCCATTAAGCCGGCTAAATAAAATCTTTTTGATGAAATCCCTGTTAAATCTTCTAAGTAAAATAGTTTTGATGAAATACCTATTAAACCAGCAAAATAAAATGCTTTTGATGAAATGCCAATAAGATCTGCTTAAAATTATTCATTTGATGAAATTCCAATCAAATCTAATTAATAGAATTCTTTTGATGAATAAAAAATTAGGCACACTAAATAAAAAAATCAATAAGAAGATAGAAGTAAGCAAAATTTAAGTATTAAACAATCTAACAATATTGCTGAAGATGACTAAACAAAATCTTTTTAGAATTAAAATCCCGAAGATACATTTATAAAAACAACAAAGAATTAAAATTATGATCTTGTACAAGAAAGAAACCCTATATAAAAACAACAAGTTGATAATTATGAACAAAATGATGAAGCATAAATCAGGAAAAAACCATTTTTAAAAAAAGGAACAAGATAATTTCTATCAAATGCTTAACAAAGATCAGACATAGCCAAAAAAGAACATGCTGAAATTATGAAAGAAAATAATGCAATTGTAAATAAAATGCCACAAAACTAAAATTTATAAGGAAAAGCGTTTAAACCTTAGAATTCTTAAAAGTTTGAAAAATAAGAGTAAAGAGAAGTTCAAAACAAGACTAAAAGATCCGAAACACCAAAAGAAGTGCCAAAACCAAAGCCTTAAATTTAATAATAAAAGATTTAGAAATAAAAAGAATCGTAAAAATAAACAGAAATATAAAATTCACTTCGTCCTTCCAACAATGATTATTAATTTGATAACTATGAAGATTAAACTTCTTAAAATTTGAAAACTTCTTCTTCTTATTTTGGTTTAAAAAAGGAAATGAAAGAGAAAATTGTTGATCAAACCAATCTTTCCGATAGTGAAGATGAAATGACTAGGAATCAATTTTAATAATAAATTAGTACCCTAAATTTGGAAATAGCTAAATATAAAAATGAAAATGATAAATTAAAATAAGCATAAGGAAAATATGATGATCTAATAAAGTAATTTTAAAAAGAAAAAGATGAATGGGAAAAGTAAAAAGAAAATGAAAAATTATTTTTAGAAGAATGGAAGGAAGAGGAGAAAAAAAAGATTTTAAGGGAAAAAAGAGTATTCGAAAGATAGGCTAAATCAAATTAAAATATTCCAAATAGAAAAGAAAGGGAAGAAATAGAATAACTTAAACAATAGATTTAAAAATTATAGGATGAATAGAAATAAAAGGATTAAAAAAATAAATTAGCATACGAGAGGGTAAAGAAATAGTATGAAGAAGTAAATTAAAAGAATCAAGAATTATAAGCAGAAGTAAAAGCCTTAGAATTAAGACTCTTTGAGTAGAAAAAACCTTCTTAATTATCTTAATCTTAATAAAGTAAATCATAAAAAATTCAAATTAAATAAAGCTAATCAAGTCCAATTTCAAAGAAGGAAATAATTTAATAAAAATTAAAAACTCAAAGTCCTTAAAGCATTCCTGAGGATTAATAATTATAAAAGAAAATAAATGAGAGGAAGAGTTAGTATTTAGATGATGAGGAATATGATGATGATAATGAGTATTAACAAAATGATGAAGAGGAAAATGAGGATGAGTATAATGATAATGATCAGGAGAATCAAAGTGATGAATTATCAGAAAATTATGAAGATATTATGGAAAAATCAATGACTTAAAAATCTAAAATATAAATTGGAAATTAATAGAAATAAAAAAAATATGATTTAGTAAGTATGTAAGAAGAAAATATACCTTTTACTATTAAAAATATAAACAATTTAATTAGTGAATAAGAATTTAGTTTTGATTAAAATCGTTTTTATTTAATGTATAAGAGGAACAAGGACATGCCTTCAAAAATAGTTAATTAAAATGTAGGTCCAGATGGTAAGGTATCTAGATAATATGCAAATGGAAAAAAAGAGGTTGTTTTTCATAATGGAGTTAAAAGAGAGGTTTTTCCTGAAGGATATGTTATAGTTCATTTTACAAATAAGGATGTAAAATAGACTCTGCCGAATGGAACAATAATTTATTTTTTTGCAGATGCGCACACTACTTAAATTACTGTAGCTAATGGGCCAAACGTAAATTATTTATTTTATCATTTAGATTTATAGATTTTCCAATTAATAGATAGAGATACATTTTCCAGATGGCAAAAAAGAGATTCGATTTGGAGATGGAACGGAAAAATATATATCAATAAATGGAGAAGAATAAACTTTTTTTAGTGATGGCATTATATAAAAAATAGATAGCAAAAAAATAAAATAAATAGAATACCCTAATGGAAATATTGATACTATATATCCTGACGGATAAAAGCTAAGATAATCTAAAAAATGATTTATATATACATATGTTTTAATTAATTAATTAAAAGGTAAGAAAGAGTTATTACATTGATCATAATTAATATTGATTAAGAAAGAGTTATTACATTGATCATAATTAATATTGATTATTCAAATCATTAAATTATAATTTCTTTCATTTTTTTTTTGGAACCTAAAGCTAAATCGGTAAAGGAATTTTAATCTGTTATCTCAAAGCATTAAGTTCAATAAATTGAGGATGGACTTACATTTATTTTGCTGGCAAAAACTTTTAAAATGGTAAGGTTTTGCACCATCCTCTAGGCAGGAATTAGTTATGCACAATTTCTATATTTTAATTATATAATAATTTACTTTCTTATTATTCATATTTATATTAATCATGACAATCTAATTCTACAACACTTAATTTTCTAGTAGAAGTATTAGTACTCTTTCCTAAAATAACAAAATATTGTATAAAATACTTACTTGGAGGTTCAACTACTTTTGGATCTTAAGATATCACACTGGTTTTTCTAATATAACCATAAACTTAGGTCTGATTTTATTGTTATTACTATTGCTCTGTATTTTAATTCAAGATGTTGTACATACTAGGAGTATTGCCACCATTATGACTACTAAGTCTATGGACTGGTGATTAGTTTGAAGGGAGTGGTTTTAAAACATTAAATTGTGAGACAGTATTCAAAAATGGTATGGATTACTAGGGTTAGATGAGATGTGGTTGAGATTGTTGGTGTTACTAAAATTAAGTGAGAGATGCGAGTTAAATTTTCTTAGGAGATTCAAATTATTTGTTCTCTGCAAGATTATTTATAAGCTATTTAGGATTATTAGCAGTTGTAGATCTAGATCTCTATTGCAAATCTACTGAACTATTGTTTTATTTTTTAGTAGTAATAAATTAAACAATCTTTTTAGTTTTCTTTTTATTTTGATTGTTTCTTTTGATAATAATAAGTTTGCCACTGTTAGTTTCAGCACATTCTTGCGCATCCTAATTACTTTATTAGGAAACAGACCGTTGGGAACCTTCAGTTTATTGATTATTATTGATAGAATTGTATTAATTGAGCATATTTTCATCCACAATTTAACTATTAAAAGGTTAGTCTACATAAGAGTCATGCTAATTTCGAGATGGATCTATCAGTCTTTTGAGGATGCTTTGATATTTAGGTGTTTCAACTCTATGATTATTATTATGTTATCTTGATTTAATTTATGCATGTTCAGCCATCATCTCTTTTACATAAGACTTATCTAATAAACTCTATTATTATTATTATTGTTAATGTACATGGGATATTTTATTACACTAATATCATTATATATATAATTACTTATTCTAAATAAGATGTATCAATTTTCTTAGTATTGACACACCTCCAATAATCCTTAGACATCATTCTAATTATCATTAAAGCCTTAATAATCTTGGTAACCCTCTCTCTCATTGAAAAAGACTTATACATTTCAGGTAAAGAGAGTGGAATTGGATCATTAACCTTCCCTGTAATCCATGGATGATGTAAAATTTAATGTGCATTATATCTATGCATGGGATCCTCTGCAACACATTTTAAGAAAAGGTTCTTGGCCAATTAGTCAAAGCCTTCAGGGAAATTCCATTTCGGATCTTACAGATGTTCATACAGTTTCTCTCTATATTCATCAGCTGTTTATCCTTATATATATAATGGATGTTTTCCACCTGTACACACCATATACAGTATAATTCCACAACTCCAAATATCCACTGGCTATTTTATTGATTTAAGTTATTACTTTAGAGTAATGTTTACTTGTAAAGAATTCTGGAGCCATGTAAATTAAAGTGCCACATTATCCACTAATGAGAAGCTGAGATCTTGTCGACAATCCAAAATCCACTATTTTCAAAGTTGTCATGTCGTTAGGATCTTCAAGTAGAAGGTTCTCTAGTATACATACAATCCTCACCTCAGGTTTAAGGTCTCTGTGTACAACTCCTCTCTCATGGATGAATGCTACTGTTTTAAATAGAGTTTGCATTAATTGTCTCTTCTATTCATAACTCAATTCAAGCTTGTCGGTAAATAGTCTTTTCAATTACCCGTACTTCACCAAAGCCATTTCTATTAATAATCTTGTATCTGTTTCATGCACTCTTTTAAACTACACTATATTTGGATGTTTCATTTAACTCAAAATACTGGCTTCTGCTAGTATTTCTGAATAACTTCTTCTACATTCTCTCTTAGGTACTATTTTGACTGCTACGCTTTCTCCTTTGATATTCTTTGCCTAAACTACTTTACCAAATCCTCCTGAACCTAAGAATTCTTCAAATTCATAGAAGTCACTAAATTTATTAGCAACATCTCCAGAATCAAGATCATTCATTTATAATTAATTATATATTAAAAAATTTTATTTATCATCTCTTTCCTGAATCTTCCTTTATAATTCAATCTCTAGCACTCAGTGATCATTCTACTCTACATTATTTTACCTTTTTGCTTGTAAAATTCTTATTGTCATCTTCGAAATATTATTCTTTAGAATTCTTTTGAATTAAATTTTAGAAATTATTTTTATTTATAAATATAGTAGATTTCTATATTGCAAAGTTAAAACATATTAAACTCTAATTCAAAATTTCCTTAATAGGGACATAATTTAAACATAGATTAGAAATTAATTTTATGATTTCATAATTTAAGGTATACAAATCCAAAACATTTACTATTTTATTATTTCTTAAATTTTATTCAATAAATTTCAAAATTTGCCTATTATTACAAAATTTTATTCAATTGAACATAATTTATCACATATCTAGTATTTTTAAAACTAGTTGATATCGATACAGCTATTTATTTTTTTCAATTTCATCAATTCGATTTACTCTTTAAATGAAAACAAAAGTATTGGATGAAATTTATCCCCACTAAGGAAGGATCGTCTAAGCTCTTCTGTGCACTTTGATTATGTAAAAAATATTATTGATAAAAATGTTTAATATCAAATATATTTACAAAACAAGTTTCAATAATATTTTTTTAATCTAAAGATATTCACACTACAAAAAGGAGCACTTCTAAAATTCTAAAAGGAAATCAAATGTAAGACTCATTTTAATTTTTAAGTTTTATAATTATCTGTCTTATATTAACCAAATTGATATTCCCTAATCAAGCAAATAACAATTTTATACTTATTCATCCTATTTTTATATCAAATTTCTAAGTTAAAGAGATTTTTATTTATGTACTATACTCTTTTTTTATAAAAGTCGATTTGGTGTGCTTATGAGCAAAATTCATAGGGGATGTTTCAAAAAATTATAATTTTTTATCACTAATTATTTCATAATTAGTTTATTAAACTATTTAAACAAAATTGGGCTTAATTTAGGCGAATAATTTAATAAACATCAAAAGAAAAATCCCGCCTAGTTTTATTATTTTAATTGAAAATAATTTCAGCTTTAAAAAATGATTTCAAAAAACAATCTTGAATTCTTTGATTAATTTCTATCGATATTTATCTTGGATAATATGTAGGAATTTAAAATTGATATTATGTTGACGCCTTAATAATTAGGTATTTAATTTTGTGAATAATTTGGATTAAACTTAAATAATTTACAAAAAGTTGCTTAGAATCTGATAAGATTTATTTAGGCAGCCTCAGAGAAACCTCAATACAGTCAGTTGACTAAATGTTATGAAAAGTATTTTGGTGAGAGAGAAGAGATGGGTTTTCCTTTCAAATCTTCATATGAGTTAAGTGAGTTTTTAGTTGAAAATAAATTTAAATTTAAGAAATCAAAATCATAAAGCAATTTGGTTTCCATGTAAAAAGAAAACCTATAATAAATATAAAAAAATAATGTAATAATTTAGCAACCGAATAAGTAATTGTTCAAAAATCGTTAAAATTTTGATGAAAAAAATAGATTTGAAAATTTATACATTTAAGGAAAACTTAAGTAAATTGAAAGAAATAAAAGCAGATAAACACATATAGATAAATTAGATGTTATTGATGATAATTGTACTTTTAGACCTAATACAAAGATAAATCGTTAGAATTAATAATCTGAAAAAATAAATCTATCAACATAATTGAAATAGGAAAAATACTATAAATAATTGTTTAATTATCTAGACAATGATAAGGATGGAATGATTTCCAAGAATTGCATCGACATTAGTAAATTAAATCTGAATGATGTGAAGTATTTATAAGTGATTATTATTTAAGCAATATTTTGGAGATATTGTTGAAAATTGAGAATGAGAATTTGGAATTAAATTATAAATAATTTATCTAATTATTATTCTAATGACAACGTAAATTAAAAAGCTTTCAAAGTTAGATCATACAATACCGATATATTCGCCTCGTTCAACCTATAAACAAATTTTACATACTGATGAAACATTGCTAGCTGATTTAACTCTTAATTTCGATCCCTTTACCATTAATGTCTTGAGAACAGAATTTTTAATGAGATAGGGATCTATGGAAGTGACAGAATTCATTTTAGTTGTGAAAGAGCATTTATTAAGTTGGCAATTAGAAATATCAAACAGAGATATTAAATTGATTAGGTACTTGATATAATAATAAGACAACTGGTGAATCTGTTTGAAGAAATAGACTTAAATGGTAATGGAAAATTAGAATGGGAAGAATTCACTAATTATATAATAGAAAAAGCAACTGTATTAAATAACATTAAGTCTAAATAAGATGAAATCAAACTTTATACAAAATCCAATATGAAACCTTTTAAGAAATTTACTCAAATTATTACTCGAGTAATTTACATAAAAGAGATAGATAAAATAGCATTTTTTGAAGAAGGAAGCGATGAAATTTAATTTATGACACCTGATGGAGGTTTTGGATTGAAACCTTTAAAAATTGTTCCAATTAGCGACAAAGTCGTGACAACCTAAGCAAAAAAAGATAAAGATAAACAAAATGTAAATAAAACTAATTAAGAATTAGTTTATCATTGTTAAGAAGGAAGACACTATTGAAAAAAAAACAAAAATTTTAACAATGCTTTACATTGATGATCCTAAGTATTAAGTCCTATTGGCATCAACTCATGATGGTTATGTAAGAGGTTGGAGATATTAATCTTCAGGATTCGTTTTAGCGAATTAACCTGATAATGATGAGGAAATGATTGAACACCATTTTAATAATGACATATACAGTATGACTTGGGATGGAATTAATGAAATTTTATATTGTGGTTAGAAAGAAGGTTAAATTAATATCTGGAACTTGAAAACTGATACTGAAACATAATTGTAAAGCGAAGCTGGTCATACTGATGTAGTTATGGATATGATAGCTATGCCGAAATTGCAATTTATGGCATCAGCTAGTTTAGACAAAAATTTAATTTTATGGAATACTTTATCTAATAAAAGAGAGCGGACATATAAAGAGCATACAAAAGGAATTGTGTCATTAGCATTCAATGAGAGTTTAATCTTATTATTTTCTGCTGGTTTTGATCATAATTTATGTGTTTGGAATCCGTATATCGAAAGCTTAATTTTTAAAATATAAGGTCATAGCAGTCCAGTAATCGGAGTTGTAGTTATTGAAGGAACTTCATAAATTGTTTCATTAGATTAAGAAGGCAGCGTAAAGGTTTGGGATACAAAGAAATTTAACTGTGTGTAATAATTTAGTGTAGAGACTTAAGATGAAAAGCACAAATTCAATCCATCCAGTTTATGTTACATTCCTAAACCTTTGAAACTTATATTTGGAGGAAGATCCATCTATTCTTATGAATATGATAAAAATTATAATCCTAATTCAGTAGATGATTATGTTGCCGTGTGTTGTAAGTTTATAGAAAATTAAATGGCTTTCTTTACACCTGCAGGAACTAAGATAAAAATTTGGAATGCTTTAACAGGAGATGTTAAAAAAATTTACAGTGATATAACTACAACTGAAATAACTGCATTTAAATTAGATAATTTAGATAAGAGATTTATAATAGGAGATAGTAGTGGAACTGTTGCATTATTTAATGTAATTAATGGAGCAAAAATCAAAAATTTACCAAAACATTCTGGTGAAGTTGTTGCAATTGTTCATGCATCAGATATAGGAGCTTTCTTTACTGGATCTATGGATAATAATGTATTTATGACTTTAGATAATGAATTTGGAGAAAGTGAATTGTTGCGAACTTTCATCATTTAAGATGGCCAATTAACCTTTTTAAGCTATGATCCAGCCATGAAACATTTATTGGCAGGAACTAACTCTGGTCAAATTAGATTTTATGAAACTGATACAAATAAATTACATGGTGTTGCTAATGAATTTAAATAAGGAGAAGAAATTACATCTATTAATTTAATTAAAGGAATTCCCTTTCTTATTGTTACTAATAGTCAAGGAAAAATTTCAATCATGTCTATGCCTCCTGTTTTGCATAGATTTGTAAAAATTTATACTTTTACCAATCTAGATCCTGAAATTTCAAGTTAATTATTAGGAATATCTAATGCAGTCTTTAGTTAAGAGAAAAAAGTACTATTTCTAAGTGATGATAAAGGATTTATAAAATGCTTTGAAGTTGATTGGCTAGTAGACTTTTTGATTAATATAGTCAATGAAAAGGATAAAGAAGATGCTGCTATAAAAAAAATAAAGGGTTTAAAAACTGGATCGTCCTAAAATGCCAGATAAATGTTAGCATTACCTAAAATACCTTAAAGAGAAGTGAAAATGAAATGGATTACCAGAGCTCATTATGAAGTTATTAAGTCCTTAGAGTATGTAGAAAAAGAAAATTTTCTCATTACAACTGCTTTTGATAAAAAAGTAAAACTATGGGATGCTGAAACTGGTAAATTTATCGATTCCTTTTAATAAAATTATGATCGTAAAGAACCCAGGCCAATTGCTCTTAGAAGAGGTGGGACTGAAGAAATTTATAATACGGATCTAAATGAAAGAATTGATCTTGAATTCTCTCAACAAATTCCTTAACAAGAATAAGATGAATAAATTGGATAAATCACTTAAAATTAGATTTTGGAAGAGAAAAAATTTAACCATTTGGAACTACCTAAAACTCCTTAAGAAGAATTTAATCCATTTTTTTATATAGAAAAAATTGATTAATCAAAATTGTTAACTTTAAAAAGCAATCCAGAATGGAAATTAGAGATAGGATTCAAAGAATATTATGAAAAGTATGAATAAAAAATAAAGACTCTATTTGATTAGGTCAAAATTAAAGAGAAAGAAGTACATGAAAAATAAGTTAAATAAGGAATTCATAATCGTCATTATAAATAGTAAAATGTCTAAAGTGAAGAGGACAAATAATATGACCTAAATAATAAACTAGCACTTAAAGATGATGAAGCTAATAATAATTATTTTAATCAATAATAACCCTCTCATCAATACAATTAAAAACTAAAGACAGAATATCTACTTTAAAAGCATAAAATTCAATAAAAAGACTAACATCAAATCTCATAAAGAGGGAATCACTAAATAAATTTCGATAATATTACAAATTAAAGTTAAATTGTTAAAGAATTCAATTAATAGCAGTAAGACCTATAGGAAAATTTGAAACATGGACTCAAAACAAGAAATTTAACTCCTTAAAATAAATCTTTTTAAGTTCCTCAACTAACGAAATCTAGCTCCTAAAAAAAATTAAAAAAAGTAGATCCTCAAATATTTGAGAAGTTGCACAAGTAAAACTTAAAGGGCAAGTTAAACTTTAACTCTGATCCTAAAGTCTTCTTATCAGAAGTGATTTATTACTTATATTAAAGGCTGAATGTAATGCTGCATCTAAGTTTGTCGCTGTATTAGAGATATATGATTTAACAGATGAACGTTCACTAAAATTTAGAGAAATTTAATGCAAATCAAAAATTAAATTACCTAGATTATAATGATAACATATCAAATAACATAATATAATCATTCTATTTTAAAAATAAAATAGATTTCGTAAATCATAATATCTTTCTAATTTTAAAGTATGGCTTTAAAAAATTTAATCCTATTTTAATTTAGTCATCTTTGATCATAATCAATTCAATGATTTTTAAAATCAAATAATCATTATATTTAAGTGATCACGAGAAATGATTTTTTTGATTGATAGTAAATCTATATTTGATTGCACAACTTATAGCATGATTAAACCTCAAAAATTCGATGTTGTTGCAATTTTAGATAATTTAAAAAAGAAACTACAAACAGTTTAATTTAGGGAGGATTAGAACATGGATTTGCTTGAAAAACTAAAGATTTTGGCTCAAGTTCTATTTAATTCCTAAAAATCAGAAATCTTAAAATTAATTGAATCATTCACTAAAAATTCTTCAGAAAATAAATAAATTTTCGAATAATTTACGACTAGTTCTTGTTCAAAATGGTTTATGGAATAGCTTTATATTGATTAAGTTTAGATAATACTTCAATAATATCTAAAGAATAATTAATAATTTATTGGAGTATTCCTATAAAAAATAATGAACTTATACTAGTTGGACCTCTAAGTTTAGAATCTATCAAAAGAAAATTTAGGATAGTTAGAGATTATATAACAAGAAAAAAATATTTAAAATTAAGTTGAATAAAATCTAGTTTAAAATAACTAAAATTATGATATTTCATATCAAAATCTTATTTAAAAAGAATAAAATATCTGTTAAGATAAAAATTAAAATAAAATGAATGATTTAGCAGGATCTGATGAACAAAAAGAATCTAATTACCTAATACCATAAAATGAATAATCAGAGATAACAATAAATTAATATACAAGTTTGGAAGGAGTTTATGAATTATTAGAAAATAAATATGCGTTCTATAGTTGGTGGCCAGAGTTCCAAAAAGAATGTCATAAATGTAAAAGCAAAGAAGAGTTTTCTTCGTTTTTATTTCGAAAAGCTCCAATTTTAATGGAAAGGTGGACTAAAATTGCAGGTTAAGTCGATACAGATTAATTTAATACATTTGATGATTTTAGTGAAATAAAATAATTTAATGAGGAATACGAAATTTACTAATTAGATAATAATAATTTAGAATAAGCCCCTATTATTGAAAACAATAGTAAAATTTCTTGCGAAATTAATGATCTTCAATAAGAAATTACTAATGAATTTAAGAATGACATACAAACATAAAACTAAGGAAATCAAACTGAGTCAAATCAAGCCTAAAATAGTCAGTTAACTAAGCGTAAAGAATTTATATAAGAAAAAAAGTTCAGTTAAGATGTAAGTGAAATAGGACCAATAGATTTAAATTAAGAAGAAATTTTGGAAAATCAAGACTATTTTAATCCAGAATTTATTTCTCTTTCCTAGAAATCCTCTGCTAATATCTGTAGTAATAATGAGGATTAAATATTTGATAAAGAGATTGAGGATAATAATTATTCAAATCAAAGTTAATCAGACAGTGTTATTTTGAATGAAAATCAAACTAAAAAGAGTTTTATAACTAATCTTGAGTAATTTTATAAATCTAAACTTGTTGAAAATCAACCATAACACATAATACCTGAACTGGGATATATGGGTGACACTAAGAAAATGGTTGAAAAATTGTTATTTTTCTTAGATTTTGAAAAACTTGATATTTAAATAGAAGACTTTTTGACTTAACCATAAATTAATCCTTCAAAGATGTTGTAAGATTTTATTTTAACAACTTATAATATCATAAAATATATAACGGTTCATAAATACTCAACAATAATAGAAGTAAAATAAGTTGGAAAGGAATATCTGGGTTAAGTTATAATTTGCTAAGTCAATAATAAAAATCAAGAAATAAAAAAATATAAAGGGCCTTGTTTAAATGTTGTAAATATTGTAACAAGATTGATTGCAATTAAGAAATTAAATAATAAATTTTTTAGTGAAGGATTAGAGTGTGTTAATTTATTTTCTATTGTTATGTCAATTATCAAAAGATTAATTCCAGGAAGAGGTCTTTTTAAAGAGATTTCAGAAAAATATAAGAAAGTCCAGAGACCAACTGATAAATAATTGGACAAAATAGTTATTATTTAAAAAACTCCTAAATCAAACTAAGAATTTAACTAAAATGCAATTATTAATAAGCCAGAAGCTTAAAAAAAAAATCATAATTAAAAAAAATAAGAGAATATTAATAGAAAATATTAAGAAAAAAAATATGCTTAAAGAGATCAATATTCAAGAAAAAATTATGACAACAATTAAGGAAATAAAAATTATAATTTCAAAAATTCTGGTTAATAAAATGATTCCTATGAATTTTTGTAACAAAATTAAAATAATTAAGTTGAGCAGGAATACTTTGCAAATTCTTTTAATAAATCTCCAAAATTTTAATATTAATCAAATTATTAAGGTTAGCTTTAAAATTAGCTTTATGAATAATCTTATAATTAAAATATCTTAAATAACCAAAATTAATATTCTCTATAAGGTTATTAAGGCAGGTCTAATAATTCTCAATAATAATCTAATTATTATTAACAATAAAACTTCAATTAATAATCACTTAATTTGCATTATTATCCACCTATACCTATTTAAAATATGTATAATAATCAAAATGATTATTAAATGCAAAAATATCCATATTATATGAACAAGAGTTAGTCAATTTAAAAAGGAAATTTTAACTTAGGCTAACATTCTTAATAATCTTAAAGAAGAATGTATTTCAACGACTAGATAAATTAATAAGATTATTTTAACTAAGATAGATAAATGATGGGATTATATGAGAATATTATAAAGTAGAAAAAAATAAAATATAATAATCATCAAATAAATGGACATCTAAATAATTTTAATTCACACTCATAATTATTTAATTAAGAAAAATAATTTGGTACTCAGTAATATTCTTAAAATTAACAACAGTAGCAAATAGATTTTTAGATTATATAAAAAATGGTTACAAGACTTATGGGAGAATAAAAAATGTAGTGAACTTTTATTTAAAAATCTTTTTTATTTAATTAATAAAAAAGATCTTTTGTGTTTAAAATTAAAAATATAGATAATAAACATAATTTTACATTTCAATTTTTCTTTTATCTTTAAATGTGTTGCAGAGTTGGTTTGTCCTGTACATTTTTACTATAGTACACTAGAGAAGGTTATAAATTCTATATAAGATTTTTTTGTAATATTAAAGCTATTATTTAGTGATGTTTCCAAGTAAGCTTTCATAGAGTGATATAGCATTTAATCCCATTAAAAATGTCTCTAATATTTTTTAATGATTTACAGTTTTGATTTATTCTTCTAATCTATCTGCTTATCTTTCTAAATTCAAATAAATTATAGGGATGGCTATGCTTTTCCCTCTTAAAAACTCTTCATCACTTATTGGTTATTCTAACTTTTTTAATTCACTGATTAAACATGAGTATAATTCATATTTTGAATTAGGTTGTCCCTAAACTCTCGATCAAAATATTCAAGCTTCTTTATACTTAGGATACTCTTGATGCTTCTTCGACAGCAACTTTTTCATCGTTTAAAGCAAATGTTTAATATAGGAATTCTGTGGTTGTTAATTTTGTTAATTATCTTTTGAAGACAAGAAATTATTTTTACTTTATTACATTATTAATGATCTACCAATTTATTTTCAAAATATGTACTAAAGTATTTATGACTCCTTACTTCTGCGCAACTAATTATCATATTTAATTTGTTAACATTTATTCTTAAAATCTTGAAAAGTCTTCGACTTAAGCAATATTTATGCAGCTGTTTTGGCATTTTTTAATGGATGTTTACCAAAAGCTGCCTTTCTAAACTTTATCTATAATGCTCTAAATATAGCCATCTAATACTCTTTCTTCAGGAATATTCATTGTTTTAAATTAATCTTTAGTTTCTTTGGCAATCCTTTTTTTTGTCTAAGCGAGCCTCAATAATACATCTAAATCATATTAAAATCTTCCTGTATAAATTAACATTTCCAATAAAATAATTCTGTCATATAAGTTTATTTAAGCATAAATTTTGTTATAAGTATTTATTCACTAAATAGCTGATATAATTAATAATTTTCCAAAAAACCATTCACAGATATATGATACATATGCATATAATAAGCCAGTTTCTAAAAGTAATATTTTTATCCCAGAAGATAATTCACTAGGTTTTTATTATAGGTAATTTATTTTTGATGAGTTTCATCGATTTTTCCATTGAAAACCCTCTTCCATAAATATTGTAATTATTATATTATTATCTTATTATATTCATTTTGCTAATGCTAATGCAACTTTTGTTTTATTATGGCCATCTAATTATTCATTTAATTATGTTATTTAAGATCTTAAAGCTTCAATTTCAGCAAAAGAAACAACTAGCAAAAAGCTATATTCATCTATTTTGTATTAAAGGCTATTTAATTTTGAATATTCAAATTTCCATTTACTTAAATCCTAAAAATAAATTATTATTTTACTTTTTCTAATTCTCCAATCTTTTGATCTGCTTCATTAAGCTCTACTATTAAATGATCAACTTATTATGTTAATTCATTCGATTTTTCTTCTAATTTTTTAGCTTTATATTCATGTCTTTTTACTTCACTACTTAAAAGAGCCATTTTATCCTCATATTTATACTAAAAAGAATTAATTTAACATTACTTTTATATCTTCTAGTTCAGCGATTTTACTTTCTAATTATGTTATTTTTTATTTAAATTATTCTATAATATCATCTTTTGATTATGATTCAGACTATAACTTATTTATTTAATTTTATAAGTCTTCTTAATTTATTAATAAACCTTCTATCTCTGATACTTATTATTTAAGATGAGTGATCTCATTTTATTTACCCTAATTAACATCTATTTATTATTGTAATTAATTTTAAATAGAATCTAATTAAGTTTTTAATTCATTGATATCTTCTAATTAATTATACATATCATTCAATTCTTAATCTAATTTAATTAATTCTTAATTCTATTAATCAATTTCATCTTGCTTTTTTTTATTTAACACTTTTAATCTTTCTATTTCAGATGAAAGCATTGCTAATTTATTTTCCATCTGCTCTTTAATTATCTTTAATTACTAATATTATTAATCTAATTATTCATGCTTTTATTTCCATAGTTTTAATTCTTTTTCAAGTTCTCCAATCTATTCTTTCAAATTTTCAATTTCCAATTACAAAACTTACATTTCTGCTAATTGGCTTTCTAAATCTTAAATTCTTTTTTTAAGATCATCAACATTTTCCATTTTTTCTAATTTATATTTCATACCTTCTATATGAGTTGATAACATTGCACACTTACTCTATAAATCATATTTCTCATTTTCAGTCTATTGAATTCTTTATTCTAAATCTTATCTACCTTTAACTTCATTTTAAAGTTATGATTATAACATAGTGTTTGATTCATGTTACTCTTTAATTTATATTTTTAAAGTATCTAATTCTAATAATTCTTTTTATAAATTTGAGTTTTGTTATTAATGATTAAGAACTTCTTAATTTTTTTATTAAACTGTTTAATTTAATCTTTAATTTTCTTGTTTAAGTAGAGTTAATCTATTTTATAAATCTAATGTAGGATCCTCATTATTTGCTAAATTAGATTCAGAAACTTTCTTGTAACTTTATTATAATGTACTAAGTTATTATTGCAATTCTGAAATCACAGATTCAGAATTAGATTACTTATGAACAATATTTTAGGCTTTTTATTCATCTAGTTATCTTTGTAATTCTGCAATATTAGTATCTGCTTGATTTGATTAACTTCTTAATTTTTCTAATTCATCTTAATAATTTTAATTCATTTATTACTATGCATCATATTTATTTTATAATAAATTTAATTTTTCTTTCAAAATACTTAAAAGAGATAATTAATCTTCTGCATTTTTCAATTATTCTGATTTTTGATCATTTAAATACCTCAATCGTTATGATTCAGCACTTAACATTGCTACTTTGTTTTCTAAATCATAAATTTTATTATTAGCATCCGCAAATTTTTATTCAAGAACATTGATTTCTTATAACTTTTATTCTAATTATTATATAATATTATCTTTTTATTCCAACTCTTTTAATAGTTATTGATTTTCATTTATTAATGAATCAATTTCTCTTAATTATTCTTGTAAATTTTTTAAATCTTCTTATAATTCTAAAATTTTATCATTTTTTTATTTCAGTTAAACTTTAAGTCTTTCAATTTCTGATGCTAGCATACTAACTTTATTTTCCAATTATTGCTTTTCTTACTCTAGAAGTTTAAATTTATCAATTTCTTTTAATAATTAAGAATTATCTTGAGAAAGTTTTTCATTTCTTTAATGAGAATCACCAACTTCCTGTTATAATCTTTAGTTTTCTTATTATAAAAGAGATAAGGATTTGATTTTTTGATTTAATTCAGATATTGTCATTGAGGCATTATTTAAATCAAAGTCTTTTTGTTATGATTATTATAAAATTTATTATAATTCTGTACTTTTATCAGATAATAGTTTTTTAATTCTATCTAATTCTGCAATTAGACCTTAATGAAGTTTAAGCTAACCTTTTGTTTACTCTAATTCAATTTATAATTTTTATTTATCATCATTTAGTAAATGAACTTGAGCAGACAATTTATTTTATTCTAAAGATAAGCTATCAACTCTAGCCATTGATTCTTTTTAAACTGATAATAGTTATTAATATTAAAGATCTAAGTTCTATAATAGTAGATGATATTACATTATATTTATTTTTCCATTAATCTAACTATTTCAAGGCAGCAGTTAAATCTGCTTATTATTTATTTTATTTATTTTACCATTCTTATCTTTCTCTATCAAATTAACTTTTTAATGATGCAACTTCTGCTGGATTAAATTCTGCAAGTTTAACTTTAAGATCATCAATTTCTTTTTATTTTTTTTTGTCATTTTCAATATATTTTTACTTCCATTATTCAATCATTTAATCTTTTCCTTAATTTTAATTATGTATATCTTCAAGATTTTGTTAAAATGCTTCTAATTCTTATAATTAATCTTAATATTCTCTACATTTTTATGAAAGCTAGATAATTGAATTTTTTTTGATACTTAATTTATCATATCCTCTCTTTCAGCCACTAATTTTAATAGTCTTTAAACTTCAACTTGTTAATTAAGTAATTTTTAATTTTCAATAATTAAATCATTCATGTTAGATTTTTATTGATCTAATTCAACTTATGCTTTAGTAATATCTATTTGAAATTTTTTCACCTCTTCTTATGAACCTTGAATTCTCGACTATAATTCATCTTTCTAAAATGATATAAAAATAATTTACAATTTCATTATCAATCTCATATTTAGCTAATTAAGCTTCTAATGAAAAACATTTCCTTTTCCACTATTCTAATTCATTTCTAACATTTTCATCAACTTCTTTATCATTATTATATGATCCTGTATTATTTTCTTTAACAATTACTGTCGTTGGTAAACTCTATATAGCAGGTATAACATATGATCTTCCCATATTCACAGCAGGTGGAATAACTAAAATAAAATAAATTTTATATACTTCTACTAGGTGATCTGACTTAAATAACTTAAGAAGATTATGGTCTAAATGAAGACATTGTTAAATAATTTTTATTTAGGTATTTATTAATTATATAAAGAGAATCAACATACTTAAACATTATTTTTATATTATTTTAGAGCATCTCTAACATCTTCACAATTTTCTTCAGCTATCCTTCTTAATAATACACTTAAATGAAGTAATTCTTTATCATCAGGGTCATTGTACCAAGTCTTAATTTAAATCCCATTTTCTTCTTAATGTTAATAGTTCTCCGCAATATTATCTATAATTATACATTTAGTCAAACATCTACCCAATCTTGATAAATCTTTTATAAAATGTTTTTGATATTGCATTGCATGTTATCGATACAATCTATATTATATGTACTTATTAAAAACAACTTAATTTAAAACCCAATTTGCATAATCTGGTAATCCAGCAGTAAATATTGCAATTTCATAATATTTACTCATTTCTTCTAAAAACTATTCTGCATATGGCCTTACTATAAAACTCTTTGTTTAATCAACAAAATGAATTAAAGTTTCATCCATATCTAAAATAAGTGTCAGATTATGACTAGCTTTATTTGGAAGGTATGGCTTATGTGCTACACTTATTAATGGAATACCCAATAATCCATAATAACTTTATTGAATTGTAAAATATAATGATGTAAAGTCTTATATCATTAAATTACTCTCTACTATCTTTATATTTGCAATTAATCTAAATTATTAATTTAAAAACTAATTAAGATCTTTTGATTGCTTAGTTAATTATTTATATAATCCTTAAAGCAATTCTATATTTTATCTAATCTAAGTACTAGATTCTATTTTTTTACTACCAAAATACTTTTTATTTTGCATTATTATTGTCATCAATTCTTAATTTTATGTTTTTTATATGATCATTTCTCCTAAAAATAAATAGTTCTATAAATTAAAAATTAACAGGTTTCTAAAATTTACATTATTTGTTATTTAGACATGTTAATCAAAAAAACTGTTTACTATAACAATTATCTATTTTTTTAATATGTTTTATTACTCCCAATTTTATTAGTATTAATATTTATCTAAATTTCTTGCTATTTTCAGACATAAATTTCTCTAATGCTTCAAAATGCACACCATCAATAACTTCATAAAATCTATTTATTTAATCAACTAAATCACAAATATTCTTGACTATTAAAAATAAAATAATATTACTTTCTTCATCGCATCCATTAAATTGATTAGCGAATAATAAATCTTAATATATTTGTCTAAATTATCTTCTAAATTTTCATCTATCTCATATTTCTAATGATAAGATTTTTCTTTTTTAATAGTCGATATAGATCGATTATTAACTTCATTAAGCTTCTAATCTATTTAAGTCTTTGATTATCTTTTTTCACTTAATGGTGAAGATTTTTCTTTTTAAATAGGATCTAATTTGCCTAATCTTAAATTTAATTCTATTTTTTCTTCTTAAATGGCTACTTTAATTTTGACCTTTTTAATCTCAAAATTCTTTTTCGATACTCTTGCAATAGATTTAGGGTTAATGATTGGAAGTTATTCTGTTTCTTCTTAATCTTGATTGCTTCTTTAAGAAGAAATGCTGCGATTGACAATAATTTTATAGATTGGTTTATTTTATCTCATTTATTATTTTAAATTAAGATAAATATATCAGTACTCAGAATTACATCTTTTTTTTGTTTGTTCATTCATTTAGTGTAAATTTTATAAAGAAACATTGTACTTGTGTTTTGTAAGTTACTATTAATTTTTACCTTAAATAATAAATTATTTGAGCTTTTAAAAATTGTTTTCCATTGAGATTTGGGACTTAATCAAAAGTTCATTTGTGCTTTCCAATTCATTTATATATCTAGTCATTTCTTCTAACTTACTTTCTAATGCTTTATTTAATAATAATTCATCTTACAATTTTTTTTTACATTAATATAATTCTTTAGAAAGTGTCTTATTTTAATCTGCAAAAGATGTAAGTTATATTAATAATTTATTAGGATTAATATAATAACCATTTTTATTTAATGGAGTTGAGGCTTTATTTGTTTAATAAATCTTTTAATCCATTTGTAGAACCTTGTCAAATTAACATTATTATTCCTCTTATTCCAACTATTTTTCAACTGTTAATTTTTATATTTTTTGTGCTTTACCAAGATTTAATTTTGGAATAGGAATTTAAAAATTTGTATTTGTTGTAATTTTATTAGGTAAATTCTCAACGAAACTTGATTCATTTAATTTAGGACTTTATTCATTAATTAATCTATGATCATCAATTTTATCATTCTAAACTAATTCTATCAACATTTAAAGCTTTTTATTCTCTTACTTATATAATCTATTTTCCTTATAATATTAGGCTAACAATTTACTCATTGATTCTATTTAGTTTTAATAGGTTAAATATTCTTCTTATACTGATATTGGCTTTAATATTAAAAATTTAATACAATTTTAGTTCGTATTCTTTTTTTTTATTACAATGTTTATAATTGTTCATTTAATTCAATTATTTGATTATCTTTAGCAAGAAGTTAATTTTATAAGTCAATGAATTTAGATTATTTTTCACTCTAAATATCTAACATAGTTTAAGAGTTTTCTATTCCTATTTAAGATAAAAGTAAATTCTAACAATCATATAATCAAATAACCTATGCTCTTAATTCATCTCTTTAATTTATTAAGTCTTCATTAAAAGAAAACAATTTACAATTTTCTTCTATTAAATGGGTGAGCATACTTTGAATTTCACTATATTCATTAGATTCAGTTTTGCATGCTTCCATAGTAAATAAAGAAGCATTTGGTAATGACTGATTTTATTTAATAGGTTTTTACATTAATATTAGTTTGCCCTCTGTATATCTTTAGAATCTCTTTATTCATCTAAATTAGTTATCTTAATTCTTTATTTTCTTCAGTCAATATTTTGATTTCTTGATGCAAAAAATTAAGCTTAGTATCATTATTACTCATAAAAAATATTTAATAAAAGAAAACTTAAAATTCATTTGATATTTTCCTTCTATATTTTTAATGATTATGCAACAATATTTTTTAGAAAAACACTACTTGAGGTAAAGATTCTAGAATTAAAATTGTTCTTGATACTAAAATAATCAATTAATTTTGTGTAACTTTTAATTATGTATAAGATTGATATATGTAATTTATATTTTTTTATTTTTAAGTTTGGAAATGGAAATTAATGAAAAATACTTCTACTATACTTGGAGAGATAAGCCAAAATAATCCTAATTATGTTAAAATGACAAAAAAGTTAATGTAAAAATGAATCAATTCAATTAAGGTTTTATGGCAATATAGTGAATCATTATTATAATCAAAGTAAACTCAATCAGATCAAAAAAATTTGGCTTTTTGGTAACTGAAAAGGAAAAATAGTATAGTAGAGAAAAACACTTAATCATAGATTAATACAACAAGAATTTAAACAAGAAGAAATTCGGTTGTTGCTGGATATGAATCTTAAATTAAAACTGCAAGAAAATGTAATTAAACAAATCAAAGTCAGGTTTCAAATGCTTTAACAAATAAAAAATAATTTAAAGAAGATTATATTGATGAGAAGTCAAGAAGAAGATTAAGTAGATTTTTTTCGAATCATGAAATCTGTAATTTAATTCATAAAAGAAGTTTGTCAAGATAAGATAATTAAATTTATGCTGAGGATATAGAAAAAGAAATGGTTACTGCTTAAATAAAATCTATTCAAAACCAATAAATTAGATTTCAATTTCATTAATCAAATAAATAAATTTTACCAGAAAAGAAATATGATAATCAAATAAATGATATGATTAATATGAAATAATCAACTTTCAAATCTGTTTATTAATAAATTTAGCATCTTACTAATGAATAAAGGAAAAAAAGAGTTCCTATTACAAGTCATAAGATGCTTAAATCAAGAACTAAATTAATAAGTTGTTCTTATAAGATTAGAGAAAAATTTTTAAATATTTTAAAATAAGTTTTATTTGTAGCTAAATATAAGTGTCGAGTTAATTTTTGGTTTGATTATCCAATTAAATATAATAACAAATTTTACGAATTAATAATAGAAGGGAACTATGATGGCATTGTTTAAACTTTATAAGATGAACCATATCTAGTACATAGCAGAAATAAGGATGGGTAAACTCCATTGCATATTGCTTGCATTTGTAATAATGCTCTTTTAGCAAAATTATTTATTAAAAATTATAGTAACATTGAAGCTTTAGATAATAAATAGTTATCATCATTATATTATGCATTTAAAGCTAATTCTAATGATTGTTTTAAAGTAAATAAGATATTTATAATAATATAGATTTTACTTCATTCTAATGCTAAACCATGGTCTCCACCAGGAGGTAAATTAGATTAAAATCAAATGAATGTTGTACAGAAAAATTTGTTAATGCATGCACGTTTAATTTATATGTTTACTATCTGGAAAATAAAAAAATGATAATATAAATTTATTATGAATTTTATAAAGGGTATATTCAATAAAGTTGTAGGAACTTAATAACCATTAATTGAATAAGAGATATTGGATTTTGTAATTTTAGGAACAATTTTTAAATAAGATGAAGCTAAATATACTAAATTGTAAATGACAATATTATACTTAGATCATCTAATACAGAATTTGTATTTGACAAATTAACAAATGATGAATTTGATCATATTCTAATTGTTAGATTGAATAGAGCTTCTAAGACTTACAGTAATGCAATTAGTTCAAAAGAGGGAGATTTATATTTCAATATTTCATTTTTTAAATCAATCTATCATTCATCTTTAAATGATGATATAGAAGAATTTAGTTTAGATTTAATGTATTATTTAATCAATAATATAGAGATATTTAAGGTATTAAATGGAGTATAAGGATGCATTTTTTTAAAAATACAAAGTCAGACAATTTAAAAATTTAAAACTTTAAATTATATTTAAGCAAATTAATATGGATTAATAAAAATAAGAAAGCTCTTCCTAAAAATTTAACTGAATTAAATGATTTAATTACTACAAAATAATCTTCTAAATTAGAAATGCATATTCTTGTTTAATAAAAATAGATGAAAAAATCTCTTAAAAAAGTGGATAGATCAATATTATCATAAGTAACTTCAAGAAATAGATAAGATAAAGAGATTGTTGGAGATGTTATCAATTATTTTTTGTAACAAGATATTGATTCTATAAAATAAATTTATGCTGGAAAATTGTATGTACTTTATCCAGAATTAGCAGAAATTAGACTTATAAATCCATTAGTTATTATGGCTTTAAATATTATATCAAAAACAGAATGTAGAATGGAATTATATAATTAAGATAGATAACTGCTTTTAATTTAACCTTTAAAAGACTTCATCAGTTTTGAAGTAGATAAGGATGAAAATTATTTGAGTTGGGTATATTTTGATGGTTTAAACTCAATAGTATTATATTTTAAATTTGATATTTTGGATGGAGCAACATCTATGGCCTTTATATTATAAAAGTCCAGAATAAATATGAAATAAAAAAAAAATTTATAATTAGATACTTCTACATCAAGTAGCTTTAGTTAAATTTCAACCGAAACAACAATTATCTTTAATGAGATACAACAATAATAAATTTAATAAATTTAATAAAAAAAATAAAAAAAATACAAATATAAAGATCATTTGAATACTTTAAAAGAAGGATTGAAAACCACAACAAATAAAAAAATAATTCATAATGAAAATGATGATTTAATAATATTAGAGGATAATACTGTTTTATTATTGAAAAATAATAAATCAATATAAATTAATTAATAAATTAAATTTGATAAAACATATTATTGCAAAAGTTTAGACAAATTAGTATTATATTAATAGTTTTCATAAGAATTATATTTAATAGAATTAAAAACCTAAACTCAAGAAACTATTAAGTTAAATTTTAAGATATCAGATGTTTGTCATTATTAAAAATAATTTATATTATTATGTAATGAATCACTTTATATTTTTAACTAAGACAAATCAATTGAAAAAAGTAATAAATAAATCTAATAACATATTAGAGAATTAAATTATTTAAAATTAGAAGGACAGCTGCCAAATTGTCAGATGTTCAGTTAATGGATCAATTGTTATAGGAACATAATAAGGTTTATTATATGTATTTGATAATATAAAAACGATGAAACAAATTAACATTTTTGATGGATTAGGTGATCCAATTTAAGATATCATACTAAGCACAGATGAAAAGTAAATACAAATTATAAAATAGGTTTATTATTATTAACAATTCCTAATATATTTAATATTAATAAATAGTAACAAAACATTAGAATGGTTATTAATAAAAGTTAGATTTGAAACCATTTCCAATTAGAGTGTAATTAAATCCTGAAGATTTGATTTTAATGGGAATATTTAATTTTCCAAATTTTTAGCATGTTCGAATAGATAATAGCAATAGAGTAATAGCAGCTTAATTGGAAAATTTGCAAGTGATTTGGAATGTTGAATAAATAGTTAATCAATAATAAAATTCATATCAAGTATAATATTAAAATATGATTAGATTTTTATTCTTCCTGAAGAAGTTTTTGATTAATCGTATAGAGAGGAAGATATAATAATTCTTTCAGAATCAACTATCTATATAAGAGAATGTGATTGATATATATTAAAATTTAAATAACTGATATTTTGACAATACTTAGCATACATAAATTAAAAATATCAATCTGTAAAAAAATCATTTAAAACTTAATCTAAATTTTAATAATGCTTTTTAACATCTTCTTCTACTTTTTTGAGAACTTCCTTTTTATTTTCTATTTGTTATGTTTGTTATTATTTTTAAGTTTAAGGTTGTTATTTTAATTATTAAATTTACTATTGTTATTAAGGTTATTCAACTTTTTATGGCACAATAATTATTTCAATTTTCCTTTTCTCACTTGTATCTTCATTTAAAAATTAAGGAATATTTAATCCCTACATATTTATTCCAACCAAATGTGATAATGATCCTATTGGAAGTTTATGAGTTTCTAAAAGAGGAACAATGCTTTCTTCTTCTTTCACAAAAATTTCTTTAAATTCTACATTATTAGCTAAAGTTCTATAAAGATCTCGAACTAAGAGACTTGAGTCAAATTTAGCCAAAGTCATAATGTATTAATGTAATAATTAAATATGTTATTCTTGATGAATGATTTATAGTTAATGACTAAGTAATAAAATCTATTTGATATTAAAATAAATTTACTTCATATTTAACGTTTTCATGTTGTAACTAGAAATTTAATGATAATTTTCTTAAATTTTCAGCAGCAATTGTAGGTATTTAATCTATTTCTTATCTAAGAAGTTTGATAACAGTGGCTTTATATCTAATATCACTAATATCATCTATATTTTGTAGACAAATAGCTAATAGAGGTAATTTACTTTCTTATGTACTAATTAAATTACAAAAAGATGCTATAACATGATTTTTTGTATCAGAACTACCCGTTTTTAAAATATCTAACAGTGATTTAATTGTTCGTTTAATAAATTTTGGAAATTTGATAGTAGTTTTAGATAATAATTTAACAGCTACAGCTACTAATTAAGGTTAATTAGATCTAGCTTAATAAAGTAGTTCTTCCAAGATATTATTAAAATTATTTTCATCTATTAATAAGGATAGTATTTCTAGTTTAAGTAATTTACAATATAATTTTTCAATCTATAAAATAGTAAGTGCTCTATAGTGTTCTTTTACATACTAAGGATATTAGAGTGCGAATTGATGCAACAATTATAGAATTATAAATTTGGATTCAGATCCAATATTTAAAAATTTAACAACTGTTCTAATTAGTTTTTTAATTCTTGATTCTTAAGGAAATTATAGATATAGTTTAGATATGGTTACAATTATGCCTGGATAAGGTAATCTAAGAAGTATTTCACATGCATCTAATAATTTTATTAAATCCTTATCACCATCTTTAAAATACATAACACTATATGAATATAAGATTTATAATGCTCTTTCTAAATCAAAATTATTAAAATTAAGTAAGTCTTTAATGAATTAAAAATAATATTTGTGTAAGATGGAAAGATCTCCAGTCATTTTAAAAATAACATAAATAGCATATAGTCTAGTCTAATGGGTATCTTTAAGAAGAAAATTGATAATGTCATTATAATCATCGTGTTATACATCTTCATTACATAGATCATGCATTTTAAGTATAGATAGAGCAACGCTTCTTCTTACTAATGGATTTTTATCAGCTTAAATCTTTTTAATTGCTGTAAATAACATAGGTGTAAGTTCTTATATTCTCAAACTTGATAATGTTTTAAGAGCATTTAATTTGATTGATGTATTCAAATTAGTTAAATCCTTAAAAATTGGAGCTGTAGCCAAAATAAGAACATCTCCTTAAGATTTGCTTGTTCTAGCATTAGGTTAAGCTGCAAATTCACTAATCAATATTTAACATAATCTCTTTAATTCAAGATCCTCTCTTGGGAGTAAATTAATTATTCTAGACATATAAAGAGTTAGATCTTTGTTTTATAAATATTGCTTGATTTATAGATTATATTTATACGCTATACAAAATTCTGATTGCTTCAACTAAATCTTCTGTGTATTTAGAATTGATTAGTTCAGCCAATTTATTGTTTCTATTTGTAGAGATTGAAAGGGTACCATTTCCAAACGCTTTACCAATTTTATCTGGAAGCACAGATAGCATAACACGTAAATTATATTATTTTTAATGTTAGAAAAATCAAAAATTAAATAAATACTTCTTGACAAATCTCTAGGATAAATTCTAAAAGTTGAAAAACTTATCTAATCAATTTAATAAGATGAACTTATATTACCTTTTGAATCATTCAATTAACATTTTCATACTACAGCAGGAAAAGAATTTGTTGCCATTCCACGTTTTAAAACTAATATTGATTAAGCAACCAATTAAAATTGGAAATGTGTACGTCCACGCACTCCATCTACAATATTTAAATGGAAACGTAGAATTACAATATTTGATTAATAAAAAGACATCTCGTAATAACAAGAACTTAACACTACTTTATCATGGGAACCTATTAGAAAACATATTCCTTTAGACAAATAAACAAAAAGAAAACCTTGGATTGTAGAAAAAGTCTTTCGTGATTATCTTGTTGATCAGTAAAAATCTAAAACTGTCTGTTTCGTTAATTATGCAAGAGAATCATAAAATAAAGAACCACCAAAATACTATTATCATATTGATGATAATAAAGCTACACAAACCTATTTTAAATTAAAGTACTTTATAATTAAAAAAGGCCAAATTACTAAAGAAGAAATGTTAGTTTTGCCAAATTTCTAGAAAGAAATAATGCATCTCCTAGCTTAAAAAAATTTTGATATATAATTCCTCAAAAAAAAGTATGATTCAAAATTCTATAATTAATAAAATTAGCAATTATCTTTTTCTTTCTTATTATTTCTTTTTGTTAAAATTTTAGATTCAATTTTATTAATTTTCTGTTCTTATTAATTTGTTAATCTTAATGAGAATGGTATCATTAAAAAATGAAGATAAAAAATATAAATTATATGGATTTAGTTCAAATATCTCTTGAATAAAAGAAATAATCTTTGTAAAATAAAACTAAAAGTAAAAAAAATAAATATTAAAATTATATTGATAATTATTTATAATAATAATTATTCAATCATTTTTTGTTCATTGTCCCTCCATATTTTACTTTTCCTAATAAAAACTCGCAAACAGCAACTGGAGACTTTTCTTTCATTTCATCTAATGAGATCCACTTTTAATCAGCTGAATCTTCAAAACATACCAAAAAATCTACTCTTCCATTATCATGTCTAACTTATTTCACTTAGCATGGTTTGCTCTTTCTTGGTTTATGTGGACCATTTCCTGTATTGGTATTAATTACATTATCAAGATCTTTTTATTATTATTATTGTTTTTATTTTTCTGTATGTTTTTCTTATGTCTTCTCAACAATTTTTTCTGTTTTATCAGTTTTATCTGTTTTATCATTTGATCTTTTTTCTTTTTTTTGTTCTTCAGGTTTTTTTCCATTGTTATTTTAAACTATAGTTTAAGTATCCTATTTTATATGTTTTTATGGTTTAGGTTCTTAAGGGTCATGCCCTAATTGTTTTAATTCATAATCATGAACTAAAACCAACATTTCTGGAGTTAATTATGTCATGGGTTCAATTGATACTGAGTTATTACTCCATCTAAACTTATACATAATGGCTTCAGGATCGATCTTTTTCTTCAATAATTCAACAGGATGTTTTGAATTCATAATAGATAAATTAATTATTAACAGAGCTCTATATATGTTTATGTAGGACAAATATTGCAATGGTTTATCAAAATATTATATAACATTTATTATTTAATTTATTATTAGTTTTATTAAAAATTATACAATATTTAGAATAATAATTATTTTTATCTTTTGTTTTTGAGGTTTCTATATTGTAATTATGATATATATATTTATATAATCTAAAAATTGAATAATAATTTAAATAAAAATAGTCAAATATATATTCATCATATGACTAAAAGGAAAATAATTTTTACTAAAAAAATTTTCTAATTAACTTAACACAATATTTCCTAATATGGGTCGGAAAATAATAAAAAGAATTTTTTTAATAAATTATTTTTAGAATATATAATGGGATAATTAATGTCAATAAGTATTTATCATATCCTTTTCAATTCTGGATTAAATTCAATATGAGATATTGTATTAACACAAAGATTAAATTTAATTAACTCAATCATTAATTAAATATACATACTTGATAATCATCTTAGGATTTAATATATATAATTTAAATTCTTAATCTTAAATTAATAAAATTCATTATTTAAAACCACTGGTTCCAGTCTTTAATTCTATTTCTTAAGAACCTTTGCGAGGTTATTTATTTTCAATTGCTTTCTTCTTTCTTAAGAATGTAGAGGGTCTTTTGAATTTACCCTAAATTAATAAAAAATAGATAAAATACTTGAATAGTGTCTGGGTCAGCTTCAGGAACAACTTATTCTTTGAATAATTCAATGGATTGGAAATATTAATCAGGAATTTACTTGATAAAATAACCAACTGCTAAACTGAACATACCTATCAAAATACAAATAACATGATGGGCAAAATCTAAGGGAGTGACTTTAATAGCTTTTCCACCATATTAACTAATAAATAGAAATATAATAGATTACACAAGAATAATTTGAACAACAATAGTTCCAACAACAACACCAATAAAAAGATAATTGTTAAAGAATCCTTCAAATACATTTAATTCTGTTTTTTTTAATTTTCTAGCATTGATTTCATTGAAGACTTATAAAAATACAAAGATATGGAAGAATATAGTATAATGTTCTTGATAGATGGGACTAAATAGAAAAAGATAATTACTCATATTCTTCATCTAATCTATGTCCTCTACTAGATTCAATTCCAAAGAGGGAATCTCCATTGAATAAAATGATTAAGAGAACAAACATTTAGAAAGCAGCTTAACATAAAATGCTTCTCCACATTCCAGGTGTAATCATATGTTCTTTTCTTCCATATGGTTTACGAGTTAACAATTCATCAGTAGGAGGTTCAGTTGCTAAAGCAAGAGAAGCTAAAGTATCCATTATTAGATTAACCCATAGCATTTAAATACTGGTTAATGGAGATTCTTTTAAGAAGACTCCTCCTAAAAATGCCATTGATACAGCTACTACATTTACAGTAACTTAAAATACTAAGAATTTTCTTATGCAATCAAATATATTTCTACCCCATTTCATAGCTGTTACAATAGAAGCAAAATTATCATCTAATAAAATAATACCTGCTGCTTCTTTAGCTACTTCTGTTCCTTAAATACCCATAGCAAATCCCACATCTGCTTTTTTTAATGCAGGTGCATCATTTGTCCCATCTCCTGTTACTGCTACAACATTTTCAAGTTATTTTAATCCAGTTACCAATAAAAATTTATCTTCTGGAGAAGATCTAGCTAAAACCTTCAATTCTTAAGCTATTGTTGTAAAGTTCTACAAATTTTTAACTTTTGGTATATCATTTCCCTCTTAATCTTTTTCATATTCTAAACCTTCTACCATTTATCTAAATGTCTTTCCTTCCATTACTGCTAATGAATCTTCATGATGTTCATAATTTGATGGTAATATTCCTGCTTTCTTTGAAATTGCTACTGCTGTATCAAAATTATCTCCTGTTACCATTCTCACTGTTACTCCTGCCTCTTTACATTATTAAACTGCTTTTATTATCCCTTCTTTTAATGGATCTTATAATCCAGTTACTCCTATTATTGTATATGATTTATCTATCTAATCTTCTGAATTATTAAAATCATCTGGCTTTGATGGTCTACCTTATATCATTGTTTCTCTATACAACAATAATATTGATCTTAATGATTATGATGCATAATTCTTAATCACACCATTTATTTTCTATTTGTAATCATTTGTAATCCTAACAATTTATTAAATTATAATTACACAACGGCTCTTCCTTCAGCATTTATATAATGAGAACATTTTTCTAAAAGCATATCAGGTGCACCTTTTGTAAAAATTTTGAATTATGTTTTGTCTCCCTTTGGATCTAATATTATTGTCATCTTTTTTTTCTCTGAACTAAAAGGGAATTTCTTTTTAATCTTTTCTCCTAAAGTCTATCTTATTTATCTGAAATCATATCCAAATTTATAACACATTTCCAATAAAGCACATTCAGTCTTATTTCCTATATGTTCAAATTTACCTGATTCATCTATTTATGGGTGAGCCATTGAATTTAAACAGATACCTTCACATAGTAAGTCTAATGTTGAATTTTTGATAGCTTTAGGATCAAGTTTACTAAAATCTGTATCTTCAATATATAAATTAGTAACAGTCATTTTATTTTCTGTTAATGTTCCAGTTTTATCACTACAAATATTGTTTGCACCTCCCATAGTTTCACAAGCAGATAAAAATCTAACAAGATTTTTTTCATCCTTCATTTTACCAACAGAATATGCCAAAGCTATTGTAACAGCTAATGGTAATCCTTCAGGAACAGCAACAACAATAATAGTAACAGAGACAATAAAGAAATTTAATATTTCTTTAATAGCATGAGCTGAAAATAATGGATATTCATTAAACACTGCATCATAGAGTAAATGTAATGTCATTGCAACAAATGTAGTGACAGCTGCTTTCATTCCATATTCACCAATTTAATCTGCTAAAATACCAAGTTTTTCTTATAATGGTGTTTTATCATCTTTAGTTTATTATGTCATTAATTTTTTAGAGATTCCCCATTAAGAATTTTCTCCAACTGCCAAAATGAGAATTTCACCTGTTCCTTCTATAATAGATGAACCACTAATTAAAAATGGATTGACTTTTTCATTTTAATCATAAGTAATAGGAACATTCTTTTTAATAGGATTAGTTTCTCCTGTGATTGAAGATTCATCAGCTGTTAAATCACTTGATTCAATAACAACTCCATCAACTGGTAATTTTTCACCTGTATCTACAATCATAATATCACCAACAACCAATTCATAAATATTAGTACTAACTATTTTTCCTCCTCTTCTTAAATTTACATTTCTATTCTCTGCTATAGCATTTAATTTTCTAAATTATTAATCTTTAACATAATTATTTCCTGCTGTTACTGATACTATGATAATAACTGCAATAAAAATAGCCATTCCATCCATCCATCCCTAATCAAATCTTATATATTATTACTTCTTTCCATCCTTCTGTCCATACTCCTATAATCAAATTTACAGCTGCTGCTAAACACAATATTCTTAACATTTAATCTTCAAAGTTTTCAAGGATCTATTCTTTTCATATTTCATTTTTACATATTCCAGAAGTGTTTTTGGCTCTTTTATTTCAGGCTTGTTATCACCAAAACTAATATATAATATATTCAAATATTACTTCTTCACTCTCAATTCCATATCATTTATATTACTACCATCTAATCCTTTCTAAACTTATTTATTTCTTAATTTACCTTTTAATCTGTTCTTAACTTCTTCATCAAACCTTCAATCTTCCCATGTCTAGCCAATACTGCTAAACTTGATCCATCTCTCACGTTGTCTGGAGTAAATAAGTTTCTTCATATTTAATATATATTTTACGATAATTCCTTTGCTGTCATTCCAAAATCAGACAAAGAACTTCCAACCAATAGATTATCCTATAGCTACGATGTCATTTTTAATTAAAATTTAATTATCAAATATCATTCATTTTCTTATTTAATACTCTATTCTCAATAAATTTTATTGTATAAAATGTGTCATCATCAAATCTCTATTTACATAATTGTCTTTTATGACGCCATTTTACATCTTTCAACTTATCATACTTCTCATTCCTAATTATTTTCTTTTTCTTCAAATATTTAAATGATCTCTAATATAAAGTATCTTTAAATATTTCATAATATAAAATAATTTATATTTTTATTTTTAATTAAACAAACTTTTTTTTCTCATCTCATTTTTTATTTTATCATTCAATAACTAAATCAAACTTATTTTATTCTCTTTATTTTATTTTGCTCATCAATTTATCTAAATATTAATGAAAAGCTTTAATAATAATTCAACCGGATTAAAAAAAATAAAATTAATTAGACAATATTTTAATCAATTTTCTTAATCTTATTATATATTAAGATTTTAAAGAATGATACATAGATTATTTCAAAAAAAATTAAATTAATTTAAAATTCATAAAAAATCGACTTTACCATTTCTTGTTATTTTGAATTATTGTTAATTTTAATTATAGTTAGCAGATCTGTTTCTTGAACGAAAAAAATGAGAAGCTCTTTTTGATTGACAAGACCATAATTTTCCTGTGTCTTTATTAATACTTTCTTACTCTGTTCTTAATTAATGAGCAGTCTATGCTCTAAAATTATTTTATTGATTTCTTGTTAAAGGTTTCAAGGTTATAAATAAAGCCTCTTCATGAATTTGGTTTTTTCTCTTAGGAGTAGAGATCCTTTTTATACTCAATGATGTCTTAAATGAATGAGAGGATGTCTTTCTATTTAAAGGTGAGTAGTCTAACTGTATCTTTTTTCTTGGAAATTTTTTTTACTCTTATAACTTAATTTGTGATTACTAATAGTGATGCCATAATTAATGGATAATTTGAGAGTTATCTTGCTTTTATTGAAACTGGAAGTTGCTTGCCTGAAAACCCATATTGTACCAATTAATTATTATATTCTAATTTATCTGACATTAATTCCACTCTTTATTATTCTTATTAGAATTTTAATTTATTATTATCTATGAATATAAGATTTTATTATGTAAGATTTATTAATCTATAAAGTTCAGAATATTTAAGTTATAAATCAATTAAGAAAGCATTTGAGATTGTTTATCCTATATTCACAATTAAGATTAAATAAGTGAGTAAAAGCATCCATGTTAATCATTTTTAACAGATTTGTTAAATTGAAAAAAACTGCACAATAAGGAATTTAACATCACCTAAATAAATATTAAAAATGAAAAAATGTAACTTCATTATTTACACGACATTTCTGTTTAAAAAAGAAATATATTACTTATAAACATAAATTTTCTAACTTGGATTTAATAGTTAATAGTTATCAACATTATTTTAAATACATAAAAATTCTAAAAAGTCAGATAAATTATTAAAAATAAGATAATTATAGAACTCTTAAACATAAAAATATTGGAAAGATAATATTTTTCTAATTCATCAAAAAATGTAAACTTTCTTTAAATTTAGGCTCTCTCTCTAGTTTTTATGATTTAAACAAATGAAATTGATATAAGATTTTTTTCAATTATTTGCATAGATCTAAAAGAATAATTTTACGTTTTTAAAGTTATATCTTTATAATTTCTTATTTTACAATACAACGATAAATTATATCACATTAATTCAGATAATATACCATAATCTCTTTCTAAATAAAAAATGGCTTCAAAATGGCTTGTTTAAGGAAACATGTCAACTAATGTAACATTTACTAATTTAAATTCAGGGGCTTTGTTCTTCTTAGATTAAGGTAAACATAATTAAATTAAATTATCTATTACTTATGGAGGAGAACAAGAAACATAAATAATGTGATCTATACCTTTACATGTTCTGATAGCCTCAATAACTTTATTAAGAACTCCAGCTCGAGGAGGATCTAGGCAAGCCATTAATTGTTACTTTCCTTAATAGCTTTTTAAGTCTTAAGCAACTTTCTTAATTACATCCTCAACCTTAGAACAAATAATCTAACAGTTTTATAGATTGTTAAGTTTATAGTTTTCATTTGCATCTTTACATGAAGATTCATTCATTTCAATTGCTAAAATATCTTAAATTTAATCGCTAACACAAATTCCAATTGTGCCGCTGCCAGCACATAAATCTAAAAATTTGTTAATTTTCTNTATTTAAGTTATAAATCAATTAAGAAAGCATTTGAGATTGTTTATCCTATATTCACAATTAAGATTAAATAAGTGAGTAAAAGCATCCATGTTAATCATTTTTAACAGATTTGTTAAATTGAAAAAAACTGCACAATAAGGAATTTAACATCACCTAAATAAATATTAAAAATGAAAAAATGTAACTTCATTATTTACACGACATTTCTGTTTAAAAAAGAAATATATTACTTATAAACATAAATTTTCTAACTTGGATTTAATAGTTAATAGTTATCAACATTATTTTAAATACATAAAAATTCTAAAAAGTCAGATAAATTATTAAAAATAAGATAATTATAGAACTCTTAAACATAAAAATATTGGAAAGATAATATTTTTCTAATTCATCAAAAAATGTAAACTTTCTTTAAATTTAGGCTCTCTCTCTAGTTTTTATGATTTAAACAAATGAAATTGATATAAGATTTTTTTCAATTATTTGCATAGATCTAAAAGAATAATTTTACGTTTTTAAAGTTATATCTTTATAATTTCTTATTTTACAATACAACGATAAATTATATCACATTAATTCAGATAATATACCATAATCTCTTTCTAAATAAAAAATGGCTTCAAAATGGCTTGTTTAAGGAAACATGTCAACTAATGTAACATTTACTAATTTAAATTCAGGGGCTTTGTTCTTCTTAGATTAAGGTAAACATAATTAAATTAAATTATCTATTACTTATGGAGGAGAACAAGAAACATAAATAATGTGATCTATACCTTTACATGTTCTGATAGCCTCAATAACTTTATTAAGAACTCCAGCTCGAGGAGGATCTAGGCAAGCCATTAATTGTTACTTTCCTTAATAGCTTTTTAAGTCTTAAGCAACTTTCTTAATTACATCCTCAACCTTAGAACAAATAATCTAACAGTTTTATAGATTGTTAAGTTTATAGTTTTCATTTGCATCTTTACATGAAGATTCATTCATTTCAATTGCTAAAATATCTTAAATTTAATCGCTAACACAAATTCCAATTGTGCCGCTGCCAGCACATAAATCTAAAAATTTGTTAATTTTCTTGTTTTTGCAAAGATCAATTATAGTTTAATATAATTTATCACATTAAGGTGTATGATTCTAAGAAAAAGCATTGTAAGAAATATTGATTGTTTTATCTAAAATGATTTCTTAATAGTATGAATTTCCATATAATATTTTTGTATCTTCAACAGAACTGGCCAAATCTTAACCCAATTTATTTGAATGCATTAATAGCAACCCTTTTAAAATAAATTCACCATAATTAGTTTTAAATAATGCAATTAATTCTTCACAAATCTAAGCATACTCCTCTTAAAGTAAATTATCTTTATTTATGCTTACACTAATTAATAATTATTTAGTCCTATCACTTTTTCTAATGCTTAACATTCTCCAAACTCCATTTCCATTTTATCTATTAAAAGGCTAGAATTTAGATGATTATAAATAATTCTAGAATTAATTTGCAATTTCAATAGCTATTGTAGGTGTTACAGGACACGTATTTGGCTTCAATATATTTTTTTATTACTTATTCTACACTATCATTATTTTTTTGAATAGATCCTACATTAAAACCAACACAAACTTCTTTTTAGCTATTTTAACTTATAGTAAATTCACTTTTATTTCTATAATTAAATCTAAATTTTTCTTCACAAATAACTGGATCATTTAATTTAATTAAATTAGTACTATTATTTCATCAATTATTACTCTAAAATCCAATCTGGTGCATATTCTTTTCCATTTTTTTATATAAATTAATTTTTTAATTTTTTTATTACCTTCTTAAGTTCTGCCATCTTTTATTCTATCTATTCTTCATATTTAACTTAATAAAGTGGAGCAGTTTATAATGCTAATTCGTTTTATTTTCTCTCAATAACTTCTCTATTTTAATGCTTTTCTTGGAATTATTTGATTTCATCTTCATTTTATTTTTATTATTTAATTTTTTTTTCTAATTATTTTTCAAAAGCATTTTCATTATGTACTTCTCCAATCCTAAGTTTCAATTCTGGGTTTTCTTCTATCAATTTAATAAATTTCTAACAAGAAATTTTAATAAAATACATTTTTTTAATCATCATCAATAAATTGCAAAAAACAAAATGGCTTCATTTTTGGTTTAATAATTTCAGTAGGATTGATAAATTTATCTCCTAATTATTCTTATAATTATTTCAAGACTTATTTATCCTTTGCAAATTTCTAAATGCCTAATAAACAAATTTGTGGTTTCATAGTAATTTATTTATTTAATTACTATCATATAAATATATGTATTAAATTCAAATTTAGATAATTTTTCAATATTTCTTCTTTGAAATTTTGGATTCAAATAAAATTAATATGAAAACTCGAACAATTATATATAGGTTTTTAATAAAAATGAAAAATCGAAGTTAAAGAATATACAAAACTCTGCATTCAATAAATTAGTAAATATTTATATGGAATTTAAAATTAATTTGATTATTAATGAAATCTATATATTGTTTATTATCTATTTTTGTCATAGTCTTTAGTGAATAGGTGACATCTGATGAAACAACATATGCATATTTTAACTTAATCAAAGATGCCTATAATTAATGTATAGATATTTTATGATTTTAGAAAATCCTCGAAGAATTTACAATCTTTTCTCATAAATTAGTAAGGATTCTCTAAGTTATGAAAAATTTTCAAAAGAAATTATGGAAATATATGATCGATCTGGAAGAATAGCATATTGGACCCATATATCTATAAATTCTGATAATCCAGAATTTACATTGGGTTTTGAGAAAAATTTGGCTGTTGGAGGACTTATTTGGACATACAGTGATAAAAATTTTTTAAGATTTGCTCTATATGATTTTGCTCAACCTACAATGATTGATTTTTTTTAGAATAATTAAAATAAAGTCACATTTACTGCTATAACAGATGGGAAGACTCTTATTGATTATTTTGGGAATAGAGATTAAGATTTAATGAGTGTATTCAAAATAACAGTAGCAATAGAATTTTCAAGGTAGGCAAATGAAAAAATTATTGATAAAGATTAGTTTGTGAGCATTAATGATATTAATAAGTTTTTTGTTCCCTCTATAGATATTTATCATTAGTAATTCTTAGATATTTGGAAAGCTAATGATTGGATTGTAGATAATAAAATGAAATTATAAGATGTAGTAAAAGGAATGATAGCATTCAGTTCAAACTCTTGTACAGAGTTTTTGCAATCATTATTAACTATGAAATCAATACAGGAACTTGTAGACTCTGTAAAATTACATTAAACTTAAGCTTACTATTTAGCATCATATTAGCTTTCATATTTAAATCTTCATAATTTGCCAAATGATGAATATATCAAAGAAATAGATTCCTTAACATCTGAATAAGTATTGAATAGATCAAATAATATTCATAATATTTTAGTAACAGGATCATAAGAAGCCATTAATCTACTTAAAAGAGGGAATGAACTACTCAATGCTTAAGTTTTGGCAATATAAACTAAGTAATTCACGAAATCTACTACTAATGCATATGCTAAACTTATGGATCAATTAAACAATCAAGAATTATTTGATTAAGGATTTTATGATATTTTTTATCCGCTTATAGGAATTGTTGAGCTTTCTAATCCTGGTTTAAAAAAGTTGTTTAATCATGTTGGGGTATTCAATTTGTACTAATTTTAAGGCAAAAGGAGGGTCATCTGCAATTTAAAATGATACAGCTTGCGTTTTCTCTTAGGCTTAATTTTCTGAGCTTTAACATGCATTACCTTATAAAACAATCTCATATGCCTTTTTTATGGAGAATCTTTTCTGGGATGATTATGAATCAATCATTATAGGTTTTAATAGTTTTAAAACAATGTTAAGCACAAATGGCTTATATCTTAATGCTGTTGCATAAAAATTAAAGTAAATTTCATGAATGTTAATATTAAAATATTATATATCAAAATAAATAATATTGGATTTTATACTCTATAAATTTAAATTACAATAATTCATAATCCATCTTGTACATAATCTATTGATTCTAAATAATAAAATTGCTAAAAACTATTTGAGTAAAGTTAAATATTTGTTAGATGCAGAAGTTTTAAGAATTCATTTAAAAATATTTTAAAAATTAACATACTTATGATACTTGAAATTACTTGATAAATTGAAAAATAGTAATTATATCAATAACAAATTGATGCCTTTATGGAATTAGTTTGTATTCAAAATCTTACTTTAGCTAAAGAATATGATCGTATTTGGGTAATTATTATTCTTAAAATTTAAATCAATGCTGAATAAATATTTAAGAAGATGAATGTTATTGTGTCTAAACTTTTATCATTTTTATTTATTTTAAAACAGCACAATGTATATAAAATAGTTATTCTTTTTTTTTTTGAAGCCTTGATTTCAGATTCATAAATGTAGTGATTTTAAAAATCAAAATTAAAAAATATTTATAATAATATTATCTTCATATTTATTCATAGATTTTGAATTCATAAGATATTCAGTAGATATTTTAATGATAAAAGTTATATGAGATATTATGATATAACCGAATATCATAAATATATAATTTATATATTCATAATATGGGGTGTTTTGGAAGTTCTTCAAGAAACTTGTAATAGCCAACATTCTCTGCTATTTTAACTGAGATTTTTGAACTTGTACCAAGAGAGGAAACTCTAAAAGAATTCAACAAGAAATCTGAAATAATGAAATACTTTAATGAGTTTGCTTGGGAGAAAATAAATCCTTAATTTAAGTTGGAAGTAAAAACATTGATAGATCACATAGAATCTTATAAAATTAGACTGATTGATTCTGCATTATATGTAGAAAGTAAAATAGTAATAATAATAAACAATAAACTAGAAACTATCTTAAAATCCTATTATAATAAAAATGTGCATGCTCATATTAAAGGAGCTTGTACTTAATTTAGATAAGTTTATATAATTGAAAGAGATTAATGTTTAGAATCATTTTCTTGAGGAATCAAAAATTGAAATTAGTTAGAGGTCTATTCAAATAGAACACTTACAAACCTTAACCTAAGTATCAGATAACTTTTTAAAATTTGAATTAGCTTTCTCTAATATAATTTCATAGTTAATAAATGATAAAATGACATATGCAATGTAAAAAAAATATAATTTTTTAAGGGTTTGGTGGAATGAATTTCTAGAAACTTTGGAATAATTTTCAAATAAGAAAGCAAATAAGTAATTTCAAAGTGAGAATATTTAATGTATATTGACATTTTTAGAATATATAATAGGAACTAAATTAGGATATTAAGATCATTTGTATAAATTATAATTATACTAGTGAATGGGTCACAAAGACAAATGAAGAGACATAAACAGTCTAAGAATTATTAGATATTATTTTAGATCCATTTATAGTAATGTCTGTTTATAGAAATGCTTTTCTAAGAATTCCTTAAGAAAGATTATTTGTTACAAAAAATTAAAAAACTCTCTTTAATATATTATTAAAAGATCATAAAAAGTATGCTTCTTAACCTATTTGGCACAAATTAACAGAAACCTTTTTAGAGAGAGCTTTAAATTAGTAGTTGTATGAAGAATTATTTTATATGTTATTCAATAATTTTGATGAAGATTATTGGAAAAACCCTTCAGATATATTTTAAATTACTTCTATTGTTTTAGAAGTAGCTAAGTAGATTCATTAATTACCAAATACTGAACTTTTTATATTTACTAAATTAGTTGATTATTTAGACACCCCTAATGATAAGAATGCATTTGAAAGTCCTAGTGGTCCACCTTTATTAAAAAAAACATCAGAATATAAAAATTTTAATGTGAATTCAAATGTGAAAAACTCAATTATTAAATTATTAATTAGTCTATTTAATTCCATTGAGACAAATCAATTTATTTTATTCCAATAAACTTAGACTATAAAAGCTATTCTTAATAATTTAAGATCTAATCCAGAGGTAGAAACTATCAATGATACTAAACTTTGTTTAATTGCGCTGCTTAAATAAATATCATCAGATACTAATAGTGTTCAGTCATTTATACAATAAACACTTACTTTCTCTTATAATTATAATTTAAATTTAATCAATAATACAGCCATTAATATTGATATTTTAACTAATTTATTAATCATTTTACATGAATGTATATTGTAACTTGAAACATTTAATTCAACAATCATTATCACTGAAGAAATGATAGTCATGTTAATTGAAATTTCTGAAATTAATCATTAAATTTCATTAAAGTGTGCCCAAATTTTAACATCTTTATTTCAATTAGCAAGTAAAATAAACTCTAATGAAAATAATGAGATTAATTCATATCTTGTACCAAATTCAAATATCATTGGTTTAAGTGCATATTTTTTATCAAGCTCTGTCTTAATTAGTTATAATGAACCAGAAAATGCAAAAACTTTAATAAATTAATTTTTTGATTTCATTCCTGGAAGATTAACAAATTAATAAATAATTTCAATTATTACCTATTTAATTGATGAATCCTCAATTAAATAAGGAAATAGTAAATTAGCAAAATCTAATAGAAAAGTGAATTTTGACACATATAAAGATAAAGAATTAAGGTTATGTATGATAATTAAGTTAATTTCATTTATGGATGATGAAATCTCGAAAGATTTTAATGAACTTCTTTACTCTTTTCTTGGAGCATAGTTTCAAATTTACAAAAAAAAAGGATTTGGAGCTTAGTAAATATAAATTTCATTAAAAGTTAGGAGTTATCTAATTTGTTATAAAAAAACAATATTAATACAGAAATTTAAGAAATATTGTCAAAGTGCATTTCAATAGGTCCTATAGATTTTGATAAAATCAAGAAATAATTTAAGGAAAATCTATCTAATTTGAATAATTACAATGGAATTATAAATTTAGATGATATATAAGTTAAAGAAGATATAGAGGTAATAATAAAATTGATGAAAAATAGAGAGGATCTATTCTAAATTAATCTTTCCAAGTTCCCAGTCATATAGAAGTTTAATTGGATGAAAGTTTCGAATAATAATTATAAACAATTAAAAAGTAAAAGTTGAAGTAAGAAAAATTGGAACATTTAACAACTGAATAAAGGGAGATGATGGAATATTGATTAATGTTTTTATTTTTATTTCAAAATAATAGAAATTTTAATATTCTTTATAAATAATTAGATAAAATGTATTACTTTATTTGAATTAAACTTAAATTAAGAAAGTATTGATTTAAATGATTTTTTTTTTAAATTATATTAATTACTCAATTTTCAATATAGAATTTTTATAGTTTAATAAAAGTGTGTGATTCATAAAAAATTTTCTTCTTCATAATTTTCTAAAATGTTAAGCCCTATGAATTTAATATAAATTTAATTAAAATGAAAATTAAGTTGAAATATTACAATGATTGGGGAGAAGAATAAATTTGCATAATTAAAGTACCTTCTAAAGGAACAGTTAAAGATTTATAATCTGAAATATAGAAGGTAACATAAATTGAGGTATGCAATCAAAAATTGTATTTATTGACAAATTCTTAAATGATGGAAATTGAAAATAATCAATATTTAAGTTCAATATAGTTTAATCAAGAATCTATAGTATGTGTGAAAAATATTGATGATTAATTTAGCATAAATTCTTCTTTAAATTCCCAAAAATAATAAATAAAATCATAAAATACAAATAATATTGCTACAGATTTATATAATTCAGTGCATGATTCTTTTCGTAACTCATTTAAAAATAATTAATTTAATTCAAATACAAAAATAAACTTGTAGCTTGAGATAGAAAATTTTTATGAATTTATTCAGACCAATAATTTTAATAAAGCAAAAAATTTATTAGTTAATTATTAAAAAAATAAAAACTTAATTATAAATGACTTATCAGTATTTGGTTGGTCATCTCTACATGTTTCTATAGTAACTGGATATGAGAAGATTATTTTATGGTTATTAAGCGAAGGGGCTGATGTTAATTTGGAGACAATTGATGGATGGACTAGTCTTTCATTAGCAGTTTGTTTAAAAATGAAAAATAGTAAAATAAATAAATGATAATTAGTTGTAATCTTTTTAATTGGATAGTAAGATATAGATATAAATAAACCAAGTAAACATGGATCTGCATTACATTTAGCTGCTTAAATAGATGAATCTGAAATAGCAATGACTTTATTATAACATCCTAAAATTGATGTAAAGTAATTAATTATTTATAAATTTAGTATTCAAGACAAATTAAATAGAAGGCCAATTGAAGTTGCAGGTACTCAAGTTAGATAATTATTAAAATATGAAAATGAATTAAGACTAAATACAGTTTATAGAAATTCTTTTGTTAAGTCAATAAATGGATTTACTTTAGAGGATTTATAAAAAGATGTAAAATGATTTTGTATAAAAGAGACTTTTATTATGAATAAACCAAAAAGGCCTCCAATTATTACTGGTAAAGTATTGAAAGTTAATTATTTTAAATTATTAATGTATCAAAGATTTATGATTGCAGATCCTGATTCTGGTACATTAGTAAGATTTAAAAGTGAAAAAGATGTTCCTAATAATCCAAAGTATTAAAGTTTAATTATTTTAGTGAAATAATTGCTTTGGATTAAATAAATGATATCAGAGTATCTAAAGGTGAGTGGTTTTAAGAAGAAAACTTTTATTATTTGGAAATTAAATATTCATCTAATCATATGTTTTTAGCATTCAAAGAAAAAAATGCAGCTAGAAGATGGTATGAAAGTTTGAAGAATTGTATTGGATATGCTAGATATATAAATTAAAATTTTTTATTAAGAGGTTCTGTAGATGAAATTAAGTGTGCTCAGCGAGCCTATAGTTTAATGTTACAAAAACCAAATCAAATTATGAATATTAGAGATTCATCCGCTATTGAATAATAATAATATATTTAATAGTAATAAAAAGTAAAGAAGGATAAATTTAAATAATCATTAGCAAGTGTAACTGAAGCAGAATTTGAAATTGATATTATTGAAGAAAAAGGAGGCTTAAAAAAATAATATTCTATTGGTTTATCATGTTTTTAAAACTTTGAATTGATTGGAAAAGGTAGTTTTGGAAAAGTATACAAAGCTAAATATAAAAATCTATATTGTGCTTTAAAATAATAAGAAAAGAATATGCTTATAAAATAGGATTACTTAAACTATACACTTTTAGAACTTTAAATTCTGAAAAGCATTAAGAATCCTTTTATTGTTCGATTATATTTTGCATTTTAAGTTCTTATACAATTTATTCTAGACTTAAAAATATTTATATTTTGCAACTGAACTTTGTCCTGCAGGAGATTTAGCAAGATATATGACAAGAGGAAAAATATTGGATGAATATACTGCAAAATTTATTGTAGCTTAAATAATATTAGCTATTGAATATCTTCATTCAAAATCTATACTTTATAGAGATCTTAAACCAGAAAATATTTTAATAGATTCAGATGGATTTATTAAACTTACAGATTTTGGTTTATGTAAACAAGGCTAATAAGGTTAAGAAATTATTGCAAAAAGTTTCTGTGGATCTCCAGCTTATCTCCCCCCTGAAGTAATTGAAGGTATTGGATCATCCAAAGCTACAGATATTTATTAAATAGGAACCATTTTATTTGAAATGCTTACAGGATATCCTCCATATTATAGCACAAATATTAAAACTTTAATTGAAAATATCAAATATTGTAAATTAAATAATTTTTAATTATAGAATAAATATAAATTCCTAAAGGAATTAGTGTCACAGCAACAGATCTTTTAAAATTATTACTTATAAGGTCTCCTAAAGATAGATTGGCTTAAGCTGATTTTCATAAAATTAAGAAACATTTGTTTTTTGCTGAAATAGATTGGATGAGATTGCAAGCTAAATAATATAAACCTCCAGCTTTAACTATTCGCAATAATTTTAATAACAGTAGAAATGGATTTAAATTTTAAGAAAACAAAAATGTAATTAATTTATTTTATTTAAGGATCTTTTTGATATAGATTATTCAGATGAGTAGGAAAAGCCTAATTTCATTTTAAATTGGGATATTTCATTGATTTGATAACATAATTTTATTTTAAATAATATCATTAAATATTTTTTAATATTTGTTCTAATATTAGAGAAATACTTAAATTTTACAATGTTCTTTAAGTAGTAGAAACATAAAATTAAGAGAAATTTAATAATTTCTATAAAAAATAAATAAAGTCTATCACACAATTTCATTATGTATGGAGCATTCATAAATTTCAAGTTCATCTACTTGAAATTCAGTCTTACCTGCCAAACATCCTATTCCATTAATGTTATTGCAAATATTGTTTTTTTTATTACAACAATCAACAAATATTTCAATATCATTACCTAACCTCAATAAATAGTTTGAATTTATTGCTAATTTTAATTCTTTTTTGTAATCCATTCTTTTTTTACTTTGAAAATTGATAATTTAAATTCGATTATTTTAATTAAATATTCCAAAAACTGAATCATTATCTACTGATCTGATAAGAATTAAAATTGATGTAGCTTTTTTAATTGAAATTAATTATTCTTCTGAAACTAGATAAAAATTGTTCTCAGTTCTAATCACAAGATGAAGATATACCCTCTATATAATAATTTAAATTTAATCTATTGATAAATTTTAGCATTTAAGATTTCTCCAAGATAAGAGAGTTCTGATAAGGTGAAAACAGTTTGAGGAGTGCTATTAAAATTTAATTGACTTTTAAAAAATGAATTGTCGCTTTAATCGCTAGATGAACTGTCTAATGGAATTGATTAAATAACTTATTCATTTACAAATTAGGAAGATTCAATATCCTAAGATTTAAAATTATTTAAATTATTAGTAATGCTAGCTGTTATTTTTTGATTTTAAATATATTGGTGTAAATTTTAAATACTTTCTTCAAGCATTTTTGATTTTTATAATAATTCATGATTTTCTTTGGTAGTAAACTAAATAATAGAATAGTGAATTAATACTTATAATTTCATTTTGAGTTCTTCAATATCTCTCTGTTATTCTATAATAAGCTTTGATGATCTATCAGAACAAGAAGCTTAAGATTATAAAAATTTTACATGAATTAACACTATTTGAGAAAGATTTAGCCATGAAGGTTTGTAATCTTCTAGCATTATTGTCTGAATAGATGTCTTCAATTTTGTAGATAGAGTTAACGATTTTCATAGTATTTTCTTGTCTTTCTTCTTAAGTTTGAAATCTTATATTTACATAATACTGTATAATTTTCAAGATATCATCTGGAGTTAGGAACTTTTCAGGGAAGGATTTCTTATTTTTTTATTCATTATGAAATATAAGAAGTTTTATTAAGATTTCTTCTTTTAAATGTAAAACATTTATAGGAATATCATCATTTTATTTAGTACCACAAATAGAGAAATAGTTTTATCTATAAAAATCTAATTTTTAAACAGGTAAGATAATTTTCCATAATTATGGATTCTCATCTAAAAAATCAACATATTTTTCCCTTAGTGATTCTATTTCATATAATTCAGCAAGTGTTAATACAATATGGATATCTATTCTTTAGAAATTTTCATATAATGAATCCTACAAAGAGGTGATAAAATTATTAATTTATAGAAAGTGTGAAATTTTATAAGCAGAGTAAAATTCTTCATCTTTATGTATATGATATTGATAACCATAAAAACAGTTGAGTATTTTTTAAAAAACTATTGTATCATGTTTTCCAGGAATGACTTTAAATTTAGAGTCACTATTAAGTAATTATGTTTCGAAATATTAGCTTCTTTTTTTGAGTTAATTGCTCTACAATTAAAAGGTTTCTTTGCCATTCAAAACTAAAATGATATCAGCATTTGGATCAATAGGAAAATGATGTAATAGATCACTATTTTCAATATTGATAAATTTCAAAGTAACTAATGGATTCATAGAATGAATAATATATAAATTATTAAATGTAGATGGTGATTGATTTATAAAATAATATATAATATATATTAAAATCTCATTCAGTTGAGCATAAGAGTGAAACTCCTCTAAGTTTCCATTTATGAGCACCAGTACCTTCACAAGGCAATCCAACTCTACAAATGAGATATTTGTCAGTTCTTCTTGGATACTAAAATGAATAGAATAATAAAAGATACCTTATAAACAGGACAACTGTAAGTGGATGAATTTTTTTCAGCATCTGCACCTTTCTTTTTATTAACAGCAGTAACATAAAGAATTGGTAAAGGAGCATAAATCTTCTTTGGCTCTGATTCATCAAGTCCATTTCTACTCCATTTACATCCTTCAAGAGATAATCCACTAACATAAACACCTTCTGATTAAATATCTCTTATTGATTCATAATCTCTTTCTTTAACTTAAGTAGATTGAACAACATCATCTAATGACCAAGCATCTTTATCTCCAGGTTTACCTTTATGCATACGAGTAACTTCTTATTTTACAGCAGTCAAGAATCCTTGAGGATTGAAGAAACCACCAAGCCAAAAGTGATTGGGTCTATTACTCTTTAACCAATCATTTAATTATTTATTACGATCTATTAATGAACTAAACCAAGCACCTAGAGTAGGTAAAATCCATGAAATTTCTACTCCTGTGGCATCATAAACCCAAGTAAGTGGTACTTTTGCATCATACATTGAATTTATAGCATCTAAAATATCTGGAGTCATAATAATTTGACCATCTATTGCATCTATTACATCTGACAATGTTTTTCTACATATTGCAATAACTATTTGCATTCTTTGAATTTCTTAATATAAGAAAATATTAAGTGGAACTGTTAATCCCTTATCTGGTAAATTCTTTGGACCAGCTAATTTACGAACTTACTCTCTCACTTCCAAATCAATATAGTCTTATGGTAATTTAGTTAATAATTCTCTAGCTTTATCCTAGACTATTTCTTCTCTTGTTTTTCCTCCACCACCACCAGAATCCTTTGGTCTAGTATCCATGATTGTTATAATCATTTCAGTAGATTCTTTCTTTCTAAATGTAATATCAGCATTAACATGTAATCCAAAGACTTCAGGGTTATCAATATCAGGTAATTATTTAATGACATCATGATATTTAATGAGTTCTGGCATTTAAGTAGTGGCTGGTATTTTATATTAGAATTTAGTAGGCTTAGTACCACCTCCTGCATCATATGGAGCTTCTGCAATAACATATTCATTTCCAAAGATTGCTTCTTTTAAGTAATCTTCACCATAGGCATTAAATAATTCTCTATCTAAATCATCTGTAATACGACCACCATATTAAACTTCACAAATCATATATCTTATAACATTCATATTTAAATTTAAGTTAGGTGATTATGATGGAGGTCCGCTTAGGAATGAATTCAAATATTTTTCAATAAATGCAAGTGATGCTTCAAGATCTGGGTTATTAAATTCATAAGGAACACACCATCCAAGAGGACCAAATTTACGTCTTTCAATAACAATAGAATGTAAGAAGCAAATTGTATAGATAAGACTTCTCCAATTTGGATGTTCAACTTTTTCTAAAAATTCCTATGTAATAATAGTAGTAAAGGTCTTATATAGACCAGCTTTCAATCCTTTAGGTGGTTCATTAGTAACTTTGATAGTCTTTTACAATAAACCTAATGGGAACTTAGGATGTTATTCACAAGTAATCCATAATCTAAAATCATCATTAATAGTAGCCTCTGGAGTAACAATGGTTTCTATTTCTTCCATGAATTTAAGACCCAAATGACAATTTTATAAAATAACCCACATACCAGTTTCAAAACCATTTTTAATGACTCTTCTAGCTGCTTCTTCTTAACCTTCTCCCATTGATACTTTTTCACAAAATACTTTTCTCTTCTTTCTAGATAGATCATCAATTGATGAAGTAGGATCAGCACCAGCAGATAATAAGAATAATACTGGATCAGTTTTAGAACTTTCAGCCCAAATGGAATCAATAGGATATGAAATTGGAGCAGTAAATTCTTTACCAAGAGTTGCATTGATAAAATGAGTAGCAGCAACTAATGTTCTATCTTCTTTTAGTGAACGTACTAAACATAGAGAAATGAATGGACCAATCTCTTTATCAGCTGCAATACGTTCAGCAAAGTCTGGTATAGGTGAATTTTCAGGGTCATTTCTATCATTCCATTATTTCCATTATTATTCATTTCTACCTATAGATTCAGGTAAATCTCTGAAGAAAGCCATTTAATCTCCATTAAAATGATGGCGAGATAATGCTAATATATTAAGCCATTATTTTTCATCTAAGAATTAGAAAGGCTTTGCTTTTTCAGCTTTGGCATCCAATGCAGCACCACTCTTTAAAAATTGAGATACATCTCCAGCATTAATTTTCCTATCAGTTTATTTAATTTTGAAACACATCATCAATATAAATGAAATCTTATCTTTCTCAAATAGACCTCTATTAACATACTTATAAACATAGAATGTTAAAAATTTAATAATATTATCTACTCTTTTAGATGGTAAAGTGTTTCTCTCAGATAGGTCGATGGAATCATTGAATAACTTCAAGAATTATTCTAAAGAAGAATTATACATCCAATTTATAAGAGATACTTCCAAAATTGTGAAATATAAGGCTGAACCTCTGATAGCTACAGGCCTATATTATTCTCTTTTTTCATTAATTTCTTTTGTTTTGATTTCAGCATCTTATAATTTAACTGACACTTCTTTTGCTTAAGTTTTTGTACTTCCTAAAACTTCAATTAGACCTTCATCTTCCAAAAGATTACCAGATGATTAAGTTAATCTTTCTAATAAATTCTTATCTAATCTTTATAGATCTTTCTTATTCTAATTGACATCTGCTAACAATTAATTTAGAGAGTCTTCTAATGCCTTTTATTCTTTACTGATAACTTTACCAAGTAATTACTATTCTAAACCACCTTGAGTAACAGTGAAATCAATAATAGTTGTCTTAGCTGATAATTCAGGAGAGAATGTAGGATTAGCCAATCTACAAAACATAAATAATTTAAATCCATCTTCGAAGTCCAT